TATCATACTAGTAGTGATGCCGCAGAGGCGAATCAAATCGAGGCGACGATTATTTGCATGTTACCCAACAGATATCTATCTACATATTGTAAGAATGGACTTGGATCGTTTAATCCCGCGGAACCAATTCGCGTCAACGCCATGTGCTCCACCCAAACCCCTCTTCTGCTCCACTTTGGCTCAGGCATGTACTCCACTTCAGCTCCTTTGTGTTAATAATTATAGTCAGTGTCTGTCACGAGCTCAACGTGGGCGCCGTTCAAACCTGTGTTGGGTCAACGAACAACATGGTTTTATTAATGCGTCGAGGCTGAGCATTGCATCGCACACTGGACATGTAGCAAGAATACTTCGAAAATCGCACAGGGCACCGCACTCAAATCATATGCAGGTGTTCAAACATTCTTTGCGAGTCACTGTGTTGTGATCTCACCAACAACTTTTACCTTGATCCCATTGGTAATTCTGGATGCACATTGTCTTTGCACTGGAATTTGGGCTGAAACACTTCGATCAATCAGATATCATTCCTCAAATCTCACTTTGGCAATGTAAACACTGGATTACGGTATATCAAGCATGAATGCCATTGTTATCTGTCCATCAAGTTCCTCCGCTCGCTCGCTCCCATCTTCTGATAGTATGACCTTTCTCTATTTCGGTGTATGTATCTTGAATTTCAAATACAACGGACATAGATGAGGATGATGGAGGTTAAATTGACAAAACCCGTCAAAAACAAGGTGCCACGGGCACCCTCCGGTTCATCAATGATCATAGTACCAAGTTAACTACGAGTGAGCCAAATGAATGGTACCAGTATCATGCTTAATGCAGCAAACATAGTTCTTTGGCCCAGCCTGTCCACTTCAGAATCCAGGAAACCGAAGTCCAAAACTTCAATCTGAAGGAACAAGAAGACAAATCTCACCACATATTGGCCTTCAGTGCTGCAGTTCAAAATACCAAGACCAAGTGAGTTCATCATGTGAAGTTGTTTAATGCCTTCAATGCATCATATACGCAGATGGCAGCGACAAAACAGGTGCATAGTAAGTTAGTGTAAATACACCTCACATCACAGCAGTTACCGCAACAGTTGCAAACTTGCAGCATTTTCACGATTGCAAGGGTGTGGGAGTCTCACAGGCACCGGTTTCCGCATGCTGCACTTGCAAGAGGTGAGAGGTCAACGAGAGGTTGTAGGAGTTGCGTGAGGTGCTTGCAGGCCAACCGGTTATCTGCAGCGGTCTGCAAGCAAGGAATGCACTGAGTGTGACACAAATTTACAGGTATACCTAGGTATACTAGATAGTCCCACGAGTTTGCCCGTCCCTAGAGTTCGCACATTGGCTTTAGCACACGCAATTCTGCACGAAATCCTTATATATGTTATACATAGGTTCCTCCCAACATCATACACATGGCCATGTATTTTTTTTGGCAAAAAATGAAGCGGATCTCGTGCCATGGTCGAGTTATGGGTGTTCGAGGCTTGTTCTGTGCATAAATGACTCCCTCGAAAGGTCAGATCACCACGGAAAAATCTGGGATGTGATATGATGGTTCTACATGATTATAGAATGCTAAAATAAATTTCTCCGTGGCCACATGCTTGTCAGAATTATCCTCTGTGAATGAAATACGACCTAGACGTGACAATCTATCCAAAGCGTTACAATGAGACTGCATGCATCTAAACTCCGCTGTGCCGAAATGCGGGCACGCAAGCGCCATCAGCGACGAAAATACGGCACCTGATGGGCCATTTCAAGCCGAGCGTCCTGTTGTACGTCGTCGACTGAATGACTCCGAACGTTCGACAACAGAAAACGGCTTACCAGCATCGTCCTCATCCACTACTCCCATACCATACTTTGAAGGTCCCTCAACTAGTACAATTTATTCTGGAACTGCACATACCTTACTTCCTCATGGACACGAGCACCCGTTCAATCCTCAACATAATCTACATCATGGCCGCACACCTGCTACTACACACTATCATAATCTTCAGCATTACCCTTATCACGATTATTTACCTACACAAGCTCATTATTCAAGTGCACGCTAGTACACACAATGTATCATCATCTCACTGTCACATAGTCAGTTCAATAAACATTAATTGCGCATGCTTCACACTTCGCTGCGGTGCACGACTTTCAAACGGTGCGGAGTGTGAAAAGGCATGGCGGCAAACGTGTGACTTGGTGTGACAAAATGCGCGAACTCTAGGGAAAACTGCACTTTTCTGCGCGGTAAGTCTCCGCTGGACTCAACACGTCAATTTAAAAGAAAAAATTAGCGGGCCTCATACTTTAAAGGTCAGGCTATCCATCCATCGAAAAATTATATTTTTATGTGGATGTGTTGTAGAGTTATAGATGTTTTCTCGAAAATGCGCGAACTCTATGGGACATCTAGTACTTGTAATACTAGAAGAAGCATCGATCGGACTTCCAAATAAGTTGCGGCAAATCGGCAAATCGAACCGTAACCTATCGTCCACCATAAACCCTAACCACAACAGCCCCTACGCTGCGTGAAGTTCTATCGATCTAACACAAATCGGACACCAAGCCTCGTTGGACAACAATACTGTATGTATTCTGTTTGTCCCCATTTGAGCTGATAGTCTTCATTCTCAGATCTTGTAACATCTCAATGCACTCAATCGAGCACGAGACTCCCACCTGGAGTGTAGCTCCGGCCTCATTGGTAGGGTCATTATTGCAGACTCACTGCATGAATTCCCCGCCTTCCCTGCAGGGGTTTTCGCTGTAATCATGTGAAATATGCCGTCCACGGGGTCTTTTGACAGACGTGAACTCTGTCCACAAGGTATGGTATGATTTATGTTCGATTAGCTGACAAGGTCAATCTTACCATTATCTTTCAACGGTATAGGCTCGAGCAGATCTTATTGTCTTGCCGTCCGCATATAAGGTGAGTACGAAAAAATCACTCTCAATCCTCACACTCATTTATCGGCTCCCACTATTCTCATGAACGATGCAGTGCGCTGAGACGGCAGAATCACGGACTGATTTGGGGTCGATTACGAGTTAACGAAGGTTGCGCGAGAGTGAGACAATTGGGATTTCAACATTCCGTGCATCAAGCAGCTGCTCTTGAATTTCATCGAGGAACAGGAACGAGTTGGCATCAAGAATGGATATGATGTAAGTGTCACGGTCCCATACATCTTACTCGCCAGGTCGATGTCATTACTGCATATTGACAGGACGGCCGCCGGTACTTGAAAGAGCCGATAGTGTTCTCAATTCCGTAACAGAGGGTTACGAACTTCTTATCATACATGATCGATTGATCAGGCATCCTTCACAGCACCCTCCTCCCGTTCCCGGGGAGGTCCTCGCCAAATTCCCTGAGAGGTTTGTACAATCCTCTGGCACACCTCTACGAGGTATCCTCCTAAATGCTCTCCCCACGCCAAGGCTCCCGCCCCTCCCCATCATTTATGTTAAAAATGTCATGTTTGCAGCCTGAAAGATCTTACCAGTAAATCTCCTGCCAGGTGACCCTCCCGCATATATCCGTTCGCGTGCCTCGTCGGTATCTTCCCCATCGCCTCCTTAAGAGGTACAACAGTACCCTCGCAAGCCACCTCGTGAACTCATCCGTTATCGTTGGGATGGTAACCCCTGCCGGTCTTAGTGACCTCGTTGACAGCCTAGAGAGCCTGAGCACGTTATACCAAACTTTTCCCACCATCGTCGGTCTAGTGACTCACTCGTAGCTTCGCATCATTTCTGTTCCCCTGCAATCCCCTGTAAGAGGAGGGCCCTTTGCGCATGAGACGCTCGCTCACGGTTGTGGTGGATTAGCTCTCACATGCACCACCTCGTGGCTCGTGGTGGCCTGTCATTCGCGTGTCCCTTTGTTGCCGAGGATAGCACTCTGGTGCAGCGCGCCGGGTGGCCAGTGTTTCAACTCCTCAAAAGTTCAATGGAATCAGTGCTACTGAGGTTGCGGAATGTTGTTTGAGGAGATGTTGGCGCACAGATGATATGGAGCATAGAATAGTTTGGATACGTATACCATTTGCATGCATGATGTCTTTTATGTTCTTCATATATTTGATGGCCTTTTCCCCTGTGACCACAGTACTCCTGCCGCTTGTAGAACTAGACATAGTGGGCTGCTACAAATACATATCACTCGTCCAAATAAAAATTGAAATGGTATTTGGAAGTTGAGTTCGAAAGAGAAACAAATTCAGGTTCCTCCTGAGGTCATTAACAAGAGTGGAGAATAATAGCAAGCCTTCCACATCTGTATCGAATATGGCATAAAATTCGAGATTCGTAAGGTTGCTACGGGATAATGGCGCCAATGAAATATCCGCGTTCTTTGTACTATCCATCACGGTACTGATGGGACAGCGCATGTGAGTGAGACAGGGTAAAAAAGCTCATGATAGGGTAGGTTGAAAGAAGATAAAGCTTGGGATCGAAAAAGCAGCGGATAGCCATTGATATTTGGCATCAGGCGGACCTATCTACCTGATCCGTCAAGCATAAGGAAGCGTTCGCCACAGATCCGAGGGCAAAAGGTCTCGAATCAGGATGTGGAAGACTGACACCGCGTGAGAAAGACGTTGGTGACAGGTATCATTTGATAACATGATGGGGGCCGGGGACTGTGAGAAACTTTGGTTGCATAGAAGATCAACCCCTCGACTATTTTTCATAGCCCTGGCCCAACATATCATCCCGATCGAAGGTGTTGTCGTCCGGCAGACCTCTGCAGACGAGCATGTAATAGCATGCGATACAAACCTGTGGCAAGAAGATCAGCACTTGAAAATCAACACTGGACACGTAAAGCGTACTACAAGGATGTAAGTATGAATGCCAGGGGATGTGGATCAATTACAACATCATCCCTTGACTGTCATATGGCAAACACGACAAGAGAATCCTTGCACTGAATTGGATAGCATTGAGTGACAATGACCTCTTCAGCACGACGCATCAGGACAATAAGACAGCTCTGGATCGATCGTCGAAAATTACAAGTCGTGCTAATTTCAGCAGCCTGATCTTCGTCATTAATCCCGCTATTTCACAATCGGATGGATGTCTTCTCTCTAATGCGGCTTCTCCAGGAATATACATGTAGGCGTCCAGAATATTTCGGAGGTGAAACGAGTACTTGGTATCATGATACACCTTGATAAAGTCCGTTGCTTCTAGTTGTGCGTGACGGACCTGATCCGATAAGCCATCGGAAAGATCAGCGGATCTCCCTGCTTGTGCAGGTTGAACAGGCCGATTGCCACTTCCAGCCGTTAAGCCGAGCGCACTGTCGAGTGTAAATGCGGCATCCGACGGTGCGCTATGGAAGCCAATCGAGATGGACCCAAGATTTTCAGCTTGCTGAATGGATATCAGGAATTGCCAGAAGTGCACGATCGAATGATGAGTCCAGGTAATTCTTGAGATTCCGTCGCGTAGTGGTGCAGGTCCAGAGGGAAGCGGAGGAGTATCATCTCCCTGTGGAACTTGTGGGGGTTCCAGGATGGTGGCACAGGTAGCATCGTCCCATGGTAGGACGCCACGTACAGGAATAAGCCAGGCGGCCCTATTGTAAGAATATTCAAGAAAAGCTTAGCCGAGGCAATATCAAACTGGTGCGATCAGTGATGGCTGAGCTTTTCTGTAAGGTCTGAGGTGCTCGTTGTCCAACGGCCGAAAACCAACACTCGGACCTGGGACATAATGAGGCTGCAAATCGTAAGCCGGGGTGAAGGTAAACTGAACAAATTCTCAAGACCTGGGGTATCAAGTTTGAAATGGAGGCGATATCATATCTGGGTCGCTTCGTGGGTGGTTCTAGAGATACTTCATATGTTGAGGAGTGCGCGGTCTGCCGTGATTGTGAATCACGGATGTCTGGGCGCGAATCCTGCGGTGCAGGGCGCTTTCGGGCAGGACGAGCACAGGGAGCTTCCAAGTTGGGATGTATAAACTCCTCGAGGGCTTCAAGCGCCAATGCTTCTTCGTCACTTGGGGGAACCCCCCAGTCCTTGAGAACATGTGTCCGAGGCGCCGGTGTATCGACCTGCGGTGGGCTCACACTGAATTGGTATAGTCGGTCATGCTTCAGTGCTGCTGACAGTTCATAAGAGAGCGGACTACTAGTTTGTAGTAAACGGCCTACCGAACAGGCGTTTGTTAAAGGAAACAGACGGTTTTTTTCCATCCGAGATTAGACAAGGCTGCATGAGCTAGGTCGCGCCCGAGCTCCAGTGTTGCAGCAGAGTACGACAACGTTGACCTTTCATCATTAAGGTAGCTGTGCACTGTCAGTTTCATAAAAGAGTCCATAATAATCACGTCAGGCTCCGAGAATGTACAAGCAGCAGATGAAGATATCGATGAGTGGGAGCAAATTGACATATCCGACAGACGGCCGGGCCGGCCCGCTCACCACCTGTTTGTGTTAACACTATCATGTTCTCACTGGCAGGTTGGAACCGCATTGTTCACTGCAAGTCCAGACCCAAAGCCAACCTGGATCTGTACCTCATTTCTCATCATTATCAGAAGGATGTCAATGGATAAGGTGGAACAACGTAATATTGTTGTCATCGGCGGTGGAATCATTGGTGCGCAGTACTAAGTAGTAGATTCAGAGTTCACGATCGCTCTAACCGTCTTCGACAGGGTGCAGCACTGCTTATTACTTGTCCAGGCACCCATCATATTCCACCTCGACAACGAATATTATAGTTCTCGAAGCCTCCGCAAATGGCGTTGCGCAAGGAGCTTCCGGAAAGGCTGGTGGATTGATTGCTAAATGGGCATATCCACGTGAAATCGTAGATATCTCATTTCCCGAGCACGTTAAGCTCGCTGAAGAGCATAACGGTGCTGAAAGGTGGGGCTGGAGATTCGTTGGTTGTGGTAGTTGGGAAGGGGAGGGGGAGGGGGAGGGGGAGGCACTTGGCGAGAGTAGATCTGGTGTTGGCAAGGGGGGGTAAACGAAAGAGTTTAGAGAAGACGCTTGGTTTTGGAGCTACTGCGGCACCGGAAAATAGAGCGGACAAAGGGCTGCCTGATGACTTGACTTGGGTCAAGGAGGAATTAACCACATCGTACAGCCCAATGTCTGGTCCAGACGGAACAGCACAGGTTCACCCATATTTATTCACCACAAGTATGCTTGACCTCGCGAAGGAGAAAGGAGTCCAATTGGTCAAGGGAACTGCCATCTCCCTTGAGCAGGTCGACCATCATGTCACGGGCGTTACTTATCGTGATTGGTCCGACTCCGGTTGCATTAAAACTCTCCCTGCAACGCATGTAGTGTTATCGGCTGGAGCATGGTCGCCATCCATCATACCGTCCCTTCCGATTGCAGCCACCCGTGCTCACAGTGTTACCATCCGTCCCAAGGCTGGTGTCACGATATCCCCCTACGTGTTATTCACAGAAATATTACTTCCGCATTCTCTCAGCGCCTCTCCCGAAATATATGCGCGCCCAGACAACGAAGTGTATGTCTGTGGTCCAGGAGATGACTCAATATTGCCTGGCAACGTAGATGACGTTGAAATCGATCTAGCGGCCTGTCAAAGCATAATAAACCAAGTTGCTAGCATCTCCCAGGAGCTGAGAGAGGGAGCAGTCGATAAACGCCAAGCGTGCTTTTTACCAGTGGTACGTACCGGTGGGGGGCCCATCATCGGGGAAGCAGACAAGATTGCCAAAGGTTTATATATTGCAACCGGTCATACATGCTGGGTAAGTGAAGCCTATCTCGCGATTTTTTTTCATGAGTTTATTTTCCGATGTCAAAGGGCATTTGCAATGCGCCCGGGACAGCCAAAGTAATCGCAGAACTTATCATGGGGAGAAGAAAGGCTCGCTCAGGCAATTTGACGAAATTGGCACCGTCGAGGTTCTTGTAATGAAATTCCGAAGATTTTACGATGCGGTCCAAGCCACCAACTATTCGGAACCATAGGGAGTAGATTCAAAATCATATGCCATGTGTGCGCTTGCGCAATTTGACGAAATAGGCACCCTCGACAGGAATCCCGAGGATTTTACAACGCGCTACAAGCAACCAAGGCGATGTCTACTATTCGGAACCAAACCGAGTGTAGCGTCCAGATCAGTGTACTATTCTTAGCGAAAAAAGTGTGCGGAACAGTCATCAGCGATAAATCAAATACTGAAGTAAAACCACCCACCTCACCATGAAGAATTCGTCTGGACTCTGGACCTAATACTAAGCAGGAGTTCAACATTGTGGGTGGGGCACCGTCAAAGAGCGGTGCCGAAAATTCTGTTTCGATGTGACACCTTGATATAAGTGATAGATTAACTGTGATTCTTGATAGGGGAAGAGTCATAGTGCGATGATGCAACGTAAATGACTCATAATTATGTAGGGATCATTGCCAACAAATGGAGCAACAGAAAAATGCGTCTCGTGAGTCAGACAGAGCCCCTATTATTTACTAAAAAATGCGTGACACCGGAACAAAAGTGTTTCCATGAGAAATTGACACGTCAGTAATTGATTTTTGATTCCGCTTTTGATGTCAGCTTCAACAAGGACTTGACAAAGAAAAGCCAGCGTATCTGGCTGCTGCAGGCCGCCGCTGGGACTGTTATTATTTCAAGTCATCATTGTAGTACTGTGCCTGAATTCACCGAAGCCGAAGGCAACATTGTTCAATTCAACTTTGTTTGTTTTGTTTGAACTTATTTTTATGGACTGCTTTATTTAGATAGTACCTTGAGCTTCGATCGAGTACTTCGTCGAAGCTTCATATTCATCCGAAGACGTTTCAGAGTTGACCGGAACCGGTCAAGTTCTCTCGGTCAGTTTTCGTTGTCCGAGTCATAAATATCTGATCAGGCTAGCTTTAAAATTTCAACGTTGCTACACAGCACCAGCCTAATTTCGGTTGACCCGAATTTACGTCCAGGTGCAAAGGAGACAACATATCAGCCTCGTGGCTTGTCAGTGATTATATCGGTCCCACTAAGGGACGAGCGTCAAGTGAGCACGTTAATTTCGCAGTTTCTTCCCGCTCTCATCTGAGATTCTCACAAGTCTTGCTCCTTCTTTGGCTAGCGGCCATGATCTTTTCCCTTTGACTCCTCCTTTGACGATCTTTTGATTCCACGTCGCGTATTGTCACGGTATCTCACTGCGACTAAATCGTAGTGCATTAAACCCCCAAAAAGCACATACGGTATGTCTAACCCTTTGGGTTTCTGACTATGTCCGCCTAGGCTGCGGAATATGTCATGGACTTGAAATTTTTTGGAAATATTCACTAACCGTATTCAAATACTAGAGTCTGGAATCTGACGAACATACCACGCTTCAACGGATCATCCAAAACTTCTCCGACATTCTTTCATCAGACACGCACCCTCGACATTGGGCATCACCCTCCCTTGCAAGTTTTAAACATGAGTGGCAGCCGGCCGCATTTACTACCTTCAAAACAATATATCTTTGCCGAAGACTGTGATCTCCTCGAGTATGTTCACCGTTACAGGCATCAGTTGACACTCGCTAACGCATTTGCACAGCCTTCTTTGTTCTCGTTTAAACGTTGCAAAGACAACGTTACAGCCGGCATCCGAGATTCCGACAATATTGGACATGCGTGTCAAACAGGATGCTCACATTCCATCTCATGTCCTTGCCGTCTTTGACATCCCAGAGAGCGAATGGGGCTCATCTTATCAGCCTCTCTTGGTACCCATTCGTGTTGACCTCTTCACTCGCGGTTTTCGCTCCAAAATAATTCCACTCAGCCCACCTGGTTCTACTTTTCCGGTCCCCCCATTGTGCTGAAAATACCGAAGGGCAATTTGTGACACTCCCTGTCGTCCCACTGCTTGTCCCACACGCCCCTTCTATCCCTCTACTCCTCCTCTTCGGACTTGGGCTTGAAACACGATCACACTTGTTATGTTGCCGCCTCCTGCCCGCCGAGGTGATAGGAGAATTTCCCGCCCCTCCCACCATGGCTAACATCATGGCAACGCTATGCAGCGACGAACAACTCCGGGAGCATTACAAATTCAATCACGGACTATGGAAGAATATACTCTCCTTGGGGCCCCGGGACTCGCATTTCATCGAGCTTGCGCGGACAGCGTGGAATGTCACAGTGGAAGCACGGCGAATCCGACAACGGAACACGGCGTCTCACATCACATCGGTCCCGAATTGAGCGAATATATGTCCGTTTTGACGTTTTCCCTTTCATTCCGCTTTGCTCATCTCGCTAAAATGGCTCTTATACGACACTTTGCTTAACGAGGATCATGATTAACTTCTGCTTATATCTCACCTACTTTACACATCGCAATCGATTTGCTAATTCTTTTCTTCGACGTTCTTTTCATACCCCTCCGATCGCTAATATCCTACGTGTAGATAATCATTAATTTCCTCCCGTGATGGCAGCTGAAACGAGTACAAAGGTAACCTCGAGGTGTGTAGTAGTGTTGCAAATCATTTAATAGGTGAGGTCACCGCCCGGACTTTATAATCGGTACTTGGAAGGATCGGGTGGCGTAGTGGACGCGTGTGAAGCATTCAATATTCATCCGTTGTTAGACCGCTCCTACCTTTTCGGATTCAAGGATACCCTAAGTCGAAGAACAAACACACCCAACTTTCTGTGATGCTGGCATCCCTATTTGCAGTTGCTGTGCAAGTATAACTAGATATTGATATTCTAGCCAATGTTATGTTCCTGCATGATTAAACTAGATGAAGTACTGTATAACTCGAAGTATGATCATCAAATGCATAGAACAAGAGATAGTAAAAAAATTGAAGAAAAACCTCGCAGCTCATTCCTTCACGTCCATCTTCTCTCCATCTACACGACTCCGCCTCCTCACATACTCGCTCCTCCTCGTGCGCTTCTTTGCGCTCATCAGCACATCCCCACCCACTTTCGCCACACCATGCGACTGCCCGACGTTCGTGCCCATGCTAGACCGTACCCTTGGTACACCGACGCTCGCATGGGAGCTGGATGCGCCTACACGTGGCCTCGGAATAGCGCTCGTGCCAGCATGCTGGGCCTCGCGTTGCGAAGCCAATTTCGCGATCACCTTTCCTCTTGATATACGTGGCCGCCGTCCGAGCATAACCTTCGGCTTCGGCGGGATTGGAGGCTTCGCGGTGGCCAGTGTAGCAGCTGCTGCTGCAAGGGACATCTGAGGCTGTGGTCCCGAAGGCTTCGACGAGGGGCTGATCGGCCCTAAGGGCTGGCTGAAGATTTTGCCCTGACTTCGGGGGACCATCGGGGAGTTCACTACATGTTCCACTGTATCTGTTTCCTTTTCCTGTTCTTTTCCTTTCTCATTGGCCTTACCTTTCACCTGGAGTGGGGAAAACGACGGCACTGGCAGCCTGCTGGTCTTGGCTAGGGATGATGCAGTTGGTGCCATGAGGGTGGAGCTGCGAGCTCGAACTGTGCCAATGGTTGCAACTTTTAATGTACCAGCGAGGGAAGTCTTCGAGCCCATGGAAGATACGTGCCCTGCATTATTTGTTCGCGAAGCAACTGCCGAGGGACGAAGCGGAGTTACTCCTACTATGGCTCATCCTGCTTGACGTCCCTGGAGCAGGGAACTGGATTGGAGATTTCGATGTGCGAGATGGCGTTGAATCAGCTACTGGTGCAAGCGAACTCCCAGAAGGCATGCGTTTGTCATTACTGACCGATGGCACACGCTCTTTAGGGACGGGTAGCACTCCCGAAGAACCAGGGACAATCGAGGGTTTCTTGGCTATCGACTGTGCTTTTGGTGGCTCTTTGGTAACTTTGGAAGAAATAGACGGGGCTGGAGTTTTCGTCTGGGGTGCGGGTGCGGGCTTCGCGACGGTCACGTTCGGCTTCGACCCAGTTGTTCCGCGATTCCAAACATTTGAGACGAGATTCTTTGCAGAAGAGAGGAAACCGAAGCGTGATGTTTGCTTGGGTGTTTCTGTAGATCAAAATCAGCAGAGTTGATTCGAACCATAATTTTCTCGGACAGTATTAGGATCTAACTTACGGGCGCCCTTGCCTATACTTGGCCTACCCATGCTGCTGCGCCTCTTGGCTTTGTTGGCATCCAGCTTCCGACGGATGGCTTCACGCTCCTTGAGCTTCTTCGCCTCTTCCCCTTTCAACTCTGCATCCTCAGCAGGGTCGACGCGAACACGTTTAGACTTCCGCCTATCATCCTCTCGGTCATCCTCTTCTTCGCCGTCATCATCGCCATCATCATCGCCAAATCCTCCTGGTACGACTTTCTTCGAAACTGGGCGCAACCTCACACTTGAGGTGGAAGGAACGCGGTCCTTCTTCACCACCACGCTCGACTTACGCGTCTTCCCAGTGATGGATGCGGGCCCAGCGGCTGTCTTTCGCTTGCCCAAGACGGGTGCAGCTTTCGCATCAGATGGCAGCCTGCGTCGTGCAGCATAGTGGCTCGTGATGCTGTCCATCTTATCGAATTGTGCTTGGTGCGCTTTATCGAATAGCTGACTCGTACCGGCCTTCTTCTCCTGCTGCGGGTCCTCTGCAGTGGACTGTCTTGACGTAGACTGTTGCCGGTGTCTCAAAAGCTCAAAATCTACGCTTGCGACGCCATCCGTTTTAAGGCGCGCGTTCATATCGTCCAGCACGCTTTGCGCCGCACTTCGGAATTGCGCATTCGAAAGACGGTGCTGAGGATTAGGAGATCCAAAGATGAAAGGCTCAGAGCGGGGTATTCCCAGTTCGCCGCTCGGCTTTTCCGGGGAACGCTGTGGGCGGAATGAGCCCACATCCTCCCGAGCACGAGTAAGCCTTGGTGCTGGGGAAAACAAATCTTGGGGGACGTCAGAGGGCTTTTCGTCGGACTTCGGAGTAGCACCTGTATTGAGCTTCGTACGCGCTGGCGTGGATGACTGGAGTGTACCGGGGAAATCGACATCGATATCCATGTCGGAAGCATCTACAGGTCCAAAAGCAGAAAATGTTGGAATACCTGGGTATATGCGCTCGCGTTTGGCTCCTCCAGGTGAGAGTGGCCATACACCGTCACCTTCCGCTCCCCCGGGTGTTTGGGGCACAAGATCAAAGGATGTCTTGAACGGATGTAACTTTGGCGGGGACAACAATGAGTTCCCAGGTGCATTAAAGGCAACTAGACGGATTGTGGTCGTCGCAGGCTCCTGGGATATACTGAGACGGGCATTGTCTGGTGCTGGGAGACCTGCAAGAGCGTTCTGTCCTGGCACGGGCTGAACTTCGGGCTCTGGCTCAGTCGGAGCTGTGCTCTGCGATTTCCCACTTTGGGTAGAAGTGAGCGAAGATTTGGACGAGGCGGTTGTAGTTGGTTCAGAAGATGCATTCCCGCGTTTCAGTCCAAGAGAAGTGGCTATGGCCTTGAGAGAGGAACCAACACTTGAAGCTGAATAGTAAGTTAGTTAGGTATATTCATTTTAATAGCACCCGAAAAGGGAGTCAACTAGATACCTTTGCCCCCGTTTGTTCCAAACTCTCCTGCTTGTGTGGCATTACGCGTCTGGTTGTTTTTGAGTGTACTCGCAGCATCTTCATCAACTTCTGCGATGCTGTCCATGACAATCTCCCATTGTTCACTCGGGCGCGCAATCGCAGATGCTTTGCTGCCCTCCTCTGCAGCATCTTGTTCATCTTCACTTGTGTTGCCCCTTGTTGCAACGCTCAACGGATCATCAGGCGGAAGTGTCTGTGCATGTAGCTGGAGACGCTCGATAAGATCCTTGTTCTTTCCATTAGCTTTGATACTATGAATCTTGCATAATTTGACCAATTGGTCGCGCTTAAGGGAATGCAGAGCCGGGCTGTGGAAGAGAATTTGGGTGGTCGTTGACATCGTCAAAGCATTCGATAAACGAAGCTACAATCATCGCCTTCTGTTCAAAACATGTCACGTGATCGCGTTTGTATCACATGACTTGTCATTGTCTACAATATCAATATTAACTTTTAAGATTTGCATTGTACCCGACCTATACAGGCGATTCATGCATATCCGATATCGCTGAGCCCCTTTAATCAACCAAAATGTGTTGGAAGCAGCCCCCCTCCAATTTGTTCAAAGTATACGAGACTAAAAGTTGTGGTCTTAGCGACTTGGGTGCTCCCTCGACTTAGCATTCTGAATGTCGACTCTTCCGACTCTTTCAAGTCGGAGAAGAGGACTTCCTTGTATCTGATGCAGGTTAAATATATGCTTGTGGTGATCTCCGTAGTTGAAAAACTTGAAGTGAGCCATTAATGCTTGGAAGTAACGGGATGCGTTATGACTCGGGGAGAAACTGTACGAGTCCTCTCGATGGACCACAATATTCATCGTCGGGATTTTCCTTGACGCTGGTGATCTGGATGATACTCTAAGTATATAGCTAGGACAGTGGGTGAGTAATTAATTGTTAAATATAAAGGTCTCAACTTGTCTCGACCCTTTAAATTTTTGTTCGTTCGTTATAACGTTAATTTTTTGCTTCCCGCCAAACAAAATATCCAGAAGGAGGCATAGGTCTAACAAGTTACAATATTATGAAGTTCAGTTTTGAACTCTTCGGACACGCATACACCACCAAGTATACGCCGACGATTTGTTCTAGGTGTATTGCTGCGTCACGCCGGTATTGTTGCCACCGGCCCCAGGTCACCCGGTGTATTGTTGGTGATGTCTCAGTCCATAGAATCCTTGTGGGAGTTGTTTGTATAAACCGTTCGAGTGGGGATTTATTTTGTTTCTCGCTTTCCACATCTCTTTTCTTCTTCTATGATCTCACTCACATCTCCACTCCCTACTCAAACGCATAGCACGATTTGGGACAGTACACAGGAGCGGCTGTCCTCCACACTCGAGGGCAGCCGCTCATTGGCAGCGTTTTCATCAACGCGCACTTCTTGCGCAACCCGTTGGCCACCCAACTCTTGATCGTGAGGTTTTCTTAGATGACATTTACGATCGGTGAACACGACACCTCCACAAACCAAGGTCAGAATGGCGAACATCACCATTGCCACCGTCAACGGTCATCCCCATCTTGCCTCAATCAACGTAAGGTACAAGAAGTTGGCTTGGCTTGTTGATGCACAAATGGTAGGACGTGCCCTCAGCTGTGCCAGGTGAATTGCCTGCCACCGGCTCTCCTGGCGGTGGTAGATAAACACGTTCGCCTACAGCCAGGTAACTATTACTCTTTCTCCTTCGTCCAGCCTGAATTTTCCGCGGCTTGGAGATTACATTGGACAGATTTCGAGCGGATTACGGTCGCATTTTATGTTCCATGATCCGGCCCAAACCCGCGTGCTTCCTTCTACGGGCATCGTATGGGCAGCAGCTACGATCCTTTTACCGTACGAGACCCTCTACCACGATTTTAGTGGCATGGTCGTAGCAATACATTTTAATTCACAACCTGACCAGTGACTGCGACGTTGTCGACGGTGAGTCTCTACTATGTCAATGGACCAAGCTAGGTCTGACACGTCCCGATAGAATTCAGTCTTGAATTTATTGTTTTACTGGTACCAAGGTACAACAGCCGCTCATCACATACTCTCGAACCGCTGCACTCGAGTATCTTGTCGAAACACTGATCAATTCAGGCTTATCTAATCCAATCGTCACGTGTCGATGGGCCGGTGACAACACGTTTCTCATCAAATATACTGTAAGGGACTTACAGCAACGCCTTCGCAACTGTTTCGATCGCACATGAAGGCCTAGTTGATCGAATCCTCAAAAGGTTCTCTGAGGTTCTTGGCCACAATGCTGCAGGAATAATGGTTCAAACTGCGGGTGGATTTTAATCATGAAGATGTGCTGTGGACACACCTGTGGCAATGAGGCAACAACAGCTAACTGAGGCATTTCAACTCAAGACAATTGAGAATATGCCAATTACGGACAATGCGGGAATGCAATCAGTGGATTGCTTTCTCGATACTTCTTCGGTAGGTCCATGTTTGCGCATGTAGGTCCCAAACAACTTCCAAAAGCAGCTAATTTTTTGCCAGCAATCTGCTTAAGAGGGAATTTAGAGCGTGACTTGATGGATTGCTTTTGCAACGTCACGTCACGATCCACTTCAATTGCTTCTTCTCTTGCAGGTTTATAAAGGTGCCTCTCCTGTCATGGAGCCCTCAGTCAAGTTCCCGCCGACAAACGCGTTCCATATCTGCTTTTCCGTCATCTACTTGCACTTAAACTCTCGAAGCACTTGAAGCTTTCCTCCTATTACAATCTAAGCCCATATCCTCAGTTCTTCAGTCTTCATCACATCACAATGGTCTCACAAACCGCTAACTTCGTTCGTCACATCGACTCTGAGAACACTCCTCCCGTTGCACGCCTCGTTGCGAAATCACTCAAAGTTCGCACCGGTATCCAGGGTGCCTCTCGTCGCCGCCGAGCTCTCATTTCAGGCGGAGCACACCGTCCTAGGCATGCAATTGAGCATGCCAAGAAGCGCAAGGGGCAAACTCCGCCTAAGTACCCCCTTGCTTCAGTGCGGATGGACGTCCCCACTGTATCTCGCGATGTCGAGATGGGGGACTCAACAACAGTGTCTAAGAGCACTGCCAGCATCGCTCTTCCCAGACGCCTAGCTCGATCTGAGATCACTGAGATTCCGGTGTCCACGCTTCAGGCTGTGGCACCTGAACTTGTTCACACCCATATTGATTACATTCGCGAGGGACTGGAGTGCCTCGGGCCCGAGTAAGTCGAGATCCTTCTGGTAGGCGATCGATCATCTAACGAATACTTTTTCAGCATGCTTCGTGTTCTTGCAGGCATCAAAGCCAAACCTGTTTCCAATGTCCTCCCTAAGGAACTTCCGATAATCGTCAACGATATTTCATCTGACATGCCCACCCACATGTTCGCAGTCTTCTCGTCCCACCAGCCGGCCCCTGTTCGCCGTCGTGTCACGCTGTTCCCCGCACATAATCTCGTTTTTGCTACCCACTGCGCGAACCTTCCTATTTTACCCACTTCCACACCAGCACTCGTGGAGTGTGCTGGCCAGGAGATCAAAGTGCCAGTTGTCCCCCTGTGCATCCCTGCACCTGAGGTCTTCCCTCAACTCTCTACATTCCTATACACGAAGCGTATCGACCACCTTCTTGTATCGCTTATGCCACTTCCCACCCCGCCCCAGCTCTATCGCGATGATCCTACCACTGTCATGCCTCTCCTCACCCAGTTCGCTCAGAAAATCGCCAATACATGTACAGTGAACACTCTGCTGCAGCACATTGCCAAGGTGCATGGCACGTGGCGCAATGCAATGGCACTGGGCATCGCCGACGAGCGACTCTGGTGTGCTCTCGATACAGCATGGGAAGTGCTTCTCACGTCCCTCGCTATTTCCACGGGAAAGCCTCACCTCATGACGGAGAGTGCATAAAAAGGTCTTCCTTCACATCGTTTGGCATTGGATTGTTAGGATTTATGATATCTCTCACCTTCTCGCGCATGAGATCGGTAATACTTCCATCGACGTTACTTGTATGATTATGCAGTCAACTATCATCAGTACCATAGCACCGCCAGAGGCAATATTTTTTATTGATATATATGTGCAATCAATATGGCAATCTCATCAGCTGTCCTGTCAAAGTGACAATCATAAGTACTAGCAACCATTGATATTGTAAAAGGGTTAGCCTCATTGTTCTTTCCGGATGTCTGTAGAGGCCTGGGAAGTTCGAACAACTAGATGTGCTTAGTAACGTGTAGATGCGGCCGTTTGTTAACCTGAATTGAAGCAGCAGCGTGCTACCCAACGAGGACTCGCCAGAACTGAGCACTGAGACCTTGAGGTCCGGGAGACGGTCACCACGTTGCAAATGTTGTTGCCACTTGATAGCAGGTTGACATTAATGATTAATGCAAGATTGATGAGCGCTAGCCTCCGTTTGTCGGAACCAAAACTTTGACTTATCATGATGTAAGTCCGCGACACTGATCTAAGATTAGACGGCCTACGAGCCTTGCCCAACTTGTTGCCGCATTGATCATATCGAGGATGAGCGCACCACCCGGTATGCACATAGCCTGGCATGTATGGAGTGGCAAGCGCCAACCTGGTATTCACAAAGCACACACCTCTCCGCGGGTAAGGTGGGGACAGCCACAGAGGCCGGGGCACTAAGTAGCCAAAACAAAACACTTTGTTTTTCGAAGCCGATCATTTCGATAGGACGACAGAAGGTGCCTAATTTAAAGCTTGAGGCCTTAAGGCCTGAGGTGAGACTAGGTGAGCGCTTGCTCATTCCCGACGTTGCCTGTCATTGATCAATATTTTCCATCATAGCAAGAATGTTTTGGATGTCAGACTGCGAAATTGAACGGCTTGTCGGGAATACTGCTGTGTGATTCATTGACGACTACTATGCATCCGATGGCAGGCCCTGGGCCTACTGGGCTACAGGTGTCACCTGGTGGTTATCCTCCGAGTCTGACGCAAGCGTTCGTTAGTACTGGTGAGTCTTCGTTCACTGGTGTCACGTCAGATCCAACGGTTTCAAGCCACGCATCACCTTTTTCAAGGCTTTTACAACGCCGCAAGCATCAAATGCCCACTTCATTTGATCAGTACAATTTACATATTTTGGTCCACCAGAAGAGCGGACTGCAAACCGTTATCGATCATTCAAATCTTGCAGTCTATTTCACGATGTTCCTTCCCTGCATGTATGTATGAACCTTAGTTGGGTCTGTTCCTGAACCGCATCGACGACACGGAGATTATAATGACCTTCGACGACCTCCGATGATAATACGACCTTGACAACACGAGAATAACCCAACATCACAACCTAGCGACGCCCTCCTAACCTAGCGACGCCCTCCTAACCTAGCGACGCCCCTCCTAACCTAGCGACGCCCTCCTAACCTAGCGACGCCCTCCTAACCTCCGATTGGCAATGCATTAAGTCGATGGCCCGGTACTTGACCTCCTTCTCCATATATGTTGCTCTGCTTTATTGCGAGCATAGCGCCTGTATTGCGGTATGTATTTTTCGATACTGATTCCATTTACATTGCTCCCCGCGACGTGTGCTGCCACAGCGTCCGTTGTCTCTCGATCACAATCGTATCCCCTCACTTCTCGGTCGCTGGGGCCTACTACTGACTTGAATATCTCCAATAAAGTTATTGCACCAGATGGATTTTCACGTTCGTAAGTGCACCCCACATTCGTTTATATTCGTTCGATAGTCTTGTAATTTACCAGGACAACACTTGCTGGAGGAACATTTCCTGGTCCTCTGATCAAAGCTAATAAGGTATCGTTTTACCTGCATCCTCTATGTGTTTCTGAAGTTTCACGTACAGGGAGACCACTTCGCTATAAATGTGGTGAACAAGCTGGATGATGGCTCTATGTTTGAAGTCACTAGTGTTGTGAGTGGCCAAATCTACCTGTAATTTTTTGGTTGTTAAGTGAAATTGTAGCATTGGCATGGGCTCTACCAGAACGGAACGAACTATGCAGACGGTGTTTCATTCGTCACACAGTGTCCTATTACCCCAAATTACTCATTCCTTCACGCCTTCGATGCTCCAAATCAGGCTGGCACTTACTGGTACCATAGCCATTATTCCACGCAGCAATGGTTTGTCAGCTTGAGCTTTCCTGACAAGATGAATCTGATATCTTGATATCCAGTGATGGCCTCCGTGGCCCTTTGGTCGTTTATGATCCCAATGACCCCCTGTCTTATTTGTATGACGTTGATGACGGTGAGTGCATGAAGATATATTCAGGATATTAAACTTAAATCATGACCAGAGACCACAGTTATTAGCATTGCCGACTGGTAAATCCCAAATTTCATTTTTAGTTGCATCCTTGTCATCCCTCGCAGGTACCATATCGTGTCACCAGTTCTACGTCACATAATTGGCATCAGCCCGGATTCAACGTTGATCAATGGACTTGGTAGATATAATGGCGGACCAGAATCTGAACTTGCCGTTGTTAACGTTGAGTATGGAAAGAGATACAGGCTGCGACTCGTTGGCATGTCCTGCGAACCTTCATTCAAATTCTCTATCGACGGACACAACCTCACTGTCATTGAAGCAGATGGCCAACTTACTGAGCCGCTCTTAGTCGACTCGCTCCAGATTTTCGCCGGACAGCGGTATTCTGTCGTCCTCACAGCTGATAAGCCAGTGAACAACTATTGGCTTCGCGCGCTTCCAAGTACCACCGGGTCTACGTTTGACGGTGGTCTCAACTCCGCTATCCTGCGATACAGAAGTGCGCCAGCTGCAGATCCAACCACAGACTATACAGATAGCACCTTGTCGATGCTCGAGACAAACCTTCATCCCCTCATTAATCCCGGCGCACCTGGTATTCCTGAATATGGCAAGGCGGACATCAACCTAAACTTGGTTGTCGACAACATCGGTGGACTATTTTTTATCAACGGTTTTGTCTACGAGCCTCCCACCGTGCCAGTACTCTTGCAAATCCTTAGTGGTGCGCAACATGCCATCGATTTGATGCCCATAGGAAGCATTATCGTTCTGGAGGCTAATAAAGTCGTGGAACTCACCATGGTTACAAACGGCATCGGCGCACCAGTAAGTAATATCCATTCGGTAATTACATAGTGTCTGACGAAGTTTAGCATCCAATCCACCTGCACGGTGTCTGCATTCAGTCTTTTTGGTGCTGAAACATACTGATAGACATCTAGCACGCATTTGATGTCGTACAATCAGGTGGCGCCAGTGGTTTCAACTATCTAAATCCTGTGCGCAGGGATGTTGTCTCCAGCGGTAATGCAGGTCAACAAATGGTCATACGGTGGGTTACAGATAATTCCGGACCTTGGTTTTTGCACTGGTGAGCATCCCAGCCCACTTTTCATGCTACGTACCCATCCTCCGACAGTCACATAGACTGGCACCTCGATGCGTGAGTCTTTTGGGGCCAGACTTCGCTCCTATGAGACTCACTACCCTAGTGGCTTCGCGATCGTTATGGCTGAGAGTCCCTCTGAAACCCGAACGCACCTGAAGGGATTGCCGAGTGAGTATCACGTAGGATTCAAGCGTACACAACTCATCACGATTTTTTGCCAGCTGCTTGGGAAAACCTTTGCCCTATATACTATTCGTTGACGCCATCACAATTGGGGGCGGTCGACTCGTATGCAGAAGCAGCTAATATAACGACCCTGCTTCTTCCCGATCACTAGAAGATATTTCGCCACCAGGGCTGGGGGAAAAGCGTAAGAAGAGGTGGTTCCATATTGCTTAGAACAATTGCTACCTTCTGTATACATTCATAATGGTACCGGAGGACGTTTGCGACTTACATTGGGTATTCGTACGACCTGCGCTGTGTACTTAGAACGCCTACATAGAATGCCCGGCGATGTCGAACAAGATGTTGTTCAGCGCGTCGGTCATGATAGGCAATGCTGCATGATAGATTGTTGACAGGATAGCCTCTTTTGCACATCGCACGTTGTGCGAGACGACACCATCTGATATTTCTGCATGGTACGGTCCCAGTGCAGTCGCGCACTTGATCGATGAGTATTCCATTGACTCAAAATGCACAACTGACGAGACTGCATGTACAGAACCAGCTTGCATGCAGTCCACATAGAAAGTCCAAATAGTTCTACTTAGCTACTAATGACCACAACCATTTCCGCGGAACCTTCAACAATATACAAGGTACTCAAACGACTGTCAACGGAGATACATCTTCCACGACTCCACTCCCTCGAGACATAAGAGCATTTCCAGAAGAAATAGTAATTAATGTGTGCGATGTCAGGTATCGATAACAAGTACATGATAGAGATCAAAGAAAAAGAGCGTGCATCCTCCACATATATCAGCATAGTAATTCCATCACTGTAGTCGATGTCGAGGCTAGCGCTCGTGCATCAAACGCTCTTAGGGTTGCCACCTGACTTCGCAGCCAGGCTCACAGCAGCGAGCTTCTCACTAACGTCGGTCCCGTGCGCCACTTTTCCATTTGGACCCTTTGCAATGGAGATATCGTCATGGGACTTGAGCGATCGCTCTTCGTCGGCGTTGTGATGGTGGACGACTTGTATGTCCTCAAGTACTTCCTTTTCGGACTCTTGCTTGAACTGGTACAAATCTTCGTTTAGCTTATGCGCCTCTGGCGACATGTGATGGGCGAGCGTCGACATGCGCTTCATCGCCATCATGCCAAACACGGCTTTTCGGACTGCAAGAAAGTTGCGTTGTTCAGTAATTTCACGAGTGGAGGGGGAATATGGGACGCACATGTCTTCTTCGCATCGAACGCCTTCCTGACGTGTGGCAACAAGTCTCTTGGCTCACCCGTCTCGTTCTCGACGAAGTGAGGTACCTCGGATGCGAGCCAATGGTGCTCAAGCATCTGTGCCGCAGTCGGACGTTTCTCGGGATCGGTAGTCAGGCAAGTAGCAACGAAGTCCCGGGCAGTATCAGAGACAATAGACCAATATTCATCTGTGGACGTATGAGGTGGTTCTGATGGCAAAAAATAGAAGCAACAAACCGGGCTCGAACTTGTAATCTCCAGCAATAATGGCTTCCATCTCTTGTCGTTGGGTGTCGCGATCGAAAGGGGTATAACCTATACCAAGCTTTCAGCACTGAAATCATTACAAGTATGTCATATATGCGCACCAGCGAGCAGGAAATACGTGATTACACCCATGGCCCAGACGTCGACAGGTTTTCCATGACCCGCTAGAAGCATTGTTAGGATAATGGTCAATGTCATAGAATCACAATGCCGAACTCTTTTGGAAGATCTCAGGCGCCATGTACTACCAAAGCGTTTTAATCCACGTGCGGGAGTGGGAGAACTCGAACTCACCCCAGGCGTGCCGCAAACTTCCTTCAGCATGCTCAACTTGTTCTCCTCCATGACTCGACTAAGACCGAAGTCTGCGATCATGATTTCCGAAGTCTTCTCGGGCTTCGACCGGAAGAGCAAGTTCTCCGGCTTGAGATCGCGATGTACGATCCCGCAGTCATGGATATATTTGACTGCCTGAAATATGGTGCGGACGAGCCCAGCCGCGTCACTTGTGCGCGGAATCGGTGATGTGTGAAATGAGAATAGGGGGATACTTACGCCTCAGTGTATTGTCCCCTAGCACATATGCTATCGAAGAGTTCACCACCGGTGCAGAGATCGAAGCAGAGGTAGAGGTTGTGTGATGTCTAAAAATAGAAACGGCCATTCGGTTATTACGCTGTACAAGCGCGTGTTCACCGTGCACGGACCTCGAAGTAGTCGTGCAGTGTCACAATATTCGGGTGACCACTCGATATCCTCTTCAATACTGCGATCTCATTGCGGACCTGAAGTAAAACGTAATTAGCGCTGTTGGTGCAATGATATGTCGCAAAAAGAGGGAAAGTAGCTGCGGGCCTGCAAGATGTGGCGACTGGCAGATCATTGGGCAGAATGTGCCCTGATCAACGATCGCTATCAAAATCATCGCAGCACAATTATTTTTCCCATGACTGACGTGCCGTGACGTTACTAACTGCATACTACACAGGACAATGCAGGTTCAACTGCAGGATGCGCCCACAGCGGCATCGCAGCCAGATAATCTAAAGCGGGCAGTGTATCGATGCTCACCATGTGCTCCCTCCCCTCCATGAGCTTCTTGTTAATGACTTTGCAAGCATAGTATTTGCCTGTCTTGATGTGTATGGCCTCTTTAACGATAGCATATGTGCCGCTTCCAAGTGTACGACCTGTGCGATACTGCAGCAAGCAAGCAGGTAATGTTAGAACGAGAAAACAAGAAAGAGCGATAATGCAATGATGAGGAACAAATTGACCCTCCTTCTCTGGATGATAACTGTGGCAGCAGATTTGAAGCACGTACCTGGCAAGGAACGGTAGCAGATTGAGACGACATGATTGCTCCTTGAGCGTAAGAGCCCTGATTGTTGTCGTCCGATGGAATTAACGATGGGTAGATGAAAGAAATGGGAAAAGATGAGATTTGGAAGCAGCTGTAGAGCAGACCAAATCAAATCTCACCTCAATAACAGGCTCCGGTATGCTTTCCTTTTCTGGCGGGGGCGGTGGCGGCGTTGACGGCTTGCTGTCCTGCTCTGGTTCCGGCTGTGGCAATGGCTCCGGCACAGCAAAAATGGTCGGTGGGGACAATGATGGGACCGAAGAATTTTGCCGTGGCGAGCGCTTGCTTAATCCCACCGACGCTGCCAACGAGGAAGTCGAAAACCGCTGTGAGGACTTTTGGGGCGGACTGAGGGTTTGCGCATGTCTTGCTTTGCGCTTTTCTGACTGCTGACTGACGTTATTCCCCATGTTGTCGCGTCAGGACTCAATGAGTCGGTAAGGGATGGTCACGGTGAGAGATGAAGCAGTGGGCTCACTGCCTGGCCCGGGAATTATCAAAGGTCGAAGGGTACCAAGCAAATATATACCGTCAGAAAGGCCAGTGGGCGCTTCGCTGACTTTCTATTGTCGAATTCGAAGCACAGGTACTAACTTGAATTTGCCGCAGAGCTGTGCACTGTCGGACTGCACCGTGTGTTCCTGGACTACGCCTTTCTCCTTCCTGTGACTTGTTCTTTCCTCGAACAACTTACTCGACGTCAAGCCAAGTTTTAAGGCTGGGTAAGAACCTGCTGGCATTGGCCGGCTGTGCCACTTATTGGCACGATGTTTTCATCTCGGATCCCCGCCTTACAAGCGAAGTTCACCTATCACTGCAGGTAAGTAGCCCTAGCCGAATTCGATTGCGAAGAATCATGTCAAACTAGTACTCTGTCCAGACCTCTGCAAGTCCCGTTCCATGTTGATCATCATCCTCGCCGTTCACGCTACTTCTACCTCACATCGATGATCCAATTCAGTCACCAGGTGCCTCGATACCTGTGTGCTGTTGGCAGGACAAGACAGACCTTCATTAACATATCATTCATAGGCCATCCGATGCTCAGTCAGAGGAACCCACAGCTTCAGACGTGTTTGACTCAGAAAAATTCTGGTAGAGGGCAGGCTGATCACTGACGCTATGTCCTGCCATGTTTTGGTGACCAATGGCTTTATTGCGCCCTAGGGCACAATGTGGGATTATTACGAGGTTTTTGGGGCACCATTTTACTGATAGTACCGCCAGTACTATCGGACCAATAATCTGTACGCGAACAAGCGTATACGCAAGCCACGAGTTTTTCAAGATCAGCACGCTTCCGAGCCGACCCGGAGAATCTTCCAAATGCTAACAGTTGTAGCCTATGGGCTTGCTGGTACCCACATTGTGGAGGTCGCAACAAAGGGGGCTGCAACAAAGGAGTGACAGCTATATCGTTTGGTTCACCTGCCATCGCCCAAGTAATAATATTTTTCTTGTTCAATCTAAGTCGTGTGTCCGTTGTGGCCGGCCGGGCCAGCCCCGAACGTTAACCTTGAGAGAACCTTAAATGGCATGCTTCTGCAATCTAAAGCCTTACTGTGATGCTGGCAGCTGCAGCCAGACCACAAATCTTCACTCCAATCAAGTTTGAACTTTCCACGATTGACCAACATAAGTTCTACTCAGTGCTCACCATGCTCAGGCTTGCTCAGTGCGCTGGATCCTGTATTCATGAACATGGGCTGGCTCACAAGCGGTTACGGTCCCGAACTTCCTGTACGTATCAGAGTTCGTGATATAGCAGCCTGTCACAAATTAGTTTTAACGTAAACTCACGTACAGCGCAGAAAACCAACGGATCGTCCCGTTTCTGCTTTTCTTGCATACTGGATGTGGACTGCGACGAACAGCATACCAGTCTCACTAGATTTTACATTATCTCACCCAGTTAATTGTCACCATGCTCATTCGTCTCGTCCCCTCCGTATCACATGGCACTGTTCTCTACAACGTCTCTTTTCCTATCAACTTTCCTAATTTGCCTACTCCCCCTGCGTGGTCGAACCAGTTGCACCTTCTGACCTCGGTGTTGCGCCTCGAGCCTCCGCAGAATATCCACGTGTTCGACCGTTCAGTTGGTCTCGTCGCCCGGATAACCGAAGTCATATTTGATGTACCGGCCAAGGAGGTCGTCGTGAGCTTTGTTGATAGGCGCATTGAAAAGCTGCCTATGAACTCGCAATGCATGCAGATGCTTCAGGGCGTCGTTGACGACGTTAAAGCGTGTTCTGAACTGGAATCTCGACGAGACAGCTTCGAATGCCCCACCTCCGCTAGTATCTGCAGCAGTGTAGTTAGTTCACAGGACATCCCTAGTATATCCAGCGCGCCCCCAAAGTCTCCGAAGTTGAGCAGGCATAAGAAGCAGCGCTCCCTGCTGTTTTCTTTGATCTCGTACGTATTGTCGTGTTCCTTGTGCCTTCTTTAGACTGACTTGTTTTTGGCTGCTCTTCAGCTCGTTGGTGCCACGTTCCTTGTCTCCGCCCCCGGCCCCTCCTCCATCACCCACCACGCCCTACCCCTCATCTCCGCCTCCCCTCCCCCCAATTCCCCCTATCACACCCCGCAATACATCATTTTCCCCCATCCCGCAATCTCCAGTCTCCCCCTATAACCCCGCTTTCCCACCATTGACAGATCCGCCGATTCTCCGTCGTCGCGCGCGCGCTACTCTTATCGATGCCTGGAGACGACATGTCGTTTCCGCGCTTTCGGCTCATAACTATTACGCAGGGTACACTGAATGGGTGCTCCGTAGTATGGCTACCGGAGCTCGCACCGAGCTGAGACAAATCGAGAGATCCTGGCAGCCTGGGCGCGGTGCGGCTCGCAAACATGGAAGGACCCGAAGCGAGGGGAGAGTTGCTCTTGACTTTGGGGAGCGCGGCTCTGAGGAGACTCAAAGACAATGGCGTGCACCTTCACCATTTCTCGAGGAAGTTGAGGGTGAAAATGATGACTGCGTCGTATATTCTCGTCACGAACAAGGTTTGGTTGATTCCATTCTAGAATGCTATTTTTCTGATATGTTTGTAGCACATGAATGGGGCGCAATTCGCCATGTCCGTAATACAAGTGCATGCGATGAACTGGACGCATACGCTTTTGAGTTCAGCGTGGAGAATGGCAGCCTCTTACGCGAGAGCTTCGGCTTTGGAACTGACGTCTTTGGTGATATGTGGGATGATGATGACCATATCGCTTTTGAAAATTTTGGCGCCCTGCACCCAGGACTGGAGCTCACCTTCGACGGACAACTCAATTTCGACGAGGATTTTGGAATTGATTACGAGGGTGGCGACTATTATACTGACATGACATTTGCTGTTATGCCGTCCGATGCCACTGAAGAAGATGACTCAGATGAAAGCCAAACATCTTTGCGTACCCCCGAGGATGGTGAAGTGCTGCCTTTGCCGCTCCCAGCTACATTACCAGGATTGTCTGGTGCATGCTTTCAGCAGCGCAGTCATTCTGACTCCGTTCCGATGGCTGTCTCAAAAACTACTTCTTCTCATCCAAAAACTCGGCCTCTTCATTCAAGCCCCGGATACCCCTCTACTGCGCCGCATGTCTGTGCCAAGCCTACTGCCGCGGTGCCATGGAACTACCGATCGGTGATGCATCCGCAGAAGTTACCCGCGCATTTCCCTTCATCACCGTCGCGTCTGCCCAAGTGCATGCCCATTCCGAATGTGGAAGAACTTCTTTCCACTCGTGTTGCCTTCCTTTCGCGAATTCGAAATGCTCTAACTTTCGTACGTGCTCGTGCACGTGAGGAGCATTGGGGCTTATTATGGTCACAAAACTCTTTTGGGTGTGGATTGATGGACCCTGAGTCTGAGGGGCAACTTGAAATTAGGGCACGCAGGCGTGCATGGAGTGCAGGCATCAAGGTCACTGCGGCTTCTGCGCCAACCTTATTTTCGGTCGCTGTCCCGGGTTCTGGCCCGGGTGCGAGGGTATGGGATGGTTCGGTCCCATCTGCTGCGCAATTTCCTTATCGACCTCCTGGGCTCACACCACCTGTGACAAAGGTGAATGGACCGATTATTCCGACTGGCCTTCTGTTAGGCAGACCTGTCAGGCGGTCACCATTAGCCATGTACGTGTGGAGTGCAGATGATGTGGCTAAGCAAGACACTGCACGCCAGGGCAAGTACGGAGATATTGGCCTGAAACGTGGTGGAGAAACAGCAGCTTCGAAACGCCCCCTGCGCGTTTCGTTCCTCGAGAGTCCCACTAAGTTGCTTCCTGTTCGTGAGGAAGGGGACGATGAGGAAGGGTATTCCGAAAGGAGAACCTCCAAGATCGACTTCCCGCAAAGCCCTACGTCACCGACTTCACCTGCTAAAGTTACATCTGTCATCACTCCGGATGAAAGATTCGGTGTCAGCCAGGGAGATGTCAGTGTGACTGATGATCCGTTCTTCAGCTCTCCCTTTCATACGCGTGCGCGGACTACAAGCATGTATCCTTGCTCTCAACCCCCACAGGAGCTCCCTATGTTTAGGCCACGGACGCCTCCCCCATCATATCAGGCTGCCATTGGTGACGATAACACTGATGATGATGAGTCCGACGATGGAACACTCGATGCTTGTGCACTGTTATTCCAACCTCTTTCAACGCTGCGCTTGACCTCGCCCACAAAAACTACGCCTACACGACCTCCGCTGGTAACAGCTCCGTCATTCACTCCTCGAGTTCGTGCTATGTCCTTGCCCACGTGCCCAGCTCGCCCGCGTAGTCCATCTCTCTCATCGAGGTCGAATGACGAGGATTGCCAAGATCTGTCACAAGCTTACGCTGCGCCACCACCACCAGCCACCCCCATTGCTGCAGCGCTACCCGTTGCAGTGACCGAGTCTCACCTCACTTATGCGCACCTTCATGCTCCGGTGCCTATCTGTGGGAAAGCCAGCGTGACAAAAGGCATGTGTGAGAAGGACAAGGGAATAGCAAGCCAGGAGGTGGTCTTCGAGCGGAACGGGGAAGAATATACTTTGGGTCTGGAAGTGGCATTGGGTAGGGCAGAGGAAGGACGTTCTGTGTGGTGAACAGGAGATGCGGTTTAACGCTGTTGCATAGAACCAAAACTCGGGAACCGACTACTAACTGCTCTAATCCTTATTCGTGTCTATCATGCTTTCTTGTGCATCAGCTTTCGCGTTTTCGCCCCCGTGTAAGCGCGTGCTATCTTCATCTGGTGTACCTGCGAGCTCATCCGTTTCTTTATAGAAGATCTTAATTGACGCATCTCCGGCTTCTGCCTAATAGTCAGCGTTATAATGCTTTCACCTACGCCATCAGATATATTGATCGAATTAACTGGCCATGTGTCGCGTAGTCCCAGTAGGCCTGGAACTTTCATCGCTCAATTGATCCGCGCTTAGGGTCATAAAATTCATTCATTTTGAGCTTGACGTCTTGCGACCCGCCATCCTTCATTAATGTGCATGTAACATACGTTTCTGCTCAGCTTCAGTCGCGTTTACAAAATGCCGCTCCCCACACGCAGACGATGACAAATGTTGCCGTCGGTGCTTGGCAGCACTTTGGAGGCAATTTATTCTTCAAATTGCGGCTGATCGGTGGCCCAATTACTGGGGTTGATGACCTAATTGGCGGAGAGCGTTGCGTTCCTCGATATGAATTTGTCTCGCCGAGACTCATCTACATAGATTACACTGCGGGTGATTAAATATGTTGTGCCCCTCACCATCTTGAGAAACGCCGTCGGGCTGTAAGTCAACCTACCACCCAAACGACCTGTTCGAAGGTCATCAGATGATGATACACCGAGATTAAACGAACGCTTACTCCTCGTGCATCTCAATCCCACCGACGGCCCAGCGTCTTCTAGCATCTACCTGAGAAATCACCTGTGCGACATCATCACCCAAACCCGTTGGGCCGCACACGCCAACCACCACACCTGTGATGGCCATGCTGGACTTGACATTAGAGCCGTAAGATACCGCACGCGACATCACTGCGTCAAGGACTTTGGCGATCTTTGGACGTCCTGCGGTGAGCGTGAGCCCTGGTGGGAGGAAATCCTTCCCTGGGGGGTTGTCGGATGCACGTGTGTAGTGGACAGATATTTTGAGTGGCGCATAGATGCTTTGTTGGATAAGTGCCGCTAGTTGAGGGACGAGTGGAGTGAGACAGGCTAATAGGTATGAGGAACGTTCAGTTAATACGGCAACAATACGGACCAGAATCTCGGACACTCCAAATGACTTCTATGATTTTTACTCGACTTGCACCTTCCGAGTCTCTCTAACAGCAAGGGTTGGAAAACGGGAAGTAAAAATGCTCAATCTGGCTTACTTGTAGGATGTCCTGCACAGCTGAGAGGGCAAAGGAAATCCCAGTTCCGCCAACAATGAATATCGCAGCGGAGTAGCTCGCAAACACGCAGTGACCTGGTCCGCCTGCACAACAATAAACAACCATTAAAAAATGCCTGTTTCCACTTACCGTATGGTCCTTCAATCATTACTTGCACCGTCCTCCCATACGCGCCTTCATCTGATTCGTATCCCGCAACTGTTGCCATATCGTACAATCTGCTCGTCCACCTACCGGTCTTCTTACACAACAACACCATGCCTTCAGGTGTCTTCGCAGCGGTGGCAATGGTTAATGGGTGACTCTCTGCCCAGCCGATCCATCCCATGGCGGAGGAAAGCACGCGAAGGCGTACATGTTGTCCTGCCCTCCAACCGGCATTGAGCTGGGGAATCTCAATACGTGTGAGCATGAGGTCGGGAATAGGACGTATGCGTGCATTAAATACGCGTGTTTTCATAAATCGGATGAGGTAGTCAAGGCCGATGATACCTGCGGCGGCGATGACGTACGGCCAGACACTGGGTACATGAGCATGAACCTGGATATGCCATTGTCATAAGCTGGCAACATGGCATAGATATAATCTGGGCTCACAGCTGGGAGAAAGAGGATGAACAATACGACATGCGAGAAGTAGAACAGATTGTATGCCCGTCGTCTGAAGAATGGGATCGAAAATAGATATATAAGATCTACAGTGACAAGCGCAACAAAGGCCCATATGTGTGTAGGCATGCGAATGTTTTTAGAAAATGTGAGATCTATCGTCCATTCATAAACTAGGGTAAGGGTGACCACGAGACATCACATCAGCGCTGAGCAATGACGAGCTTCTCAAACTTACTGTAACCAAGCGAATGTACGTTGGATGCGATCACGAGGAGCGTCCCCGCGAATCTATGAATGTAATTGAGCTGTGGAGAATCCGTAAGAGTTAACCTGAAGGATTACAATAACCGACCTTCTCATACCCGAGACCAAGAAATATACCCAATATGTTATTTTTGGTCGCCAACAGATAAACGATAGGAATCTGTGAGATCGCTACGAATCCGGTCCGCAACGGGTCCGCAAATGGGTTTGACTTTAGAAATCCGGCATAGACCAGAGCCGCAGAATAGATCACCAGGACCAGTCCCTGACCCAGAGAGAAGCTCACATCCAGTCTGTACCTCAGGATATTAGCGAAGGTTGGGACACGCGAGGACCATGCGCGAACATGCGGTGGGAGTGACCAGCCTTCTTCCTTTGCCGCTGGGTGTCGAATGAGATGCGCTTCGGAATGAAAGGTATGTGATTCATCCGACGTAAGGTTATCAGCTGCGGAGGGACCGGATGGGGGAGATTGTACGGAGCGCATGGGGGGCTTTGGTGCTTGGCGCTTGAGCGGGATTGCACGGAGGATATGTCCATGGCGCCATTCCGCGGCACGGGAGAAGCGTGCAACAGCACGAGGGAGCGCGAACACGGCAAACACGCCCGCAAGTGCGAGAAAGAAGGCATCGATGTGGAATACAAGTTGGAAGGCATTCACGGTGGGAGAGGTGCTTGTTGCTGATTGCGTTGTGGTTTCCATGCTTTGAATGATTCAACCTGTTGAACCGGTTGGAAGGTAGGACCAGAAAAATGAGGGTGTTAGAATATGCACAGGACGCCGAGTCGTCCGATAGTGTGAGTGAGGTCTTGGATGATGAGAAGCGACAGGGGGATGTTAAAGGTGACCCACACGTACAGGTGTCCAAGTCTATATGGAATGCCCATGGATAAGCATGCCAGCCGCGCTGGCGAGGCATGGAAGCAAAATTTACCCTGATATACATGTTCGATGTGAAATGTAAGTAGAGTTCATGAAACGTGTTTGCCTCATGTCAATCAATGAGGGAGCATTAGTGCCGTTAGTAGGCACACGCTGCGATAGTGCTGCGGCGGAGATGGGCACCACTGAGACTGCAGCCTTATTGTCAACCGGTTAACCTGCCGAGGAGATGAGCTCGACGTGCTGCACGCACTGTGTTGTTGCTCTCACTGTCCATTCCGTGAAGACTCCACAAGATTAGTTTTTATATTGCATGTACTGGTCGGATCCTGGTATGGATCTAGCCTGAGAAAAAGGTCCGTGTGAAGTCTTGTGCATCATGATCATGCGGATTTATGCCTCGCGTAAGTATCGAAGTCATCCTGATTCAACGAGGACTGTTCCGTTGCAATGGAGAAGGTGAACTTCACATTCTTATCGTGTCGATTTATGTTGATCAGGAAATGCATCAGGCAGTGCTTGATATTTTGCGCCCATCACTGCCAAAAGTAGTAGTAGACTTCGGCCAGGTTATCTCCCTTGGCTCTGACCCAAAACTTTGTCTTGAAAGATACATGCTTGAAGTCATTCAGATGTATAAAGAAGGCTCAAATGCGAGCCTACCCGCTCATACTAATCGGTCATACCCACGACTCTTTCAAAATCGCTGTGAAGCGACAACTGACATTGGCGAAACCAGCGGTCCCTCCCACTTATCTCAGGCTAGGAACTCGGACAAATGTGAGCTTCATCAACTGCGGACGAGGGATTATGGTACCCGCCGACGATATACGCACAAACCATCAGGGAATTGTGGATCACAGAGCTTTGTCATGCATACCCGTCTATAAAATTTCCCGTCAACTGACCTAAGTTTAACTGCAGGAATAGAGACGTCACCGTAAAGAGTCAGGTGACCGAACCAACATCGTCTCGGTCGGTGTTCCGCCGTCAATTTCAAGGCTTAAACATCTACTTGCTCAATACATCATATCTCGTGGCGTGTACCGTCCAAAAGTAACCGTTGCTTATCTTATCAATATCTACTTTCTCTCACAGTAAGTCACCTGTTTATTTATTCTAATATCGACTGTTAATGTAGGACACGTCCGTCACTGCAGTCAAGCCAAAATGTAGTGCAACCACTCCACTACGGGAGAGAGGTCAATGCCAAGGCAGAGCCACACGATCTTTCCACTCCCACCAAAGTCTTCTGACCTGAGTATAGACCTGGATCTACAGCTGAGCTATCACCTTATCTCTGCTTGTTCTCATTCCATATAACGTTGATTATCCCTAATCACAATTATTTGTGCCTCACATTCACTATGGGCGAGCCAGAAAGTTCATCCTCCAGTGAAGGAAAGGTCATCGCCAAGGAAGAGGCATACAATGTTACCATATCTGACCAACGCCTTCTGGACCTGGGGTATAGACCTGAATTCCGCCGCGAGATGTCTCTCTTCGGAGTGCTTGGGATATCGTTCTGTTCCATCGGCATTCTAAACGGAATGAGCAGCGCCCTTCAGACGGGGTTGTTCTCTGGAGGCCCGCTGGGTCTGTTTTGGGGATGGAATGTGAGTTTGACGCTTCAATCTTCATGAGTATGACAACAACTGCTATTCTATCCAGATTTGCAGTTTCTTTATGCTTCTGATCGCGTTCAGCTTTGCAGAGATTTGCAGTGCATAGTAAGCAATTCATGCCCTGTCAGAGCCTACGTCTTAGGTTGTTGCGCAGCCCAACAATGGGAGGACTCTACTTCTGGGTTTGCAAGATGAAACCGGACGTGCCAATCCTTGGCTGTGAGTCTTAATGTTCATCCTCTGAGTAGTGCCTGAATGAATTATTAGTCTTTACTGGCTGGCTTTATTCCATGGCCATGGTATTTACTGGTATTTCCGCTAATTTGAGGTAAGTTGTTTGCATCATCGAATCGGAACCTACGATTTGTCATCTAGTACCGCCCTATACCTTTCGTCCATGGCAGAGGTTGGGCAAGGAAGAAGTCTAACGAGATTAGAAATCACTGCGATCGCATGGGCCGTAAACATATTTTCTGGCATCGTCAATACTATTGGAACAAAGGCTATAGGACATATGAGCACGTTATTTGTTTGGTGGACGCTCGGAGGCACTGTTAGTTTAGTCACCACACTGCTTGTGAAAGCACCCGTGATGGTAAGGTTCTGTTAGACTGCAAGTCTGTTTCCTTCGCGTGGAATCTAATTATGTCCTACAGAACTCTGCTGACTTCGTGTTTACGAATGTTCAAAAGTAAGCTTTGCTCATTCTATGAATGGAAGAGTCATTAATTGGTCGACTAGCTTCACCGGCTGGCAATCCCAAGGCTTCGTAGTGCTTCTTGGGTTTCTTCAGGTGAGAATCAGCTCTGTACATGTTGTACTGTATGACTCACGTTGCGACCTCGTCCTAGGCTGTATATACACTCGAGGGGTGCGAGACAGCAGCTCAAGTAGCGGAAGAAGCTGTACGGGCGGAGATCCTGGCTCCACTTGCTGTAGTTGGCAGCATCGCAGGTTCTTGGTTGATTGGCCTCGCATACTTGCTTGCACTTCTTTTCGCAGTGCAGGATATCGCTTCCGTTCAGGCCACCACGTTTGCCATCCCGATTGCTCAACTCTTCTACGATGCGGTTGGGCCTCGATTGTCACAAATGTGTCTGCTTGTGATAATGGTTTCTCAAGTGATGGCTGCGATCACAACATTTACTGCAAGTTCGAGACTGTTCTATGCGCTCGCAAGAGATAATGCATTCCCGTTGAAAAAACAATTTATGACCTTGAACCGATTCCAAGCACCATACTGGGGTGTATGGACTAGCGTCTTGATAGGATGCATCATATCATGCGCTTACATCGGGTCTGCAATTGCGGTCAGTCCACCAAAGTCATTACTGTATTTCTTTGTTCTGACAGCATTTGCGCTTCCACAGTTCAACGCCATCTTATCCTCAGCAGCCATAGCGGTGATGTTGAGCTACATGCAACCCATCATTATCCGGGTGTTCTGGCCTGACTCGTTCGTCATTGACAATGATGTATTCGAGCCACACTTGACTTGTTTTCATGAATTTAGCATCCAAGACTTTGGACCTTTCCGCCTCGGAAAATGGTCATGGCCAATGAACTTTGCCAGTTTTCTGGTACGCAACTTCCTCATTTATCATACACTTCCCATTCATTATCTGTACAGTTCACTATTTTCGTCTGTATTTTATTCATCTTGCCTACGGCATACCCGGTGGACGTTCTCAACATGAACTACGCAATTGTTGCTGTGGGCGGTCTTCTGGTCGTGATCACGATCAACTGGTTTTGGTGGGGAAGGCATAGCTTTGAAGGCCTTGTTAAAACGGCTACGTGAGAGTTAAAGCTGAAGGCCAGACAAATAAGAAGGTTGGCAAATGCTTGGCCTTCTGGGTCGCTAGTTCTATGACATCCGTACTTCGTCGCACTAGATGCTATACGACCGTTTCTCCATACGTTGTTACTAGGAACCTCGGGCAATCTGTTTCGCCAAAGCAAGAAGGTGACCCCCCAGGAAAATACTTCTTTCTGAGAAGTTGACCCCTTGGAGAGCCTGCAGCTCGGCGCTTGCCACGACCAAGTTAGTACTCAGCTGTACTGCACATCGTTGTTGTCTGTGAGGCCTGAGGCCTGAGATTTGGGACTTTCTCGGCGACACCTACACCTTGCAGCCTGTAGTCCGACACATTATATGGTATTGCAGACCGCGATTGGCAACCGACCATATTCTTGCAAATCACGATGAGTGACTACAAGGCCTCGAAGGAGGCTTTTGTCTCTGGAATGACTGGCTCGACAGTATTTCATGTAAATATGATAAGCGGCGTTGCATTGGTGTGTATGCCTATGTGTCTTTCCACTTCAGCAAGCTGACCATCTTCAGTCCTCGATCGCCCTTCATTCAGCACTGCGTTCGCGTGTTCAAGCATTTGGATCCGCATATTTCTTGGCAGAGTTTGTAATACTTGCCGTGCCTATGTTACTGTCTATGACTTTATTCGCGGAAGCTCCTGGCGCACTATCCCTCCTACTACTCGTACCGATGCTTGTTTTGCTCCTTCTTCCCCCTCTTGAAAGAGGCACGCCTTTACCGGCTGAAAGTCGAGATGAACTAGCTTCACCCAATGGAAGAAGTCGAGCAGAGACTCCACTGACGCACTTATCCCAGACCCTCAGACCCTTACCTGCTCTGACCACCTACCGTGCTCACATGATGTTAATGACAGTTCTGTCTATACTTGCTGTTGATTTTCCAGTGTTCCCCCGTGTTCTAGCAAAGTGTGAGACGTATGGTGTTTCTTTGGTGCGTCTAGAACATATCATGTTCTTCAACTTTCACACAATTTGATTCATAGATGGACATTGGCGTTGGCTCGTTTGTATTCTCTCAAGGCGTGGTGTCTGCGATTCCAATCATCAAAGACATATCCTACCTCCAGGCTCCGATCCTGCCTAAACTGAAGTCCGTCTCCCGTAAAATGATACCCATCATTGTGTTAGGCATTCTTCGCGTCGTGCTCGTGAAAGGCACTGAATATCCTGTAGGGTCTTGCATAGTTTGCATGTCACGCCTACCGCTTAACAAGTACAACCAGGAACATGTGACAGAGTACGGCGTACACTGGAATTTCTTCTTCACGTTTGCGCTTTTGCCTATCATCGAGGTCTTGTTGCATCCTATCATCTTGCGTATCCCCGTCGCTCTGTTGGGTCTTTGGATTGGAGTTTGTAAGTAATAGCTCGGCTGTCATAAGAAACTTGAATCGGATGCCTGTTTAATAGTGCATCAGTTCGCACTGTCATCCGGAGGAATGAAGGACGTACTGCTCAACGCCTCACGGAGCAACATTGTTTTCGCGAACAAAGAGGGGTTGCTATCATTGCTGGGTAAAAGTCGTTACTCTTGTAGGATGTGCGTCTTCTGACCCCTCTCCACCAGGTTATGTTTCGATCCACATACTCGGCCTGTCCTTAGGAACCATCATACTTCCTCCTTCCCCTTCGTTTTTCCGGAAGCAGCAGCGGCAGTTACTCGACGGGCCATCCTCTCACCGACTTAGCAAACTTGATCCTTCGGCACCCAGACAGAATGCAAAGATCATCATTGAGTTGATGTCGTATTCAGTGGTTTGGTGGATGCTTCTGGCCTTCGTGAGGCTTGGATTAGAAGTTTCGAGAAGAATGGTTCGTCCTGCTTGTTTTGCTTTACGTACACGATTTCATGTGAAAGTCTCATATGCTGATATTATTCCTAGGCAAACATCTCATACATCCTCTGGGTCGCAGCTTACAATACCTCTTTCATCCTTGGTTACATTTTCCTCGACATGGTGTTCTTTCCCACCAGAACATCAAAGATACGAGATCCGACTGATCCTTCGGGCAAACGGCTCCTCATTGAGGAAAAGGGGCTGAAAAGCAGCGCACCTGCGCTGTTGGAGGCCATTAATAAGAATGCATTCATTTTGTTCTTGCTGGTTCGTCTTCCTAATATAACCTGCATTTGGCGTCCTGACATCTATACTCAGTCAAATGTGGCCACCGGTTTGATCAATCTCAATATCCAGACTATGTTCGTGGGACACATGAAGGCAATGTGTTTATTGTGTGCATACTTTATGGGCATGTGCATTTTTGCATGGCTTTTTAGAAGGATTCGGTTATGGAAGATGTGAGGTCGTTTCAAAATATACCAAATACCATACACTTCGCGAGACGTTTGTTTGGATTTTTCCGCTGTTTCAGTGTTCAGTCCATTACGTCTTAAGCTGAAGGCTTACTGTGATCGTTCGGAGTGTGATTGAGGATTCATAGTGATGTGCGCACGAGGCATTGTGCTCCTGGCAGTATGAATTATGTCACGCATCACATGCATGCACCACGTCATCTCCATGTACATCAAACAGTTCGCTATATAACAAATATATTTGGAATTTTGGCTCCCTTGATTAAAGGCCTTTGGAGGGATGTTTGTCCACTGCTCAAATACGCCAAGGGCCTTTAAGATGTGTGCTCCCAAATTGACTTTAGACGGAGTGAAGTTGTTCCTTACGAACAACTTGCGAGAAAATCTCCAAAGCTGCTTGGGGTTGAAAGGCAGGCTAACAATGACATAACAGGTGTCAGTGAATATCATCATCCTCAGAAGAGTTGACTGACCACTTCGTGTCCAGCAGCATACACCCGTCTAAAACGTAAAACAATGAGGTATATTATCTCTCGTTAACAAGCTGAGATGAAAGATGACTTACGCAAAGGAGAAGTTGTCGACGTTCTGCACGGCCGCAATAGGCTTTCCATTGATCGTCATATTGGTGAATGGGGTATTATGGAGCGTCTCATTGCCATACCAATCCATTGCTAGAACTGACGCATGGCCCTATTAGACAGAATAATTCAGCGACGTTGGCGGCAGAATACGCAACAGCCTACCCCAAGCCAGTTGCAACTAGAGTCAATGAGAAGCGTCAGAATATATGAAATATCATTGCAGCACGAAAACGGACACCATATCAGCATCTCCAGCCTATTCTTCACCGGTAAATTAGCAGACAATGATGCAGTAACTGAGCACGCACCCAAATCAAAATTTTCAGCCCAGAGTTGGCCAGAGCCGATAGCTGGGGTAGCCATGTTCTAGCGTCCTTTAACAGGAAGGTAAATTTGGCACCCGAGGAAAGAAGTTGGACAAATACATACGTCGCCTGTATTTACAAATGGCTCATAGGGTGGGTCTGAGCATTCCTCGTATTTGACATGAGCACCGATCTTCTTCATGACATCCTCTCTTTGCAAATAATACACATAGTATTCAGGGGGGAATAAAGAAGATGAATTTTGACGTATATCATAGCTGTCGTAATTGCCCACAGCAGGGGTGAAGACATTGTTGCCCTGAAAGAATTCAATGACGTCCATACACATAGTATTGATATGTCACTCACACAGTAATTATCGGCATCCCGGCAAATCTTGTTTGAGTGAGCGGAATTTCCAGCAGCGTAGCAGGCACTCTCTTGCGCTACGCAACCATCAGGGCCGTAAAGGGAATCCGAAATGTTCTTGAGCACGTCATCTGGCTGGAGTTGTCCATAACCAGGGGCATAAGTCGCAAAGTTTAGGAATGCGATGTTCTGAATGAGCGGATCATACCAGCCACTGCGAATGCTTATTCAACGGGGTATTAGTAAGTCAAGAAAGCAACTTGCTCGTTAATCATCAGGGCGCTGACGACAACTGGAACAGCATCAATCTCTCCGCTAGCGATTAAGGCGTTTCGCTCTTCGAAGTAGGTCACAAAACTGGGTCCGTAGTGACCGCCGTAGCTCTCTGTGGCAAAGATCAACCTGAGCCCAGTATAAGTAATCATCCGTGATAGCTGAGTTAAGCAACTGACTCTCGACTGGCATACTTTGAAAATAGCTGGCTTTCAAACAAAACCTGGAATGCAGTCCATACAAAAGGTGCAGCGGTTTCCGTGCTGTTTACGGCATCAGTACCGTAAGAAAACCCTGTTCCAATTGGCTGGTCAATGTAAATCACTGGGTCAGGAAATCAGCTCTGGTAACGAAATCCGAGGGCTGCGTGCTACATACTGTTGCTGAGACTATTCCAGCTGTAGGTAACCATGTTGGATTAGCATATAAAAATGATTTTAAATAATCCTGACATACCTGTAGGGGTTAAGAATGGTGGAATTTTGGTCGGCATTTACTAAGCATGGCCCGTTCTCTGTTGAAAATTAGACTAATCAAAAGGCAATTAAACCAATCGAACCTTGGAATAGTCCTATCATAGAAGAACATCCAGGGCCGCCATTCAACCTACGAAAGCAGTTCAGAGGTGCGACTCAACAGTACTTGGTGATCTAGCGCTACCATAGAGTGAATGGGGCTGTTTTCGGTGAGTTTCTAGACTCGAAGAACCAGAACCACTGTGTCTTAAATCAGTTTACATCCAGAGCATAGGGAACAGATATATACCATGGACATGTTTGTTCCAACATTAATGTAACCTGAAATTTGGGTAACGTTTGGAGTTGTTTCACAGATTCCCGAGTTCTTGACATAACGAATGCCAGTTGCATTGTGAACCTTGGATTGAATCTCGATGTGCCCTGCTTCTGTAGCATGAAGATTGTCCTCGACAACAGAGACAGCGCGAGTTACGGATACGCCAGCCAATAGCGCAACGCCGGCTCGGACGAGCGTTCTTAGAAACATGCCAGGGCACACTAGTAGGGAGATCTAAAGTCATCACGGCCATCAACTTCACGTACTTATAGAGTACTGGATCCCTAGCTAAATCTTATCAGGCGATTGAAGGTAAATAATTGGTGCCCACATGACGGCGAAGAACCAACGTGCTGATGGGTTGTACGTTAGCGCTTCAGCTTCTAGACTGCTTCAAGTTGGTTCTACGACTGGCCAGTGAAACCCACTGGTGTGCTAGAAATAGGTGCTTTGCCACCGGCCGCATCGACCAACGGCTAAAGGCTAGATCACGAAAGGGTGCTTGTTTGCGGCTGAGGCAAACGACTCGCTTGAAATTATTAGGAGATCACATTCACGCGATGTTACGTAGTGCCCGCGTAATGGCCGGCCGCTGCACACTAACGCCGTGACGGAAAGTAAGTCGATGCGCTGTTCGAATGCTCTGCATCATGCCGCTGTGTTGCTCTATAATTTGCAATCGGCCAGGAATACCGTTGGGAGGACTTACCTTCCATTGTAGGATTGGGAAATTCTCTCGTGAAAGCCAGGGATCTGGCCACCTCTGGAGTCCTAGACTCTGGGGCAAAAGGCCAGTATGGGGCTTCGGCGGCTGGGTTCGAGCGGAGTTACAATATTAATCCATCGCGCCTCCCGCCCGCCGCTCCACCGGGTCCACCCGCCCTCCCGTTCGCGACTTAGTACTTCTCAGGCTGTACCCGCCTCACGCTGCCTACTTCCAACTTGTGAGTTACATTTATTTGTTTCTTCTGCTGTTTTGTTGTATTAATGGAGTTCGGTGGACAGTCCGCTGCACCCTCCTGATTTCCAACCTTGCAATGCGCTGATCAACACCTCCCGCCTGCCCGCTGCAGCCAATTCCACCTTCAGTGCTGCTCTCATCTGCCAATTTCAGCGTGCCATCAGGCCACGTGCTCACCCATCCCCAAGCCTCTCCCAGGACCCAGAGACGATGTAGCCAAGCATCTTGGAAGGAACAGGTCAACTGAAGCCTAAGTTCTCCTTCCAAGATACTTACAACGACAGTGACGGAAGCGTCACAGACATGGACGATGATGACACACACAGCCGGAAATGTTCAGGAATGATGAGGAACCAGTGGTGCAAGCAACCGGTAGGCTTCCGCATGTATATGATCTGCCATTTGATACTTGTTGATCATCTCTTGTCTCAGTCATGGTGTATGTATTTTTTCTCAGCTTCTGCCATGAATCATTTGTGTTATTGAACAGGTTGGTGTGGCTGACGGTGGGGGTGGCTGCTTAGTACTTACTCGGTATGTCAGCCGCATGATGTTGAAACTTCGACTGGAACAAACTAGACGCCCCAGGCTCTGACCCTAGAGTCTGCTTCAGACTTTAGCCCCAAAGTGTCCATTTCCTGGTTGTCCTCCGTTTAAACACCACCCGGAGCCAGCTGCCCAAGCCCAGACTGGTCCAATAGTCTATATAGAATATGTAACCCCAGAGGTTGCCACTTCCGGACGTTCTCGAGAGCGCGCTATTTTGGGTGTACCACCGTCGAGCACCGCCCGAAGCCAGCTGCCGAAGCCCCAGACTGGCCCTGGACTTTGGCGCAAGAGTCTACGTAGAATAGCCTCAGAGTGGCCATGTCTTGGACGTTTTCCTATTGTCAGCGGAGCAGGACTGACGGCCCATCAGTGAAGTCATCAACACTATCATGGCCAGATATACGTATCTTCAACCTCGATATCCCAATCCGCAGCATCGATGACCCCCAATTCACGGCTTTCGTGAATCACATTAGAGAAGACTACTCCGGAAATCGACAGAATGTTCATACAACCTGGAAGAAGCTGAGTAGACTCCATTGAATGCGCCAGAACACACCTCAGACTACCTTGCAATATTAACCCATCCTGGAGTACGTAACCTCTCGGTAAAAATGGGATTGGTCAGAAACACACGCGTCATCGCGCTGCATCATCGCTTCGTCGCAGTCTAACCTCCTCAATACATTCGAAAGCCACTGCACCCTCCGCATTCCATCCAAACCGTTCGTCATAGACGGTGAATCGAAGCAAAGACACACTGTCTGTTTGCAAAGACAAACGAAGGACAAGATTGTGCTAATGTTGTATTTCCCGAGTTGCTACTGCAAACACAATATATCGTCGAAGAGCCGACCGAAGGGGTGTCCTTGTAGTAAGCAGAATGGCAGACTCCAGAGTTGGACAGACTACTACGTACCTTCCTTGTCCCTCTTCAGAGTGCAACTCTGGCCAGTGCAGCAATATATGGCCAATAATATAAAGGACGAAGAGCTTATATGCTAAACATCATCGACGATTACATATCTCTCTGTTTCTCTGAGTCTCTGAACTCTTGAAAAGCAACCTCGTGAGCACCGCACGAGTCGGTGATGCCAACAACACCAGCGAGCCTGTTGAAAAGTTTTGAGCACTTGTGAGCCCTCAATTTTTATGTTAACATGAGCACTTACTTTTCATTATACACTTACTCTGCATTCTCCATCGTCCCGGTCCATAACGCAATCTGTGTTGAATGGTCGCTTCGTATGAAGCTGAGGCGTTTCGATATTGTGTCGGAGAATGCCCTGCTCTCTTGTAGTGCGGATTCGAAACCTGTCGACATGGTCAGTTCTTCGGAGGTTCGTCTAAACTTGGCCAGGAAGCGTCCTGGCCCAAGTGGTTAACACAACAGAATTAAAATTTGTTTCTCTTGTACTTCGCAGGTTCGAAACCTGCCTAACAACAGGGTTTTGTTCTCCTCGGAGGTTCATCTCAACTTCGTCCTCGCCAAAGTGGTTACCACAACGGAATCAAAATCCGTCTCTCTTGGACTACGCAGGTTCGAAACCTGCCGAACAACAGGAGTTTTTTTCTATCGGAACACGCCCGATTCCTCGGAGCAAGTTTGCCCTGACTGAAGTGTTTACTGCAACATAATCAAAATCTGTCTCTTGGACTGTACAGTGCAGGTTCAAAACCTCCCAATGGGGTTTTTTCCCATCCGAACACGCCTTGAAGATTCACTGAAGATTCACTGATGGATAGTTCCTCAGAGGCTCATCTCAACTTCGCCCTGGCCAAGGTGTTTACTGCAACGGAATCGAAATCTGTCCCTTGGACTGACACTACCAGTGTAGGTTCCAAACCTGCCGATGAGGATTTTTCTATCCGAACACGCCCTCAAGATTCACTGATGGACATTTCCTCAGAGATTCATATCAACTTCGCCTTGGCCAAAGTGGACATTGTCACATAATCGAAATATGTCTCTTGGACTGTACCAGTGCAGGTTCAAAACCTGCCGACGAGGTTTTTTCTCTCAGAACGCGCCTTGAAGATTCACTGATGGTCATTTCCTCCGGAGTTCATTTCAACTTCGCCTGGCCAAAGTGGTTACTACAACAGAATCGAAATATGTTTCTGTCAGACTTGCGCAAGCTCGAAACCTGCCGACGATAAGGTTTTTTTCTATTGGAACACACTTTGATATTCACTCATGGATGAATTCCTCGGAGGCTCATCTTAACTGGTCTTAACCAAGTGGTTACCACAACAGAATCAAAATCTGTTTCTCTTCCAGACGGTTCGAAACCTGCTGACAACATTTTTGCAGTGTATAGATCCTTAGAGCTCCGTTTTAACTAGGTCCAGACATTGCGCCGAAACCTCCTTTTTATGTGATAGTCTGTCCATGAAATAGAATTCACCTCACGCCTCGTCTCAGAAATGCGGGGTATATCCCTGAGATGTGTACGTGCCAACCTAGACCCTCGACGGACTAATCAAAACTGTCAGGATTCACCACCAAATGAAACATTGATGGAGCTGGAGTTACACACAGACTTCCAAGGACTACCGATGATCGGCAGAAGAATGCACACAAGCTCAGGGCAGATTGAGTCTGACTTGATCTCTCCACTGAAGGTCTGGCCCAGACGTGGGCGGCAGTGATACTAGAAAGTCTCAGTCTATGAAAAGTTTTCAGAAGGAACAGCGCACGGGCCGATGGAAATTATGCTACATCAACACCAGCAGAAGCTGTTGGAAACTGTTGAGCACACATGCGCGCGATTTTTTTGCAGCAGGAGCACTTACTTTTCGTTATGTACCCACTCCGCGTTCTTTGTCGTCCCAGGTCCATACCACATAATCTGTGGCAAATGTTCGCTTCGTATGAAGGTCCGTCCACCCGTCTTCTCCGCAACGTCGCTCAATCCTACTCGCAAATTCCACACCTCCACTTTCCGAATTCCACTTCGTCTAGCCAACTGCTTGATCTTTGCGATCAATCCAGGAAACGTGTCCTCGCTGGCCCAGAGCCGCGTGATGATCAGCGTTGGCGTGGAGGGCTGCATTTCAACACTCCAGCTTGCGTATGTGTCTGGGTTACTCAAGGACTGTACACCCCAGAATCCGCCCGCCATAGAAAAGTTCGAGCCGTACGTTGCCCGAGGGATTTGGAATGCTGCGACACCATTTGTTGGCAAGCACGTCACGAGTGCCGTTGGGCGCGCCACCTCGTACAGCCCGTTCTCCACCAGCATGTTCTCTAGCTCCTTTCTAATCAGTCACAGCATCGTGGTCCCAAAGACCCTTCAGTTGCTCCTGCGTCAGCCACTTCCATCCCTCGTCATCCCCCTCCTCCGTGCCTACCTCCCATACAGTCGACACCGGACCCCGCTTCTCCCATCCGTCTCCTTCACCCCCAGGGCCCGATGAGCGGTAAAATTCCTCACCAACATCACTCCATAGCACCGAGAATAGCCCCCCGCCAGCATCCGCTACCTCTTCTGGTGGTGTGCCCCATGCCTCTGGGAATTCAGGAAGATTATCACGTGAGGCAATCACCCAATGTAGAAGACGCATCATGTGCCCTGCATAGCCGCGCCCGCGTTTTGAGGGTGGGGTGAAGACCGCAGCGATGCCGTATGAGGTTGTTTCGTGCACTGTGTTGGGTTCAGAAGCAGAGGAAGGAGGGTAAGCAACGAGGCTTGCTCGCTTGTATCTGACCCCGTAGAGCACGTCAGGATTTTGCTCGTACATCGAGGGTACTCGAGTCGCTTACGTCCTACAAGCACACATGAAATCGAGTGTCATGGGGTCCTCCCGTGGTGCCAGTACCCTTCCGATCTCATTAACTCCCTTCCGTTTGGAAAATGACATGCTTACCAGGTGATCATTTTCCCTTCCCTTGCGTGCTCTAGAACATCCATCTCTTCATCTCGCTTAATGTACTCCGCAAGACTCAGAGTACCACCCAAGTGCGGCCATCTTCGGCATCGTGTCTCCTTAATCTGCGCAGGCGTTGCGCGGAAGAGCGAGATCGATGCAAGTTCTACCTTTGGTTCTACCATCGGAGATAAACTTTGCGAATGCAATAATTCGTTAGTGCTTAACCAGAATGGAGATGATAGGATTGACCGATGCTCCTTATATCTCTATCACAATATTACCTCCCACCCATGTCAACGCGCAACTAAGTAAGACTTATCACGATTGTCACACGTGGTCGCGCATTCCTGACCCCTCCCTACATCAATCTCCCAAGGTCCAATCGACAACGGGTGCCAAATATAGCCTGCCCTGATTTTCACCAGTGACCACTGCGCACCTACTGCCAACTAGGCTGATAGTTGAAATACAGGTACATGATGCAGATAACCCACGTCTAACGTTCGTTATCGTACTTCAGTGTTCAGCACAAACAAAACGCGCATCTAGTTCTGTCTCGAACGGGGAGATGTGTTTCTTACCGGAAGCCCGATGTCCGTAGTCTGATTCAATTAGGGAAGTTTTCCTTTTGGTCATATGAATCACAACTGACTCGTCGCCTTTCAAAATTCGCGCATAGTGTACAACGATTGTAGGTACTCGCTATCAAAGTGACAAGGCGCTTTGGCACTCCTTAGACCCTTGATGATCTGTAAAAGATACCAATGAACAGGACGACGACTGTCTGGCACTCGTAATCGACGATAAAATTGGAGACGGATCAGGATGTGGAATCTAGACACCGCCGGTCCAAGTGACCCCAGCATCACATAAACAAGTAGTACTTGATAATCACAAATAAAATCAGAAATACCACTAGTCCAGATAAGATAACTTCTCCAAAGTCACCCCAAAAGGTATTGACCTCGAATTGAGGGCTAAGCGGTGGGTCCACCGAAACGGTTATCTTGTGCATCCTACCCGAACTACCATCTCGAGAAACGATGAAAAGAGTCTGTCGGGTTTCATCATAAGTATACTTATCGCCGGCGCTGAGACCCGAGACCACTAGCTTTCTCCCATAGACGATGAGGGACGGTACGAAAATTTCAGTCTCTCGAGCAGTAAGAACGATATTATCCTTGGACTCGGGCGACCTCCACTCGAAAACGAACGTGCCTGTGTTCATTTCGTACTCGAACCGTGTGGGTATACCAGCAGTCTTTGCAGCGTATGGTCGGACGATAGACGACAAGATGCGGCCACCGTTATCTAGCGTGAATGAGGATTGGTCCAAATCGAGCAGTGATCGAGGTAATCCACGCCTTCGACTGAACCAAGAGAAATTTTCCCCGTTCCAGTCATCACCTCGGATGTCATCATTGTCGGGGTTATAGTTCCACAGCCTGAAGGCATATCAATAATTGGTCATGCAAGAAGCACTGTACACACGTAAATCCGACCAGGGATCTCTCAAGACCTGTCATCATGGCGTCCATCATCCTTTCCTGCCATTTCCAGTTGTCGCTTTCAAATGCTTCCTTTTGACTGTGACCGTTCATCGTTAGGCATAAATACTAGTGGCATCGTCAAGCTTACTTCAGGTCCATGGGTATACCGCACTCTCCGATCAGAATAGGCTTCCCGAGTACTTCATAGCCATGATCCACGATATTCTGAATTTGGAGTGAGTAGTTTTCTCTTGCGCCTTGCTGACCCCAATACAAAGCTTTCAGCAGGAACATTCCCTAGAAAATGATATAAGCGTCCAAAACCCATATCTTATTTACCAAGGATCATACCCTGGATAAGCCTTGCACGTTCACCGTGAAATCCCCAAAAGCCTTATTGAATAGCGCGTGAAGGTCATACCTATAGCAGAGGTAAGCAATATGCTCTTGAGATAACAGTCCACCAACCAATGTGGGGTAAACACCATGTTAGGAAGTTGATGTTCTGCTGTCCATGATGGTGGACAGAACTGCAGGAGTTATCAGGAAACGTAAGAGATATGTCGCGCAACATACCTCGTTGGGAATTGGCTCTACAAAAAACATTTTGTCATTCGACATCGCCTTCCGGGCACGATCTGTCCACCGTCTAAGGAATGGGTAATAAAAATCGGTGTGCCAATCAACCTTCAAGTGTGTGAGTATCCACTTGATGGTCCATCGCACGTACATACCTTACGACCAGTCATAGGGTCCTTGACAAAATAATTTTCGCGTAGAACGACACCCTCGTTCTTGCTGTTGTCCCACCCCCAGACGCCGTGCATCTCCCATACACACATGCCTTGTGTTGGACCATCGGGGCGCCAGGCCTTCCGACTGGCGGAATTCAGAACACTCCGAGAAGTAAGACGAGTAGGCAAAGGGAACGAGCGTGTCCAGTTGGCAATGAGAGTGGGGTATCCGGAGCCAAGCATAAAAGATTCGAAAGCGGTTGCTGTACATGCCCTGCCATTAGTATCTCAAACGATAAATGTAAGTCAAGCGCACGCACGGACATGCGAAAGATGCAGATCTGTATTATAGTCGAACTTGTACAACGAAGGCAATTCTATATATCCTCTGTGGGGCTCGTTCATAACCTGTTTCAGATTAGCACTATAAAAGTCAAGCATTGCACAAGCTTGCCTCAAATCCAATGATTCCGTCTAAACCATCCAGAGCCTGTACGACTGTAGCGTACATATCCAAGAATGCATCCTGGAGGTATTGCTGGACTGGTTTTGCCTGACCACCAGGCATGACGATCTTCAACTTGGGTGCAAAGGTATCACCGGCCCAGAAGCAAGTACTGGACGGATAGAACACCATGTCAACACGATGGAAGCAATAGATTAAACTGGACATACGCCATGGTTGCGGCGGCCAACTTTTGATATCCGCAGGGCCAAATTCCACGTTCCGCTTCAACGTGACCACCACCTTTGACTCCTAGTAGCCATGCAGCTCCAGACTCTTCGAGTGCATGTAGGTCAAACCCAACGGCCTCGAGAGTCCATGCCGGCGCGCCAGAACCACCCGAGTACCTGGACCAGACGTCTTGATGAACGACGACGAACGCGCTAAGTCCGAACGAGGGCAACAATAAGAGAAGCTTGCGAACGTATGTCAGATACTCCTTGTCGTATATGCCGCTATAAAGATTGCATTAGTGATGTAATCAAGAGATGATTTTAATGCGTACAGTCCTGCATGTTCGACAGCTTCCCAAGTCACAAGAAACCGAACTAGCAAAATATCACGTAGCTGAAAGGGTTCACACTATGTGAAGACGTACTAAAGGTTAAGCCCCATCTTCTAAGACGAGAAAAGTGCTCAGGCGCTTCCTCCAGTGGAAATGGACGGCCAACAAACGTAACGACTTCGTGGTCAGCGGGAAATGTATCATGGTCATGATTCATTGGACTGCAAAATGTTCAGCATTATTGTTTACGTGCGTGAGATCAAAGCCTACGCTTTGCTGCAGCCAGACACGTTGACGCCACGTAAACTGCAGACGCGTCCATAGGAATCGACGAAGTGCCGCCCGTTCGGCTTTATTTCTCCTCCGGTTCCAGTTCGAGACCAATCATGTGCGTATGTGCGAGTCGAGCCAGGTATGTATGAAGGCAGCAGAGAGGGATGAATCTGATACCACAGTCAGCATTGAACTGTGATCTTACACTGAGCTCAGAGTCCCAGACCTTGTCTAAAAGTGGATCCGGCTTTGTATAAGATGGAGACGGAGTTGGCTTCGGACTTCCTTCAAGAAAGACAAAAGAGTTCTCGGAGCCGGATGGGCTGAGCATCGGTGACTGTGACGCGGGTATCTGGTCAATGTCGGATTAGAAACAACTAGATGACGTATTGCTATGGTGTAGTAACGCCTCAAAAGCAAAGGTATAGAAGGAAATGCCCTGATGGAAATATATCAACTTCGCAGCGGAAAGGAAGTTACTACTACGTTGAAGTGGACTGAGCGAAGTTGCGTTGCCAAACGAGAAGTTTATAATGTGTCCGAAAAAGGAAGGCGGTTGTTTGGCAAAGGCTTTGGATCCAAACAACTTGAAGCGGCCAGTTGTCTCGGCCCCGAATTACATACACCAAGATCATCATGATGAACTTGGGATATCAGTGCGGTCTACGTGCGCATCAGTTCCTTACTCCAGGCTTGTCCAAGCAGATCATTCCTTTCTTCCGCCGTATATATACCGAAGCTAAAGTTCAGACAACAGATTCCCAGCTGATTGTTCCTGCTCTCGGTGCTTCTTTTCCTCATAGATGGTTGCGAGATGCCTGCCAATGCACAGCCTGCGTACATCCTTCTACATCTCAGAAGCTTCGTAGGACATCGGATATTCCCGCTGATGTTCATCCCATTCCTTATGGCGTAACTTTCCAGGATAGTGGCATACACGTCGAGTGGGCAGATAATCACAAATCGTTTTACGAGCACTCTTTCTTGGAACGCTACTCATCCGCTCAACGACTGTCGTCTTTTCACAAAGATGTAAAACCGACATCTTGGGATGTATCTACCATCTCCCAAGCACCTGACCTCTACATGACCTATGAAGCCATAAAGAAGCCTTCCCAGCTACTCTCTGCCATCACCCAGCTTACCCGTTATGGACTACTCTTCCTTACAGGTGTCCCGAACACCGAACACACAAACGAGACATGCGAGCTCCGCAAACTTGCTAATATTTTTGGCGAACTGCGCGAAACCTTTTATGGGGAACTGTGGGATGTCAAGAACATCCGTAACAGCAAAAATATTGCCTATACTAATCTTGACTTAGGTATGCATATGGATCTGTTGTAGGTAGTTTCGGTACGTTGTGTCGATAAGGCTCTGATGATCCGACAGATACTTCCAACACCCTCCTCGATATCAAATTCTCCACTGCCTTCGCAATCGTGTTATAGGCGGTACCTCACGTTTTATTGATGGTCTCCGCGCCGCGGAGACATTGCGGAAGACCCATCCAATGGACTTTGATACCCTGACTACTACACCGGTTCCATTCCATTACGTCAATGATGGACATCACCTTCATTACGAGCACCCTACCATCGAACTTGCTTCGTTGCCCGTAACAATAGGAACTGACTCACAGACCACCAGTATCTCTGCATCCAGCGTGCCAGAAATTAAGCACATTAATTATTCCCCGCCTTTCCAAGCCCCTCTGCTGTTAGATTCAACTCCTCCCTCATTTTACGGTGCCCTGGGACGCTACGCCCGCTTTGCTTGATGACCCTATGAACATCCTAGATTATACCCTGCGCGAAGGCGATGCCGTCTTGTTCGACAATCGGCGGGTTTTGCACTCACGCGCTTCATTCACTGACGATGGCTCCGGTGCGGATGCATATGGCGAGACCAATCGATGGCTGAAGGGTTGTTATCTCGAAGCTGATGCCATTTTAGATCGAGGAAGGGTGTTGAGGACGAAGCTTGAGTCGCTGTAGGATTGAACACAATAACAACACGACAGTAATAAAGATGTTGCAGATGAGTCGCGGAGATATGTAAAGTTACATGTAAAAGTTGATGCAATTCATTGTCAATATAGATACATGGCCAACATAGCAACTCTCGACTACAACTTGCTCTTTTCTGCCTTCTTGATAAAGGCAACACCATTGCCCAATGCAACCTGCGTCAACTGTTCAGAACAAGACAAGGAACAGAACGACAAGGATCTCACTTTGCCAGATGTCAAGTTCTTCGTGATAAACGTAATCTCTGAGGTGCCGTTCGGACCAGGACCAACTTCCCAAGCTGACGTCTCGAGCTCATCACCAGGCTTTACAGGCGATGTGAACCTCGCGCCAAAGACCGTCAGGGCGCGGGAATTCCCGTTGGCTATCACCTGAATCAAACCTCTTGCAGCGAACCCATAACTTGACAGCCCATGCAAAATCACACCACCAAAGCCCATCACTTTACCAAGTTCCGGGTCTGATAGACAGCTCAGTCTGGGAAACCCAAGACATATACAAAGCGCCTACCAATGTGCAGAGGGTTGTAATCACCGCTCAGCCTGTAAATCAGGGCTTGCTCTGGTGTCGTCTTGTCCCGGACAACCCAATCCGGTTTTCGGTCCTTAGGGACAGGCTTCGCCTGAGGTGGGGCTGCAATAGCTTTAGAGAACTTGTCTCCGTTGGCCTTTGAACCAAGGTAAAAGGCTGAACTCTATAACTGGGGTCAGCATAGTGGCGATTCAGCTTGGGTGAGCACCTCACGTAAAGCTTCGCATAGGGAACATCACGAGGGTCGAGCAATATGGCTTCATTGTCGATAATGATTCCAGACTCTGTAAACATTGTTAGCCAGTAGAAGTGCTTGTAGATTTCATGAACACACTGTTCTCGTGTACGCCAACTACTCTTCGAGAGAGCTTCCAGCCGGATCCGCTAGCCACCGGAAGGTCTTTCAGGATTTCAATGCTTTGAGTTGCGTGGACCTGCGAACCTGTGAACACGGATCGAATAACACAACTTGCGAGTTACTTACCACCCTGCCGGAGTTCAGCTTCGGAAGACCCGGAAGAGGTTCACCGCCCGTTTTGGCTGCGAACAAGGTGACATCCTGGTCATCGCCTATCGATATTAACGCCTTCAATCCACTACTTAGATGTCTAATTGATCCCACCTTTCAGCCCAAGCACCACAGGATATGTCGGTAGTGGTCCCCATGACTTGTCTGCAGAAAACGTCAATGGCTGAACGTAAGCATGCCAAAACAACGCTACCAAGCTCTACGAAGTCGGGTTAATATGCATGAAGCGAACGAGAATGCGAGTCTCCTTACCATATACCAAAGACAGCTCGTCATGTTTTGCGCCTACCCCGATAGCATACGTGATGATGTCTTTACGAGTCCACGAAACCTAGTACATAAGAGCAAGTACTTAGTACAAACTCGAACTCGTATTACTGTAACACTGAAACGCACTGGTTGGTCTTTGGACTTGAAACCGACAGCTTTTCCAAGGTCGTAGCTCATGATGGTAGAGGCGAAAGTGCTGCAGAGTTGATGCTCTCCTAGTGGGATGCGAACTTGGAAGTCCAATTGAGCCTGAAACTCTCCGGCTATGTGAATCCCGGAGTATGTGCTGGCGGCTGATGATGTCACCACGTGGCTCATCGAGCGAGTCCTTAATTACATAATACACAACATACAGTTGTAACTACCGACCATCTGCATGGTACTAGGACGTTGTATAGTCTACTATGTGAGTACTACTGCGAACCTTCAAGCTAAGCTTCATCACCCCCATGGGCCATGGCGCTGCTGCATGCCCAGTGTTCAACCACCCACACGTGACCTACTAGGTGCATCATTAAATGTGATGCTGTCAGCTGAGTCAGAGTCTAGAGATACGTCGCATTCGAAGACGATGAGCATAGCTCACAGAATCTTGCGAGTTAGTGTTAGTTTCTTACTCAGTAGAATCCGGACCAGCGTCTATATCCTGCCACTGCTAACAACAGCCCGGAACCTTCGCCCATTTCTCCTCTCCTCTCACCTGAACTTCATCCACAACCCTACTACGTTCTTGTCCCACCTCTCATGACCATGACGAGGCCGTCTTTCTCTGCACGAAGAAGCACTGCGTATGTGTCCTGTGGGGCACGAATTCCGTGATACAATGTGGAGAACGCCCTCCTCGACCGTTACCGTTTCAACTGACGCGGTGACACTAATGACATCGACAGAAGTATTAGCCTCCGTCGCGGGGTACTGATATTATCCTCACCTAGACACCCTCATCGTTACTGCACGCTCAACAGCATTGCACTCACGCTCAACGGCATTGCACTCACGCTCAACAGCATTGCACTCACGCTCAACAGCATTGCACTCACGCTCAGAACCAGATATATTGAATTGAATACCAAGGTAGGATCTTGACTGAGGCCATCAATATATTTCGCGAATCACTTCGGTTAATACAGCATGACCATCCCCGGCGCCATCTACATCTTCACAATTTGAGCTCGGCATTCTGCTCTTGTTTCATGGAAACTCAAAAGAATGAGGATATCGAGGAAGCCATTCAACTCTGCCAAGAACCATTGGCAGCTTTGCCTCCGCAGCACCCAGATAGATATTACGACTGGCTGTGAGATACTTATCTTTCTCGTTTGCAGATTCTACAAAACTCTGCTGATTTGTCGCTTGCAACGGAGAACTTCAGACTTGCATCAAGATGCCCTACTCAAGGTATTCCGAAACGTATTGAAACAGCCTTGCACTGGGTTGTTGCAGCTGAGGGTTATCGACACGAATCTACCCTGAAAGCATACCGCACGTGCTTAGACTTCATGGAGCAGGGCCGTGGCAAGCAATGGTCGCTGTCCTCTCGACTCTGCGTTCCATATGAAGACCTCGAATCCGCGTATCCAATTTCTACTGGTAGCTCAGAAACTCTCGGAGCTCAACGCGCGACTTCCGATGCTCAGTGTTCCGCAGTGATCACAGACCGAGTTTCTGCTGATCTGGCAGCCATAAAGCACAGGAGGCTTACGACGGATTGCAAGTGGCAGCGCCCGACGAAGCCATTCACCTCGCTGCTGGACGGCAGTTGTGAGAGCGTCATTTGCATACTGTGAGTGGTCGATGACGCTGTTGCAAAACACATGGTTGAAGCTTTTGATGAGAAAATGTTCAAGGCTTTGGAGGAGGGTGACATACCAGATTGTACGAAGTCGGCCTCGGCACTCAACCATGCTACGTACACTAGAGAATGAGGTGCCGCTCGAGTAGAGGAATGTTTTCATTCATATTGGTGTGTTGTTCTCTGTCGTTCTATGTCGTGCACTACTGGCCGTGGATCACCTTCATCTTGATTCTTTGTTGTACTTGCCACGTTAGGAATCACCCCGCAGATAATAGTTGCATTTTCCGTTGCCTTATTATCGTGCACTGGGTTAGGGATTTCAAGCTCCATCAACAGAGTCGCGAGGGTTATTTATACTGCCCAGGTTACTCCGGGTGGCATGTGTTTATGGTTGCTCTTACTCACTCTAGCCTCGACGTGTTGAACCACCAGCATACTTAATGATAGAAGGAACGACTGTCTTCCTACCATTGGTCTGCCTACGGGAGGTTAACCCGCACTTAGGCGTAATTTATTTGCTTGCATCACAAGATTCTGGATTGCACATGGCTATGAGAAGTTGGTCAGTCTGTGGTCCGGTTCTAGATTTGTTGGAGAAACATTGTTGCACACTGGGTGGAATATTGAATCTGCCAAAACTTCGTTCATCGTAACATAAATAAAACATTAAACAACTAAGCAACTCCGGTTGTGGGAAAGCAGAAGATGGTCTAATATACAAAGAGAACCGCTGACGACAATTTGATTTTCCTTTCCCCCCATCATGTTGGCATGGATGTTCTCCGTCTCCTTTGTGACGGGCAGTCATCGGTTCATGCTCCAGTCCACATCGTGTACACCTGGCTCTCTGAAGAGTCGGTGATAACGCTCCTTGGTTCATGAGTCCGTATAATGTGGGACTTGCCACCCACTTGGAAGTGTACTTGCAGGATGGTGAGGCAGAACACAACTCCCTTTAGAAACGTTATGCAGGCGGCGTGTGTCCAAGCCAAGTGAACTCACCATAATGGGAGAGACGGCATCCAATACGGTATATTGACCATTGGATCCGGACAGGTATGCCAGAAGAATCGACAGGACGCCCGTCGCATATATAGCGCCACTTTCCACAATAACGATCAAAATGGGCAAATACACAGCAAATCCGTCTGACATAAAACGGCGAGTGCGATAGATGCGCCAGGCAATCAAAGCTACCACGTTGTCGTCAGAGCCCGCAAATCAGTCATGGAATAGACGTACTAGTGCAGGTGACGCTTGTAATCATAGTCAATGTGAAGAATGTCGTGATATATGAGTGACCAGTGGTGAAAACGGTGGACGAACTGTTGGCTTGGGAAAGGGCCCAAACGATCATGTACCCAGTCACTGCGAAACATCATGGGATAAGATTGAGGCAATGATACACTTCAAGACGCTCACCAGCATTTGTACACAGCACGATTAGACCAGGAACGGCAATGAACAGGCTTCTGTGGTTAAGTACATAACATCGCCAAACCTACTGCCCTATCACTGAGGTGAGAGAACAACCTGTCGGGCGGGGAAACTCACAAGGATACAATCAGCGAGAACGGTTTGCGTAACGTAAATTGTAGTTTTTGCGTATTCCAATGGCGCAGCAAGGTTGGAATAGTAGGCACTTGCACTCATCTTGTCCGCATTGAATACGAACGCCTGCAAAATTCGAACAAAATCGACAATTAGATGCTGAGATTAATTATGTTGAGCGATTCTGCCAAAAGGATTGACTAGTACACTGACACCCGTTGCCAAACAGAGCAGCGCGGTTGCGGCTGGGATCAGGAGTTGCCGGTTTGCGCCAGTGTTCTTGAGCAGGACGAACAGTGTTAAGCAGTACAACGTCAAGAATACGCCTGTTTGAGACCGTGAAATTCGGCACCATGACATCTTCCATCGGTTGGTGACGCACCATAAAACAAAGTCTCAAAAAACAAAGCTAAGAGTGAAGCTTCATCCAAAGGTATGCCCATGATTACGATCGGTAATGTGTTGAATCAGATTCAAACAGGGATAACCGGCCAATGAAGTTTCTAGGTGAGTGTAGTCACCGCCCCTCCTTTAAGTATTTTCGGCCACTTAACTTGTGAGCGGTTTGATACTCAATGAGCATAGACATTTTGTAATTCGACGCTGTGTTAGTGACTATTCCGCAGAACGCATCTGATGGGCCCGACTGGGCCGCACGAGTCTGAATGCCACAATGCATCCAAAGAATGTGACTGTTGGTAAGGCGACCCATCATGATATTACATAGCTTGCAGTTGATGATTACCATCATGGCTGCGACTCATTAGCGAACCAGACTGGACACCAGATAATCATGACGGTGCTACTGCAAGTTTGCTTCGCGTCGGCAATCAGTTCATGATCAAAATGATGTGCACGTTACTATGTGGAGTGACAATTACGTATAAGGTGCGTTTTCTATTTATGCTTTCAAACCTGCCTCTTCGCCTGCCTTCAAAATCGCGCATTTTGAAGGTTTGCGTTGGGACTGCACTAGCTACTCCAGTACTTGTTGAAAAACTCGACCTCGTTGCCTTTACCGGGACTTTTTCATCCAAATTAGGCAAAATGATGTGAATACTTCCGCTTGATTGCAAAAGTCCCGGTGAAGGCACTGCCAGCCAGTGAGGCTGAAAAACTCGTACTGCAGTTTCAACACATGCGCTGTAACCAAGGGCCACAATATTAATATCTAGCACCAGCGTCTATCATATGCGTGCCTGCCCAGTCAGTAGTAAAGCGCGCAGAGCATGTGATTTGTGCATTACACCCCTCCTATTTCACCTTTCTTTCCCACTGAACCTTCATTTCCGTTATCTAGTAACTCGGAACGGGTCACTCCATATCACTTTGATACGAGTCATTTTATGGTATTCACGCACAGCCAGCCCACCAATGGAAAAATTACGAGTCCCTCCAGGCGCATACTTCTTGGCAGGCAACTATGTGGTGTTGACTTAAGGGGGCGCTTGAAATCAGCCGTATCCGCAGAGTCCTATCATCCGATGAATCTGTACCGTGGCTGCGTGGAGCTATAGTGTGACCCTATCAAGGTAAAGTCTGTTGATATTTTTGGATGCGACCTGAGAGCTGAAGCGCTGATCTTCCGCCCGTAGATCACATGCGTCCCTTGAATTAAACAATGAGATCAGGCATCCTTCAAGCTCGATTGAATGCTAGGCAATGGATAAGTCATCGGAAAAATTTAAACCTCGTGGAATGAGCTGCGTTATTGTGGAGATGAGCCATTTGGTGAGTGATCTGCGCCATTTATGCACATTTACAAACTTCACGCAGATATGTCCTTCCCACTCATTGATGATATTTGCCTTTCTCTCACTCTAATGTTCGCTTTTATAGACGCTTGCACGGTGCGCTGCTCGACCTAACTGACACCAGCCTCTGTGCTCTTGGATTTCTGGCAGATCGCACACTGCAGCCCATCGAATGCAAGTTCGCCAGAGATATTAGTAGATGCAACAGACATTGGCGACACTCACCAGGGCCCAGCTTCAAGTCGGCTATACATTGGTATCCCATTTGTCTTGCCTACCACTTGTGCGATACTACGCACAAATCCCAAATCGATCACACTGGCCACGTCAGAATGTTGTGCACCATACTGTAATAACTCGATTATCCACTTTCTGCTTATAATGCACGACCTAATCTCACTGGAACACAACACCTGTTAGTTGGGTTCTAGGAACCGCTCACAACCGCAACTCTTTCTGCCCCCGGCTTAAGCCCGACTGTCCCCCATGTGGTAAGTTCTGCAAGCTTGGAACGATACCAATAACATGCGTCATAAGTGCCTTAGTCATATATTATGCGTTCAAGTGTTTGAGATGATGTTCCTCTATTTAAAGGTCTTCATGACCCCAAGTCAAGTAGCAGTGAAATTTACACTGAGGCAATACTCTAGAAATTCGGTTTCAGCACTAACAGACATAGACGCCGTCGAAACAGCAACAATGGCGAGGACGATGGAGAGATGCATTACTTGTGAGATGTGATGTGGGATCTCAAAAATAAATCTGAGGGGGGGGGGGACAGTAGACGGCTTGATTTTATGTCCTGATTAGTGTTTTTTTTGCATTCACCTATTACCCCTTTCACCGGCAGACCTCAGATTTGAGTTGCCCTGTCCCCGATATCCTATTGGTGAAAGAACCCTAAATGCTGGTAATGTGTAAATCCAAACTCGTTGCATTATTATATGGTCTACGTTAGGTGACACGAAGATTGCGGAAGCTCAGGGGCCTTATGGATCTGAGGGAACGACGAGTGAAGTTCTGGGGTCTGCAAAACATCGATGATGGTCCAGACTCTGCTATACCATCCCCCGACAAATTGATCATTCATCCGGTCACATAGGTTCGCTGGATTGTTGAGTTTTCCAGGTATTGACACTAGGTTGCTAGCGCTTAGACTGGTGACCAGCCCGTCTATCGACGGCTTGCCTCATAGACGGGGTGGTCACCAGTCTAGCTAGCGCTAAGTACGCGGTGTCAATTCTCATCGATATCCTTCAGTACTAGATAAAGGCCGAGCCTCGCCGGCAGCAACCTTGTACCACTAGAATGGGACTGAACTTCATTGGCAGGAACCTTGTTTACCATTTCAACAGGCTTTGTTCTGGCAAGGATTTTGTACAATAGTAAGATACAGCTATATCCAGAGGTATGATGTTGCGACCCTTCGGTCGACTCCTCGACACCAATTGACTGTGAGTAAGGGGATACGTTCGAAGGTCGAGCACCGTTCGTGCTAGCGTCCAACCTTGATTAAATATAGTTGCATACGTGGGTCGCAAAAGAAACTGTCTTCGATTTACAGTCCGCGATGAACAGTTAGGCAAAGATGCAGTGGCTTTCGAAAGTATTGATGAGTTGAACTTCAACGAATTGGCGATGCAGAGCAACTACGCGCACACGCGCGTTCCTGACCAATCCTTTTTCTACGGGGAGGTTTTATTGAATGGCGCAAATGCAATTCTGTTTGAGATCCAGATTCCAGGCGATGAGGAGGTACCAAGGTAGTCACGGGTACTTATGTGTTCTGGCGCATTTAATGGAGTGTGCGGCTGGGCTTCTTTCAGGCTGTCTGAACTAAAGCAAGATTCTAGGTTGTCTTGCAAGAGGAGTGTGTGCTTGATGTCTGTTCGAAAATCGCCTGGCAATTTGTCCAGAATTTTGTCGTCGAATTCACCGACGTTTCAGCGTCTTCGAGAACATGTAGTGGGAAGAGGAAGTTAATGGTATCGTCGAAGTTTGTAGTCGTTGCTATGAGTGCGAGATTCTGTCGATTTAGGGAGCAGTCTTCTCCGATGCGATCCACGAATGTAGTATTGAGACTCAAAATTCGCATGTCTGGTCATAGCGCCAATGATTTCTCTGCTACCAAAGTTGTTGTCCTTACCTGCTCCGCTGAAAATAAGACCTGCTTGCAGAAAATCTCCCAATCCTACGAATGGTACTCCGATAGATTCCGTCTTCAGTAGACAGGATATTGACACCAGTTTCCACTCACTCCAGCATATGCTATCACGACGCCGCCAAGTGGTGGACTTTCCCCGTTTGATGTATACGTCGCACTCTCTCGAGGACATGGTAGAGAGGATATACGTCTTCTATGTGATTTTGACGAGAAGTTGCTAACGACTCGCCCAAGTGAATATCTTTGTTTGAAGACCAACAGATTGTGAAGCTTGACCAGATAACGGAGCAGTGGTGGTGGTGGGATTCAAAGAAGCAGCGAGCCATAATATATTGATTGCAGATTCATTCAGAGTTGGACAACAACATATATATGCGCTTGTTCAATGTTACCTTGTAACAGTACATGTACAGTATTCTCGTATGCACACATCGCAGTACTAGTACTTGTAAATGTAAATAAACTCTCACAGGGGTCATAAAGTGGGATCGTACAGCCACAATTATGGAGTGATAATGACCTTGTAGGTACAAGGTACATACTTCAAAGCTTCACTGGCAGTGCACGATAATCTGCCACGATTGTCCTTGCAAAATTTGCATGACAGGCTGTTGCAAGCAACACTGTTTAAATGTGTTTGACGCGAAGCTGGGAAATCACGCGAAGTCTATCTGCGTCTTTCCTCCAGCCTAGCGCCGCACGTCTCTCCCCGAGTCCCCCCTCGAAACTTACCATTATTATGCCTAGAGCACCTAAACTAGCGTACATAGGATCCTATTACGACTGCCTCCGCTACTGCTATGGTGTCCCAAAGTCAGTATGAAAACCTATGACAAACACGCAACATTCGTACACCTGCGCAACAACCACAGTTCAGCGAAAGTTTCCTTGGATTCATTGAAAGCTTGCGAAAAAAAAGTCACGACCCTCATGGTGGCCTTCGCACACAGTTGCGCAGCACGAAACCAATTGGCACCCCGAGCCCAATAGTACAGACTAAGAGCTCTGCTGAATTCACAGTGGACAGCAATATTGTAAGCTTACACCATCCATATCAATTTCGTAGTTGGACTAATCAACTTCTGTCAAGAAAACATGGATGAATATGTTGCTCATGATAATTTTTCTGACCATCAGCCTATCCAGTGAAGCCCATCCCTGCATCGTATACGAGATACACCTGAAGATTACCTGGAGCCTCTCGATGTGGACGAACAGATCCTGCAAGAATCAAATACTCGCATCAAACTCGACGACCTCGGCCACTCCGTAATGTACATTAATACATTCAGAGTAGCCTCCCCCGGTGATGACCCAAGGATCTGAATGACTACTGACGCACTCGAACGCTTGCGAAATCCTCCGTGCGAACCTACCAACCATTAATGATGATGTTACTCATAACAGGGTAGTACCAGAGGCCGCCTTTCAGCCGAGATCTCTGTTACTCTTCGCCTCTCTTTGCCCGCTCGCAAATTCTTTTATCTTAGCGGTTTGGTAAATCAGGGTCAGGACGACGACGGAACATCGAACTTTGTATGATATGATCGAACATGACTGAGATTAACAGGCCTGAAGTTCCCTATAAGGTCAGTCGGTCCAGAACCCCAATATTGGCGTTCAAAAATGCTAATTAGGATAGAGGCCAATAATTACGTGGTACGCATGGCCTCCGCTAAGGTGTGACATTTTCGCGTCGTACTCGCACTGTGCAATACTAGTACTGGGCGTACATAGACAAGTGTGGAGGTATGTCGGTACTAGTACTTGGGAATATTATCTAACTTCTAACTGGCTTCCTAGACAAATCCTTTTGCCACCGCTGGAAGCTTCTGTATAACTCTTTACGGACGTACAAAGGCATTCCAACGAGCTGCAGTGACTTCGTCGAGAATGAAGTGGGCACCGACTTGACTCTGCAACCGGTTTTTTTCTCTACGTGGCAGAGAACCTGCTACGCAAAAGCATGCTGTGCAGTTCGGAAGTTTTCATGAATATCGGGACACCAGCCTGAGAATCATCGGTAGACGAGTCTTCCGAATTGCTGTACAAGATCTTCAAGTTCAGGAAGCTTCATTACGGGAACGCGGAGCTGACCTTCGCCGGAAAAGTCTATAAGATTCATCACCCAAGTCACTGCAATGTTAGCCTGCCCTGAAGACCACCTGAACTACCTCCCAAATGCTAACTTTGGACAAACAGACACAGACATCGGCCTTGTCCGAAAGCCTCAAAATGCTAAGTCTGGACAGAGATTTGGTCAAATTTAGGACAAACCTATTTATTTCGAGGGTGTCTCAGGAGCGGATCAAAGCTTTTTATCTTCCCGGGATGCCATGGAAAACCGGGAAAATATCGTTCCGAGAGTGATGCTATAATGCCATACTTCGTAAGTTTTTCTCAAGAGCTTCAGGGGCCCTAGACTGACTCCCGAGCTGAAGTTTTGGGCCCACCAATGCCAGCACAAACCTGCATAGACTATGATGTGTTCGCTCTAGCGATAATTTGCGAGAGAGGACAGGAGACAAAGTGAGATGAAGCTGAGTGGTTGTCCCGATATTCGCCATGTTACTGACATCGCAGTAAGTTCTAATCGCTTCCTTATATCAGGAGGTTCAAGTGTTTGAAAATGAATGAGTAACGGGCTTGTGCCCAGATTTCGGACTTTAACAGCTGACCAGATAGGTGATGAGCTCTAACGGCATAAAGGACCGACGTCCTCAGATGACAGTCCTCTCGGGTATGTAACATTCAGCGGACTGCCAATCATATCTGTGGCTATCCTGGAAAATGACAAGTCATTTCGGCTCTACCATCACCGGCACTGTCCAACTTGAAGTGAATCTCAGGTTCGCTTTGTAAAGAGTGGGCAGTGGGCTATCTGGTATATAACGGACGAGAGTCGGAGAAAATAAAGTAACATTCGTTGTTCCTCCAATCACTCCATGACATCAACGTCGCAGCTCCGTCAGTCAAATCTATTCGAGAAACGCTCCGAGCTCCTCAGCCGCGACGCTCGAGTACTTCTCTCGTACGAGAGAGCCAGGGCTATTGGCTTAGCACACGGTGCATATGAAGCTTTCTTATTCATGGGACACATCTTGATCTCGTATTGCAGGCATCACTCTTCATGACACTTTGGATTTGACGCAAAAATTTTGGGACATGCACATCGATCCAATCATGGTCCTAGATGGGGCTGCATCCACACTGCTGACCATCCAGTAACAATTTGGTTGCAGGAACACTTGCTCAATATGCCGCAACTACTAGACCTGATTTGGTTTCCCTTGTCGAGGATATTCTTCGATGGGATGTTATGTGAGCAAACCTTAACATCAATCTTGCAGAAGCGCTACATGGTCTCGTTGCAGTGGTCAATTCTGCCTTACCGAGCTGGGGAGAGGCCTAGACATCTTCCGAATGAAGACATCAGCGACACTTCTCCCACGGGTGAATTCGATCTTCATACGCCTTTGCCCTCAGATGCCAAGTACGAGATCACTATATCTTGAGAGCTGTTAATCATGCTAGCCCAGGTTCATGCCGCCAACTGTTCCAGTGAAAGGTCTTCCATGTATCGCCATTGTTTTCGCACAACTGTACGTGAACGGCGAATGCCGTGGACCTCGACCGTTTCTTGTCAATATAAACGACGGATATCATATGTGCAACGGGGTGACTTCGAGGCGAGTGCCTCTTTAAATCCATTTCACCTATTCCAAACTTATTGCTCTACGACTAGGTTGCTACCACCCAGAGGAGGCTCAGCTCCCGTCAATCATGCACTCACAAGCTTCCATCATGTCTGCTTACCGCCGTCGGCCCTTCTCGGGGACCTCGACAAGTCCAACAGAATGCATCGTGACTTTATGTCCTCTATATGGCGTGTTTGCGGTCGGGTCAGCTGGCGATTGGTTCGATTGCAATACCTGATCTCCAGATGTCATCGTACATCGCCGCGCGTTACTTTCAGCGTCGTCATGTCACCAGCGTGTATGGAAATCCTGTACCCATACTTTCATACCGGACGCAACAGCTTCCTTTACTACATGCCATCGCTCAGGCGTTCGTTCTAGGAGCGCTTTACAAATGGGCTATCGAACAGTTCATGGACAAGAATCTTGATGTTCGTGCGCGACATGGCGTCGCGGCTTGCTGTAAAGCGGTCATGGTTCAACACGCACAATTTGCAAATTGTGCCCTGTCTGAAAGAATGGGAGCTCAAGGCCTCTTCGAATACAATCGGCTGTCCAACTTTTATGTACGAACACCTTCTCTTGGACAGTCATGTTAGAGCAAGAATTAACCTGTTTCGCAGAGCGAGATGAGGGGAATTAGCATCGCTGAAGGTGACATTTTAGGTAGGCGACTTTTAGCCTTCTCCGGTGATGTGATACTGACCAAAGACGTCAGGACTTTCCATGCGTCAGTGCAGTGCATCGATGTCCGCGCAAGCTAAAGACTTACACAAAACTATAGGACTCGTGGGAGATACCTTAGCGCAAACGTACACGTTACCTCTCTCGACACACCCAGACGGCCCCCTTGCGTTGCACGAAATCTCGTTATTCGATGAGGCGACCGAGACCGTTTCCTCTTCATCCGACTTCACACAAGCGTTTATGCAATATGTGCAGCCGCGCTGTCAGCTGATGGTCGAATCCATGGGACACCGCATAGGCCTATGACGCCGCTGTCGACCAAGGGGTCTCCCAATGTCTCGTCGATCTGTATCTCATCAATGCGATCAAGACAGATGCCGCGTGGTACGTAGAGCGTGGTATATTTACGCGGCAGGCCATTATGCGTATGGAGGATACTGCTTTGTGGCTGCTTTGCCTCGCCTAGACGAGTTGCTCGCTGCGATGGAGGTTGAGCCATACGTCACGTCACCCATCATATCGGACGAGTGCTGGCGGAAATTTAGCAGGACCTTGCCTGTCTATAGCTCCCCTCAGGCTGAGGAGCCAGCGCAGCCGACTTTGGTTTTTGAGCGAGCTCGACTTTGAAGTTCTGGGTCGCTATAGCCTTGAATAAAAATATGATAAATCTTTGGCGACGGTTGTTCATAACTTTATTAGTCTGTTGAGCCACTCAGTTAGTTAGTGATTTATTTTTCTCCCCATTTACTTTCGATGTCCAGAAAACACCCATGCCATGCTCCATTTGATACTATCCAGGGCCTAAACAAACAGATACTTATCCCATTAATATATTCGTCGGAATGGTTGCTAAATTTCCAAGGTACAGTATGCCACAGCACCTGTTCATATACACAATTCTAGAGCTTTGATTTCTCTGTGGAAATATCGTATTTCCTGTTCAGAAAGTCGGCCATAACTCGTGCTGTATGAACAGTTAGATGGCAATCAATCGGTCCTTTATGTCAACACACCAAGCTCTTCTGGAGATTCCTGAGGAATCTAAGGCACAATTACATTAGTTATGGAAACAATCGATGGTAAGATACGGACGAAATGGCTAGATGACTTGAAGATGACGTTAGATGAATTTGCAGGTCTGCGCCAAGCACGCTGCTTCCTCACTTCCACTAGCATCGTCCTGTCGGATAACGCCTATCAGTTGGTGAACTTCACTCCGCCACCCTGACCTACACATCCTGGCTTGGTTTTCCGGGAAGAACCCACAGTAGCTCAATATTTTCGTCAAGCTTTTCCATCAATTCCCAAGTTTCACGGCTGGCTCGTGGGTTTGCAAGCACAAGAGCCTCGTGAATGGGAGGCGTTTTCAATCTGACGCATCCGCTTTCATCCTCGTACAGTCCGAAATCGACATAGAGCCGAAGGACGTCAGGATGCCAAGCAGAGAACATGGGTGAAGATTTAAAGGAACGCAAGGCGTCCTCCCTACAATTATAGTCAGTAGTACTCCAACGCAAGAATATTGTCAAAGTTCAAGTTTAATCACCGTGATGGCCATTGATCCCGTCTTGGCAAGGTAGCCCCAACCAAGTACTGCGTGTGCTCCCACGTAAATTCTTGGTAAGTATCAATCATCGCATCGAGGAGAATCATAGAGGAGAACAAGGCCGGGAAATGCAACGCGGCTAACGACCTGTGCAATATTATGGGATTCGACAGGTTTCTGAACTGCAGATGACATACACCGAGCAACCTCCAAACGAGTGTCCTGCTACGACCAAGGTCCGCGAGGAAAAGCCACTCTTTTCGCGTGATTCACCAACGGATGCAGGAACTCGATGAAGTTGGATAGGCAGAGAAGATGTTTCTACCTCTTCTGGCATATAGTTGATGAGAAAGTTTACAATGTCTCTCGCATTGTCAGTCCAATCAACTGTTGTCGATTAATTCCAAGCGGAAGGTCTAAGAAGTGATCTCTCACAGCTACCACTGAGATTATGTCGGTTTAGCAGAGCAGAGTCTCCATGTTGCACGGATTCCCATGACCAGATCTCATCTATGACACCACAGGCGGCTAGTAGATAGCATAAATGGGTCTCCCATATCTAATACACGATTAGATTCCTAGCATACATGAATAGGTATTATGAGACTCACTTCCTTCGGAAAACCCGTTGCGTGCACAAGGAACAAGGTGATCCCCTTCGTTCTGACCTTCACCTCTTGGTCCTTTTTCACATATCGGTTGACGCAATTCCACAGCAATCTTTCGTCTGTAACCCCGGAGTAGCCGTCCTCACCTAGCCGGACCTGTTGTTCCATGAGTTCAAGTCCTACATTCTTGATATCCCTCTCGGTTCTTTTCGAAGAGCGAGGTGGCTCGGGAACTGGAATGTTTGGGGTGACTCTGGGATTGGCTGCAGGTATGATATGCGTGCTGATGTTGTATGTGCCGAGTAAGTCATCGGACCTGGGTTTGAAGGGCAGGGGCGGAACTTTGACGTGCCCTTCATGAGGCTTGAATGGCACCCATGGACGGGGTTTCACGGTCGTCCGGAGTGTTGTAGGTGTGTAAGGATACGAGGATGTCATGACTGTCGGCGACTGCTGCCTGGAAGTCTCTATTCTGTCAAGTAGTTGTTTTCTGTTCCGAAAGAGAATGCCGGATTGACTATTTTGCAGAATCAGATGAGTCTGATGCCGTCGTGATCACCCCGGCAGGCCAGTCACCTCCGACAGACTTGGAATGGAAGGAAGATAACGTACCATATTTACGATGCCGGTATGTGCGCTCCTGAAAGACTCGAAGTCAATCATGGTGCATGATGGATCAATTTCTGACACCGTGACGAGGAAGCTGCAAGTGAGCACCATGATTCAGAAAGGTGATGGAAGTACACTGAGATACTTGAATTCCCCCAGTTAGCCCGGAGTCACTCTGGAAACAAGTAATCCTTAGAAGGAATAACTGTCTTCGGAATCCCATCTAAGTAGCACTAGTGTAAGGTCATGGCCTATGGCTATATACTATCACATTTTTATGATTAGCCTTATGTTTAGTCCCGAGGGTGAGAAGTACATGGAAAGAGCAGCATAGGGTGGCTTCACTACTGCATGTCGCGTTTTGGCAGGGCCAGCAGATTTCCAGATTCTGATCTCTCTCAGATTCAGAAGCCTTCAAGCTTCAAGGACGGTATTCAAATTTCAAAGTACGTCTCGAGCTTTAGTGCTGAGGGTGTCGCGCTCCTCCTACTTCGTGTTCTCGATGCAAGACTTGCAAGTCGAATGTAGAACTGATTAAAATGATTCTGAAACGTTCTAGACTCTTGCCAAGTCTACTTCATCTCATCTTCGGCAAACACCGAAAAGTGAAGTCGTTCAACCTCACCTGGTTCAGTTCTTTGCTGATATCGTCGCGTGGCTCTCGGCATCAGAACTCACTCGTCCTTTCTGAGTACGTCGATTGCATATTTACCCCTGCTATATTTATTCGTATGCTACCGTTGATCGCAGTATATATTTCGGAACGATTATTTTCGTTCATCCCAAATATTCCGAACACCGATGCCATCTCCTTGACCCATGATCGGTACCATGTTGGAATCAGGCATCGAAGCCCCGGTCAACGCCGGTGACGGCGTATTTGGTAACAGCTTCAATATTCAATGCCTAACAGGGCGGCTGGCATCTTCTTGATGTACGTGATTGAGATCTGATCAAGCCATGGACTACGTAGGGAGCAGCCAAACAAGCAATCAACCCTTGCTAGGAAAGCTCACCTTCACAATGCCCGTCACGGTATAGTTGCTGTATCTGCTAGTAAGTTTGGTAAACTTCTCGCCTAAATCCTTTTCAGTTCTAACACAACATCATCAAGATTCAAGTGCGTCGTTCACAAAACCTACCACGGTACAATCACCCGGATATGCTTGCACACATTCTATGACGGGTGCATCACAGCAGCTGTAACTCACTACGTTCCCTATCGATCAGTCCCCACTTCACTCGACGACTTATTACCAGCAAATTCAATCGTGAAACGCATGAGAGGGGTAGGTGGCAGAACGTACGCGGAATCTTCACATACCCCGCCTCAGCTTGTGGATCGACATTATAGAATGCCCATACCAAATTTTAGGATGTCCGCAGACAATTCTATAGGCCACTATTGTCTGCTCATATCAAGCACGTGCAGCGCAACAAGCTCATCTTTCGGAACAACATCGGTAAGTACAGACATGCTTGCGCGACTCCGTAGCCACTGTATTCGCATCCGTCAACTCCATGGCACGTCGGAATAGAGGGAGAATTACCTTTAGCTTTGTTCAGTCAGAGGATCTTTCACCTCCATTTACTGGGATGCCTGGAATGAACTTTTGGGTCATTCTTTTTATATCTTCTTTTTACTTTGGGATTTCTAATGCCCGCTACCTATTGATAGCTAGTCGGTTTTGTAAAGCTCCACGCTAATTTCCAACTGCCAGGTCGGACCTGGCAGTGATCATGACGACCACCTTCGTCCCGCGAAGCGTCCAGATGCTGACACGACAAATCCCTGGCCAGGTTTTTGTTCACTGGCAGTACCAGTTACTATCCGTGAAGATGTGCAGAAACTGGCAGCTCTGATACGGCTGTTGGTAACCGTGGGCCTCGACGAAGAGAAGGCAGAATCAGACCATTCTCCTGGATCAAACTTTGAAAACGAGCTAGTCACCGTAACATCTACCGAGCAGTACACCCTGCCAAATCTACCGGAAACATGTCATGGTTCCCCTCAAGATGCGTCTTGCACTTGTCGCATTTCTCCGCTCGTTGCTACTGGGACAAAATGCGTCAAAGGTTATCCTATTCCTTGCAGACTTCGTGGATTTTCACTAGCATTTGCTAGGCGATTCAACTTACTTGCACGTAACAGTTATGCCTAGCTATGTTCTCCTGTCGGTTGCGTCAACGCCGGTTCCAGCTTCAGTGACTGGTTGGAAGTGAGCCTGAAGTGACTCGGCCATCGTGTGCTCTCCTCGTTCCGGTCGTCTGACCATTGCAAGCTCACGAGAAATCAAGTTGATGGGCCATGCATAGCTTCCATTCCATCGATGTAGTTTTCTCTATCCTGAACACTATCATAATCCAGTTGAAGATACATACCTCGCTAGAGTTGGAGAACAATACTGAGGTGTCGACGAAAGACGCAACGATGTAAATACCAGAAGCCGAGAAGTACCGTAGTAGTGTATGGTGTCGATGGTAATTAAGATAACGAGATAGAGCACTTAAGAGCTAACAAAGATCGTGTTACGAAGCAGTAAAAATCATGTCGAAAGGTATAAGTGTATCATATGAAGCGTTTGTTTCAGTAGTAAGCAGAACCAGCAGAAAACTGGGGTATGTTAGAACCAACAGTATTAACCTGAAACAAGGGGTGTTGGTTATCGGTGACGTCTGGCGAGGGAATGGGATGATAGAAAAAGAAACACACCTTTGCAAGCTTTTGCCCTTGAGATAAAACAACGAGGCAAGACCTCAGACCCTTCAAACACCACTGCCGTTCGAGCCAGGAAAGGAGATGATGATTCCAGAAAGCCTCAAATATATGATTGAGCTTGTCATCCCGTGGATTTGGAGCACGCGAGAGGTGGACAGCCCAGTTTTGACAAGCATACTTCAGGGCATCAGAGGCGGATCGACTGTGTTCCTGTGCTTCGTTTGCGAAAATGATAAAGGCACCCATAACACGGACGATCTCCTGTGGAAAAAGACCTTCTGGCAATACACAGGTGGCATACTCATGGTGGCTTAACGCCAGGAACGTCGGAAGCATCAAGAAATCTGGCAGGTTCTTGAACTGTTGGACCACTTGGAAAGCTGGCAGTAGAAGTAATTCTTGGGCAATCTTATATTTGGTGATTGCTTCCAATGTACTGGAGAATTCTTCCATTGTCACCCAGACAGACGCTGCAGGAGTGGACTGCCATGCTTTGCCGTGGAGCGTCTGTAGCCAGTCCCGCCCACGCGGAGTCTGCAGCCAGCTTCGCCCGTGTGGGGTTTGCAGCCAGTCGTACCCGTGGGTCGTCTGCAGCCAGATTCCCCCGCCCTCGGTCTGCAGCCAGTCTCTCCCGCCCTCGGTCTGCAGCCAGTCTCCCCTACCCTCTGTCTGCAGCCAGTGTTGCCCGTGCGGGATCAACAGCCAGTCTCGTCCGCGCTGGGTCTGGAGCCACTCTCTCCCGCCCCGTGTCCGGAGCCAGTCTAGTCCGCGCTGGGTCAGCATCCAGTCATGTACGCGGGTGGTCTGTAGCCAATCCTTCCCTTCTGGGTTCCACAGCCAGTCTTTCCCGTCTTGGGTCTGCAGCCAGACAATCATGCCTGAGTTCTCCAGCCAGTCTCTCCCGCCTGGGGTCTCTAGCCAGACTCGCCCATCCCGGGTCTCTAACCAGACCCACCCGCCCTGGGCGAGCCAGTCTCTCCCGCCTGGGGTCTCCAGCCAGTCCTGGCCCCTCAACCACCGTTTCCCGCTCCAGGTTTTCGGCCAGCGTTCCCCACCCTGGGGCCCCAGCCCGTCGTATCTTCTCTGAGTCTGCAGGCAGTTTGTCTGGGGTGGGGTCTGAACCCAGTCTTGCCTGTCTAGGAGGTGTGGCTGGTTCGGGGTCTGCGGGTAGTCCCGTCTACCCAGGGTTCCTGGGCAAACTTTCTCGCTCGGGGTCTGCAGGTAGTCTGGTTCTCTTCTCTGTGTCTGCAACCACTCATGCCCTCCGTCAGTCTGCAACCAGTCTTGTCCTTTCTGCGTCTGCAACCAGTGTTGCGCTCCCTGGCTCTGAAGCCAGTCTTGCCCACCCAGGGTCTGCAGCCAGTCGTGCCCTCTCTGGGTCTGCAGCCAGTCATGTCCTTCCCGGGTTTGCAGCCAGAACTTCCGCTGCGTGGTCTGTAGCCAGTCACGGTGCGTGGTCGGCAGCCAGTCTGACCCACACATTGTCAGCAGCAAGTCTTGTCGGCACATGAGCTGCGGCCAGTATCTCTCAACCTGGGTCTGCCACCAGTGAGCTGCAGTCGGGTTCTCCAACCAAACTCGCCCGTCCTGGGTCTCCAGCCAACGACTCGCGCCCCTGGTCTTCAGCCAGTCGCTCCCGCCCTGACTAACTAGCCAGTCTTGCCCTCCATGGGTCCGCAGCCAGCCTCTTCCGCCCTGGGTACCCAGCCAATCCCGCGCAGTTGGGTTCTCTAGCCAAACTCGCCCATCCTGGGTTTCCAGCCAGTCACTCCCGCCTTGAGTTACCAACCAGCCTCTCCCGCCCTGGGTCTCCAGCCACACTCTCCCGCCCCGGGTCTCCAACCACTCTCGCCCCACCGGAGTCTGCAGCCAGACTCGCCCAACTTTAGTCTGCAGCCATGCTTGTCCTCCCGGTGTCTGCAGCGAGTCTTCCCCTCCATGGGTCTGCAGCCAGTCTCGACCTCCCTGCGTCCGCAGCCAGTATCGCCTGCGCAGAGTCTGCAGCCAGTCTTTCCCGCCCAAGGTCTGCAGCCAGTCTCTCCCACCCTGTGTCTGCAGCCAGTCTCGCCCTCCCTGTGTCTGCAGCCAGTCGTCCCCTCCGCGGGTTTGCAACCAAGCGCACCCGTCCAGGGTCTCTAACCAGAATCGTAGATCTGGAGTGCGATCTCCCCGAAGCCACATCAGGCTCAAAAGGGCTGACATTGGCTCCGGTGGCTGGACGAGGAAGACCAACGAGTCTTTTAATTCCTTGGGGTCTTGGGGCTGCAAAGCTTGGCTCTGTCTCTGTAATTCTGAGAGGGCATGAAGGAGGGCTGTGCTTTTTGGAATCTCCTTCATCATCAAGCGGAAAGAAGCGTCGGCGAGTAGGGAGTGGGTGGTTGACATATCGTGTGCGTGAAGGAGGCTGCAGTTTGAGGGGTCGGAAACGTAGTCCCGAATGGACGAGTGACAAAGATTTACCGGGAGACTGGAGTCAGTAGGGATATCGATGACCGACCGTAGCTGCACTAGCGTTGTCTCGACATCCCTGCCAGGACCAGGCCCGAGTAGTTTCGAGATTTGTGACATCGGCAGAGGGTCTGCAAGGGCAGCAACGACGGATAAGTGCAGGTATGCCCGCTTGGGGTCAGAACATGTAGAGAGAATACTATCATATAACTTGTAGACCTCCGTTCCTGGTAGCAACTCGCTCGTTAGCTCGAGCATCAGCTGCAGCCGACCATGGGGATCATTATCTCCATCGTCGATAATAAACTTCATCATCGTAGACGCCACGATGAAACGTCTGCCCGCGCGGCTTGCCAGCTGCGCAAGTTGATCCCTCGATGGCTGCGGGAAATCCGGGTGGCGATTTGCCAGCTCTCCGAAGGAATGCTTCAAGAAAATATAAATGTCATTGTCGACATCGGCGCCGTCTAGCGAGATGGTGGTGGCAGCGCCCTCCCCAGAAGTTTTCACTGGTATCTCGCACACCAATGGGCCCACCTCCTGGTTCTGAAACGCTTTACAGATATGCGATTCCGAACGACTCGTGAGCAGAATGTGGGTCGCGGGAAGATCAGGTTCACGGAGAGCTTGTGCAAGGGAAAGGATGAGATCGGTAAGCTCAGGTTCAGATGTGCATTCATCAAGGGCATCAACGACAAACACTAAAGGCGGACACCCGCGCAATCTGAGTCGAAGTTTCCGGAGAGGTTGGATAAAGAGAACCTCCATCTGGTCGCAGAGAGGCGTGTCGGGGTCTAGCAGGGCGGGATTCTCGTGGATAGCTCTGTTTACATCCTTCCGGATGCTGGGGAAATTGTTGACAAGCTGGTAGACAAGCGTCACAAAAAAGTATCCAGCCGTGCAACGTTTCGTGTTCTTGCGCGAGAAAAAAAAAGTTGCTCCGAGCCGCTTTTCGACATTCGTCTGCTCTGTCATTTTTAGACCTCTCATCCTTTCAGCTACTGTGAACGCAACGGCAGACTTTCCAACGCCTGCCGTGCCATGTAGCCAAATGAGTTGATTCTTCTCTCGGTCTTCTAGTAATTTGTGGATGTAGTTGAGGAGATCCACCCGAGTCCCTTCCAAACATTTCGGGTGGGGCTGACGTTCACGGGAGTTATATTGAGCACCCTTGACAATGACCTCTGACAGCCTCGCCCAAGTTCCTTCAGACGATGGAAGAACTATTAATAAAGTCAGAGAGTGTGGTAAATAGGTACAAGAGAGACAGATACTGACATTGATCCCCGCTCATTCAAAAATATGCGTGATGAAATTGACTAACTGAAAGTGCTAGCCAGGTTCGAGGGTGCCGTTAAACTATCATTTGGGCGATAGTTATGTCGAGGGATGACGTACGAAGGATTGAATTACGCTTGTAAGTTGTGACAAGACTTAGGTCGCAAAACGATCCAGCTGTCGAGTGATAAAAGGGGTTGGTTGGTTGATTGGTTGAATGATTGGATGGTTGTGGGACGTAGTTGAAGCTAAAGGACGACTGGGCGCTCATTTGGATGCAGGAGGACACGGGGCTTGCACGAGGCTGCTGTACATGCCAGCATCAATTGTTAGCCAATCACATCGACTACTGCACAACCAGACAGAATCAGCTGTAGTCTGCATAAGTGAAGTAGGGATCAAGAAGGATGTTAGCAGTTTGTATGGACAAGATTGAATATTAAGGGTTGCATTGACAAGTTACAATGTTTGCATATGGTCAGCGAATCTGATCACTCCCACTTTCCATACTATCCAGCACCTAAACAAATAGATACTCGTCCTATTAATATATTCACGCACAGCACCCGTTCGTATATGCAATTCTAGAGCTTTGATTTCCTGAGGAAATATCGTATTTCCTGTTCAGAAAGTCGGCCATAACTCGCGCTGTATGAACAATTAGATGGCAATCAATCGGTCCTTTATGTCAACATACCAAGCTCTTCTGGAGACTCCTGAGGAATCTAAGGCACGATTATGTCAGTCATAGAAACAATTGAAGGCGAGATACAGACGAGGTGGCCAGCTGACTTGAAGATGATGTTGGATGAATTTGCAGGTCTGCGCCAAGCACGCTGCTTCCTCAATTCCATTAACATTGACCTGTCGGATAGCGCCTATCAGGTAGTGAACTTCATTCCGCTACCCCGACTTACACATCCAGGCTTTCTTTTCCGGGAAAAATCCACAGTAGTTCAATCTTTTCGTCAAGCTTTTCCATCAATTCCCAGGTTCCACGTCTAGCTTGTGGGTTCGCAGTGAGAAGAGCCTCATGAACGGGAGGCACCTTCAATCTGACGCATCCGCTTTCATCCTCGTACAGTGCGAAATCAACATAGAGCCGAAGGACGTCAGGATGCCAAACAGAGAAGGTGGGTGAAGATTTAAAGGAACGCAGTGCGTCCTCCCTACAATCATAGTCAGTAGTACTCTGACGCAAGAGTATTATCAAATTTTAATCACCGTGATGGCCACTGATCGCGCCTTACCAAAGCAGCCCCAACCAAGTACTGGTTGTTCTCCCACACAAATCCTTCAAAGGGATCAAGCGTCGCATCGATGAGAATCATCGAGGAGAACAAGGCAGGGAAATGCAACGCGGCTAACGTCCTGTGCAATATTGTGAGATTCGACAAGTCTCTGAACTGTGAATGACATACACCGGGCAACCTCCATATGAGTGTCCTGCTACGGCCAAGGTTCGGGAGGAGAAGCCACTCCTTTGGCGTGATTTACCGATGGATGCAGGAACTCGATCAAGTTGGATAGGGAGAGAAGATGTCTCTACCTCTTCTGGCATATAGTTGATGAGAAAGTTTGCCATGTCTCTCGCATCGTCAGTCCAATCAACTGCTGTCAATCAATTTCAAGCGGGAGGTCTGAGAAACGATCTCTCACAGCTTACCACTGAGATTTTGTCTGTTTAACAGAGCAGAGTCCCCATGTTGCACTGACTCCCATGACCAGATCTCATCTATGACACCACAGGCGGCTAGCAAATAGCATAAATTGGTCTCACATATCTAAACACGATTAGATTCTCAGCATGCATAAACAGGTATCACGATACTCACTTCCTTCGGAAAACCCACACCGTGCACAAGGAACAAAGTGATCCCCTTTGTTCTGACTTTGGCCTCCTTGTCCCTTTTTACATATCGGTTGACGCAATTCCACAGCAACCTTTCGTCTGTGACCCCAGAGTAGCCGTCCTCACCTAACCGGGCCTGTTGTTCCATTAGTTCAATCCCTAAATCCTTGATATCTTTCTTGGTTCTTTTTTTCGAAGAGCGAGGAGGTGGCTCGGGAACTGGAATATTTGGGTTGACTCTGGGATTGGCTGCAGGTATGATATGCGTGCTGATATTGTATGTACCGAGTAAGTCATCGGACCTGGGTTTGAAGGGCAGGGGCGGGACTTCGATGTGCCCCTCATGAGGCTTGAATGGCACCCATGGGCGCGGTTTCGCGGTCGTCCGGAGTGTTGTAGGTGTGTAGGGATAGGAGGTCATGACTGTCAATGACTGCTGCCTGGAGCTCTCTTTTCTACCGACTTCCAGTTCAGAGAATACGGTACGGATTGATCGTTATCTTGCAGAATTAGCACGGATTATATACCGCCCGGTCATGGCTGTAACATTCAGCTAGGGATCTTTCAATTGTGAATGCCGTGACCGGGCTTTGACGGCTCAGCAGTTGTTCGAAGGAGCCAAGTAAGGTCTAGTAAGGCCATATTTTAGTATTCAGAATGATAACGGGGTACCAAAAGCCGAATCAGAAACAAACATTCCAGAAGGTCAGAACCAGCTACAGCCGGATCTCAAATCCGTCCATCAGTGCGCTATTGAATTAGGTCCACATCTTATCCATCACAACCTAAAGATATATAGATATAGATATAGCACGATAATCACGGCGAAGAAAACTTGATCGCGCCAGTCATAGGGTCCGTGAACGTGAACATGGCAGCGTGCGACACCATTAACGCAAACGTCGCAGTCCTGAGTAGTAGTAGTATTAATAGTGTCTCCAAGTCAGATTTATGCACTGCGGACTCACATGAGAGCCGTCCAAGGCGTACTCCCACCCTCCTTTGTCCGAATAGGGTGCTGGTTCATGAAGCTGCTGAGCGCGATGAGGACTACTGGCCATGCTAGGTACCTGTGAAGATGAGTTGTGAGATAAGGGATACCTGAAAAGAACAGCCAGCATGGAAAGGTGGTTTTCATACACTAGACTTACCGATTTCTAGAAACTAACACTAAGCCAGCGAGGAACATGCCCATTGAACCAATAGTGTCTGTCAGTGTGTGTTGAGTTCTGTAGAATCAAACGAATGAGCTGCACTCACCAGCAGACTCTGCACGCCACGTTTTCGGCAGAGACAGCTTAGTTTCTCGAGTCGAATCTCTTGGGTCTGTGGACATGTTGGAATATTAATGAAATGTTGAAGCTGAAGCAAAACGCATCCCATCAGGATTCAGCTGAAAACTACTCACGTGACTAGTACTTCCGACCAAGACCAAGTTAACTTGTAGTGCTTCTTCTTGGCACCATCAACCATGTTCCCCACCCCCCCAATCCTAGCCTCAGCACTAGCCAAAATCTCCACTCCCTTCCGCCGCTCCCAACTCGGTCTCTTCCACGGCAAAACCAAACAATACGGAAACAATGTCCCGCACTCAAAACACAAAACCCGACGTACATGGCTTCCTAATGTTCACACCAAACGCTTGACATCGGATGCATTGGGGCGGGATGTAAAAGTAAAGCTTACGACGCGTGCGCTTAAGAGTATTAATAAGGTGTGTTGCTAGTTTGTTTTGGTATTTTAAGGTGGTTTTCTCATCATACCCTTTTACGGGGGAGTAGCATGGCGGCGTTGATAATTACCTCCTGCGGACAAAACCCGATTTGTTAGGTATCGAGGGGATGCGTCTCAGGATCTTGGTACGCGAACAGCTAGACGTCAAACGTGTCGAAGAGGAGGCTTTGGCACAAGCAGAAGCGAAGATCCAGCTCGAGAAAGAGATGAAAGAGGCAAAACAGAGACGCAGAGCGAAAGTCGCACATGCGCAGAAATCGAAGGAAGCGAGGTTGAACATCTCTCAGGGGATATTTGGGTCGGGACCGACGCCTCCTCGAGTTGATGTGTCATAACTAGTGGTGAGTGAGGGTTATTCAGTGCTTCTTGTAAGATCTCTGAGCTGAATCCTGATGGAATGCAGATGCGGCTGTCCTGTAGTATATACTCCTAGATAATACCTCGAATTTCAACGACCCAGCTTCCTTCAAGTTAAATCCGCGCATGTTGCATTTCATTTCAAACGCCCAGGGTCCTATCGCAAGAATAATCTACCAAGGCATGGTCATGATTATATGCCATACCATGCGATTTATGTGGTGAGAGATGAACGAACGGAACGAGCGTGATGCGTCTATAGGTATATCAATGAAAATCTGATTATTTAAATCCTCCCAGAGCAGCGCAGTGCAGTAGCGAAATCGAAAACATGAATGACGAATAACAACAATAAAAGGGACAAAAAACGTAGACGTAGGACCTCTCCGAACATGATGCAGCTCCGGCATGGAGCACCTTCCGCCACCACGTCCGCACAATAGTTGTATTCGACACAGTAGTGCTCACTCCCACTCCGAATCAGAGCTCGTTAGCGTTGACCCCTGATCGACTCACACCTACAGACCGCATAATCTTCATAGACGGAGTCTGTAACGAGCCAGTCCACTTGGAGTGCACACTCCGATAATTGCTCTCCAAGTCCAGACGAGCTGGAAGAGTGGTTCAGGTCCACGGAATTCGAATTCGAATAGAGATTTGTCTGTGAGTCTTGCTTCATCTTCGCCTTCGTCCTCCGCGTACAATTGGACGTACCCGTCTTCTGTGGTGGGTTATCGAGAGTGCTCATGCGACTGCGACTGTGCTGAGGGTTCACGGAGATACATGAAGGGGGTGAGTTGCCCTGGACGCGTGACAGGTGGAGGATTAAACAGCTTTCGCAGTGTATCTGGATCCCCTGGAATAACACGCTGCGAAACATACTCAGCAAAGATGACAAGAAAAGCCACTATGAAAAACGGACCTGCATGACGACAATTTTTGCTTCGTAACCTCCGAGTTCGTTGTTTTCCTTGCCAATACCTATCTGGACCATAACATCAAAGGTACCACGCTGTGTTCCTTTAGCTGTTCGAACAGAGTGACCTTCGGCAGGAGAATAGGCATTCGGGGGTGATTGAGCGGGAGAAGGAGTAGGGTCTTGCGGGGCAGATTGGGGTAACCGGCCAGCGGAAAGGTATTGTGGGGGTAGGTGTTGAGGACGAGAATGGGAGGATTATGAGGATGTACTAGGCGCTGAGACAGTGCGCATATTAGAGGTGGAACTAGGAGATACTATAGGCGAGTTTGCAGATACGATGACTGAGGGGACGGATGGGTCGTGCGAGTGGGATGAGTTGGAGTTGGTAATGCTTTGGGTATTTGAGGCGTCGTTAGCGTTGGCTACGTCTATTTCACTTAGCTGGAGAAGCCGACAGGTGTCATTTTGGACAAGGTACGAGAGCCCTCCTCCTATTGATGGGTTTCGTGGCGAGATACTTGAGCTCGCTGTCTAACACAGCGAGCACGGAGGTTCGGCGCTGACGTGCCTCCAGCCGTACTTCTATCAATGGGACAGGATGTATAATGTCACAAAAGTAGTTGCCACCTACATGTACGCAAGTAAGTTATCCAGAGCCTAAACAAATAGAAACTCATCCCATTAACACGTTCGTCGAAGTGGTTGCTAAAGTTTACAGGTAGTGTCGCATAGCACCCGTCCATGTACATAATTCTAGAGCTTTGATTTCCCTGAGCAAATATCGTATTTCCTGTGCAGAAAATCGGCCATAACTCGCGCTGTATGAACAGTTAGATTGCAATCAATTAGTCATTCATGTCAACATACCAAGCTCTTCCGGAGACTCCTGAGGAATCTAAGCCACAACTAAGTTAGTTATAGAACTAATTGAAAGCGAGATACAGACAAGATGACCAGTTGACTTGAAGATGATGTTGGATGAATTTGCAGGTCTGCGCCAAGGACGCTGCTTAATCACCTCCGATATCGACCTGTCGGGTAGTGCCTATCAGTTAGTGAATTTCATTCTGCCACCTGGCTTACATATCCAGAATGTCTTTTCCGGGAAGAATCCAAAGTAGTTCAATCTTTTCGTCAAGCTTTTCCATTAATTCCCAGGCTTCACGCCTAGCTCGTGGGTTCGCAAGCACAAGAGCCTCGTGAACGGGAGGCATTTTCAATCTGACGCATCCGCTTTCATCCTCGTACAGTCCGAAATCAACATAGAGCCGAAGGACGTCAGGATGCCAAGCGGAGAACAAGGGTGATGATTTAAAGGAACGCAGGGCGTCCTCCCTACAATCATAGTCAGTAGTAATCCGATGCAAGAGTATTGTCGAAGTTCAATCACCGTGATGGCCATTGATCACGCCTTATCAAAGTAGCCCCAACAAAAGCCTGCATGAGCTCCCACATAGGTCCTTGGTAAGTATCGATTACCGCATCGACGAGGATAATCGAGGAGAACAAGGCAGGGAAATGCAACGCGGCTAACGTCCTGTGCAATACTGTGAGATTCGACAGGTCTCTGAATTGCGAATAACATACACCGAGCAACCTCCAAACGAGTGTCCTGCTACGACCAAGGTCCGGGAGGAGAAACCACTCTTTTCGCGTGATTCACCAATGGATACAGGAACTCGATTAAGTTGGATAGGCAGAGAAGATGTTTCTACCTCTTCTGGCATATAGTTGATGAGAAAGTTTGTAATGTCTCTCGCATTGTCAGTCCAATCAGCTGTTGTCGATTAATTCCAAGTGGAAGGTCTAAGAAGCGATCTCTCACAGCTACCACTGAGATTATGTCGGTTTAGCAGAGCAGAGTCTCCATGTTGCACGGATTCCCATGACCAGATCTCATCTATGGCACCACAGGCAGCTAGTAGATAGCATAAATGAGTCTCCCATATCTAATACACGATTAGATTCTCAGCATGCATGAATAGACATTACGAGACTCACTTCCTTCGGAAAACCCGTTGCGTGCACAAGGAACAAGGTGATCCCCTTCGTTCCGACTTTGGCCTCCTTGTCTTTTTCACATATCGGTTGACACAATTCCACAGTAACCTTTCGTCTGTGACTCCGGAGTAGCCCTCCTCACCTAGCCGGGCCTGTTGTTCCATGAGTTCAAGTCCTAAATTCTTGATATCGCTCTCGGTTCTTTTCGAAGAGCGAGGAGGTGGCTCGGGAACTGGAATGTTTGGGGTGACTCTGGGATTGGCTGCAAGTATGATATGCGTGCTGATGTTGTATGTACCGAGCAAGTCATCGGACCTGGGTTTGAAGGGCAGGGGCGGGACTTCGACGTGCCCCTCATGAGGCTTAAATGGCACCCATGGACGGGGTTTCACGGTCGTCCGAAGCGTTGTGGGTGTGTAGGGATATGAGGATGTCATGACTGTCTGGAAGTTCAAGTCGTTGTTTTCGGTCCCCAAAGAGAATACATCAGATGCCGCAGTATATGCGCTCCTGACAGGGTCAATCGTGAATTGTATCGATTTCTGACGCCGTGATGATCGCGCTCTGGAAACAAGTGATCATTAGAAGGAACAACTGTCTTCCGAATCCCATCTAATAGTTACTACATATGCGCATGCATGTTGGAATCAAGGACATCAAACGTGCCGAAGACGAGGCCTTGGCACAACTTGAAGTGCCAGCCCGGGCAGAAGCGAAGATCGATCATACAGCTCTGAAAGAGGGGAAACAAAGTTGCAAAGCAAAAATCGCACATGCATGGAAAGCGAGGGAGGCGAGGATGAATATCGCTGGGGGATGTTTGGGTCGGGGTCGACGCCTCCTCAAGTTAATGCGTCATAACTAGTGGTAAGTGAGGGTTATTCAGTGCTTCTTGTAAGGTCTCTGAGCTGAATCCTGATGGAATTTAGATGCGACTGTCCTGTTGCAATGGCATATCCTCCTAGATAATACCCTGCAATCAACGACCCAGTTTCTTTCAAGTTAAACTTGTGTCTCATTTCATTTCAAGTGCTCAGCGCTAGCGTGAGAATAAAATAATCGACTAAGGCATGGCTATATACCATACCGTAAGATTTATGTAGTGAAAGATGAACGAACAGAACAATGTGGTAAGAGCAAAATGCAGCTATAGATATATAAATGAAAACCCGATTGTTTGAATCCTCCCAGAGCAGTGCAGCGCAATAACAAAATCGAAAACTTGAGTGAGAAGAGCAACCTTAAAGGGGACAAAAAACGTAAATGCAGGAAAAAGAAAGACCCCTACGATCATGATGCAGCTCCGGCATGAAGCACCTTCCGCCACCACACCCGCTTCTCCACAATAGTCGTATTCGACACAGTAGTGCTCAAGCCGAGCTCGTTAACGTTGACTTCTGACCGACTCATAGCAACAGACCGCATACTCTTTATAGACGGCGCCCGTAACGAGCCAGTCCACTTCGAGCGAATACTCTGATAATCGCTCTCCGAGCCTTGGCGTGCTGGAAGAGGGTGGTTCAGGTCCACGAAATCTGAATTCGAATTTGAATATAAAGATTCATCTGCGAGTCTTGCTTCATCCTCGTCCGCGTAAACTTGGACGTGCCCATCTTCTGTGGCGACTTCTCGAGAGTGGTCATGCAGCTGCGCTGAGGGCTCGTGGAGATATGTGAAGGGGGTGAGTTGCCCTGGGCGCGTGACAGGTGCAGGGTTAAACAGCGCTTCGATGAGCTTCTCCGTCCCACGGATACCACGAGTATTGGGAAGTTGGCTCGCGTCCAGCGGGTTCTTTTTTCGCTTTGAACCAGGCCTGCGTTTTCTAGAAGAGTGGGTCGAGATGGTGGATACAGAGGATGAGGATGAGTTTGCGTTTGCGTAGAGGTCGAGGGTGCGTGGTCGTGTTCGGAAGATGTCGTTGTCGAGTAGACCAGCTACCCCACTTAAGATCTCTCCTTTAGGGAGAGGTGGGGCGATGTAGGATGATTCGCCACTGATGTGTTCTAATTGGACGGTGAGCTATGGGAAATGCCAAGTAAGTCCAAAAAACAGAGAGAGATTGATGGTGAAAATACCTTGAGCGTAGCATTGGTCTTGCTCTGCCTAAGCAAATAGCGGCGAGTGACGACTCCAGCATCGACGTATTGAGCGAGATTTAGGCTCACAGCGCCAAGCCTAGGATTTCGCGGTGCGTCTGGATCGCCTGGAATAACTCGCTGCGAAACATACTCAGCAAATATGACAAGAAAAGCCACTACGAAAAACTGACCTGCATAACGACGAATTTTGCCTCGCAACCTCCGAGTTCGTTAGTTTCCCTACCAATACCTATCTGGACCATAACATCAAGAGTGTGTTCCCATGCCACGCTGTGTTCCTTAAGCTGTTCGAACGCAGTGTGTCCTTTGGCAGGAGAATAGGCGTTCGGAGGTGATTTAGCGAGAGAAGGGGAAGGGTCTGGTGGGGCAGATTGGGGTAACCAGTCAGCGGAAAGGTATTGTGGGGGTACGAGTTGAGCACGAGAATTGGAAGATGATGAGGATGTACTAGGGGTTGAGACGGTGTGCGTATTTGAGGTTGAAGTAGGGGATACTATAGGTGAGTTTACGGATACGATGACTGAGGGGATGGATGGGTCATGTGAGTGGGATGAATTGGAGTTGGTGATACTTTGAGCGTCTGAGGCGTCATTGACATTGGCTGCGTCTATTTCGCTTTCGTGAGGCTTCTCCTTCTCTTTTCCTTTAGTTGAATTGGGACTCCCGTTCGGGGTGGTACTCCCTATAGCCTTGCCCTTACCCTTCACCTTTCCCAATAGACCTCCACCAGATGTGACCCCCTTGAACTTCCACCGTACTTCGAATTCTCCATTGACAAACGGGACGCTGCTGAGCTGATGTATGGTAAGGCGCAAGAGAAATATAGCATGGCGAGGCAAGAGATGGGCAAGCTGTGCACGAAACCCTGAGGAATGGGCAGTGCCATTGGTAGGGCTAGTCGGTCTCGGGTGGGGTTTAGTTGGGGATTTCAATGACCGGGTATCAAGCGTAGGCGAAGGAGGTCGCTTGGCTGTAACGGATGACAGGTGTAATTTTGGACTAGATTTCTTAGCGGGCCGTAAGGTGGAAGAACGCTCTCTGTTACTAGAGAGTAAGGAAGTTGATGATTCGGCACCTGGTGGGTGTCGGGAATGGTGGAGCAGCATGTGAAGCGTGCTTCAGGGTGGTGGAGAAGACAGACAAGTGTATTTGTGAATTGTGGGCGGAATGGCTGACGCGCATCAAGAAATTCATGTAAAATGATTAGACAGGTGGGTGCAGTTCAACCGCTGTACATGACACATATGAGACTTGCCTATTCTAGCTTGGGAAGGCTTACTTCATGGCCACCCGTGAAACTAGTCATGCATTGAAAACGTGTATTACACGAGTCGTGCATCGAAAAATATTTCTTATTTCACGGAGTCACTGACTAGCGTATCGCAATTTACGTCCCAGCTCTCAGACCGAATTTAGTTCCGGGTTCCACCTGGCAGTCTTCTCGTTATTTTTTTGCCAATAGCGGTCTCGGTATTGGTTTCAGAACGTCATCAAGTACCGTCGGATGGTTAGCCTGCGGCGGCGTGCATGTCATTTACTAGAGTTATTAGACACGTACAAACAGAACGAGGTCGACATCGACGTAAATTTGCCTTGACCACGCAAACAAGATCTACTTGTTATAAGTAACCGGTACCACAAAAGGTTAGAAGTGCAGGGTCTACTCATATACTATCAATCACAAAACGAGAAGGTTTGATCCTAAGACAAGGCGTACAATGCATCAGATGGAAGTCGAAGGCGTTAATCACATCGACGTAAATTTGCCTCGAGCTCGTCAACAAGGTATGCCACGTTTGAGCAGGTTCTTGATGCCAGAAAAGGTTAGGTAGCAGACTCGGATGAGGTGAAAGAACAAGGTACGTCCTTGTCCTTTTGGCGAGTAGTGATGACTACGTAAAAAAGCGCGCGCTGGCTTGAATGACATGACTCGCGGAGGGCGAGCAAGGTTGCTGGGAATTACCTAAACCGTCTACAAACGAATGTCCAAAAAAGCGTCAAAGAGAGTGAAACAAACTCAAGAAACATATCCTTGTTCTGAAAAAGGTCGCAAGACTAGACTGATATAAAGCAATTCTCATTCTCATCTTTTTTTTTAAACACAACTACTCCCAAGAGATTTGATATCCTTCTTGTTATTAGCCACAATGTACCAAGTCCGTCCTGCACACCCCATCCAAACAAAAGCCATCTGGGATTACGAGGAATCAATCACATCAACAATGGCTTCACAACAATCTTATCCTTCTAACGTCCAGCTTCCTCGCAAGTTACAACGTCCACAGTACATCGAAGTCCCTGCTCAGAATATTGCTGCTATCGATCCTGAACTATCTCATGTCCCGGTCGACTACGTCCGACGTGGTCTCAAGAATCAGGCAAACCAGTCAGTACCACTTCAAATCTTACAATAAACTCCTTCTAACACATCACTCAGGATGTTTGCTGGTATCTCAGCCCTTCAATTGTCTCCGAGCATGCATCGCTCCCAACTGCACCATACACCCAGCCTAACGATCCCGATTCGGCCATCCGGCCCATCTTCTTCCTACCCAACACACATACTCGCTCTCTCCAAATCATCCACTTCCTCCGATTCATATGTGACCCTCGTACCAACCCACGCCCTCGTCCTCGCATCCAACTGTGCTTCACTCCCCCGCCTCCCCCCATCGGCCTCATCTCACGGCGCCACAGTCAGCGTCACCCTCCCAGTACTCCCGCTCACCATACCCGCCCCGGCGGCATTCGCACCCCTACACACATTCCTCTACACACATTCCGCACCCCAACTCCTCTCCGCACTCCTTCCAGCTGTCCCGGGCTCCTTCCTATCCACCCTCACATCCCCACAAGCACTCCGCAGCACACTAGCATCCGGACCTGCCCTCCACACGCTATCCGCGCATCTCATGTCCTCGGCCCCCGGAATGGGTGCACTCACGAACGTCGCCCAGAATATCGCTGCTGTATGGAGAAACGCAGTTGCATTGGGCGTACATGATCCTGAACTCTGGCACTGTCTTGATTTGGCGTGGGAGGTCATTTTGGGTGCCATGAACCTTGGTGCCGGGGCGCGTTAATTCTAGGATTGATTAATTGTCTGGACTCGGCACTGGTGGCTGTCCACGAACGAACTCTTTTACTTGGCCTTTTCTCGATCGTAACCCATCACTGTATTCCTGGATCTCTCCGCATCTCATATCGTCCCGCATCTATCATCATATGCCCTTGTATCCCTGACTATTTCCCCTCTTCTTTTCCTCTATATCAAGACATCTCTATGACTGCCGAGATACCAAGTAAATTACGATCGGGAGTTAATGTGTTTGAGACTTTGTATCTACTATGTATCAAAATGATCAATATACCTCGTATACCTTATACTTCAATCGTGCGTGTGCCCCTGAGTTTCATTTCAGAGAGCCTGGCGGCGATAGAACCACTACTCCTTCTGTGACTTGTAATCTTCATCAATTCAATCTGGAATTGGACTTCGTTGCCCATTAATGCAGTAACACGATCATCAATTCTTTTACATTATATCGATATCTGGCTTTGAGTGATACGGACCAGGTTATGGGCGCTTCTCTGCCAGTCTTGACATTGACAAGTGCGGGCCGCCTGACGTCGTTACTTGCCGCTTACTAATGTCCCCAAATTCGGATCGTTGCGGGCCGCCTTCAATGTTCATCGTACTTCGCTGTCAGCAACCTTCAGCAACTTGGCAACGACTCGGAGCAAACTCGGAGGGCGACTTCGACAACCTGGGTTGCCATCTATGATTCCATTCCATCTTATGAACTCCACTTGAATATCCTCTCTGCTAGACTCTCTTGTATTCTGGACGTCTTTTTTGTTTAGATGGTCGTGTATTGATCAGGCAGGCAGGTTTCACTTTGGTTGGGATTTGCCAGTGCTCACTGCTCAAGCCTCAACATGCGGCGGTGCTCAGCTGGCGTAAGTGACCATCCTCAGGTTGTTTCTTTTACATTCATATCTTACAATGCGATCCCCTGCGACTGCTCGCACAATTGAATCATGAGGAACCTCTGTCATTATTCAGGAACATTCTCGATGCCGGTATCATATTCTCACCAGCCCCAAGCACACCCTCTTCTTAATCCAAAATACCCATCTGACGGTATCCCTGGTGTTGATGTCTCGTCGCCAATTCTGGTACCAGAGAGCACGACTCCGACAGCTTTTGGCGGGATTATGACAACTTGGTTCTTCGCAGATTCGTTGACTTACTATCAATCAGCCATTTTGCTTGTTTTCTCGGTGTGGTTCTCCTCATTCTCGAATCTCGATTTTATTTTATTTTGGTGCGAACCGGACTTGATGCATTTGTGATGCATGATTTACACTCAAACTCACGTGATCTCGATCACAGGTCTATATAGATTTGAGACCAAATGCGATTACCATTTAACTTTAAGAGGCGCCATTGAAGGGGTGAGCTGGAACTACTGTTCAATCACGGAATGACACGGAACCAAAATTTCAGAATTGAGCAGCCCTAAATTTTAACGTGTAACTGCACATATATGGCGTTCGCCCATCTTATTACTTTCTCAGACATATCATGTCGTCCCCAGGCCCTACCCTTCAACAGACGGAAGGTGAGTCTGGCTGCTTGACTTGCTGCGTCGCTGTACTTGATTTTTTTAGTCGCGGACATAACCCTCACGGTTGTGGCTGTCCTTGTCACATCCTTCCGCTTGTGTATTCGTGTGCGGCAGAAGCGTCTGGGGATCGACGATGCATGGGCGGCCCTCGCCATGATATTCGACTTTCTACTATTAATCTCCGATTGCTTATATCTCCAAGATTACGGTGAGCGTCCCTGCAGTCTGCATGTTGTATATGCCTTGCTGAAGAAACGCAGAAAGATACCCTCAAAACTCAAGGATAGCATTATACTACATGTGCGTTCTCTTTTCTTCTTATACTTGAGAGACGTACCAATACCACATCAGGATCGCACAATTCTTTTATGCAAGTTGTATGGTAAGACACTAGTACTGAGGTTCTGGTGCCATGGCAACGTGACGGAACTGACATACGCACATAGGTCATCGAAGTTATCCATGTTGTTTACCATTGTGCGACTCACAATCCCGGGAATCTTTAGGAAATTTCTTATGTGCGCTGTCGGTACCTTCGGCGCTATATGGGCTCTCCTTTTTGCACAACTGTGGTGGATTTGTGAAACTCAGCCCAACTGGAAATCACAATCACATCCGCAGTGCGATCTCGGCAGACGTGTTGCAATCACGCAGATGATCAGTGAGGATTCATTGTTCATAAAATATATCGGTCTTCTGATGTATCTCAGCCGACGTTCTTGCGGACTGTTTTCTCATCGTTGCTCCATTTTTCCTCATTTACAAAGTCAGATTGTCAAAGACGCAAAAAGTCCGGATACTATCTGTCTTCTCTACGTCAGCAATCACCACAATCGTCAGTCTTACCCATGCATATTACATCTTCGCTGGTGGAGGACTTAAGGAGGTTATGGCTGCTATAGTTGAGGTTCGGTGTCAGTGTTTAGACCTCGAGCGTTGCTGATCACGCTTTAGGCTTCCGTGTCTCTAATCGTTGCGAACTTGAGCGTGGTCGTCGCGTTCATCTTCCGTATAAGTTTAGATGAGGATTCACCATCCAATCCGACGCCCATCATAACTTTTGGCGGACAGCATAGGACACGCATGGCTGCAACTCGCATAGCTGTTGAAACCACCACGATCGTACTGGAAGATCTCTCCAACTCTCGTCTCCGTTCCATGAAAACAAGCGATGACGACGACGTTACTTTACACAACAACAGGGAGCCAAAGCAGACGAAGGAATGGTGTTAGAGCAGCAAAAAGTTGGTTTCTTCCTGACTCCCACGTTAGTGGGGCAGGGTCCTTGTGGAATGCACACTTTTTTTATTTTCTTCTAATTTCTACCTGGCAAATTGGGTTTTCTCGATCGATCAAGGTCAGTTTTGCCGTTCGTGTCTAAACCGTGCAATCACACTCCTTGACCCCCTCTATTCCAATCTGGGGACGAAAATCTCAACACGGCCGCATTACCATCTGTGCTAATTCAATGGGTCAATGCAGAGCTTGAAATTCTGGTCAGTCCACTGTCTTCATTCAAGGAGACGGGTATCGGTGCCATTTTTGCGTTCGGCATCGTCCTCCCACCCTAGGTCAAGCTCCCGTTTAACTTCCGCCCTATACATGTCGGTAGGGGGTTTGCTGTCAGTGAGAGCGAGGCCAGTGGATACAATTTTAATTGTAAGCCGCAACTCCGGCTTTCCGGTATCGAAAAGCCTACGGGTGATTTTCACTCAATGGCCTAGATCTAATGACCGGTCGTTCCTGCTAGAGTAATGGCACTTGGGTCTACATCATTTCGCGAAGTAGCTGGCATCATCACTAACGCAAATGACCTCAGGCTGGAAGTATATTGGTCGTGAAACATGTGCATCGGAGGAAGCCCGAATTTATGTACTGTGTTGCTCGAACTGTTGGAGTCACATGCAGTCAGTTTGACTTTGTGCTTGCTCAGCGCTGTTGCTGCTACATCTATTATACTAACTGTTTACTCCGCCACTCAGATGCTCGCGTAACTCCACTAGTGAGTGCACGAACCATGTTCTCGGATTGCACGTCACAACACTAATCGAGTGCGCTGGAAAATCGAGGCACTGTATAACACAAGGCGAAAGCGGGGTAAGCGGGGGAATCGAAACGCCAAAACGGGACGAGGTTCGTGAGTCACGTGACCGATCCTACCGTATATGGCGCGCCCAGGCGATTCCGCCACCTAAGTGAGCATCAGAGGTTTCCTTTTTCTACTTAGCGACTTTGTTCAGACCAAGTAATACAAACAAGACTGAAAAGGAGATTTTGCTGATGTGATGACATCAGAGAACTGGTGAACAGATGAGAAAGTTATTTAAAGTTCCTGCTACTGTAAGGGAGTGGGTCTTGTCGTTCGCTATTTTCACGTTTTTGCGGTATGTCCGATTCTGAGAACCCTATCTTTCGCTCCTTATATGGTTACTGTTATTTCCTTACATGGACTAAGCTGTGCTCATCACTCGTTTTGGTCAGATCATGAGCCAATTGGGTGATTTTGATTGATTTTGGTTGTGTTGATTGATCGGTCTAGGCCATCCTCTCTCTGCCATGCGCCTTGCACCGCCATCTGTCTTTAGCTACCATCATGACCTCGTTCTGAGTCTTCCTGTATCTGTCGCTTCTAACCTTGAATCACATTCTTCTGTTGTCTCTCCTTCGATTGCTCATTTGCTCAGTCACTTGGGCCCTCAGGCCTCGGGCCCCTCAGAACTCAGAACTCAGAACTCAGACTTCAACCCCTATGATTATCAGAGTGCCATTACTCCTCTGTCTATATCTGCCACCATGACTGTTCATTTTTTGTCTTCCTGATTCTGTCGCATTTGATCTCTTGGTTTACTGGAATTCTCACAGCTCTTATGATATTGGCTGTGCGCTTACAACCGATGTCGAGTTCAAGATTGCACATAGTCTCAATTCCAACATTTTTATTGTCCAAATGACTGCAAGGGGAGCATGTCGGCTGGCTGAGGCACGAGGCTGAGCCGATATGCTCCTGCCTCCTCTGCTCCATCTGAGCAAGATATCAGATACAGACCACGAACAGTAACATGATTATTTAAATTGAGCAGCCGCTATGGTATAGGACTGGTATGCATAATGTATCTGGTGAGGACAAACGTTCGGGATTTGACTGACAGTGACATGGCGCTTGCCAAAGCAGGTAGCTGGCTTTACCACTTTAGCTGGTGCTACTACTAGTAGCTTATATGTAACACCAGATGTGCTTGTAGCTGAAGCAATGTGTAAACAAATAAATCTCAGCACGACGTCATCATTACTGTGCCTTCAAAGGTGTAAACTGTGGGAACAAATTGCCTGGCATGCCGAGAAAATGAGCACAGCTGGCGGAGTGGGAATGTCACTACGACGCGTGATGACTAACCAACAAGGTAGCGGGTTTTGCCACTTTTAGCTGGCCCTATCACTTATAATATATAGTAGGGCATCACAACAATCTTTGTATATCTGCTGACCACTTTCACATGGGAATGTTTGGGTTTATCGAGGAAAGATGAATGCACAAGCATGCCAGCCTAAGGGCATTATTTATTCCAGAACCTTTTGAGTTTGGATGGATGCAAGAAAAAAAGAGTGGGCACAGGCTCATGAACTTTAATACAGACTGATGCTGAGAGGGTCAAAGAAGGAGGTTTTAATGTGCTAAAGTGAAATACACTTTGGTGATGTCCCCAGTAATATGGACACATATCATTCAGCCTCCACTGGATATCTTTTTACCAGCTCAGGGTGATGATGACATGGATGTAACTCACTCAAGGGCAGATAATATGAGTTTATGTTGCAACTGGACCATAACAACAGAGTTGTATGTGTTGTACAGGTATTGGTCAACTGTCACTCAAAGAAATATATTTCACCCAGCACAAACAATGCTCTGATATATTTTAGAGCAGAACTTATTCCTCATGTACATAGGAGTATGTATTACCTCTTAATGAAGATCTCAGCTGTCTTGACTGATTAATAGTTGCCCATCACTCAGAGCAGTGTATTCTATGAAGGGCGGACAATCTTCCAATACATGTTACATGAGATATTACTACTCGAAGGATCCCACTTTGCAAACAAACAGTAACACCAGAGTGATGCATATCAAAATTTTATCTAATATATTGCTTCATCAGATCATTTCTTCAAGAAAAACAAGTTTGATTGAGTTCAAAGAGTTCGCAGTTGTGACAATATTTGTAAATGATTCAAATCCTGGTGTAGTGCTGTAAGTATACATAGTGATAGTACTGAATTGTAATCTCACACAACCATTGTAATCTTCATAATTTGAACCCTTCTGGTATCTCTAGCCTGAAACATCCAAAGATCTTGTGCACTACTCAACCACCTCATGGGTATCTCAAAGCAAATGACCACTGATGTACAACTTGTTTCAGATTTTTGCCTGACCTTCTGTTGTATCTCTTACAATGAGCATCTGATTTATTATACCATGCACCAGCACCATTGCTTCACAAGCGATAGACAATGTACCTTTGCGATGTAGTGCCTTGGTGTTAAGACCGTACTCAAGTGGTATCAGATCCAAAGGGCTTTGGCCTCAGCTCGTGCGCTGTGCCCCTTTCCCGAGTCTTGCCCCTTATTTCAGAGTGCTAGAGTATCGCGTCTAGTGAGACAGATAAGTATCGTAACGAATCCGTTAAGGCTTCCGGATATCGAACATATAGAGTAACGGCTAATCCGGATCGGATCCGAACTAGAAACTAACGGGTGAAGACTGTCCGAAGACAGAGACGGATATATAGACTATAGGAATCAATCCTAAGTCTCGGAGTAGACAAGAGTATCATACTCAAGTCTGGACGGATAATGGAGGGACTTAGAGTCCAGGCAGAATGAGTGCAATCTAAGATGATATTCGAACTGATCTACTACAGCGCATGTACAAGGGTTTATATACTATGGATAACTAACAGAATGATCAATAAGCAAAGGTGTGAGGCTATGTACAAAGTATAAGCAAAGTATGTGTACAGCATATTGGTAAGTCGGATGGATAATGTATCATAACCGGGAATGAAGTATAAGTTAAAGCGGATCAGTAAGTGTAGCGGATCAGTAAGCATAACTGGAAGTAAAGGATAACCGGTATACCGGTGTACAGGAATGCCGAAAGGAGATGAATGATAGTTAGAGTTATATGAACAGGACATGAAATAAGGATTAGATCGGATCTGTGGACCGGACGACTGGATATGTCCATCGGATCTGGATCGGATCTGAGATCCGGATCTTTGGATCTGTACCCAGGAATATGGTATATGACACTTGGCTTGAGAGTTTATAGCAATGAATCACATTTCAGCTTGGCACCTTGCTTACCATTCAATGAGTATTATATCCTGCTTGAAAATTTGATGCCAAATTTACTCTTTGGCACTGTTTAGTATTTGTGATGGCTTATCAGCGCGAGACTAAAAAATGCAGAGATCACAAAGTTTATGATCTCCTTCCTAAATCAAGCCTGTCAAAAGCAAGCAGTGGTATTTACACACTGGAGCTTTAATAGTGCTCTGCAGTGTGGGACTAAAAAATGTAGAGATCACGAAGTTTATGATTTCCTTTCTAGATCAAGCCTATCAAAAGCAAGCAGTGACATTTAGAGTCTGTTCGGGATCGGGATTTCGCCCAACTTCGACAAACTTCTGGAAGAAAATCACAAGGTTAAGTAAGCATGCTGCCATTCGGAGTTTGAAACTGATGTCACGCTGATTAGGGTTATTGATATGCATGTGTATGTACATGCATACCACGGCCATGCTCCCCCACCTCCTTCGCCACAGTGACAACCCTTCTGCTGATGAAGAGGATTTGTCGAACTCGAGGAATGAGCGGCATCATGAGGAGGATGAGGAGGATGAGGAGGATGAGGAGGATGAGGAGGATGAGGAGGATGAGGAGGATGAGGAGGATGAGGAGGATGAGGAGGATGAGGAGGATGAGGAGGATGAGGAGGATGAGGAGGATGAGGAGGATGAGGAGGATGAGGAGGATGAGGAGGATGAGGAGGATGAGGAGGATGAGGAGGACGAGGGAGATGACTCCAGTGAGGACTTGGGGAGTGTTGATGATGCAGAGAAAGCAGATATCAAATTTCTCCACACCATCATCGACTTTTTTCAGCGCATGGTCATGTCGGCTTCAGAAGTTATCAATATTGCAGGGGTCTATTATGACAAACAGCCCTATCACACGTCAATTCTGACAGGGGTTGGGTGGGTCAACGAGCTTCTCAACGGCCATCCAGAATGAATTTGATGTGAGCTTGGTGTACATTGCCATGTATTTATTATATTACTACAAGTACTTCGTGATGGTGGCATAAACAATTCAAAACATGTAACTCTAGAGGAGCAACTCACCATCTTCCTATATGCCTGTGTTACAGGCATTTCTGTATGCCACCTTGCTGAGCGTTTTCAGTGTTCAAACGATACTATATCAAAGTGTGTCTTCCCACTCTTACCCCTATGCTTGCTCAATATTGCTTTCAGATATTTCAAATGGATTCTTATTGCATTCTCCTCCTGGCCAATCTATTCCACCTATGTCCGGCTTCCCGACACAGAAACTCCAATACCCACCCAAATCCTTGAGACGACAAAACTATTTCCCTACTTCACAGACGTAATCAGCGCTATTGATGGCACACACATCGCTTGCCATCCCTCAGCTGCTGATCGTGACACCGCTCGTGACTGCAAAGGCAATTTAACACAAAATTGCCTTGCAGCGTGTGGCTTTGACATGCATTTCACGTATATGTTGAGTGGTTTCCAGGGGTCTGCAGCGGATGCTCGTATCTACAACGTCACTCGTCTCAATGATTTTACGATCCCTCAGGGCAAGGTGTACCTTGCAGATGCTAGATTTGCTGCATGCGATGAATTATTTGTACCCTATCGTGGTGTGCGCTACCACCTTACTGAATGGGGCCAGGCAAGTCTTGTGTATGTTGCAGCCACTTATTACAACCCTGACATAGTACTTACACATCTTTGCAGGCCTTGCAATGCCAAGGAACTATATAATCTATGCCACGCGCAGCTCTGCAATGTTGTCGAGTGTATTTTTGGTGTCTTGAAAAATCGCTTCTGCATACTTTGGCTCCCTCCTGAGTACAACTCTGACATGCAAGCTCGCATCCCTCCGGCATTGTGTCTCATACACAATGACATCCGCATCCACGACCCAGATGAATTATTGGACTACCGTCAAGTGGAGTTGGATGAGTGGAGGGCTCCTTACGATAGTGGCACACTTGCCGATGGACCTCCAACTGAAGCAGCACACATTTGTGCACACAATGTTCATGACGAGATTGCTGAATCAATGTGGGGTGATTACCTCACAGAAAGGCAGCATAGAGGAGTGTCTTTGCCACCTGGTGTAATATAATTAGTTGTCATTCATTATTGTTGTTTGTTCATTGTTGTTGTTGTTGTTGTTTGGTTGTTGTTGTTTTGTTGTTGTTGTTGTTGTTGTGTTGTTGTTGTTGTTGTTGTTTTGTTTGTTGTCATTGTTTGTTTGTTGTCATCAGTTTTCTAGTCCTGCCAATGTACAATCTATGTTTGCCACCAACTTGACATATAGTATTGCGTGCAGATAAAAAACAAGTATTTTATGAATGTTCTAACTAATGTCTAACATGGAGGTATCACAGCAGCTCCTGTTCATTTGCCTGCACTCTCCTTGCCTCCCGCAGGTGCTGAGCTAAAAAAAATCTTCCAAATACCCCATTCATGTGATGTTGTTATAAGCATCAGCGATAGTGACGTCGAATTGAAAAAAGATTGATCATTGCCACAGCATCGTAGTTGTCCAAATCCTTTTCTTTTGCATCCGAAGCATAGCATGCTGCTTGCGGGATGGAACAGGTTCCATGATATGCCCTGCGACGGTATCCTGAAGCGCTGACATTGCAGATTTTATACTTTCAACCACTTTCCCGCCCAACTCTTCCAAAGTGAGTGGCATGCTGAGGTGCTGTGATTTTGACAACCCTGCCACACTCTTTCCTTTTGAAGAATGTGGGGGGGTGGGACTCACATCGTCCATTAATGTCCCCCTCAGCTTTACGCTTCACCGCCGTTGATGAAGCAGGCATAGACATCGAAGGGGCAACAAAGGGCTGTATGGCTGCGTTAAAGCCTCTTGGTGTCACAGGTGAGGTAGGTGTGGTGACAGGTGGGATATCATGAGCACTGCTCATTTCGATGTCATCGAGATCACGAAACTCGACCTGGTCAAGCGTGCTCTCCAGGGATAACATGGGATCAGCAGAAGTATCGGCGCTAGTAGTGTGGGTGATTTTGCTACCAGTTGCTGTGGGAGTCAACGTGTTGGCAGCTAGGCTGGTGCTGGCATGGAAGCCAACCCAGCTGCCTGTCAGTACTGGAATGATACCTTTCAGTGTCTCATAATGCGGCCATCCTTTGTTTTTTAAAGGCTTTGCTTTGGGGTTATGCTGCATGAATAATTAGTGCGGTAGAGCAGGAGAGATAGATGATACAGTACCTTAATGAAGTCTGCCCACATAGTCTCAGACTCTTCGCCAATATTAGCTCCTAAATCTGGGTGGAACGATAGACCTGAGGCATTGGTAGCTATTTTGTCGACCAACAGAAACATCTTTCTTATCTAGAAATACATTAATATTAGTGATGGCACGCATATCATAGTACTTACCCAACTCCATTTAGATGAGCAGGCTTCAGCAGTCTTGGGAGCACTATCGGGGCATGGGTGTGTTGCCATCTCTGCAGCAGCAGTAACCCAGAAAGATTTTGTAAAGTTGATCCCATCACTCCCCTTTGGCTTTCTGTAGGATGGCATATTCAACTATTTTTTTTTCATCATCGAGGGACCATATGCAGCAGTCTTTTGCTGCTGTGGCAGCTTCCTGACTGTCAGTGGCTGCCCTTTTTTCCCTTTGCCTTTGGGCATGATGGTTGGGTGGAAATGGAGAGAGTATCGCGACTCCGATGAGCTTTGTGTCGAGGGCATGACTATTGATAAGAATATGTCACACTGTGACTGATGGCATGCAGCGCACCGGCATGCTTACTTAACCTTGTGATTTTCTTTCAGAAGTTTGTTGAAGTTGGGCAAAATCCCGATCCCAAACAGACTCTTAGCTGTCAGGTGATATCAATAATGGAATTGTTTTTCAAACTGAGGATGTAGTGCACACGCTACAAGAGGTGATCATGGCCTGGCAACAGGTGATGTGATTGGAAATTTGGGAACTCCTGCCATTTTTCCAACCAATGATTAAGAAGCCATTTACATGACCAGCTGATAGACGTTACAGCCTTTACCTTCAACATAAGAGAGGTAGGGGAGGCACTTTCATCCAAGTAACTCTGGGTATATAAAGCATTGTCTGCAAATCTATCATAATGATATGTATTTTATTTATTTTAGACTAGATAATGCATTGTATGACTTTATCTTTCTGCAGTCAATTGCCTGATGGGGGTGGAGGCATCTAGTCAAGTACTGGTCCAAATCGAGTCAAGGATTTGGATTTGTTTGGCTTTTGCACTGGCAGTCAGTGAACTTAGAGGGACCAAAGACTTGTTCAACGATATACACAAGTTGATATTGGGCTGCCCAGGTAGTAATTTGTCATTTTTGGTGGCCATTAGCTGACTCACTGTGGAAACGAGATTTAGAACCGACCGGAATAGTACATGTTTAGAGGCTGTAAACAGAACGTAAACAGACAAGGAAAAACAAGGATAATTCCACCCATCCAGATCGAAAAAGGTGCTCATTTGAGAAGCAAAAACTGACTCTGAATTGTAAGGATTTTCAGGGATGGGTTTGTTGCCTTAGCGTCTAAACCGAGATGGTATCAAATCAGCTTATGAGGATCCGCACATCCACTTTATGTCTGCATTTAAGAGAAAACAGATCTGCTTCTAATCTGAATAGGTATGTAATGTATCAGAGAACCATCCTGCTAGCCTCCCCCAGATGCTCCCTGGCCCTTGGTAGTATCCTCCAGCACCCTACTTGGCCATGTACGAGTTTCAAGGCCAGCCTCAGAGACACCCCAGTGGCGCTCCTACCCCCGTTAATGCATGCGATTATCAACAACCAGTGGGAGAAACATACCAGCCCCATATATCCCCGCTGAACATCGGGAACCAAGCGTTGCCACAGTTGCCTCAACGCGATGATTTGTTCAACCCTGCACCTCAATTTGGAACAGGCAGCATGCAGCAGGGTGCTGGACGTGCATATCAAGATCTGAGTCAGTTGAACAATACCCCAGGACTTCGTTCCTCCAGCCCACAGCACTTGCCTCAGGATATACATCAACCATCTCCAACTCCCAACCCTTATTTCGGTGCCCACCAGCCACCCCCACAGTCCATGCGTGCTGGTAGTGTGCCTTGAAACATCAGCGCTACGCCATCCTCCAGAGGAGAAACACCATACCACCATAGTTCCAGTCATCATCATTTTGCGGGAGGCTCAGGAAGCAAGGCATCTTCATGGGCACCCTCTGTAATTCCTGGAAGCGACGAGTATCAAGCTATGCTGTTATATTCAACAGCTCGACAGCCTGCTCACCTTCTGCACATGAGTCAGAACATGTATCAGCGACCTGCGACAGATTTGCAAGACCAGTCAGCAAATTTCAACACGACAGTTGCACACCTTGTTGCAGAGGTCAAACGACTCACCGAACATGCCCAACACACTGAGAGGCAGCTTGACGCCGCAAACGAATGCATCCAGAAGCTTGAAGATATCGTTGAGTTGTCATCGAAGATGAAAACCCAGAGACAGTCAAAGAATGTCTCAAACGATCATCCTGCATTAAAGGTAAGCAAAAATGTGCACGGACATTCGATCATCAAGCCTAGCTTACTATCTTAAATAGCCCATCATCCACATGCAGTTTTTTGAATTCTGTGGTGTCGATTGGAGTGGGAAAAAGACCAAAAGGCAGGGCAATTACAGATGTGAATCTGATCAAGTGCGGTGCAAAGTACATGCCTTTGTTGGAGAGGACAAGACTTGACTATGTCGATATAGCCCAGCGATGGCGAGTGAGCAGGTATAGGAAGCAAAAGCAAGATGAGGCGCCTGATGTGACAGGATTGAATGAGCGGACGCTCGTGCATGCCGTTTAAGATGCGATTGCTGTCGAATGGGTAGAGCGATTTCCAGAGACACGGCCGCCCTATGGATCACGCAATAGCCTTGGGTGAAGGTATTGTGATACTAGTCGTCGAGCAGCTTCCTTCCTGCATCTTTGCCAGCTGTGATGTGTTGTGAATTATGTGTCTGTTATGGACAGTGAGTGTGCTCGTCTTGAACACACATGATTGCGTATTTCTCGTCTAAATGATGGTCACGTGATCTCACATTTGGTGTGGAGCGTTGCCAATCTTGAGAACTGCAGCAATGCAATTGGGCTCCCGGGAAGAGGCGCGTATGATCGCAGGAGCATTTTGTGAACGGCATCACATCCAGGGTGTCTATCAAATGAGTTAATATCACAAAGCAGATAATAATGGCGAGTACAACACCTTCGCAACTTATTATGACAAAAAGGACAATCGCAGACCCCACTGCAAGTCTACCTCAAGTGTGTCTGACGTCACTGTGACCTCGAAGACGCAGCGCGATCTATAGTTGTAATCACCACTTCGAAAGTATTTGGATGCTTTTCATCAAGGCTGCTGCTATGGAGAACCAGAAGGCATATGACACTCGGAGTCTCGAGCTGCTGCCAGTAGAGTGTTACAGCATCTGGATGAGGATAGCAGTCAGCTGATAAATACAGCGCACATACTCGAATGTCTATTACGAAGACTATAGTTGAGAAATCGTTGAGAGATGTGCCGAGTGTGTCGACGGTGACGTTTGCTGGACAGTCCCATTTCTCCAACGGGATGACGGTGCTGAGAGACGATGTTCAGTGCTAAACACGAGCAGAAGTCATGGACAAGTGCACACTCAATGAAATGCTTTGCAACGCGCATAGTAGGTTCAAGGTAAAAGGTCTGTTTGACTGGGAGATCATCGAAGAGGACTTGGAGTATGGACTCGTCTTTCCCGGGCCACTGCCGTGATATGTTAGGATGGGCAAAAGGAAAAAGATGTAGAGATCCACCCTCTCATTCCCAGAAAGGGTATCTTTGTCCTATGCATGGTCCCATTGGAAATGACTGCGCTTGAGGAAGAGCTCATTCCAAATGAAATTTGTAAGCTACTGGAAGAATTTGAATGTGACTCACTTGTGTGCTTCTTTGAACCTTGCTCAGCCTGAGGTGTAAGTAGGAAGTTCATATTAGGCTCACCAGGTATTGTAAAGACTTAGTAGTAATTCATATGTTGTGTGGCCATTAGCTGACTCTTGTTCCAAGTCCCAATCCTTTCGTCACTCATAGTATTCACTATATGTTGCATCCATGAATTGCACTTTCATGTTCGAGCAAATTCACCATCCCTGGTGTTTCCACAACATTCTCACACTCGATGCACCTCCACCATGTCACTGTCAGCTCAATTGGACGAGTCATATGTTCAACTTTTCTATGTGCGCCGTTTTCAGCAGTTCTTATTGTTTTTGTTTCCATTACCTTGGGAATTATACTGTTTGCTTTCGAAGTGTGCTAAATGAGTGGTACCATCATGGAAACGGTGAACAGATGAGAAAGTGATCTAAAGCAATATATTGTAGAGCATCCCAACAATCTACGTAAATCTGCTGACCACTTATGTTGAGAAATTTACGGTGGCACTCAGCCAAAAGGCCACGCGAGGTCACGTGGCTTCGATCAATTACCTTTTTTGGTCGGGATTCGGTAACCTCGCAGGCACATGACCAGGTTCCTGTGACGGCGTGAGTTTGGGCTTAAAAATAGAAGTGAAAAACACGTGATGATGAAGATGAGTGGGGAATGTGTTCCATTCAAATCCGACTAACACTGTATTCGATGCCAAACGTCTCATTGGCCGGAAAACGGACGACTTGGAATTAAAGCGTGACATCAAACACTTTCCCTTCCAACATCCAAGTTGTTAGCAAGGGTGATAATCAGTTACAAGGGCGACACACTCCATAGAGGAGATCAGTGCTATGATTCTGACAAAGATGAAGGAGGCCTATCTCAGCACAGAGGAGATCAGTGCTATGATTCTGACAAAGATGAAGGAGACTGCAGAGGCCTATCTCAGCGAGAAGGTCACCCACGCAGTAGGCAGTAATTCATATCATGAACGAGCTCACTGTTGCCACCATCCTGATGAGATGAGTGGGGAATGCATTCCATTCAAATCCGACTAACACTGTATTCGATGCTAAACGTCTCATTGGCTGAAAAAACGGACAACTTGGAATTAAAGCGTGACATAAAACACTTTCCCTTCAACGTTCAAGTTGGAGGAACTTTCGATGTTCTTGTCAAATGGTACAAGAAGCAGACATGAATTAGTGGCCGAACAAGCAGGTAGTAAGGTAGAGACAGTAGTGTAGTATGGAATGTAAAGAGTGAGGGAAGGACAACGCTCAAGGTCACTTGGTGCGAGAGACACGTTCCCCTCATGCAGTGCACACCTTGTTCACAGCCTTTAACAATTGTGTGTGCCCCAGTTCAGCCTCCGGATAAGCTGCGAGGAAGTGTGCCTCATTTGAGTCATACCTGGAGCCAAAACAAAGAGTGAGCGTGCCAGCAGAGCGAGTATCAGCATTGACTTACTGATTGATGAACTCCAATGCGATGGTCGCCCTCTGGTGATACTTTGATGCAAACTGTCGATTGGCACCTTGGTACCACTCCCTTGGCCAATCCTTGAGCGGTGTCGTCAGTCCTTGGTCAGGATCACCGACAAGCCAATGTGTGACAATGTCCTTCCAGGACTTGGTCTTTGGGTTGGTAGTGCCGTTTGGACGCAAGACTGGCACTCACGGAATCACAAGGCCAGGTGTAGGAAGTTGCCATGAAGTGATGCGGGCTGATGGTGATGATGCCTTGACATGGGTGGAATGTGAGGTAGCGATTTTGCTGGCAACAGGCTGAGATAGTACGAGCAGCTGCACACTGACAGCTGTGATACTCACTCCTCCAACAGGTGGAGCATAAGATGGACTCGGAGTTTCTGTGCAGGACGAGTCAGATACAACAGAGAATCGTGAGGAATCAGGATGCTGTAGAGCGGTTGCTGTGGTGCAGGCAGCCTGCACAACTATGTTTGTTAGCGAGCGCAATGAGTTATTGACTGAACTGATGTCATTGCGCAGGCCATTGACGTCTGCTGCGACGGATGCATGGACCATGTGAAGTTCTTCAGTGGATGCTGGCCTTGCAAGAGCGTGTTCACCGGCAAGGGAGACATCGGCACCACGGGAGATGGGGGCAAGAGCATCACTGTAGTCAGTTTCATATGCATGTAGTTCATCGAGGAGGTAGCGAACAAGTGTATCACGCTTTGAGTTAAAAGAAAACAGATATAAAAAATGTGTCAGTCAAATGTCAGTCTCAAGAACATGAAGCACATACATGCTCCCCTTCAGCCCATCCACCCCACCAGCGGACTTTAGCAAGTGTCCATCGTTGGCCTACAGGAGCGAACATAAACCAGTACTGTGCGCCTCCACGATGAAAGCAGTGAGTTGAGAAGTTACCAAGGATGCCAGCACCAGCAGTTGACTTGTTGATCCATTTTTGTACAGTATCGTGAGAGATTGGCTGTCCGGGGTGGACAAAACTGTTTGCACCCATCACAGGGAATAGGAAGTCATTTGGGTGAAGGGTCCGTCCATAGTGAAAAAATTCAAGCCACTTGATCCACACTAACATCCAGAAGAAATTGTCGCAGGCCAGCATCTCAGGACGCGGATATATCTTGTAGTGATTTGCTGGTGATACCGTTTAGTCATGCGCTGCCAGCTTTGAATTGATGCACACAACTTACACCTCAGATCTACCTCCCAACTGGCCCTTGTCGACTTTCTGTTGCCATCCCTTCCGGTTTGAGAGGAAGATCTCAAAGTAAGATGCACGGTCACTCATAGTCAGCATCTCATTTGCGAGGTATGATTTCAGCACACCGTCCAACATTGTCACATCAAGCGTGATGTCCTTTCGCTGCAACTTAATGAGCTCGAAACACCTGTGGATATGGTAAGTCAGATCATGCACTCTGAGTCACATTGACAAGTCGCACCTTGTCCATAGTGTCCATCCACTGGCCGCAAGTGCGATCTGTTTAAGATGTTGGGTGAGTTGTTTCCTTGTTTCAAAGTCCAGATGCAGATCTGAAGGCTGAGCACCGCTCATCGTTTTCTCAATCATGCGTAGGGCAATCTCCAGCGGACACGCAGCCTGATGCCATCAGAGCACTCAATCCATGTAATCTTTCGTCATTGCCATTGAGTGAGTGCGATCTCCGCCCTCCGCACTAGCCTTATGCTTGATGGACGACAGCACGTCATAAACATCTGCAGAATCAGCAGGGTTTCCTTCCCAATGCTGTCTCGCCTCATCAAAGTGCCATTTGCTGCAATACATGTCACCATCCCTGGAATGAGCAGGTCAGTGTTTGAGTACTTTTCTGAATCATGAATGCAACACCCATGACAGGTCCCACATCTTCTTAAATGCTGAACGGATGCTCTCAACAGTAGTTTTACTTAGATTCTCATGGAACCCTTTCAGGGACATGAAAAGTGCAAGTGCTTTGTGTGAGCATCTGTTCAGTATCCGGTCAAATGCATCTTTGAAGGCAGGGTCATCATGCACATCATTGTCGCTGTGCATGTCAAAACTCACAGGTGATGACGGCATTGGAATGAGTAAGTCATCTGATGCAATGTCACGTCTCTCCGATTCGCTAACGGCTGGTGTTTTGAAGTAACTTGCCAGCCACTGTCGTCCTCGCCGAACGTGACCAGCATAGTTGGCCCTGGTGTTGTTTGCCTGTAGGTGAGTTTCTATCCCAAGGTCCTTACACTTCTGGACGTCTGCTAAGGCCGCTTTGGGGTAGCCGATCCTTTCTTCCGTGCCGCCTTCTTTTGAGTACAATTCGGTGACTGGGGGGCTTTCGCTGAACTCTTGCTCAGTCGCACCATGATTTTCGAAAATGAACGAGCGAGTGGTTGTGGGAGCTATTTCCAGGAAATAGTTTGCAATTTCGGAGCGGGGATCATGCATGTCAGGGGCCTCTAACTACTTTAATGACATTTCGTATTTCACACAATTCAGTTTGCAGGAGTGATATGGTTCAATGTTAATCATTATGCGCATGGTTGTTTCTATCATACATACTACAGACAAATATACTGGTGAGCTGCGTCTGGTGCCATATGTCTAAGTATCACCATCGGAATGTGTACAAACATTGCAGATAATTGGCTGGGAGTGGCGTTTCCCAGAGTGCTACGTGCCAAGCGCTGACAATTGACTTTAACGTTATAGCCTTCGATGTCGCACCACAATGCCATAATAGTGGACTGAGAAATGACTTTGAATGTTGGTTGAGCATGTGCTTGGTCCGAGTGTTGTGGCAACTAAAAGACTGGTTAGCGGTTGTCAACGAACAAGGTGATCCTTACCTTGCATAAGGTGCGGAGGTAGGTGCCCTCCCATATGCCCCCATACATCCTCTCAACGATGGCGTCATCATCCCATCCAAATTGCACCCTGCAGAAGTCTGCAATATCTGCGAGGTGTGGCTGGCAGGACAACACATCCTGTGCTGCAAGTGCGCTGCTTGTGGTGGCTGAAAAAGACATGATGGGGTCGACGTACTTGCTGATCACCTTGCATCAGGGAAACTCGAGTGGGATAGAATCTGCAACAGCCTTGTACCGGCGTCCAAGGAAATGGTAAGGGTCAGTTGCAAGCATAGAGCGTAAATCCATGACAAGTTCCTTGGCCTGCTCAGAGAACAGCTCTGGTGCCAGTGAGAGGAACGCATGCAGCATCTCCTGTCCGATTTTGCTGTGCTGCACGACCTTGTGTGCGATCTTGATGCCGCAAACCAGACACTCCTTCATCATAATCTCCACCTGCTAGCAGGGCGATTAGTAACCTATCTCCTCGGGCCAAAGAGGCACCATGCTCAAGACCGTCTTCTGTATACACCTCGACATTAAGGTAGTCTTTGTCCTTTTTTGTGCTAACAGCACGACATATCAATGGTAAATACCTCTACATGAAAACAATGACGCACCTCCTGATGATGCATGGAGCTCCAAAGATCAATATGTCGCTATCTTCGGTCATCGCAGCATCAATGACACCATGGGCATTCATTGCGGCCAGCTTGGCTTCAGCTTCACCAGGGGCCTGTATACTAGTGAGACAAGTCACAAAGTGAGCTATGCTGCAAAACATACCTCAATCCACTGAAAGCCGAACAGCTCCAGCATGCGCTGGAAGTCGCAAGTGAGCCAGTGGGGGCTGTTTCGGACCATGCGGCCCTTTTCTGGGAGGTGTTTCAAGCCATTGAACACAAAGACCACGTGCAGGGGTAGCTTGAGCAGTGTGCCCAGCTGAAAGAACAGTGTTCGCAGCTCTGGCGACTTTCCAGCTCCTGCGTGGTTGAACTGAAAGACAGCACACACGCTGTGCATCCAAGCACTGTCAACAGAAGTCAGTTTGGCTGATGAGTGAAAAAGACAAGTACTGTACCTAGCATCAATTCCAATCTTGAACAATTTGACCTTCCGTTCACCGTCAATCTCTTCAGTCTTCAACTTAAACACTGCAAGTTGTTTCAGTGTTCTGTTGTCGGCAGCCGAAGCAACTCGCTGCAGAAAGCATCAATACTGAGGGCAGCTCCAAAGCTGGTGGCTTACCTCCCATAGCCTGGGATTCCCATTCTGGAGTGTGAAGGTAGAAGATCAGGACAGGAAGGGCTCGAAAAGGGGTCAGGTGGAAAGGGGTCAGACGAAGTCACCTGACCACTGAAGACATGAAAGCAGACATGAAAAGACGGTGGCCTGGAGAACCCTAGGTCATAAAAGCAGACACAAAAAGATGGTGAGCTAAAGAACCCTAGGTCATGAAAGCAGACACAAAAATACAGTGACTGGGAAAACCCTGGGAGATGAAAGCAGACACAAAAAGATGGTGGCCTGGAGATTCCTGGGTGATGAAAGCAGACACAAAAAGACGGTGAGCTGGAGAACCCTGGGTGATGAAAGCAGACACGGAAAGACGGTGACTGGGAGAATCCTAGGTCATGAAAGCAGACACGAAAAGATGGTGAGCTGGAGAACCCTGGGTGATGAAAGCAGACACGAAAAGACGGTGGCCTGGAGATTCCTGGGTGATGAAAGCAGACACAAAAAGACGGTGACTGGGAAATCCCTAGGTCATGAAAGCAGACATGAAAAGACAGTGACTGGGAAATCCCTAGGTCATGAAAGCAGACACGAAAAGACAGTGACTGGGAAATCCCTAGGTCATGAAAGCAGACACGAAAAGACGGTGACTGGGAGAACCCTGGGTGATGAAAGCAGACACGAAAAGACGGTGGCATGGAGCTCCTTGCTGTTGAAGAAGTCAGAAACGAGCTTAACAAGTATGGGGGGTAGATGTGGAACCACCAACAAGGACGATTTCATGGACCGCCAGAATAAAAAATGAGGACATTGTGCTCACCAATGGCTTTTGTGTTAAGACCATAGGTGATGGTAGCTGCATCCTTGGCAGCTTGTCTCTGAGAGTTGTTGAAGTATGTGGGGATGGTGAGGGAGTTGATAAAGCGCTGCTCCACCAGTTTTCCCCTCGGCTACACCAAAGAGGGTTGCTAGGTGAGTAGGGCAGAGCTACTGCCACATGGAACTGATAAGTTGGGTGACTGGGAGTGCAGCATTGTTGTCGCCACATGAAGTCCTGAGGCCCTGTAAAGCATGAGTGAGAACTACAAACGAATAAACAAATTAAATTAAAACAGTACCTTCTCCAGGGGAAGTGCTGTTGTTGGAGGTGTTCACCTGCGGCACTGTACATGGCAGTGACTAGAGAGTTTTGGAGCAGAGGAAAGTAAAGTCATGTGATCAAGCCACCCATTTATGGTAACTGTGTAGGATGAGTCCGAGGGAGGGTAAGGTAGAGAGTGGATGTATGACATGTAAAGTACTGTAAAGTGCAATTTTGAGTGGGTAAAGTGAGTAAAGTGCGGGAGAAAGAGAAATACACTGTATATTTTGTGAATTTTGTGAATTTTGAACTTCCAGGCAGGCTCAGGGCCTTCCTGGGTGCCGATGCACCCACAACAATGGTGAATTTTTATTGCTTCCGCCCAACTTCTGCCTCAGATTTCCACCTCAGATAAAGCATGACACATAGATTAAACACCAGTTAGATAATTTATATATAAATTTACTTGTGAACATTGATCGCTGTCAGGACCTGAGCGCTCGAGCGGTCTGCTTGGTCTGCATGATTTCTACTGATATTTTGATGCCAATAATTCTCTATGCTAGTAATTCAACCTACATCAGGAAATCGCCGAGGCGACGGTTTGTGTAGTTGTAGTTGGTAAGACCAGATCAAAAATTCACGCGATTATATGTAATGACAAAAGTAGACAAAATAATATATAAGATAAGCAAATTGGTAGCGAAGGATAAGATATGGCAAAAAATGTATAATTCTGATGAAAATAGGCAAGTGTACCAGCATTTCTCGACTGCATGGTCACCTATGGTCACCAGTGACCACTTGGGATCAAGAGGCTCAGCCCTATGGGATGCTTATGTAAGTCCGAAATTTTTTCAAAGTTCAACGTTAGAGTCTTCTTACTAGTTCCTTCTCTCAATGCTACCACCACCACTTAATTACTCTCTGAATCTCGAACTCTCACTCTCTTTGGCCTTCCCTCTTGGTCCCTCCCTTATGGTTCCTCCTCCTTGGTTCCTCCTCCTTCGTGGTCCTCCTCCGCGGTTCCTCCTTGGTTCCTCCTTTGCGGACCCTCCTTCCTGGACCCTCCTTCCTGGACCCTCCTTCCTGGATCCTCCTTCCTGGACCCTACTTCGTGGATCCTCCTTCATGGACCCTACTTCCTGGACCCTCCTTTGCGGACCCTCCTTCTTGGACCCTCCTTCGCGGACCCTCCTTTGTGGACCCTCCTTTGTGGACCCTCCTTCGCAGACCCTCCTTCGCGGACCCTCCTCCCTCTTATACTCATTTTCTGTCTTTTGTAGTGTTATATATGTATATATGTACTTACATCTTGTTTGTTTAATTACAAAATGAATTTTTTTTGGAATAAAATGTGTGTACAATGGTTGAAAAATTAGCTTTTGTTTGAAGCCACCCAACATTATCAAACTTTGTCATGGCTGCCAAGTGTTGGCAACATTTGCTGGTTTGGTGAGAAATGGCAAGTAATTGCAGGTAGACTATCATGATTGTGCTTTTGGGAGTTTTCATCCAACTTACTCCGGGTATATAAAGCATTTTCTAGTGAACTATCATTTTGATAGATATTATACAAATTTTAAATCAGGTAAAGCTTGACAAAACTTTACCATTTTCACGTCACTTCCCTGATGTATAGGGTAATTCGGTCCTGGCTCGTGATTGGTGGAAACAAGCTTTGGCGCGAGCAACTCACATGCCGAACCCTAAGTTAGGTGCATGCGGCAGAATTCCCAACCGTGTGTCAGCACAATGGCAGAATTCCAACCATATGTCACGTGACTTTGGATTCCCTTTTTTTTTTTGTCAGAGCGAATCTGAGACGAAATCCCCTTTACAGAATTTACCTTAGCTAATCGTACATTTCTCCAGATATCCCAACTTTTACATGGAAATGTTTGGCATTGTCGAGTAAAGACCAATTTGAAAGTACACCAGCTGAGTAGCATTATTTTCTGAGTGACCTCTTTTACTTGAATGGATGTGGGAAAAAACGAACGGGCTTGTAAATAGGATTGACTATTTGCTTGCTCTTCCACTAAAGTGGAGTTGGGGACTTCGCTGTCAACTTGGCAACGACTCGGAGAACGACTTCGACAACCTGCTGTCTATGTTTCGGACCGGTGTTCAGCTGGCGTAACTTAGAACCCATCTGGACAACGAATAACAAAATTTCAAATTTCAACTGAGTCATGTCACATGGTCTGGGAGATCCCGGATCACACAGATTCTTTCACACAGGGCACCTTGCTTCCCTGCCATAACCGCCATGTCATCTAATGTATCAAGCCACAGTGATGGATCTAATCGCTCCCTTCGTTCTTGTGGTACTGTTGATCCAGTAGAATTGAAGAAGAACCAAAGCAAAAGAAAGCCTGCTGCCTCCTGGACGCTAGAAGAAGAAACTGTTTTCGTTGACTTCCTGTTATCTCAGTTCTCTGCAAGTGGCGATGGAAATCCCAAGGGTACAACACTCACCAGCGCTGCAAATCTACTGAAGGAGAGATTCCCAAATGCATCTGGTGCTGAGAAGACAGCTGGTGTTTGTAAGAACAAGTGGCAATCTGTATGTTATCAGTCCGATGATCGTGTTGCCGGTGATCAGGGAAAACTCAAAGAATGTATGTCTTGCAGCTCAAAACATCATATGGTGCTGTCGCAGATATCAAGAACACATCGGGATTTACATGGAGTGATGAGTATGGAGCTGGAATAGTGATGAAGAATGATGATGTCTGGGATCGGTACGTCAAGGTATGTATTGTTGCCACTGCTGCAGCCAGCACTACTAATAACGCAATCACTCTCAGCGACGCCCTGCAGCGAAGGCCTTCAAAAATAAGGGCTTCAAACATACCTCTGCTATGGAGCAGATGACGCCAAAGATTGCAAAAGGATCGCATGTCTATCGACCACCTCCAGTGCCCACCGGCAATGACATCCCTCAGGCTACTCCTCCCTCCTTTAATCTCAGCCAGCTTACCTCTGCAACCGAAGAAGTCATGCAAGTGGGTGGCAGTGGGCTTCTCCGCACTCCTGGGCCATCGGCCACTTTCAGTGATCCCTCATCAACATCGCCCTCTACTCCATCTTGTTTCCTTACCTCTTCCGGTGGTGGCTCAGCCCCCTCATCTGTGTTGACAAGTGTTAGCCGCAGTGCAAAGCGCAGAATCAGTTCCACACCCTCAATTATTGAATCAGAAGCAAGCGCTCGAAAACGTACACGCCGGCCACTATCTGTAACTGCCCAGGCACAACAGGATGGGTCTGAGACGATGAAGGAGCTCGCTACTTACATCAAAGACTACCTCCAAACTCCCCCCCAGGTTACTTCATCTGACCCCCTCACTCGTGCTGTTGTCTTGTTATCAGAACATAAGACTCTTACAGCTGATGATCAGCTCGAGATCACAGACTACTTCGCTAGGGACAAGACACAGGCTGTAATTTTTTCTAATTTTCCAGAGACAACTCGAGCTGCCTGGTTGGAGAAAACTCTCCGCAAACTCAAGTCCAACCAAGACGACGATGTAGTAATGGTATAGAGCTTGAAGCAGGCGGTTCCGCGGAGTGTAGTACGACAATACAAACTACTACTTATTTGTATTCAAGCTGTACCTGGCAATGGAAGTCCTCGTTCCCTATGCTCATTGAGATAGTCAGCCCACATTTCCTCTGCAATTCTCTCCCGCCACTGATCCGCTCTGCTCCGTTCCGCTGTGTCAGCTGGTCCATCGCCGAGTTCACCCAACGCAACATCAAGGTTCATTCCGTCAGATTCGACGTCAAAGTCGTCAGGATGATACCTTTGATTGAAGTTGTGCAGTGCGCACAGCGCTACAGGGATCCGAGCCTGAATATCCATGTTATATTCAGGGACATGTCGCAAGATGCCCCACTGACGCTTCATAACACCAAAAATGCGTTCAATCACATTGCGAAGTCCAGCATGACGAAGGTTGAATAGTTCCTTGGCATTCTGTGGCCTGTGTAGAATCCCAGTCAGACGCTAACTTAAAATAATAAAGGATTAGTACTACTTGATATTGGCCCGTCGCCACTCTTTCAAATGATAACGGACACTCCGGTATGGAACAAGGAGGACATCAGAGGTACCAAAACCAGCATCCGCAAGAAAGTATCGACCTTCAGGGATGCGTAGGTCGTTTGAATGGGTGTCCGTCCACAGAGCAGCATCAGACATAGATCTGTCCCACCCACAGAGTGAATACAAGAAATGGAGGTCAAAATCGCAGATGAACAGACAATTTTGCGATAAAAAACCTTTGCGGTTACGCATGTGAAAGTGTTCCTCTGGCGGTACAAAAGCCTGGATATGCGTGCCGTCTACAGCACCGATACACTGATCAAAGAACCGATATCGAGGATCATCGAGAATTTTATGGGAAATTGGGGTTGTGTGAGTCGGAAATGTGATCTGGGAGCTGTAAAATGGATTCGACGAGAAGAAGAAAAGCATGTGTTTGAAATATCTTGGAAAATAGATTAAGTCGCTTGAAAAATAATATCGAGACCACTATACCTTGTGACCGTGTCAGGGGAGCGCTGGAATCTCTCCCCAACTAAGGTGGGATGATAATCCAGTGACACATGTATATAAAAAAATGCCAAGCTGCTCCTCCACTGATACTGCCATTGCGGGATAGGACAAATCTATTGTGGTGAAGAACCTGCAGCAGTGCATTGAAAACATTGCTATCAATACCAAAGTTGTGCCGGATCCTGTCAGGATGTCCATAAATGAGCTCGTACACCCATGCTTCACCAGTGAGGATGGATGTATGATATGGGATGCGGACAGTTGAGGATAAGAACAGAAGCTGGTAGGTATTCATAATTTGCACTACCATAGCTATGAGAATCACGGTCCAGCGACGTCGACGTTGGTCGAATTGTTGTTGCGCTTCAAGGTCAATATCATAGTCCATGTATGCGAAGCGTTATCATTGTTAATACGAAGTCTAACCGAGGTGTGTGATCCGGGATCTCCCAGACCATGTGACATGACTCAGTTGAAATTTGAAATTTTGTTATTCGTTGTCCAGATGGGCTCTTATAAGTGACCATTCTCAGCCTTTTTCTGTCACATTCATATTTTACAATCATAATATAATGCGATCCCTGAGTTCTACTGCTGTGCTCGCACAATCACTACCGTGTGAGGAACCTCTGACATTATTCAGAAACGCTCTCGACACGGGTACCATATATACACCGCCGCCGCCCTCTTCTCACCAGCCCACGAGCACACCCTCTTATTAATCCCAAACGCCCATCTGCATCCCTGGTGTTGGTGTCTCGTCGCCAATTCTGGTACCAGAGAGCACTAATCCGACAGCTTTCGACGAGATTATGACAACTTGGTTCTTCCCAGATTCGTTGACTTACTAACAATTAGCCATTTTAATGTTTTCTCGGTGTGGTTCCTCTCATTCTCGATTTTTTATTTATTTTGGCGCGAACCGGTCTTGATGCATTTGTGATGCATGATGTCGTGAAATTTACGCCTCGAACTCACGTGATCTCGATGTAGATGTGACACCAAATGCAATTACCATGTAACTTTAAGAAGCGCCATTGAAGGGGTGAACTGGAACTACTGTTCGACCACGGAATGACTCGGAACGTGCCACATGCGCTGCTGTTCAATTCCAAAATTTCAGAATTGAGCAGCCCTTTTTAACACGTAGCTGCATATATATGTCGTTCGCTCATCTTATTACTTTCTCAGACATATCATGTCGTCCCCAGGCCCTACCCTTCGACAGACGGAAGGTGAGTCTGGCTGCTTGACTTGCTGCGTCGCCGTACTTGATATTTTTTTAGTCGCGGACATAACCCTCACGGTTGTGGCTGTCCTTGTCACATCCTTCCGCTTGTGTATCCGTGTGCAGCAGAAGCGTCTGGGAATCGACGATGTATGGGCGGCCCTCTGCATGATATTCGACTTTCTACTATTAATTTCCGATTGCTTGTATCTGCAAGACTCCGGTGAGCGTCCTACAATGCGTATGTTTCATATATCTTACTGTAGAAATGCAGAAAGATACCATCAAAACACAAGGATAGCATTATACTACATGTACGTTCTCTTTTCTTATACTTGAGAGACGTTACCAATACTACATCAGGATCATACAATTTTTTTATGCAGTTGTATGGTAGGACACTATTACTGCACTTTTAGTGGCATGGCAACGTGACAAAACTGACATGCACGCATAGGTCATCGAAGTTATCCGTGTTGTTTACCATTGTGCGACTCACAATCCCGGGAAACTTCAGGAGATTTCTTATGTGCATTGTCGGTACCTTCGGCGCTATCTGGGCTCTCCTTTTTGCACAACTGTGGTGGGTTTGTGAAACTCAGCCCAGCTGGAAAACAATACAACCACATCCGCAGTGCGATCTCGGCAAACGTGTTGCAATAACGCAGATCATCAGTGAGTATTCATTTTTCATAAAATATATTGGTCTTCTGATGTATCTCAGCCGACGTTCTTGCGGACTTTTTCCTCATCATGGCTCCATTTTTCCTCATTTACAAAGTCAGATTGTCAAAGACGCAAAAAGTCCGGATATTAGCCGTCTTTTCTACGTCAGCAATTACCACGATCGTCAGTCTTACCCATGCATATTACATCTTCTGTGGTGAAGGGCTTAAGGAGTTTATGGCTGCTATAGTTGAGGTTCGGTGTCAGTGTTTAGACCTCGAGCGCTACTGATCACGCTTTAGGCTTCCCTGTCTCTAATCGTCGCGAACTTGAGCGTGGTCGTCGCGTTCATCTTCCGTATAAGTTCAGACGATGATTCACCATCCAATCCGACACCCATCATAACTTTTGGCGGACAACATAGGACACGCATAGCTGCCACTCGCGTAGCTATTGAAACTACCACGATCGTGCTGGAGGATCTCTCCGAGTCTCGTCTCCGTTCCTTGAAGACAAGCGACGACGACGACGACGACGTTACTTTACACAACAACAGGGAGCCAAAGCAGACAAGGGAATGGTGTTAGAGCAGAAAAAAGTTGATTTCTTTCCGACTCCCACGTTAGTGGGGCAGGGTCCTTGTGGAATGGATTCTTCTAATTTTTCCCTGGCAAATTGCATTTTCTCGATCGATCACGGTCATTTTTCCGTTCATGTCTAAACCGTGCAATCACACACCTTGTACCCCTCTATTCCAATCCGAGGACGAAAATTTCAACACGGCCGCATTACCATCTGTGCTAATTAAATGATTCAATGCAGAGCTTGAAATTCTGGTGAGTTCACTGTCTTTATTCAAGGAGACGGGTATCGGTGTCATTTTGGCGTTCAGCATCGTCCTCCCACCCTAGGTCAAGCTCCTGTTTAACTTCCGCCCTATGCATGTCGGTAGGAGGCCAGCTGATGCGATTTTAATTGTAAGCCGCAACTCCGGCTTTCCGGCATCGAAAAGCCTGCGGGTGATTCTCACCTAATGGCCTCTAATGACCGGGTCGTTGCAAATCTTCCTGCTAGAGTAATGGCACTTGGGTCTACATCATTTCGCGAAGTAGCTGGCATCATCACTAACGCAAATGACGTGGCTCAACCTCAGGCTGGAAATATATTGGTCGTGAAACACGTGCACCGGAGGAAACCCGAAGTTATGTACTGTGTTGCTCGAACTTGATGTGGACATACCATAGCCAGGTCGTAGCAACACTACACTTGAAAGTCCCTGCCAGTTTAAACGATAATGATTGCAGTTCAAGTAGATGAACATATTTATGAACGGTCGAAAGGCTCTCTGCGGAAAAATCAATTCTACAAGTGAGCCATCCGAGGGGTCAGGAGGGGTCAGTCTCGTGAAAAAAGGAGCCGGGGGCTTGGTGTGTGCTCCGAGACTCGCACATATGCCAGCCGACTCTGACTACTTTCGCTCGGCGTCAGTGTCAAGCCTGACTTTTCTCCAGCAGGCTCTAGTACAGGCGCTCGCTCTCCCACTGCGGTTAGTCGAGCGTGGATCGGCGTCTGTCTCAGCCACGGTCGGCAACACACGTGCAGCATGCCCCGAATCTATCCTCTCCCGCTTCCAAAGACGCGGTCGCGTTACGTGCGTCCGTCAAGTCACGACCAACATGTGACGCGTGACAACTGAACACTTCAAATTTTTAACCTTCTTCTCTTGATGCATACACACCGAAGACAAAAGCGGCAAACTACGTGGTTACCACTTCATCTAGCCAGCTATCTTCGGTGCATCTTTCTTCGCCACATTTGCGCATAGAAGCTAGAACGGTCTTAAATGACGTGGCCACTGATCGACTTGCGGACCACACCGCATGGGGGACGTTCTCTCTTTGCTGTCCAGCCCATTGCCCAGGGGACCAACATATTTGCATGTGAAGCTCCTTTTGCGCATGTGATTTACAAAGATTATCGCAGGGAGGTCTGTGCTCAGTGTTTTGCTTACGCTGCAAGTACTTCACGAAGTATTGACGATTCACGGACTTGGAGTATCAGGAGCTGCAGGGCAACTGCAGAGACTGTTTGGTTCTGTACCGATGAATGCAAGGTCACATGGGAAAGCGGGGTGATAGGTCCCTTGACTGCCGATGTCAATGCTCTTCTTGGCAAAGCAAAGATAGCTACTCGGAGGAATTCCGCCAGGGACGACTACGATCCGATACTGCCAAATGGTCCTACTGCACAAATCACGCAAGACTACATCGACAAAGCATGGGCGGATGTCGAGGATTTGGTTTCCTCTCGTGCTCGTCTCTCTGCGTACTGCTCGACGATGAATTTAGAAGATATGGAACTCGAAATATCGCGCTCAGTTGCGTCAGCCATTGTCCAGCGATATGTATTTGATCACCGTCTCGCCAGTTTCGCAGTTTCTTCGATAATATCCACCTCAGATCCATGGGCAGAAATTCTTGATCTCCAGAGCAGCGAGCTCTCGAATGTTAGCGTGCGGCCTTACATTCTCGCGGCGCATCTACGCGTATACGCTTTTTTGTGTCATTCGCTTCCGAAACATCTCAGATTGTACGTTCCTACGGCCCGATATATCCTTGCGCGCGACACCGGGAATGCTTTCGGCATTTGGGATGGAGATAGCAGAGATGAAATGCTCGGATGGGGCCTTTGGGCAGGCGCGAGTTATTTTAACCACAGTAAGAACCCACTTCTTTGTAAGCCTTTTTACTCAACGCATCGGCCCATGAAGGTTGTTACCCAAATGTCAAAAAGACGCGTGTTGGACGTACCATGCACTTCACCACCTCTCGCTCAGTCGAGATCGGCGAGGAGCTTTGCATTAGCTATATCGATACCAATCAAACCATTACGCAGCGCAGACAGGATCTAGAAGATAGCTGGTTCTTCAAGTGCCGGTGCCAGCGTTGCCAATCAGAAGAACCTGATGAGGCACCTCCGTATCGATGTGCCTTTTTACAGAGACGCAGCCAAGTCTTAGATGTTGGTGTTTGTGTGCGTACATAGTTGTGACACTGTGGGGGGTTGAATGGATTTCATGATGTTGAATAGATTTATTAGTAAGTATGTACAAGGACTCACCGGTCACCTTCGGTCTTTTACAGGTGTGATTGTTGATATTGAATCCGTGATAGCGCCTATCAATCTGATACCTGCTTCCGTTTTGAAGGCCGACAACGCCGTGAAATGAAGCAGAGGTCGCTCATAGTAATGAGCAAAGAGCTGCACAAAGGAGACGGAGCATGGATGCGCAACAACACATCATGTCGCAGCAGACGGAAAGAGCTGTCAGAACGCAACAACACAGCATGACGTGGTGGACGCCATCGCCGGCGGGATCTCGTGCTTTGGAATAGATAGAAAGACTGCGACTACCGGTAGTGACCTCGGCATGCTATGTCTGGACTCTTATAGACCTCTTTTATATAAGCGCTAGTTGTAAAGTTGTAATAATAGTCTACTTGAGGCCTTTTTTGGACTTGCGTAGCCTGAGACCCAGCACTACATAGTACTGGCAGACTGAGCTGAGCAAGCTCCACTCTACTCCTCCCTGACGACTACTGAATTCATGACACTTGCGGAAAACGACAGTTCTCCTCCATGCGTCAAGGGAAAAGGAAAGGCCAGGCATTCTGAACCTTCAGAACAAACACCCCTGCTACTACACCACAGTGATGTTACTCCCAGTCAGCCACGTGCTACAGACGATGAAGACGTCGACCTTGAAAGCAGCTCGGACGCTCGGCGAAGGCTTTGGTCCAAGCTTATATTTGTTTTCCTGGCATCTCTGTCTTCCTGCATCGTAATATTTCTGCTGCTTGCTCTGTTGGCATACTCTTATGCCGCCAGATTGTCGCATGTGTCCCCAGAAGACATCTTAGAGAATGCGCTGGTGATCCAAGGGCCGTACCGGGTGAGCGTACTCAATGTTACAGCAGACGGCGGGACATGGATAGAAGTACGAGCAAGAGTTGGAATTGATGCGGGATCAATAGTGGGAGTCGATATGGATGATGACGAGGGAACATTGTATAACATCTGGAAGTCGTTTGGTCAATGGGGCGTCAAGATTCTGGATAGAGTTACAGTGGACATCTCTACCGCTCAAATCTTCTCTCAGCGACAGGCACTCTTAGCCACGCTCCATTCCCCACCATTTGAACTTCCTCTCACTGTCGATCCCCCATACGATGATTCGTGGTTATCCTCATTGTCTTTAACTATTTTTGTCATCCCCACCCAGGACGCGTCTGATATGAACCAGTTCGTGCACGACTCCTGGCATTCTGGTGCTGCGTCTGTACATGCCTCTGTTCCTAGCGTGGTCGTCTCTGGGGGCTCGACGAACAAAGGCGATTGGAGGCACATGCTAAGGCTCCAGAGATTAGGTATACAAACTCAGTTGTCCATGCAGCGTAAGTCTTTTTATTATCTGTTAATTTGCAAAGAATACTACAGCAATACCGACAGTTCCACCGATCCCTGGCTTGCCCATCCCGGGCAAGGATGTACCACTACCATCCGTTTCGCAGCTGATCACGTTGCAATCTTTCGGCGTGGAGTCTGAAGCTAAAGACGTGACTGTACATGCCCTTGCGACTGTCGTCAATCCCGTGCCACCTATAATGAACCTAACTGCACCCTCACTTCCATTCATAATTTCACTCCCCGGCAAAAACCATTCATCAGTACCGATAGCATCGGTACACACTGACCCGTTCACCCTGACCCACCCCAACATCACGCTCACTATCTCTGGAAGCGTTCTCCCTCTCCCCGCCCATCCTTCCGCATCCATATCCGCCTTCCTTAGTAGATACCTCTCCCTCGAACCTAACCTCGTATCCGTCGCATGTCCACTATTCCCATCTTTTACGGTGGACATGGAATTCCCGCCCCCCAGTTCCAAACCACACATACTCCGCAATGTAACGATTCACGACATGAAGATAAAACCAAACTCTGCTAGCACCGGTTTTCTTGCGAGTGGTTCGGTGTTCGCTCGCATAGTGCTGCCTAAAGGAATGGACCTTGCACTGAATGTTACTCGCGTATTTCCTGATGTTCTGGTCTTCGACGGGGAAGCCCATGAATTGCCTACACTTCTCTTTCCCCAACAGAAAGACGAAGACGAATTACCGGATCCACTTCCAGAACACGCATTTGGTCATATACGACCTGAAGATTGGTTGGAAGCGACAAGCGTTCAAGTCGACTCCGAAGGAGAAGGCTCCATGTTCGCAGTCACCGCAGATATGGTCAATGTCCCGTTGGAGGTGCTTCCTGGTAGGCAGAAACAATTCAGCAATTTCATCAGCAAGGTGTGTATAGCACTATTTTTTGCGCAACCTTGTTCACGCAGGATCAATTGCAGGTTGTATTTGGCACCCATGGTGCATTGGCTGGCTTGCAGGGAACTACTGATGTCGGGGTGTACATCGTCGGATTACCGTTCCGTGATCATGAGGACACGGCCACAGGAATGGACCTTTTGGGTCTGCCCTTCCAAGGGAGCGTACGCGTTGGAATGAAAGATCTACTGGTATGACGGCTCCCTTGATCTTTTCTCTGAAGGACTATGTAATTTATTTGCCTGTATCATCATGCATTCACGACTGCTAAGCACATTCCTATACATTGTTGACATAGTGGTTCACTACGCCGCACTGGAATTCAGATTTCCCGATATCCATGAGCTACTCTAGGGATGACGTCACCGACTTGTGCATGAAATAATTCAAAGAACGGTCTAGCGATGGATATCGTTCATTCTGCTATTCAAGATGGGGCTGCTCTGGGACTTCTGCTGCCTCTACCCTAACATTGTGTTACCGGTAGACGTATACTATTGAGATGGACCCACGTTTTCGCAGCGATTTGGATGAGATCCTCACGTTAATGGTCTCCCGCACTGGACCTTCTTGTATTCATCAACCTGTATGCCATCAATATTTCGGGACGTTCGTCGTCCAAGGACAATGAGACAGAAAATACAACTATGCAAGGTGAAGCTTCAGTTATAATGCTTGATCATCACCCCGTGGATCATCTCTTCTTCTACGCCTTTTTCTTTTCCACTCTTCAGTTTCGACAGGCCATAAGCCATCGTCCTTGCTTTCCTCCATTGCTCCATTATCGGTGCCTCGCTATCTTCGCACCGTCTCTGAATTCCTACTCTCTGTAAGACTGGGCTTTCAACCATCGGCACCAATTTGATATCGTCGTTAGGGATAGCAAAGTAGAACACTCCAAGACGAGTATAGTCCCGCTGGTCCACCGCGGGCTGGACAACGCGGTGGATCGTGCCTTTGTAATATCCGCCAGTAAGGAAGTCCATTGCATCGCCTACGTTAACCACCTATACCCGCTCGTCATGTCATGGATTGAGATATAGAACATGACCACCCACAAGCGCATTTTCCATGTGACGGATCCAACGCCATTCACCTTCACGGGTCTGGATTTGCAATGCGGCGACAGGCTGACTCCATAGAATTGTAACACTTCCGAAGTCTTGCGGTAGTATTGTGAGCACAGTTTCTTCGTGAGTAAATTACTCACCCGTGTGGCCTTTCAGCCAAACATTCTTTGTTTTGGCCTCTTCTTCCTCTGTTCGTGGGTAGCTACACCACATAAGCTTGTGGAGAGTAGACATACAAGGAAGTACTTACTACTTGATGAACCTAACTGATCGACAAGTCAGTATGGTACAAACTGTTTGAAATGTATGTATGTACCAGCTGTCTCGCCGACGGCGTCAAAGACATGTTTGTTCACCAGTGTATCTTCTGGTAGCTCGAGGCTGCGGGCAATAAGCCTGAGAGAGAATATTTTATCAGAGTCTTCCTGAGCACACCAGGATATACGTTTACCTCAGGATAGGATACAACACATTGAAGTAGTTGTGTGTGCTGAACTCCTGTATCTCTGGGAGGAGAGGGAGGAGAGCTTCTGGGTGCTTTCGCTTGGTCACATCGCGAATGACTAGAATGATGTGAGATGAGCCTATAAAAATGAATGCGTGTCGCTCACTACAGTATTGTTCAAGCTGGTCGCGCACTCGACCATCGTTATCCTGTTGAATTCGATTGATTTGAGCAAATCAAATGTTCCTGTGTTGCGTGATACACGACTGCTACGTACCGCGTACTGCACTGATGTATATCCTTGGAGCATCCCATCTTGCTTTCTTGTCGAAGCATAAATTTGCTTCTCGCTGTCGGTGACAGCTGAGAAGGGTACGTCTGCAATGTCAAACATGCGAGCCGTCTGAGTCGAGATGTAATTGATTATTTACGTGATAATATTAGAGAATCGTCTCACTTGTGTTTGCGAATATCCATGATTCACGACATAGAAGAACCCGAAATTCAGGAGAGCCTCCCTTAATTCAATTGCGAGCGAGGCACAACCTTCTTCGGAGCTGGCTTTCGAAATGTCGATGATCGCAAGGTCGGCATACTCCACTGTCAGTGCGTACGTCAGTGTTCTGCATTAAGCACAAGACCTCGCACATACAGTTTTCCTTCGTAGGAGGTGCAGCAACGTAGTGCGGCACGTAGGGCAAGGTAATGCCGTGCATTGTAATTAAGAACACCAAGGGGTTACAAAATTAACCCTCCAACTTGTCCTTATATAATTAAAGCCTTGGGTCTGATTTATAAGAAGCTGCGGGTATGATTGCATGGTCTAGGCCACTGACAAAGGGAAGTTTCAAGTAGTCGCCGTGCGGCGACAATAAACACGGGGGGTTTACAAAAAGTAGGCACCATCGCACCGGTGACGCACCGACTTGAAATATTCCGGGGAGCCATTGAGCCGGTCTTGACTGGTACGCAATCGAGAAACCTGCCTCGAAACATGACGTGGGCCTCTAGGAAGGGAGTGCTAGTGCCAAGTGCCAAGTGCCAAGATCCAAGGTCATGAAGAAATTCGTGAGTTGCGGAACACTTCTTCGGAAGGCTGCGACAGCCTAACACTAATTGCACCTTCAGCCATGATCATTAATGTAAAAACGTAGCCCTTGCTTCTGCCGAGTCGGTGAGTATCCGAGTCGATGGTTCGATGCTACATACAGGCTCCACATAGACTCACATCGTTTCCTCCATACATAAGATTGTGGTTCACATAGAAGAGTTAGACCAGGTCCAGTCGCGCGTAGCCACGTCGATCAGCTGCCGGTGGGATTGCATCACTTGATGGATATATCACAAGAACTTCTGAGAGGAAATCGGAATCGCAAAAATTGCGCATGATCGGGTCTGTGCTCGAGGCGGCAATAGAACAGGGTGTTAAATAATACTGCTGATGCTATGCGTGACCAAGGCAATAAAATGAAAACTAAAGCAATCTTGACCAGTCTTGACCCCGGCGGGTCCATTATATAAGTTCTGCCCGATGCAAGCTGAAACGGAAATAGTAAGCAAACTAGTCATTGTCGTGACATTTGCAGTCATTCTTGCAAATTGTTATAACTGCACGTTGCATAAAAAAAGTAGAATATTCACTCCTTGAAGAAAAACACATCGTCAAGCGCGACACACGCTTAAGGCTTAGCAGTGACCCCTTCAGCAGGAGCTTAGCCTGCACGAAAAATTAGCTCCAATACATGAATTCATAACCATCGCTTACATTCACTGCATCCGTGTATTACTTGTCAGCGACGACCCAATCTTGAATCATGTCCTTGCCAACAAGCAAGAAGGTCCAATTGCTACAATTCAGCTGCGTGGCAGTGGTGGACTCAATCGGACAACTCTTTTTTCCCACCTGCTGTACTCTTGACAAGCCTTTTCCACGCAGATGGCATGTGATTCATTATTTCTAGTACAGAACCCTCTCCCACTAAAGTGGGTGTCGATCGGGGAATGGCCAGCTGTAATTTGTAAATGAGGTCAATAGTCGATGTCAGTGTCTACCGTTAGCTGCGTCACAGCAGTCGGTGACGTCCCAGCCACCTTCCATGGTTAAAGTTCACCTCCATTCGCTCGTCTCGACAGCTATTGACTTTTTATCACTCCGTGCTCATGCCTATGACGCAAGAAGGGGTCAATTTCTCGTTGCTTTTTATGAGACTCGGCCTATGCTCACATTTTTCATCCCATCCGCTCATCACCTCACTTGCCATCTCAGCCTACCCAACACTTCACCAGCACCTCCTAGTGCCTATGTGAGTTCCTCCCCCTCACGCTTTTGCGATTCAAACGCGCCCCAATACGGCAATACCTGCAGTTCGACATGTTCCCATATACACCAATATTGTTTGCTCTTCCATCTCCAGTACTCCAATATTCGGGACCTGCTCCATTAGCACAACCATCTGCACAAATACAAGGTCCTCAATATCTCTCGTCTCAAGCATTTTGCAAGGAGCACCCTCTTCCATCTCAACAGCAGCGGCTCCCAGTGTTGTTTCAGCTTCGGATCGCAGTACCACAAGATCACATTCATTTGAAGGTATCATGGGACATAGGAGAAGCAGGTCTCTCAACGACAGAAGTGCCAGTAATTATTGGGAGCGGCATGGGGTGTACAGTGTTTGATCTATGGACCAGCACCTCGCTCCACAGCAGGGATATACTGGGGACCAACAACAACAGGGAGACGTGGAGCAGACGTGGACTGGGAGGAGCAATGGTGCGTGCTAAAAGTCATATCCTCAATCACATTATCAATTCTCTCCTTTTCTTTCCTTTCCTTTCCTTTCCTTCCTTGCTCTTTTCTCGGTTTTAAGTTTTCGCCTATGTGAAAAACATATTCACCATGTCCGCCATGCCATGCCTTCGTGCTCCTTATCAAAGTCATATCCTCGTTATCGCGATGTGCTGTGCACGTCTGCGAGCACTGACATCTACGTAGACCTGCTTCTTGTCTCGTCACATATTGGTAACATTACTGCGAGTGATTCAATGCTCTGAGCGAAACAAGGTGTCTGATGGCTCCTCCTAGCCAGAGAAGGGAGGCGGTCATAATAAAGGCGGGGACTAGGGGTTACATAGATTCAAACATAGTACTGATTGTCAATTGTACAGAGCTGGGAAGTCAGCGTGCCAATACATACGTATGTTTGCTACCTCGAAGAAGGTGAAAGAATGCGCCAACATGACAGATGAATAACTACAGTAACATACATATCTTCTTGACTGCAGATGGTTAATGACCGCTTGTAGTATCCTGCCCTTAAAGATGAGAACACCGGATGTTTGAGAAGAATTGTCACTTACCTCAAGACTAAGGTATAGGAACTCTGTAGACGTCAAGTATGTACTCAACCACACGTTCAAAGACTTCGGTACCGCACCCGTCCTCGGACACCTGCCAAAGAAAAAGGGAGATACCAGTCGAATCTTTATATTCGTTTAACTGCTGTAGCATCCCGGTAACTTTGTCTCCTTGATGATAGTCGAGGAGGCAACTAGAGATACGCTGCCCAGGTGGGCATATGAAATGAAGCTCGAATCTGAGAGAATAAACTTTCGGGGAGTCTTGGATTCCCTATTAAGTGACTGATTACAATATGAAAGGTTGGCGAAAATATGAGTGTAGCCTTCGCTAATCGGTAAATTATACGGCTGGATGAAAGTGGGCCCTCACCTGACACCTTGCCATTGACTATCGCCGAAATGACGACAGCGCAAATCGGACTAGGGTTATCGCGGTTCGCCAGTGACTGCAACTGAAAACTCAACGAGTTGGGATTTCTCAGTAACATCAACAACCTTCCCCTTAATTCTAGTCCACGAGGGCCGCCGCTTAAACCTTGGGAAACCACATCTTGTTTGTAGCCCAGCTCCACATGTCTAGATAGAGTCTTTTCTGATACCCGGCGTTTTTCTCGAGAGGTTATGTGACAACATCTTCCAGACGTCTTGTCAAGAGCAATGTGTAGTACTATTCTGACAGCCCGGTCGTGCAAAGAAAGATTGAAAGACGGTTCAACGAGCACTTTTACGACGAGTAGCAATTGGGAGGATAGTCCATCGTGGTGAGAGTGGAGAGGAAATAATGGAGAGTGGTAGAAATGTTGACTGTAAAATTGACATCCGCACCGCGTCGACGAAATTTGTGGATATATTCGTGCGATGACTTTCTCGACCTGACAGCCTTGTGCATGATGTCATCAAGTAGGTTGACCTCTGTTTGTGACAGCAAGAAATCTATGGCGACTTCGCTTCCAGTGTTTGAAATTGATTTGAAGATGTTATTAGGGCGACTGATCAAGTATTCCTAGTTTGCATAGCGCATCAGCGAATGAGCAAGATGACGGAGTTTAATATATCATACTTTGACACTATAATGAGATAGAGCGACGACCTTAGTTTTCTCATTGTAGGTCACAAGGCTTCCGCATGCGGCCACGATATCCATAGTGTCGATAACGCCAAGGTCTTCATTGAGACTCGGCAGCCCAACTTCGATCATCATCACTTCATTGAGCTGGTCAAGCGTCAAAGGGACGGATGCGCCGGCCGGCAAAAGTAAGCAACGCCGGGCAGTGAGCGATCTGGTCATAAGTTTCATATAGATCTGCCGAAAGGTCGTCGAGGGCTTTCCGAATACTGCCGGGTCTTTTGCACGTCATGATGACGTCCAGTTGACACTGAACCCAGCAAAACCTGCGTGTGATAACATGACGATGAATTTCCCAGGAACGAGTGCAACCTGCTTTACTTACATGTCCTTGGCTTTTTCTAACAGTTTCTCCAAAATTATCATTTTAAGCGCGTCAGGTAGGCCTGAAAAGCCCTTAGTATTCAGCTGCTCGGTGATGTGAACCAGTATATCTTCTTTCATTTGTCCTGCGCTGTCCTTCAGTGACATGGTGGGGAGATCATCGAAGGCTTCTTGGATGTCTGGCTCGCTTCTACCAGCGACAAAAAGTTGCAGTTGAGCGTCTTCGGCGAGGTTTACGAGATGTCCTACAAGGTCAGGGTAGTCCTTGCATTCATCCAAGGCGTTAATCACGAGGACTGGTCGGCAAACTAGCGCAGATACTTCAACAAGAAGCTTTCGTAGAAACCCCAGATCTGTGGGATGCGGTTTTACATCACGTTGTTGCTGCCAGAGGTTTCGCAGAGAAACAAGATCTCCTTGCAGCCCTGGCTCGCGTATCTTGGTGATCCAGTCGTCTTGAAATTGTTGAAGCAGTTGAACAACCAAAGAGCGCAAAACTGCGGCTGCGTTTGTCGTTCGGTCGTCTTGGAAATTGCAATAGAAGTAACCGAGAGTCTGTGGCTCTGCTCCGCCGCTACCTTGAATTCCGTCGATAATGGAGGAACTGCATGTTCAGAAGTTAATCGGAGTCTAAAAACTCTCCAGACGAGTCCTTCGGAACTTACGCAAGGTTTGTCTTCCCATGTCCAGCTGTTGCGAATGTTAGCAACCTGGAATGAATGGTGAATGATGAAACTCACGCTGGCCATTCAACCATAGAAACGCGCAATCGGATGTATTCCAGGCCTTATACTGATTGGCGTGGAAAATCCAACGACTGGTCTCGGAGTTGCACTTGAGAGCGTCGTGCTTCTCAATACAAGACACAGGGTTCATCCATTTAAGCAACTGTCGACGTTCCTCGTCTATGCACATTGAATAAAATGAGAAAGTAGCTGGCAGTAAGCCGCTCACCTTTCTTGTGCGCCTCTTGCGTCTTATTTAATTCCTCGACTCCTCGACCGATGTCCTTGAGCGTGTTCCTGGGCCCCGGGGCTGCGTTAGCATTAGCGATCGTTACGAGCGAGTCAACACACCGTGAGTCTATTGCTAGAACTGTTGTGATGTCGTGATAAAAGCCTTTCGATCTCTCAGCAATCGCTGCTGCTTTCGTTTCCTTGAATGGCCACATCAATTTGGATATTGTGTCCGTTTTCCTGCTCGTTTGGTAGTCTTCTAAAGGTTCTTCAGTTGTCCCTGTAACTTCATGACTGGTCCATTTTCGGCCATGAGTTTCGAAAGCACGTGGCGGAGATTGTCTGGAAGAGAGGGATCTTTCTCGATTTCCATGACTGTGGTCGACAACTTGATGACACGTAAAATGAACTTTCGACCCCATATTGTACGTTATCAGTGATTACAAATTCTGAGATCCAGACCACACCCTACTAAAAGATATAGTTTGCGGCCTCGGCGCATTCCCTACTTGTCGCGTGCTCACCGCGTCCCTTGAAGTCAGCTTGTCTTTCTAGCTAGAGGTACCTTTGTTCACCTTCAATATGAAGCACTGGGATATATCTTCTCAGTCGTTGTTGACTTCCCTAAAACCATATGGCACATCAGCAATTTGGGACATCACCGAATGCTCATTGTTCGCTGCCTCACCTGATGGCTCCATATACCAAATCAACACTTTCCGCTAGCGAACCGAAACACACGCTGGTCAGACGATCGAGGCCGTTGGAGGCGCAGGCGTAGTGTGGGGGCCCGGGGGCAGAACTATTTGAATTTAGTTCTGCCGGTTATAACCGGCAAAACTGGCAAAACCGGTTGTTTGCAAAACTCTAGGCTATGTAGTCGACTATGTATACGACATTCCTAACGATGACATCCGAATGTTGCCTCGTCCCATGCACATCTGCCACCCTCGCCATTGTAATTAACCACCTCAACCTCATCTAGAATAGCCTGTAGTATTATTCCTCGTTCGACCTGATCCAACTCGTCAAAATCAAAAGCATTTTCCTTACACTTCAACTTCGTTAACGTTATGAACTTCTTCAGTCCTTTTCATCTCTGGACCAGCAAGCAAGTTATCTGCATCGCGAGGTTCGGTCGAGAGTGGAGGTGCCCATGCGAAGGATGCTTCAAGATCCTGTGCAGTCTCGACAGCAATGCCAACCTCTTCACGAGTGTGCATGTGAGCATGTCGACGGCGGGTGGGCTTCCCAGCTTCCGCGGCTTTCACGGCGCTGTGGTGTCGAAGGTTGTGTTGTGCCGAAATTGTCGTTGATCGATCGATCAGTGATGCGAGGGGGCGCCCTCCAATTTGCACCATATTACTTTAAGGACGTATGTTCTCTTGAATTCAAATTTTGTTATCAGAGATCTAAATTACATCTCCGCGAGTCTCGGATGCCCTGGAGTTCTGCCAAAAACCGGCACAGCCGGCTGGCAAAACTGCCAAGTTCTACCAACAACACTAAAGGTGTCAGCAATCTCATCCGTGTTGCCGACGAGGACGGTAACAGTTGAAAATGTCTCATAACAGTTGAGTTACCTTTCTCTACAAATCGTTCGTCATGGACAGTGAATCGAAGACAATTTCCTCTGTAACCCGCATATGCAACTACATTTAATGGATGTTAAGGTTTGACGCTACCGCAAACCGTGCTCGACCTCCGCTGCTCACGGTCAATTGTGCACAGCGTTATCAAACGTGAGAACGCGAAGAGACGCTGTCTATTTGCAGAGACGCCGCTAATATAATATCCCCTGAGTGGCTACTGTAAACATAAATATATTGTCGTAGAGCCGACCGAAGGGAAGTCCTTATTTGTATGATTGTGGTCTTCGAACAGATTGAATATAACATGTCCAGGATATCATCTCATCGGTTCTCTCATCACTCAGCCTCGTTTTTTGCTAGTTCATTTTCTTCTCCTCGGTCATGTTGATACCCAACGTCATTGGCTGGACCTATGTCTTGCTGGTATTGGAGCATATTTGGTCAAGCAAGTGTTGAACAAGAATCCTGCATCATATCCCCCCGGCCCCCGTGGGTGGCCTCTCGTTGGGAATATCCAAGACATGCCTCAAACCAAGCCTTGGCTCACCTTTGCGGAGTGGGGTAAGAAGTACGGTGAGTGTCTCCTGTTGTTCCAAATAATGCATTCCAACTCTGTGCTTTCTAGGCGCTATCTCGCATGTTGAGGTCCTGGGTCAGCACATTATTGTGCTAAATTCAGTCAAAAGCGCGGTGGACATGTTGGACAAGAAAGGCACCGTGTATTCTGACCGTCCTGTTCTGCCTATGGGTGGCGAACTTGTTGGGTGGAAGCACACTTTGGGTCTTCTCCCGTACGGTGACCGCTTCCGCCAGTACCGCAAGAATATACACCAAATCATGGGCAATCGCGCCGCCTTGGATGTCTACCACCCGATCGAGGAGATCGAGACTCGCCGATTCCTGAAGCGCGTGTTTTCAAACCCCGAGCAACTGCAAACTCATGTCCGACAGTACGTTGTATGATTTACCCTTGCATGGATGGGACCTTGAATTCTTATAGCACCGCTGGCGCTATCATTCTACGGATCTCTCACGGTTATGAGGTGAAGGAGAACAACGATCCATTTATCGACCTTGCGGACCGTGCTATGGACCAATTCTCGAGGTCCACTGCTCCCGGCGCCTTCATAGTCGACATCGTGCCATTCTGTAAGACTATAAGACTCTGACCTTGCTTGTAAATGGCTTGATTATCTTCAGTGGCCAACGTCCCCGAGTGGTTTCCTGGCGCTGGCTTCAAGCGCTTGGCTCGTGAATGGTGCCAGGACCTAAAAGATATGGTTGATGTACCGTACAAGTTTGTTAAGGAACAAATGGTTACCAAGAATCTGTGGCGTTACGATCATGAGTTGAACATTTTACAGGATGCTGGCATTGCCCCGATATCTTTCACCTCGAATCTGTTGGAAGGCCGTACTACTCTGTCTGCTGAAGAGGATCACATGGTGAAATGGTCTGCTGCATCCCTATACTCCGGTGGTGCCGACACGGTTGGCTCCTCCCTTCATATTACCATACTTTGAGACTAACACCTGTCTCCCCAGACGGTTTCTACAATATACTCGTTTTTCCTTGCTATGACACTGTTCCCTGATGCGCAGAAGAAGGCCCAGGCTGAAATAGACGCTGTTGTTGGTCCTGATCGTCTTCCCTCCTTCGCAGACCGCGACTCTCTCCCTTATACTGAGGCGCTTGTGAAAGAAGTCCTTCGCTGGAATGTTGTCGGCCCTACCGGTATGTGGATCTCGTTTATCGCATTCATTAATTGCCGAGCTGTATCGATAACTCAATTGACAGCTATCCCCCATCGCGTCACCGAAGACGATATCCATGACGGGTACCACATCCCAAAAGGTTCCTTGGTAATACCTAACATTTGGTTAGCACTTTTATATTTCCGTATTCGATATATCAACCAAAGTGAAACACAGGTTCATGCTCAATGACCCGCAGACATATACCAACCCCTCGCAATTCAACCCTGAACGCTTCTTGGACAATAACGGAAAAGATCCCGAACCCGAACCTCGCACGATCTGCTTTGGATTTGGTAGACGGTAAGCATGGGTTGATTTTAAATGCAATGCTAACTTTCTGCTTTGCAGTATCTGCCCCGGTACGCCTAAATCATACTCAACAAACAGTATCTTGACGTTGTTTGCTTTCATGAACAGGTCTCCACCTCGCCGATGCCTCCGTCTGGATATCCACCGCGATGTCACTCGCTGTGTTTGATATCTCCAAGGTGATCGAGAAGGGTGTCGAGGTCACCCCTGAAGTTGACCATACATCAGGCACGATCAGGTATGTCGTGCATCTTATCGCATCCGTAATGAAAGCTACACAAACTCCCAGCCACCCCAAGCCGTTCAAGTGCTCTATTAATCCTCGTTCTGCAAAAGCTATTGCGCTCATTCAGCAGGATGCTAACTACTGAGGACACGAAGATGACTCTCGTAATCTATCTGTGATGTATGATTTTGTACATATATTTCTGTTTCATTGAATTGAATTATAACGCTACTCATGGACTACCTGATAACTCATTCATCTGGCACCTTTCTGACACCTCCCGTCTAATAGAAATAATGAGGAACAAACTCGAGCTCTTCAGCTCCTTCGTCGATGGCCGATGGATCCAATAAGCTTACCGTGATAAACTCCTCGTGTGCGCCATTTCACAGTACTAGGGACGCTATGGGAGGGGGGTTGTTATCACCACCTGCGCGATTGACTTGCCCGTTCCATCTGCTAAACCAGTAGCGAAACAGTGACCGGTGACGGCTAGGATGGTTCGCAAATACAGATGACTGGAAATTCATTTGAATGACATATATAGTGACAACTATGTTGATCTTTTTCATAGCGGGTTGAGGACTGTCACTTAAGTGATCACTTGCTCGTAATATTTTCGACACGATGCCACGCAGCCAGATGATATTTATAAATGTCAAGATTCGTCAATAGCAGAGGACGAGCGATGGGTTGTGTAGTGAAACTGTGCTTAGTAAGCACTCACATCTCGGCCGATCTTCTTTGAACTAGGGGTTGGCGTTGCTGAAATGGACCTTAATATTGTCATGGCATCTGCAGTCATTCTTGCAAATTGGTATCAGGCCACGACGACGCTCGCACGCCGCACGTTGCATAGAAAAGTAGAATATTCGCTACTCAAACATACATCCTCTCTATATACAAAAGAAAGACACATGACACATGCTTAAAATTTAGCAGTGAGCCCTCCAGCAAGCTTCTTCTGCAGCTTAGCCTGCACAAAAAAAAATTAGGTTCGGTACGTGTGTCCATAACCACTACTTACATTCACTGCATCCATGTACTTGTCAGTGACGACCCAATGTTCTCTCGTCATGTTCTTGCCGTGGATAGCAAGAGCAAGATCCTTGGTCATGATTGCATCCTTGTCGATCGTTTCTATACATGCAGCCTCGAGATCCAAACAGAACTTCTTGAGCTCTTCATTGCCATCCAGCTTAGCACGGTGGAGAAGTCCACGGGTCCATGCAAAGATCGACGCCACGGGGTTGGTCGACGTCTCGTTGCCCTTCTGGTACTCACGGTAGTGTCGGGTGACGGTACCGTGGGCAGCCTCACTCTCAACGATCTGGCCGTCGGGGGTGATCAGCTCTGAGGTCATCATGCCCAAGGAACCGAAGCCCTGAGCGAGGATGTCACTCTGCACATCACCATCGTAGTTCTTGCATGCCCATACGAAACCACCGGAGGACTTGATCGCTTGTGCAACCATATCGTCGATAAGGCGGTGCTCATAGTATATGCCGACCTTCTCAAAAGCGTCCTTGTACTGCGATTCATAGATCTCTTGGAAGATGTCTTTGAAACGGCCATCATATCTCTTCATGATGGTGTTCTTTGTTGACATGAACTAGATGTTATGTTAATATGGTGTGTGCGGGTCGGGTAAATTCGGACACACCAAGGGCATCTTCTTGAGGAGAGCCATCTTAAATGATGAGTGTGCAAACCCGGTTATTGACTAAGAACGGGCATAGTCAATGGTCGCATCAGGACAAAGAGCCGCTGGACTTACCTCATCAGTGTTGTACATGCTCATGGCGACACCCTTTCCCTTGAAGTCATACACGTCCATGACAGTCTTCGCACCTCCATCAGCAGGGATGTATACGAGCTGGAGCTTTCCTGGTCCCGGTGCGACGAAGTCGGTGGAACGGTACTAAACCCGCATAAACACGTGTGCCATTCACGTTCGAAAATCTCATACCTGGTCACCGACTACATCATTGTCAGGCTCAGCAATCATGAGATAACAAATGGAACAACGAACAAGCATGACGGCCAATCACAATTGGCTTCACCCATCCCGGAATCGGCTTGGGAATACGATCCAATATGATGGGCTCACGGAACACAGTTCCGCCAAGGATGTTACGGATCTACGTCATCTGTTGAGAAGTTGGCGATGATTATTTGCTAGATACAACACTCACCGTGCCGTTCGGGCTCTTCCACATCTCCTTGAGCTTGAACTCCTCCACACGAGCCTCGTCGGGCGTGATTGTCGCACACTTGATGCCGACTTTGTGCTCGAGAATGGCATTGGCGGCTTCCACGGTTATTTGGTCGTTGGTCTTTCACCGCATGAATATGGAAATTAAAGTGAATTGATGGAGTGGAAGCGTACCTGGTCACGGTACTCGAGGCCAAGGTCGTAGTACTTGATGTCCAGTTGTAGATAGGGGAGGATAAGCTTGAAGTAGCAAACACGTCTGAGATAGAGTGTAGCGGAAGGTTTCAAAAAACGCGCACCTCCTCACGAATCTTTTTCCAAATAATCCTCGTCATCTCATCTCCGTCAAGCTCCACGACAGGTTTCGCTACCACAATCTTCTTCCCATATTCTGTCAGAATCGGATCAGTACATGGTTCCGATGGAACGAGAGAGTTGCAGAAACAGCACGTCTACTGTGTAGCTCGAGCCACCCCAGCCATACCGGATGCAAACTACTCACGTAAGCTCATCGAATTCGCAAAGCCTCGTGCCAGCGGTCTACTCTGCGGACCCAGGCGTCTAACAGCAGTAAAGAGCGTAGCTCCTTGAACTGGCATGGCTAGTTAGTAAAGGGAAGAAAAGCACTAGTATGTGGTGGAATCAAAACAAATGCTAATGCCTTTTGTAAGCGTGGGCTTGAAAGATACAAATGAAGCACACGGGCCACGGCGTGCGCGCGTGGGATGTCGTGAGCACACTAACAACGAGCCAGCGGCTGCTGGGGAAAATCGATGCTTTGTAAAAACCTTACCTTGACTTAGAGTAGAAGTTCAGGCTCAAGCCCTTGCTTGGGCAGGCCCGGCTAGGTATGGCATATGGAATGACGGCGCCCCGTCGCGGCTGATTTAGGAGCATACGCCAGCGCGTCATGCTCCGAGTTGTGCTGCCGAACGATAATCAGCTGCTCTTGGCCGATGTAGTAGAGGAATTTGCGGGTATGGTATAGTTAGGGACGGCCGAAGACCATGACAGGAACTTATATACTGAATCCTGCCGTAGGACTTAATCGCTTGCAACGGAAGTGGTACGATATCTTGGGAAATCTTCTCAAGCACATCAATTAACGTCGAAATCTGTTCAGAATCAAACGTGGATTTGATTACAGTACATATCCGATTCCATTCATGAGTTTGCCGGGACAAGCTCGACGATGCGTTCGACGAGACTCCTCATCACCTCTGCCTTTTGTCTCCCAGTCTCCAGGACTTCTTCGTGCGACGCGATCGCCATGGAAGGAAGTTCAACACGCTGACCAGCAAGCTGCAGAGGCCACCATCGACGGAGCAATCAGTATCGGCGTGCTTATTCTACATGGTTACGCACCTCAGCTTCAACCTCTGCCTTGATACTCCTGTAGGTATCAGGGATGACCACCGTGTTAGTAACGAGGCTCAGCACCATGACCTCGAGCTTCTCTTCTCGGGCAGCCACTACTTCGGGTATCGTGCTCATACCGACTACGTGCGCACCTGCATTGCGCAGGAAACGGCCCTCGGCAGGGGTTTCATATGAAGGACCTGCCACCCAGGCATACGTTCCTTCAGCCAGTGCAGATGAGTCAAAGTTAAGATAGTTGGAGGCAAGGAAAGCGAGGCGTCGTAGACGAGGGGAGTATGCGTCACCCAGAGGAATAAAACGGGCATATTCTTGGGACATAAGGGGTCCGAATGAGGGGTTCATCCCAGTTAGATTTGGGAGGGCGAGGTGGTCGCGAATAACGACAACTGCGACATTATTCAGTCTTGGGCTTGGTATGGATAAAAGATCATACTTGTTCCAACGGGTATCTCTGGTGTCAATGACCCGGCAGCGTTTGTTACTGTATTGGATCAGACATTTACTCTGCTAGTCAGAAGTGCGCTTACTGATAACATCTTTGACGCCTAACCTCTTCATGATTCTGATGCCATATGTCACGACTATTGGCTTGTGGCCCTCGTACGGATGGAACTGTTGTCTCTCTTTCAATAGACTTGTTGGTGAACCGGTGTTTCACCTCACTCACCCGCCCAAGCATGGCCACAACAGGCACATTATCCTTGCCCATCAGTCCGAATGCGAGCATGCTTTTTTGGCCAACAACTTAGTAGATGGTCTTGCTGAGGTCAGTGATACCTGATCATCCTTATCGGCACATACCTGTGCTCTCTCCGAAACCCTGGAGTTGTGAGTACGGGATTTGCACCACATCCTTCAAGCTCGAGACAAGGGTGCTGAGACCAGATCCACAAACGATTCCGATACGTGGCTTCAACAATCGAGGGTCGGTAACCAAACGCGAGATGGTCGCGAGAGTTTGCGCAAAGGGAAGTACTGGGGTGGTTGATGAAGACATGTCAGGGTTGGGAAGAGCACAAGCTGGCAATTGTTTTAGAACATGTCATAATAAGGCTATAAGCAGGTCGTTGGAAGCTATTATCGCTATTGCTTTGAGATAAACACGAACGACTCCTCGTCGAACTTGTCGGGTTAGAAAGAGCAAAAGTTCAATAGCAACTGTTTGAGAACTTGATTCGTATCATGATAAGACAATCCCCTGCATGTCGTTGGAAGCTTCCAGCTGTTATTGCTATTGCTTTAAGATAAAGACGAATGACTCCTGAGTCGTCGAACTTGTCTTTGCCAATGGCAACGGCCCGGGCCTGCGGCCAAGCAAATAATCCTCATGATGACAAGATGCCGGCATGCTTGAAGTAGACCCGCCTGGTTTCAACTTGGTCTGGGCCTGCTACGTACTTCATGCTCTACGCCCAACCATGAACAAGCTTAGAAAGCCAAAGCCACCCGCCACGATATACAGCGCACCGTCAAGTACCCGAACAGCTGGATCTAACGTTAGACAATGTTTGGTGTCTGTCCAAAGCAAACCACCAGTATCTAGAACGATGCAGATCGCGAGTGCTTCACTTGCTGTAGAAAGAACCTCTACGTCCAACAACACGCTGGAATATCCTAAGACGACATGGTACTCTACACCTGCTGCTGCTAAGCCTCGCACATTCGTCGAGCAGTACTGGGCTGCGCGTGCAGTGGTGGCTGAAACGGTGCTGACAACGCGTGTTCAGCATCAGAAGGAAATGGCGGAAGTGAGGCTAGGGATGGAAGAGAAGCGGACGGTGAGTATTTGCGATGTCTAAAGATGTTCTCGGTGATTAACCGTGACACCGAACGTAGAACCAATTTGCGGCTCTCGTGCGGGCGAGCGAACAACGGCAGAGCAGGCTCGAAAAGTTTGTTGTACGTTGCATAATTAACTCGCTTGTGTTCCCGTGCGCAGCTCAATCTATTCATCCAGGCAGCCCTTGTAGCATGTTTTATGCTTCTCTTCCTTGCGTTGATTTATATACTGCTGCGTGATTCCCCCAAATCGAAGGGTACCTCGCACTTTACGATCCCGATCCTCTCCCCGTTTACCTCAGTGGTAAGCTTCGTTAATCGCCGTTGCAAAGTTTGGATCATAATGAAAATAGGTCGAACATGAAACAGGTATTATCAGTGCGAGATCCGTGTCAATGTTTATTGTCGTTCTAGGCATCTTATCATATGCCATCTTCCGACATTTGTTGTCAAAAAAAAGATAGCCCGTCACGTTGCAATCCAATACGTGGCTGACGTAGTCATGAGGACCACAATTGACTTCCCAGGGTTTCCTGCTCCTTATAAGCCATCCTGGGTCGTGGAGGTTATGAGGACTATTTTTTGCCAAGAGCATGTGCATACGATAGTGGCGGTTTGCATGCCCATTCCTCGTGTTGTGTCAAGTACATTGAATCCAAGTCGACTATAAGAGAACGAATAGTACTACTACTAGTTGTTGTTGTTGTACCACCGGAGGATGACTCCTGAAATTTTAAAAATAAACCGAGCAAGCTAGTTCAATGCATTGGTTTGGATCGTGGAGTGATGGACGTGGGAAACAGGGTGCCGTTCACAGGATTCGGGCGCATTGCAGCAACCTGAAGTTTGCACCAAACGTTACACCTCGTTCATTCTTCATCACACTACCACTCCTTCTCCTGACCACGGCACTCTCCTTCCTGTTGGCCTGTTAATTCAGGAAAACAGAGGTCAAAATGTATCCTCAGTCTTCCTCGCCAACAGCAGATCACGCAGATCCTTTCACTTCCGCAGCGGGTGGTCCTCGCAGATACGTTTACAGCGACAACGACTCTGACAATGTCGACCCTTACGGTCGTAGAGATACTTATGCTTCAGACAGCAGCAACAATGGTCTCAATGACACAGAGCGATACTATGATCACAACGGCAACTACGACCCATACGGTTTGTGGAGCACGTTGTTGTGCCATTCTCATACTCACACTTGTGTGATTTTCAAGCACAACCCGACACAGACTCGGATGTCGACATCTATGGCCAGCGGTATCCTCCAGCATCCTCAGAATCTCTAGGACCTTCGAGAATGGGCGTGTCAGATTCGACCGCAACGGCATGGGCCGAATACGCAGGACCACCAGGCGCCCGCGAGGCATATCCCGCCTGGTCAGCCGAGCGTCAAATCCCACTTTCCAAGGAGGAAATCGAAGATATTTTCCTGGACTTGACCCAGAAATTCGGTTTCCAGCGAGATTCTATGCGGAACATGGTAATTTTTATTCCACTAAAAATCATTGTGGATGTTGACAACCAGCCTAGTTTGACTTCTTGATGCAACTGCTAGACAGTCGAGCATCCCGTATGTCGCCCAATCAGGCACTCCTCACCCTACATGCGGATTACATTGGTGGTGAGCATGCGAATTACCGTAAATGGTATTTTGCAGCCCAACTCGACCTCGATGATGCCGTGGGCCACGTTCAGAATCCTGGTCTTCAGCGTCTCAACCGCAGGGCCGGCGCACGCTCGTCTAATGAGAAATCGCTCGCAACCGCTATGGAGCGCTGGCGCCAGGCCATGAACAACATGAGCCAATACGATCGCCTCCGCCAGATCGCGTTGTACCTTCTTTGCTGGGGTGAGGCTGCCCAAGTGCGCTTTGTTCCAGAGTGTCTGTGCTTCATCTTCAAGTGTGCGGACGACTATTATCGTTCGCCTGAGTGCCAGAACAAAATGGAGCCCGTACCTGAAGGTTTATACCTGAAATCTGTCATCAAGCCCTTGTACCGCTTTATTCGAGACCAAGGCTACGAGGTAGTTGATGGGCGATTCGTGAGGCGGGAGCGAGACCATGCAGATATCATTGGTTACGACGACGTCAACCAGCTCTTCTGGTATCCAGAAGGTATTGCTCGGATCATACTTACCGACAAGGTACGCTGCTATTCACTGCTGACAGCTGTATGCTAAACCGATTTTGCAATTCAGACGAGACTTGTGGACCTTCCACCTCCTCACAGGTTTATGAAGTTTCACAGCATTGACTGGAATCGTGCATTCTTCAAAACCTACTATGAAAAACGCTCCTTTGGACATCTCCTGGTCAATTTCAACCGCATTTGGGTCATTCACGTCTCTCTCTACTGGTTCTATACCGCATTCAACTCCCCTAAAGTATACCAGATCACACTTCCTTTGAATAAAGTTTACAACTCCCCGGCATTGTCGTGGTCTGTCACCGCGCTCGGAGGTGCAGTTGCGACGATCATTATGATCGCAGCGACGCTCGCTGAGTTTTCGTATATCCCCACTACCTGGAATAATACCTCTCATCTCTCTCGGCGCTTGCTATTTTTGTTTATCACCCTCGGATTGACATGCGGCCCAACCTTCTACATTGCCATCGCAGAAAGTAACTCTGATGGGACCACGAGTTCACTCGCCCTCATCCTCGGTATCGTGCAGTTCTTCATATCGGTTGTTGCTACGCTCCTCTTCGCGACTATGCCGTCTGGACGCATGTTTGGGGACAGAGTTGCCGGAAAGTCGCGGAAATACCTCGCCAGTCAAACGTTCACTGCTTCGTATCCTGGGTTGCACGCAAAAGCGCGCTTAGGCTCTATGGCGCTCTGGGCACTCGTTTTTGGTTGCAAAGCCACAGAATCTTATTTCTTCCTCACGCTTTCTTTCCGTGATCCCATTGCAGTGATGGTGGGGATGAAGATTCAGGGTTGTAGTGACAGGTACTTTGGCTCCAGTCTGTGCACCAACCAAGCTGCGTTCACGCTGGCTATCATGTACGTGATGGACCTAGTGCTGTTTTTCCTCGATACGTTCCTTTGGTACATCATTTGGAATACGGTGTTCAGTATCGCGCGGTCGTTCTTGCTTGGCTTGTCGATATGGACGCCATGGAAGGATATCTACACTAGGCTACCAAAACGGATCTATGCAAAGCTGCTTGCGACGAGGGATATGGAGGTCAAGTACAAACCGAAGGTCAGTTTTCTGCGATCGTTACCTGAATGGACCTTGATGATTTTTTTCTACAGGTGTTGGTCTCGCAGATTTGGAACGCGATTATCATTTCCATGTACCGCGAGCATCTGCTTTCCATTGAGCACGTGCAGAAGCTGTTGTACCACCAGGTTGACTCGGGGCATGATGGCAAACGCAGCCTCCGTGCGCCGCCATTCTTTATCTCTCAGAGCGATAAGGGTTTCAAGGGCGAGTTCTTCCCTTCGGGGAGCGAGGCTGAGCGTCGTATCTCCTTCTTTGCGCAGTCACTCACGACTGCTGTGCCGGAACCGCTCCCTGTGGATGCCATGCCCGCGTTCACGGTCTTGACGCCACATTACAGCGAAAAGGTCCGTGGTTCGTTTCTCCTATCCGAAGTTTTACCTACGAAGCATTTGTTAGATCCTCTTATCAGCTGAGGGAGATTATCCGCGAGGAAGATCAGAATACCCGTGTCACTCTGCTCGAGTACCTGAAGCAGCTCCACCCCGTTGAATGGGACAACTTCGTCAAGGATACCAAGATTTTGGCCGAGGAATCTGCCATGTTCAACGGCACGAGTCCTTTCGGCACGGATGAGAAGGGTCAGTCAAAGATGGACGATTTACCGTTCTACTGCATCGGTTTCAAGAGCGCTGCCCCCGAATTCACCCTGCGGACCCGTATCTGGGCTTCTCTGCGTGCGCAGACGCTCTACCGCACAGTCTCCGGTATGATGAACTACGCCAAGGCGATCAAATTACTCTACCGGGTGGAAAACCCCGAGGTTGTGCAGCAGTTCGGTGGTAACACGGACAAACTCGAACGCGAGCTTGAACGCATGGCCCGGCGCAAGTTCAAGTTCGTCGTCTCGATGCAGCGGTACTCCAAATTCAACAAGGAGGAGCACGAGAACGCTGAGTTCTTGCTGCGTGCATATCCGGATCTTCAGATTGCGTACCTGGATGAAGAGTCACCGCGCAAGGAAGGTGGCGAATCGCGGTTGTTCTCTGCGCTTATCGATGGCCACTCTGAATTCATTCCTGAGACTGGCCGTCGTCGACCCAACTTCCGCATTGAGCTACCCGGTAATCCCATTCTGGGTGACGGCAAGTCGGACAACCAGAATCACGCGATCATCTTCTATCGTGGTGAATACCTGCAACTCATTGATGCCAACCAGGATAACTATCTGGAAGAGTGTCTTAAGATTCGCAACATCTTGGGCGAGTTCGAGGAGTACTCGGTATCAACTCAGAGCCCGTACGCACAATATGGTCATAAAGAGTTTAAGACAAGCCCTGTGGCCATCGTCGGCGCTCGCGAGTACATCTTCTCGGAGAACATTGGTATTCTTGGTGATCTCGCTGCTGGAAAGGAACAGACGTTCGGTACGCTGTCTGCTCGTGCTTGGGCATGGATCGGTGGAAAGCTTCACTATGGCCATCCTGATTTCCTGAACGCGCTCTACATGAACACTCGTGGTGGCGTGTCGAAGGCACAGAAAGGTTTACACCTTAACGAGGATATCTATGCTGGCATGAACGCTTTTGGTCGTGGTGGTCGTATCAAGCACACCGAGTACTACCAGTGTGGCAAAGGTCGTGACCTTGGGTTCGGTACCATCCTCAACTTCCAGACGAAGATCGGCACTGGTATGGGAGAGCAGATGCTTAGTCGGGAGTACTATTACATGGGCACGCAACTGCCTGTCGACCGTTTCCTCACGTTCTACTACGGCCACCCTGGTTTCCACATCAACAACATGTTGGTCATCTTGGCGGTCCAGTGCTTCATTGTGACAAGTATGTCTTCTCTTACGACTATGCGCGAGTTGCAATTGATTGTGTTATGTAGTGGTGTTCTTGGGAACGTTGAACTCTTCGATCTTGGTGTGTCAGTATTCTTCCACTGGCACTGTTCTGCCTGGCATGGATGGCTGCTACAACTTGACGCCCGTATTCGACTGGATTCACCGTTGCATCATCAGTATCTTCTTGGTGTTCATGATTGCCTTCCTGCCGCTGTTCATTCAGGGTATGCATGATTCGCTCGTCTTTAGTGGGGTGCGGTTTTGACGCTTTTACAGAACTGGTGGAACGTGGGACGGGTCGTGCCATTATTCGTCTTGGAAAGCAGTTCATGTCCCTCTCCCCTATCTTTGAGGTATTCTCTACTCAGATCTACACGCACTCCATCATCAGCAACTTGACCTTTGGTGGTGCCCGATACATCGCGACAGGACGTGGATTCGCAACTACCCGTATCTCGTTCAGCATCCTCTTCTCTCGTTTCGCCGGACCGAGTATTTACCTGGGCATGAGGACCTTGATCAGTCTTCTCTATGTCACTTTGGCACTTTGGACACCTTACTTAATTTACTTCTGGATCTCAATCCTTGCCCTTTGCGTTGCTCCTTTCTTGTTCAACCCGCATCAGTTCGCGTTCGCGGACTTTGTGATCGACTATCGGTCAGTCGATTCCTTTGTTTTGTTTGCCTGCTTTGCTGATGGTTGCGTTGTAGGGAATTCTTGAGATGGATGTCTCGTGGAAATTCGCGCTCGCATAACAACTCTTGGATCGGTTACTGTCGTCTATCGCGGACTATGATTACGGGATACAAGAAGAAGAAGCTTGGTCTCCCCTCAGATAAAATGTCGGGTGATGTTCCACGTGCCGGTTGGAGAGCGGTCATCTTTTCTGAGGTCATCTTCCCTATCGTGATGGCGGTGCTGTTTACCATTGCCTACGTTTTCGTCAAGTCCTTCCCCGATACGACTGGCCAATTTCCACCAAACCCGCTGATTCGAATCGCGATCATTGCCCTCGGTCCGATCGTATGGAATGCTGCAGTCCTTCTTATGCAGTTCATTATCTCCATCTTCCTTGGTCCGATGATGGACCCCACATTCCCGAAATTCGGATCTGTCATGGCATCTACCACTCACTTCCTTGGCGTCCTTGGTATGGTGTGCTTCTTTGAGTTCTTGGTGAGTGTATGCAGTATGTCTACCATCTAGCAGTTCTGACACAGTCCGGTCTGGCATTGAAGTGGTTCCTTGAGGCGTGGAATGCATCACACGCAGTCCTTGGCATTATCGCGGTCATTGCTATCCAGCGTGCGATTCACAAGGTTCTCATTGCTGTGTTCCTATCGCGTGAATTCAAGCACGACGAGACGAACCGTGCGTGGTGGACTGGACGGTGGTATGGACGTGGCCTTGGCTCCCATGTCATGTCACAACCCGCCCGTGAATTCATTGTCAAGATCATTGAGCTGTCGCTGTGGAGCTCTGACCTTCTCATTGGTCACTTCCTATTGTTTATGTTGACCCCACCCATCCTTTTCCCGTACGCGGATCGTTTGCATGCGATGCTGCTGTGTGAGTTGTCTACCACAACATTTTTCGTGCATTACTGATATTGCTTCAGTCTGGTTGCGTCCCTCCAAGCAGATTCGCGCTCCCCTCTATTCTCTGAAGCAGAAAAAGCAGCGCCGCTGGATAGTGAGTGTTTTCGAGTCTGGGCAGATAAGCAAAAGATGCTCATACATGGCCCCAGATCATCAAATATGGCACTCTTTATGTGATCGTCGTTGTCGTATTTACAGCACTCATTGTCCTTCGTAAGTCGTTATGGCTATTTATGTTTTTTTTTGTTTATTGAAGCTCTCCCCAGCTGCCGTCTTCCGGAACAGCATTCATTTCAACTGCACCCTATGCAATAATCTGTAATGAATTCATCTGCCATCTATATCATTCGCATTCTATAGATTATCCACCATTACTTGTAGTATTTTCTGATCCCGTCGCGTGCTGGATATTCACATGAACACTTGCCAATATGTCTAGTTTTGACGTTTTCAACCCACCTCGTACTGCATGGACACGATTGGTGTAATGTACTTCGGATACGAACTTCTACGAACTTTGATAAATCACATATATTTGGGTTGCGTACATATGACGAAGGGAACCTTATCCTTTTGCAGGACTGGCGATATTGATTCGGAGATCTAGGCTCCTGACACGTACGTTTCTGATACATAGAGCTGATGTCAGTCTAGGGACCGTAGGAAACGGGTCAGGTATGTACCTGGCGTCGCTAGGATCCGAGCGCTGGCTGGCAGCCTGGGCCCTGGGACATTCGATCGAGGACTGTACAGCGACGAACGTGACTAGTAACTGGTACTTCGATCAAGGGCTTATTTTACTTTCCCCGTGTTTAGTACTAGGGCTGCTGGGCTCAGTTCGCGAGCTCAGCCCATCGGAGTTCACTTGTCAAATTTTGACATTTTTAAAGGGTCCCGATGCTGCCGACGCAGCCACGACGATGCGTGAATTCGACCATGGTGCAACCAACACAGGCTGAACTCCAAGCACATCTTGCAGGACAAGCCCAACTCCTCATGGGGCTCGCGGCTGTGCTCGACGACAACGATAACGACCTCGATGAACTCGCTAACGAAGATGATCTTGAAAATGATTATATGTCGGATTCTGATGCATTGCTCATGGCAGCTCTCGAATATCAATCTCTCGCAGCATCTATTACTGGTGATGGTTTACGAGGGCCGTACAATCAGATTCCTCGGTCCAAGGATTTCTTTGCGTGCTGCTTGCAAAGTCCTGATCGTGAATTTCGCCATTATTTTCGGTGTGTAGTGTAGTTTTGCTAATTGATGATTTTTCGTGAACTTCAAATCAAATTAGAGTCAGTCGAGACACGTTCGACAGGCTGGTTGCAAAACTAGCAGATAATCCAATTTTTACTTCGACTGGAACCAAACCACAGCGACACGTGAAGTATCAGCTTGGGTGTTTTCTTTTCCGTTATGGGATGCGTGGATCTGACACTCCGAGTGGCAAAAGAGTTGGCAATCGGACATGGTTCTGTTTTCAGGTATTGTCGTCGGGTTAGCAGAGCATTGCGGGAACTAAAGGTCGAGTTCTTGGTATTTCCGACTGCCCCACGGAAGGAGATCATTTCAGACTACATCGAGGAGACCTCAGGTTTTCCTGCTTGTATTGGAAGTGCTGATGGTTCTTTGATTCGGTTTTCTGAGAAGCCATTAGAGTTTGGCTGGACATACATGTGCCGCAAGAAGTTTTTCGCGGTAAAAGGATTTGTTTTGCTGTTGTAGCCGAGAGCTGGAACTGATTCTGAGATGATACAGATGAATGTCCAGGCTGTGGTTGATCATGAACGTCGGTTCATATCTTATGACCTCGGATGGCCCGGATCTGTTCCTGATGTCCGTATTTTCAAGCAGTCAGATCTTTGGAAGCGACGTCGGCATTATTTTAAGAATGGGGAGTATATACTTGTTGATAAAGGTTGGTTATCTGATTTACTGACTCGTAGCATATTCACGTACTCATCAATTAGGCTATCCTTCAACACCATACACACTGAGGCCTTTTAATGAGCCAGAGCTTAATGCTGTCACTCCTATTGTACGACGACGAATGAAGAGGTTCAACTATCGCCTTTCGTGGGTTGTGGCACAAATGAGGTGTTGGGAGAACACGAGATGCCAGGAGCACTAATCGGAGTTGGCGAGTTGGACGGCTGCGAACGTGCAAGCTAGTAATAGTGTAAATTAGTCCGAGTCTGATCATAACGAACGAGCTACACTTACAGCAAGCAGAGCCTGTGCATACTCATCAGATTCCCAAGCCATCGGAAAGCAGCTGTTACGGGTATAAGCTAAATTGATATATCAGTTCATGTTCTCGCTGTTCAAATAAATCTTACCTAGGCCGCTAGTGATGGTTTCCCCTGCACCGAATGACTTTCGACGATCAACGGAACGGAGTGTGCGTTATTTGCGGGTGTTGATGAATACCGGGTGCCTGCCGAACGCCAAGCGCTGTCATTTGGTGACAGGCGAACTCCGATGGGCTGAGCTCGCGAACTGAGCCCAAGAATTGAGCTAAAATATGAAGAGCCATTCGAACACACGACCCGGTACTTGCTGTAACGGGTGCTTAGCCTAGCGCCCGTATGGCATACCGCATCTGAATGTTTCACTTAATTAAGTTCAAGCTTGACCATTTCCACAGATCTTGACGCCGTCGACATGGCATTCCGTTAACATATCCCGGCTATCCTTACCGTTAGATCTATCCTGAGTTTCCTCTTACGAACTTCCCCGTTCAAAGGTGGCCATGCACTTATAACACACCTGGCTCAATGCTACCAATGGAGGTTACAGCAGTAGAAGCGTCTGGTGGTAAGTCACTATTACTACAACCTGGATGGCAGCAGCGGCAGTTAAAGTTTGATATCAAAGAAAGGTCAATTATTGGCTTCAAGTGGGTATATGTATCATATATCGACGCTTTGTGTGTGCACCATTAATGGCACACCTGCCATCCTGCCCCTATCCTGCGGTGCCATACGCACCCACTTTTAATGTTACAGCATGCCACCCTGCTGTGGTAATATTGTTATTAGTACCAAGTACACCGGTATATAGTAACTACATAGTTACTTGTATACATGGGACCTTTCCGCTATCGTCAAAGAAGCTGGCATTCTGATCAAAATTGCTAAAAGTTGCTTTGCTTCTGCCTACATCTTCCGAGTATATAACATACCGCCGTGTACGCTTCCGTGGAATCACAACTTTCTTTCGCGGGCTCTGACCATCATGTAGTGAATACCCATTTCCGTCTTCCCAAAAACATGGCTGTGCTTGTAAAGACACTGACCCTAGCTATGGAGTCATTCGTTCGAGTCTACGAGGTCAAACCCGCGAGTATCTAGGAAGTCCGCCCTCAATAAGATCATCTGCAACTGATCAGAATCACTCCTCTCCGTCGCTGATTCAGCTTTGAGTATCATCCGCAGATTCCGCACTACCGAACCGGCAGTGATAACATGGATCTGACTGGTGCTACTCGCTTATCGACTACTGGCCTGGGCCACCCTTTCGAATGATCACATCTCCGGACTTCCGAAACTGCTGCCAGTGGCCGCTTTGATTCTAAAATGATTGGAATGGTTCATTTCCTTTCGGTGCCATCGCGCCAGGCGACCTTACTGTACTGCTATGTTCATATATGCCGCCTGGCCAGTTGTTTGCCAGGGCCACACATATTCAAATATATGTAACAATCAGGACACCTCCATTCGTAGACACGGGCCATATATATTCTGCAGCGCACATCTTGTTCTCTACATCGCTCATCTTCTGCGTTTCTCATCTTGTTCTTTGCATTGCTCATCTTGTCTTCTGCGTTTCTCATCTTGTCCTCTGCGTCTTCTCCGCATTGCTCATCTTGTCCTCTGCTTTTAATCTTGCTCATTGACCCATTTGATTCACGTAATGTCAAACAGTAACGTCATCCCAGGTCTCATACCAATTGCCCATTCTCCTATCCAGGGGGTATGTCGCAAATCCGGTATGCATGTCCTTTGGTTAGATTCATAAGACCTGATGATTTGTAGAGGATTTCCCGGTTACGTCACAAACGTAGTTGTATATTTTCCTTTTCACATTTATGAGCTGCTGGCGGTGGCACTAGGGGGACCAACCAATCTAATGCAAGCGTCCTTTGTCAAGCTCGACTTCGTCCTCACCTCCCAATTTCTTGTATAGGAATGCATTATTACCGTCCTCTGTGGACGTACAGGTTAACAACGGCACTACGGGCACGCATTATCGCGGGCGTATAAGGTGTGCATCCTGATGTATGTGTTGTCGGTCTATTTGACACCAGCACTAGTCATATACTACCTGCCCAAAATAATTTTTCCGATGCTGTCTTCAATGATCACTTAAGGTAATCAAGTCTGCATACCGTTCGCCTCATCGCTCATACTTGTTTCGATATTTATTCTATAGTCCGCAGGACGCAAGAGTATCCTCACAATTTTACGAGAACACGTACCCACCTTATCAAGCGCCAAGTTCCATGCGCTGGGAGCATGTAACAGCAGCCCTTGATACTGGCTCTCCTGGCTTCGAATCTGCACTCGGTGACGTCAACGGCCAAGCTGTTCTTCAAATTCATCATCCTGTATTGTCTCCGGTGCTACCCTCTACTATACGGCCCATTCATCCTTCGACATCCTCCAGTACTGCTACCCTTCCTTTCAACGCCCAGCCGCCTTTCCTTGATGGCAGCGCGACCTTACTTAATATGCCCTCCAAAGACCGCGAAGTCTCTCACAACTCGGAGCACGAAATTCAATCGGCCCACGGGCATCAGATCCAGCAGCCTGGATCCCCTCGGGCTTGTGTGGCCGATGGTGTTCTCGTTGACGAAGAAGATCTCATAGACGGGAACACCAACAATGGCTGCATACACGTCCATGCATGCAATCGCGGGGACTCCCTCTGTGGTCTCTGGGTTAAAGCGGACAGACGCTCCATCATGCGTCACGGACAGCGGTGGCACGGCGACGCTCGAAGTGGTGGAGACAGGTCAATTACTTGCCCTTGGTTGGGTTGCAACAGGCAGATGCGAGCAAGTGCCATACCACGCCATACTTTGAGCGCTCACTTCGGCGTAACATGGGTTTGCAGGGGCACGGGATGTTCAAAAGTTTTCAACCGTCACGATTCCTTCAAGGCCCACGCTGGAAAACGTCGCTGTCTTGGAGCAGGTCTCGGGGCAATCGTGCAGTACGACGCCGATACTCGTGTTATTAATATGTAAAATGTCTTGAGACGTTCCGGTTGAGTGAGTTATTTGTTTGCCCTTCCCGGTTGTTGACCGAACTCATGCTTTCGTCAACAAGGACAGACAACATTGCGGCGTCTCTCTTGGTCATTATTTAATAGATGAGATCAACATTTGCATTCACTATTTACTTCCATCACAACCATGCATTTTTGACGCGAAAGCTTTAACATCATTACGAACACGTTTGGACATTACTCATACAAACGTATCAGCGTGTACATACGCAGCAACACAAACTATTATTGCAATGTATTATTTTGTCCGTCTTGTTGCACAAGGCGGCGTTCCATTATGCAGTGACAAGATTTGAGTTCACAGGAAGATTCGGTCCGCAAAACGACGGTTTGAGTATTTACTGAATGTTCGATTCGAAAAGTGGCCCTTCAACTGCTCTTGATCAAGAGTCAAGAGTCAGCCGGTCAAAAGACGGGGAAACGAATGGAGGCAACATGTATGGTCCAATGGCGGAGTCATACGTACTCATGAATCGATCAGGCACTGCACAGGTCCGCCTCTTGGATGATATCATTGATATGAAGAACAGTCCATTTGGACCGAATAGCTCATATAACTCCGATCCAATTGACGTCGGACCGAAGAAGTTGTTGCCTTGATAGTCAGTTTTCGGAGTGAGATGTCACAAGCTTGAAGGATGTTTGGATGCTCGAACACAGAAATGATGGTATGATCGTGCGCTGGAACGAGGGAAGCTGCAACAAAACACGTGCTGCGGCAGTTGTGTCATTATGCACAGCAAAGAGCTTCTTAAGAAGTTTGTGGTAAATGCGGACATCATCATAGGCGATTGCAAGGTTCAAACAACTTCGTGGTAACATGCAAACTCCCATCTGAACCTGCAGTACGGATGAACTGACAATAGACTTCAGCATGGAAAGTGCAGCAGCGCTCGAACAAGTTGGGCCCATCTGCAAAATCATTATCAATGACAACATCAAACCAGACCTCAGGCCTCATGAGTGATCCTTCGGTCATGGGCCGTACTTGCCAATGTCACCGGCGAAAACATTGACAGTGGCTTCCAGCTCGAAACAGTCAGATGCAGTGACAAATGAATGAATTTTTACACTGGTCATGTTCTTGGAGGGTCCTGGTCATGAAGCAGTCACTTACAACGTTGATGGCAAGTAATACATCAGCCACAATGTTCCATCAATTCGCTACTTTCCGGACGGCGAGCAAATGATCAGCGGATATGACTCGGATATGAACACTCGGCGATGGGACCTGTGGGCTGGTAAGGAAATTAAGGAGGCGCGGTCCACGCGGAATTTTTATGGCGCAGTGGCGGCTGTATCGATTTGGGATCTAAGGAGAGAATCAAATGTTTTACTAATAAAAGTCTGTCAGGTGAGTCGGGATCGGGAGAATATTTGAAAGCCGGTGGATCACCTGCATTGACATCCCCGCGAATATCACGTACGAGACAGCACGCTGCTGGCAGACGGGTCAGACAATAAATATTTGCAACGCAGATATGGAGCTTGGAGTCTTGAACACTGGCATGGTCCATTCTCAGGCGATCATTTCCTGTCCTAGCCAACGCCAGGTTCGAAACCTGCTTAACAATCTTTTTCCTTTTACCACGCCTTGAACATTCGAAATTTACTCTCTTAGGTGGTGCAGATCTGGAACCTGCAGATTTTCCTTATCACACCTTAACATTCGCTCATGGACAGTCCTTCGATCGGAGGTTCATCGCAACTTTGGAAGCGTCCTTGCCAAAGTGGTTACCACAACAGAATCGAAATCTGTTTCTCTTGGATTACGCAGGTTCGAAACCTGCGATTTTTTTCTATCGGAGCACTCCTTGGCATTCGCTTATGGATGGTTCGTCAAACGTTAATCTTAACCGGTCTTGGCCAAGTTGTTACCACAACAGAATCAAAATCTGTTTCTCTTGCATTGCGCAGGTTCGAAACCTGCCGGTTTTTTTCCATCGGAGCACACCTTGACATTCGCTCATGGATGGTTCGTCAGATGTTAATCTTAACTGATCTTGGCCAAGTGGTTACCAGAACAGAATCAAAATCTGTTTCTCTTGGATAGCGCAGGTTCGAAACCTGCCGGGTTTTTTCTATGGGAACACACTTTGACATTACCATAACAGATTCAAAATCTGTTTCTCTTGGAGTTGGTTCGAAACCCACTTTTACGGTGTATAGCATCCTCGAAGGTCCATCTTGACATAGTTACTAGGCCCCGTCATTGCGCCGAAAACCTCCTTTTTATGCGATAGTCTGTCCATGAAAAGAAATACCCCTTCGTGCCCCACGAGGGTCTCAGAGACATGAGAATCCCCGTGGTGCGTACGTACCAACCTAGATTCTCGACAGATTGACCAAACCTGCCGGATTTCACCACAAATGTTAATGGGGCCCAAGGTCGGAAGAATGCACGCGAGCTAAGGACAGACTGAGTCTGATAGCCGGGAAAATGATGTAACCTGCCATCCTCGCTGACGCCTCATCGATCTTCGGTCGTTAGCTCTTCCAATGCGACCAGGAGGATGACTTGAAAGCTAATGGTCGAAGAATTGAAAGTGGCAGACCGAGCTATATTAATGTTCTGATGTGTGTGTTTTGCGTGCGCTCCTATTTTATGTTGATGAACAAAAAATTATTTACTTTCGATTGCCGTGGCAAGACCCAGGAACCGGACAGAGAAGTCAACAAAGAAGTCAACGCGAAACCCAAGAACACCCCATAACGGAATGCTCAAGACACCGTGCAGGAGTGGCCCACCGAGGCATGCATAACGGAAAAAAAGTGGCTCAGCGAGAATTGAATGACAAGTCTGACAAATAAGGTGTCAAATGATTAACCGAAAAGGCCTGAACACAGCAGAGGTTTTGGGAGATGGGAAACCATTTGTGTTCGACAAGAGCTTTTCTCCACTTCTCCACTTCTCCACTAACGTTGGGAGTCGGGGAGGGTGCGCATCTTGAGCTTGGGCGTATACCATCCGAATATTTCACTTATTATTACGTTCCTTTACCATTTCCACAGATTTTGACACCTGTCCTTGTTACCTTGCTTACAGTTTATTAGAAGGGCTCTACTGGCGCCATAACACTTTTATATTAAATATGAGCCACCACACTCTAGATACCTTAGTGTTTTTGGTCCCCCGAATCCTAGACTTTTACCCTGTCATTCAACCGAGAGCACTCTTCCCAACTGTGTCGTTGCCTTCGAGTCACACGCGCTAAATAGCCGACGCCACACACAGCATGGCTAAGTAAGAAGCCGTGAGGGTGAGATGACGGGATGTTAATAAATCTGTGAAGACGTGAATACACATCCAGAATGACCTTAGAGCGGCCCACCTGCGTGCATCTCGTATACTTTTTCAAGAGGTCCGCAATTGACAAGTCCAAAGCGATAGCTGCAGCATCTATGTAATTGGCCACGAATTTTGCTCGTTCAAAGGTGACTATTCGACATCAAACACCTAGCTCAATCTCATAGCGGCTCGTTGACCGCTGCTTCAATGGGTTGGACAGTGGCACCACAGTTGAGGAGTGCTGCAGGTGTTGGATGGGATGCAAACTCGTTGACCGCTGCCCAATGGGTTGAACAATGGTGTCACGTTCGAGGTCTGTAGGCGTTGGGTTTCCCAAATCTCCATCCCATGGCAGCTCGCTGACCGCTGATCCAATGAGTTGAACAGTGGTGTCACGTTTCAAAGATGACTGTAGGTGTTGGGTTTGCCAACGCCCTCATCGCCTCCGGTGAAAATATGTTCCAAGTCCCGCTTGGTTCGTATGGGTGACGGGATATCACATCTGGACGCGAATTGAGTACCAGTGCAAGTGCATTTAGTGGGTCTGCTCAGTTGTTGTGAGAGAGAGAGAGAGACGGGGATGGGGCAGGGGCAGGAAGATCTTGGACGGTCGACGCAATGATAGCGAGAGCGACAAGGGCAGTAGAGCGTATGATAGTCGTCGAGTGGACTTGAAATTTTTTGAGATAAAAGGTGGAACTGAGGTTAGCGGAAAGCAATCGGATATGACAATATGAACACACTGTCTGCAGCTGGGTGAGTGAAAACGAAGGGAACAGAGGAGTTAGCAGCTGGGATGCATGCCTTATAAACGAGGACAATAGGCGACACATAAGAATGTGCGTCCTTCCGCAGGTCGTATACGTCTCGGTAGTTGGATACAGCGATGTATTATCTTCTGAGTATAGGGCTTTGCTCTGACGGGAAATAAGCAAGAATGCAAAAAAAAAAAAACTGACGCTGAAACTCACCTGTGATACACTGATACGTCTGTCGAGTAACTCCTGCATTCTGGAATGACCATACATAAGTCGTCCGAAAGAAATGGATAGATATTGGAGCTTTGAAAACATTTTTGACCCCACTCTAGCGCGACCAATACGCTTCGACGTGATATCTTACCACGGAGAATGTTCGTAGGCGACATTAAATTGAAGAAGGCCTCCCTTTTGATTTAATGGATTGGTGGGACAACCTCTGACTCGGAGCCCATGTCCAACCGTCACGGTTGCATCATGTTCAAGCATTGGACTCGGAACGGCAGTGTTCGACTCACTCTGTCCTACCTGGAAGTGATCTGGTCCACGTTTAGAATTCGTAGACACAGAAATAGAGCCTGTGATCTGTGGGTACGACGACAATGTTGACACGTGGTCTGAATGGTCCCCGCCATGTTGCTGGTTCCATGAGAGTGCGCCAAAGCGCCGGGTAAAAACGGATGCTTGACAATGACGCCATGATGGTATTAAGAGCCATTTTCACGACTTGTTAGGAGGAGTAGTCCATGGATCATGCGATCCATCCATGCCTCTGCATTCAGTTCAGTCCACTGTGTGCGAGTAGCTGGAGCTTCAACACAGTAACTTGGAGTAACGTCACGCAAATGGGAATTGCGTCTCCATTTAGTGACATACCCCGAGGATCGTCGGACTGCAGGGGAACTTCAGAATTGAACATTGTATGAACATCGTACACGCTAACGCCGATTTTGAAGTGCTGCAGTGTTATCGAAGCTTACGTCTCTTTCAAACACAACCCATCTCATTCGCCCACACTTCACCTCAGGGCTAGGCTGCCAGCACATAATGCCGCACCAGCCAACACATCGAACGACTCTATCATATATCAATGCACCCATCCATTTCAGTTCTGGCCAATTCCGAGGAAGATGCGTGCGTGCAGAGCTCGTCGAGATACAGAAAGCAGACCTAGGGCGAAAGTGAAAACGGTGCCTCCACTCGTTTCCATGTGGCTGACCATGCATGCAGGTATGCTCGTGTAGACCGACGCCCTCTCGACCCACCACCAGTGGTCCAACTCAGGTTATACCACATACACAATGAGGGTACTGACCATGAATCCGAACAAGAAGTTCAAGACTACGAGTAAGTTGTTGGCACCCAGGGTTACTGGTTCTGCTCCATTATTTATTATTTTTTACAGCGACGTACAAAACCTTGGATTACTCTGCAATGTCGATTTATTTCCAGTACCTACTCAGCCCGATAGCTCGTCTGAGCCAGGCTCCCTCCCCCGTCTCCCTCACCAACTTTCGCCAGAAGTGCAACCCGTTCGCCCCTCCTCTGGCAGCTATGCACTACCTTCAATCTTGTCTACCGATCAATTTCCTCCCTCAAGCAGTTCGAGTAAAGTTCCCGTGTCAGGTACTAAGCTCCCCCACCTTCCTCCCTATATCCATCCCGACCCATTCCAAATTTCCGAAAACATGAAATGTACTATGGCACTCTCAGGCGCTACCTTCGTTCAGCCGGCTTGTATAGACCATGAAGGCAAGAGAGCCGTTGTCTTTCCATTTGCTGTACGTCTTTCATCTAGTCGAGAACTTGCTCTCACATGATACGTGCAGGACCTTGCGGTGAAAATCGAGGGCGATTTCTTCCTCCGCTACCGCGTTTTCGATCTCTTTTCGCGCACAGTAGATCTAACAGATGTGCCGGTGCAGGCTGAGTGCTATGGCGGTTCATTCCACATATATTCAACCAAAGAATTCCCTGGTTTACAACCTTCAACAGAGCTATCTAAGGTAACCAGCACCCCTTCAGAAGCAAACTTTAATTGACAATTTGTCGGATTTCTAGCAACTCTCTAGATATGGTGTACGACTCAATACCCGCGAGACGGAGCGCAAGCGCAAGAAAAAGGTTTCCGAAAGTAGCGTCATTCCATCTCGAATAAGTAGACGCAGAGTCACAAGGATTACGCAGAGCGGGAGCGAGCGTGATTGAATTTTCTTTGAGATTATGGATGAGGACGATTACATTCAAGGGACTTGGCATGTTCATTTGGTTCTCTCCCGCAAAAATTTCATTATATCCTACAGTAGCATATGTGCACATACACGGATCGAGCATGTATACACTGTTTTGCTCTTGACTTGATTGATCCTGTTCGTGTGAGGTCTACGCTAGCATGTTCACTGCCCACACGAATGGAAAATCTGGGCCACTGCGAAGGTGTACTGGTGAGTCGACAGTCAGATGACAAGGATAAATTCGCTCACTCTTCGCATCAGCATCGTCCTTCGACATGCCATCGAACTCTCCCTGTTCAAGTTCATGAGGGTAACATTCATCGTCATCGCATTGGCTGGCAATCCAATCCTCAGTCGACGTGCCAGCTTCAGCCGCTCTCTCTTTGATTTCCTCAGTTATCCATTTCTCGGACCCTTCGCCGGGATCCCATCCATCGTCGGAGTCAAACTCGCATGTAGCGGTAATTTCGCATTCTTGTTCATGAACTTCAAGTTGAGAGCCCCTTTCGGTGGCCCTGACAGGCATCGTCTTCGCTTTCTGCAAGGGCTTCTTTCCTCCCGACACTGGGTTAGCCGTGTTGGTACCTGTAGCACCCTCGGATGCAGCTTTAGGAAGTAGCTTGTTCTCAACTTTGTCCGGAATATCCTTCTCCACTGACTCCAGTCGGGAGATCTGTAGATCCATATCCATATGAATTCGATGTTTTCAACCTGGAATTCTCACTTTCACTTGCAGTTCTGCAGGCTGCTCCTCAGTCATACTGTCTGGAGCTGTGATGGAATCTTCTGAACTTTGGGGGGGAATGCCCCATTTCGTACCAGCAGACCTTATCTTGTATGGCGGCTGACCAAATTAAATGCATGTCGTTATGGGATGGGTTCGAAGTATACTTGCCTTGGCGGCTGTACCCTTCGCAGTCGTGCTCTTGGGCATAGTGGTTAGCGGTACCTGCGTAAATGGCAAGTTTTAGAATATTTCAAAGGTACCAAATTGCGTCATACTATGCCCCTGAGAATCTAAGCTGAGCAACATGAAATTGACGGTCTAGGTCTGGCTATGTATTTATACAGAGTATAGTACTGTGTAGGTGTGAATATGCTACAAGGGTAGTTGTCTAGATTAAGGTGTGGAATGAAAAGGTATCGGTAATTGGGCAGGGTGAGTAGGATATCAATGCGAGAACCCTCCGTAACATTGTCCTTGATATCAAATGAGACTCTGACACTGGGGGCACACAAATACAGGAGAGCTCTTCCTCTTCGGGGGAATAGCTGCTTCAACGTCCACCTTATCCTCCCAGTCAGTAGGTAAAGGAGAACCATCAAGCAAGCTGCGGTAAATCAGTTGGCGGGCCGCCACCACCGATTTCACATTCCCAACGACACCCCCGGCTTGCACACCTTTTACAATCTGTTGCTGAGCCGCCTTGACAAGCTCTTCTGGAAATTGCTCAAGGGGATCTGAGATCGAGGATTCAGGTCCCTTTCTCCTTTTACGGCATGATCGTGAGTCGACTAAGTCTTCGATAGTTAACTTTTCATCTGTATCGGGCCAACTTTCGATAAACTTTCGGGCCCTAGCAACTGCATTTAATTTTTGTGTTGGCCTGTCCAGACATTCTTGATGGAAGGCTGCGCGGCAAGCTGGACGCGGACAGAAATGCATTACTGGGTCTCGATCGGGATTGTAAGATACACCGCAGTAACAAGCAGTACGCGTAACATTTGGCTGTTAAAGGGATGGATATTATCACTTCCACTTCAAGTAATCGTTCGATGGTGCACTCACGTGGATTTTCCGAGCGAGGTATTCCAAGTCGAATCGACAGTAGAAATCATCGGAGTCGAACACCTCTTGGTCGACAGCGCGTTCATCATATCTCATGACAGTTGCATGATCTACATAGACGAAATTCAAATGGATGATGTAACACGAGAGATAGAAATTTACCACAGAAACTTTGCGTGGATACATAATCATGGTAATCTGACATGATCCGTTCATATTGGCCGCAGTCACTGACATCACTTTGATACTTTAGAACATAGTGTTCACAGATGTCAATTCTCCGTACACTCACAAGGACTTGATTACAGAGTTGACTTCCTGAGGCGACCAGAACCACTGTACGCGAGCCCATACCTGCGTCATGGCTGAGTGAAGATAACACTGGAGTCAGTGGCAAGACATACATCTTCATCGTTTTTTGCCCTAATTTGTTTGATTTTACCAATCCAATATGCAGTTGGATGGTGCAATTTGCCCGGAAGCACCCCATACGGTAGAATAAATGCGCTGTTGAATGTCAGTGTTTGTTACGCCTTACTGTAAAGTCAGACACGAACGTTTCTTGAGTAGAGAATTTATGCGGGTTCCCCTCTTCATCAGCGACTAAAATTCAGTCACCACGTCAAGCAAGTCGAAAAAAAACAGTGAAGATCTCGTACCTACAAACGAGGCAAAATCTGGCATCGTTTCCCATTCGCTATGGGTGGGTGAGTCGGTTGCACGCCTTGTCACCTTCGTCACTTTCTTCTTATGCGTAAAAAGTGACTTCTTCTTACGCCGAGGCATGTTGGGAAGTGAAGTTAGAGACGACAGATTAACTTTCAGCACTCGACGTCTCTTGACGTTGTCAAAGTTCAATCTGTAAGACGCGAAGAAACCTGAAGAAACGCGTCTGTGGCACAAAGAACATTGAAATGCAGTTGATGATGTAATCATTCTATGTAAAGCGATTATTAATAATTAAATGTTAAAGCGTTGTACCCTCGCGCACTGTCTGCAAGTGCATTGACTTTTGTTCTGAGATACTGCACACCATGCTCTTCTATTTCACATCTTGCATGATCAGGTATGTCTTCATAGATATCCAGAGAGCTACATACTGATGGGATGTTTAGTTCGGTTGTCGTTTTTCTTTATCCTGGCTATGCGTCCTACAAAACCCTTTCCCAGAGACCAGCCTCTGAGGAGGATTTGGAGCGTTGGCTCATGTACTGGTCGGTACTTGGATGTATCGTCGGCGTCGAGTACGCTGCAGAGTGGCTTGTTTCATGGTTAGTCGGTTTACATCGATAGTATCAGTGCCGAGGTTTTGATACACCTTGCACATGTAAACAGGGTACCGTTCTACTACCTCGTGAAGACCATATTTCTTCTCTATCTAGCACTCCCGCAAACGCGCGGCTCATCCTACCTCTACATCAACCATCTTGAACCATTCTTCCACAATCATGAATCCCAGATTGATGCGACACTCGCATCCTTCAAAACTCGTATTTATGCCTTCATCCAACAAAGGTTCCGCATTTTATGGGACGCACTTGCTGCAGCAATCGGTCAACAGCAACAGGCCCATTTCACTCCTGCAGGCGGGGTGACGGACACCGGTGTACCCCCAACTTTGGCTGACCCGGCGTCAGGACCCGCTCGACTTGCTATGGGGCTCTGGCACTCGTACGGCCCTACGATTGTCGCTTCTGGCACAGCACTGCTGCGTCAAGGTGCTGCGGCAACGGGAACATCTGGTGACCAAGCCTGGAATACTCCCGCAAACACCTTCACAAGGCGTTCTGACGCAGGTCATCAGGGCTCCTTGAAAGATCGCAAGCGCGAGCTTGAAGCTGAGCTTGCGTTCATCAATTCGGCAGAGCGTCCTGCTGTCTTGACTCCCCCCGCTTCAGGCTCCATCCAGCCATCCTCTCGTGCATCTTCGGACTTTGAGTTGCGGGAGCGTGGGTCCAGCTTTGTTGGGCGATTTGAGGAGGTCGACGTCCCCAGTGATGCAGAGGGGTATGACATTGATGGTGATTCTGGTGGGGAGGTTCGTGAAAGGCCTGAGGCAAGGAAGGCTGCCAGTTGGTTTGGCTGGGGAAGCGCTGCGCCAAGCAAGGGGGGAAAGTCAGATTAGTTGGAAGCTTGATCATTCTGGGCTCTGTATCATAGTGATGATAGTCATATTTACATTTGCACGGGACGTACATAACTCGGTACATACTCGGTAATTCTGATCATGGTTGTATCCTTTCATGTGCAATCTGTACATACCAAGATCGTAATATTTATTTCCCTCAGCGCCGCAAAGTAATACCTAGTTGAACATTTAAAGCCCGTACATAAGTCGCCATTAGTAAGGGGAGCGCCAATGCGATAGACACCCATGATGTTCTAGTTCGCACCAGACAATCTGATCGGATCAGATTTGGACCGAGTAAGTAACTTCTCCTTTTCTCCGTCCAGGGTGACAGTGGAACAAGCCGAGAATACATCTTGAGGTCGCTCTAAGACCTGGAGACTGGCAACAGTGAGCGTTTACATGAACACATCGTACGTACAACTTCTTATCAAATATACTTGGATTTGTAAACTTACAACTTCAGGTGCCGCGCGCAGTGGCAACAACGGATCCTGCATCATAACGGACCCTGGGTTCCTGCATCATTTGACTATGAATGAGTGCACAAAATACATACGACACTACACCTTTTGGTCGACGTCTCAGCATATCCGACGGCCCCGGGAAAAGAATGCATGCGGGTAAAAACGTGTACGGTTCAGCTTATCTGATTTATTTGCATGTCATCATGCTGGCATAATGGAGCTGGATTGACTCAATATCATTCCAGCAACAGTTCCATAACAACATTCTAAAAAAGCCGACGTATAGAGTTGAAAAGGTGAGTTGCTGTCGTCCTAGCTTTGACCTGAGGAGGCCGACATGGGGAGTTTTAGTACGGTAGCCTCTCGGGTCAAGTTTCGGAAGATAAAATAGTAAATGTGAGAGCGGAAGCAAAGTTACGTAAACACTATATGTAATTTCATTTCGATGGAAAGGCTTAAAGTTAGGGACGCTGTCACGGACATGCAAGGTCCTTTGCCTCCTTTGCCTTTCTTCCTTTGCCCAGCTCTACGCGTCTCGGTTGCGTCAGACACCCACTGGGCCTAAAGTCATGCCTCAAGCATCCCGTGGAAATGCTCGTCAGCCTGACTCCAGGGAGGCCCAAAAGACCATGGACAAGGAGCAGAAGAGAAGCCGAGGCGCTATGTCATGCGCCGAGTGTAGAAGGTGGGTGCTCCAATTTTGACTAGTTTCTTCCTCATTGTTTTGCGGCTAGACTTAAATTGAAATGCGACAAAACTGTTCCGTGCTCTTCATGCAAACGCAGAGGCTGCTCGGCCATTTGTCCTAATGGTATGTGCACGTGTCAATCTGCTGTAAGATGCCTCTTATCAAAGGCCACGGGCGCTAGGTTCCCTCACGACTGGTCAGGGAACTCGGTAAGTCTCCTGTGAGCCATGTAGGTGGCTGAAGACTCCATATCAATGTCCCTCGTTTCAGGTTTGTACTAGCAGATACAGAAAAATTACATCAGAAGATCGCACAAATGAGCGACAGGATTCGTCAACTTGAAGATGCACTTTCTATTTCGCAAACCAGTCCTGGCGAACAGCACCCTCTTCTGCACAGAGACCTTCTCGACATCAAATCAATCATAGATTTGCACGCTGCTGTGGATGAGGAAACAGCAGGTAAATCCAAGCTTGAGGTCGATGATGACTCGCAATACATCGAATCTTTTGGGACGCTCGCCATACGGGATGATGGAGCCGCAACTTTTTATGGCCCATCCGCCGGTTCGGAGGTGAGCATTGCATTATCAGCTTTCTCTGCAACGGCTGATTGCATCACAACAATGCTTTAGAGCCTGCTCATCGTACGTTATGAAGGTCCTATCAACAATGCCGCCAGACTGATATACCCCTCAGGGAGAGTCTGCCGTGTCATCGACACCTAATTTTAGTCCAGGCGACAGGACACAGCATACTGAACATCTGCCTTCCAGTGTCAAGCATCTATCGAAGTCTTTCCCTCTGGCTCCAGTGTTTAATGACGAGGTTGATCTTAACTACCTCATTCAAAATCATCTACCTCCTTGGCATCGTGCTCGTCACTTGAGTGAGCTGTATCTCCAGCAAGCACCGTGGTTCTTTGGAGCGGTAACAAAGCGGCAACTGATGGAGGAGAACCTTCCTTTATGGTACGCAGAGGCATCAGATCTCATCTATCTGGGTTCCGTGGCGCCACCAGTGACCTCGGGGAATGATGCTTTGAGCAAAGGTCCTCATGAACTCGCCTTGATGTTCGTGATTTTCTGCTTTGGAGCACTGACGGACCACAGATTGCCCCCTGCGCCAGACAACGAGGAAGCCGACATGTATTTCAAGCTTACGCGCGCTGCCCTGAACTTAGAGCCCGTACTTGACCGTCCACCATCAGTGGCAACCATTCAGACGCTGGCTTTACTCGCAATTTATCAGGGCCTTTGCAGTGGAGAAAACAGCATTGAGAGCACCTGGGGAATCTTTGGACTAGCAACGAAGTTAGCTCAGAGTGTAAGTGGCACTGGTTTCTTGTTTCTATTTATATTGACGCTGTGCTACATAGATTGGACTGCGTCAGTAATTCGATTATTTGTATCATCAGTCAAATCAGCTCATCATCCACCGCCAGACCGTGACTGCGCCCGCTGGCAGCTACCTCCACAAGAGGTGCAAAAGCGTCGTGAGCTGTTCTGGGAGCTATTTATCACAGACGGGTGGCAGGTAATTTTTGTCTTTGTAATTCTTTCGGGTGTTATTAACCTTTCACACAGTCCTTGGCCACAGGTCGTCTTGCTACATTCTACCTACCTTTTGTAGACTGTGAACTACCGAATGACCCCGATTCCACGGTGGATGGAGACGGAAGCGTTTTGCAAAGCTGTAGGACCTATTTCTTCTCTTTCTTATGTTGGTCTCAACGATAATAACCTCAGTTCCGGCATGGAAGGCTCGCTTTGGTTTCCATTGCATATCTGCAGTTATCCAACATGCACAAACGGCAAAGGTGCCCAAGTATTCCGTTGTCATCGAGCTGGATCGCAAGATTCGTGACTTGGAACTTCCAAAATACGCCCAGCGACCTCCCAGAGAAGGCGCTGAACTTGGGGAAGCGATGAAGCATTACATGCCTCGTAACTACCGGCACCTTAGTAAGTGGCTCCAGCACAGTCTAACATCAAAGTAATTTCTGAGTTCGTTGTAGCTCTGCTATATGTTCATCGATGCTTTTTTGCGGAAGCTGTATCAAACAACCCCACAAACCCCATGAGCAGCCCATTCGCCCCATCGTTCCTTGCAGGGTACCGCAGTGCCTGTGAACTGATTAGCGGTCTTCGTACGCAGTTCGACTTGTTCCCAGCACAGATTGCCCGCTTCTGGGTTTTATGGACCCATGCGTTTTCCTCATCCGTGAGCACACCTCGCTGGCATAACCGTCCTGGATACCATGTTGATGCTCCAACATACTTAGGTGATGCTGTCTTCCGTCGTTACGCATGCATCTGGGAGTGGTTCTCGGTCGAAGATCACCACTGCAGCCTTGACCGAGCTGCGACGCGCTGTCAGTCTTTTCAAAGAAGCATCTGTTTTCGGAGGTCGAGCTGGAAAATTTCTTGTACGTCAGCACTAGTATTGGCATGCTGAATACCGGACAATGCATGCTAATGGCTTCATAGCCTATCCTCGAGAGGCTGTTGCAGAAAGCTGAGCAGGCATACAGTACTGCCACTCCTACCGTGACTCGACGAGATATCTTCTCGAACACTGGTCCAACGAAGTCAAAGGATGAACTTTCGATTTTCAGTGGGCAAATCAACAAGGTTTCTACGAAGGCCCCCGTACCATCGTCTTCAGGACGGTCTAGCCATTCACCTGGAAACACCACCAACCTGAGTCAGTCTCCCCCGATGCAGGTAGAAGGCACGCCCCCGCAGGCATTTAGCAACATTCATCCATCGCTGCGTGAGCAGTGGAGCAGTTTCGAGGGGGATCTCAACGTTCAGCTTCATAATGCTCAACGAGACGCGTATTACACAGACGACGACGCCTTCGTGGTGCCCGCGTCTGCTGAGGAATCACGCAGAATGGCCAGTATGCATGAGGGCACATACCAAGCCCAGTCGGCCCAGCACCAGCTACACCCAGTTACACAGCCGCCACAGGGATACCATAACCACTTTTCTGCCTCGTCGCATGGTTTTTCGGAACCGGTCGAGGCACAGAAGTCTTTCCAAAGCGAGAATCAGCGTCGGGAACCTGTGTACTCGTCTGGCAGTCAAGGGCAACGCTATCAGCATGAGCCGCAGTACGCTCAGCCGCTGCCACAATCTCATCATCGTCAGCCTGACAATACCCAATACCATGCGGACTCTCATCAGCAACATCCCCAACACCAGCAATACTATAGCCAGGAACAGCCTGGTCATTACGTCCATGATCCATACCAGCCATCAGCATCCTTCAGCACTGCAGATCCTCACGCACCTGGTGACTATAACGCAAGACCCTCCCAACCATATTGGGAATCTGCACAGCAGTCATATCAGGCGCAGGAAAGCACCATGTCTTACCAGTCCTCGTACTATGGCAATGAGTACCAAACTTCCCAACAATCCCAAGCTCCTGCACCCGGTGCAGAATACCTGTCGCTTACACAGCAGCATCTGCAAGAGACGTGGCAGTCATTTAATGTCTACGTGGGCTCGCCGGGTCGGCCGACGTAGAACACGCACCTTCTCCACTTTCAGATTTGTGTTCCAGTGCTTTCATTTGGCTATCTAGCATTCATTTCGGTTTTTCCCGCAGCGCAATGTGTATCATTACTGCTCAAATTGTTGTACATAAACCATATCTGATCCCATGTACCTGATTAATGTAACATGTATGTCCTCCGCAGATCACGGATCTAGAGCCCCCGGCATAAGTATTTCCCCCTTGCAACTTGCGCTCTACAAAGTTCAATTTCCGATGGTACAGCGAGAATCGAAGCCAGTAAAATCCCCGAGCTATCGGCAAACCCAATAGAACCTATCTTGAACTCCCGCTCCTGCTTTGTGATCTCAGGATTGTGCGCTGAGGACGGATCTGGTTGCTCTTGATTGATACGATAGAACACGTTGACGCTAGTAGTCATTCAATCAGATCAACGGCCTTTATCTGGACAAAAATAAGACGCACTATGCCAAACCGCCGCATACGCCTTCAATGCTGATGAGTATGAAAACCAGGAATATACTTCCTCCCTCACGATCTTCCGGAAGTAGCCCGACAGCGGATTCGAAAACTAGCAGAAGTAGTATCGCGAACTGGATGATGGCCGGAGCAGGGAGGAAACGGGCTGGAAGGGTTTTCAAGCCCAGAGATATGCTTGAACGAGAGAAAAAGACCGTGGTTTGGTAGACTAGCTATGAAAGGGTCGTTATCAGAATGTATTTCAGGATCACGGCAGATTATCATGCAAACCTGCCAAAGTGGATAGTAGTCGCGGACGGAATGAATGATCTTGCTAATGAGACCGTGTGACGGAACGGGATATAATAAAGTCGGTGCAACACCCTGCATGTGTTCAGAAAGACTAGAAGCACAGGGGTAGGGATGACGTACCTGATTGATAGTATACTCGAACTACGTTGTGCAAATCAGCAGGCAGGCTCTACGCCCAAGAAACATCGACCACTCACGGTATAAACACAAACTAGTAGTAAATTATTAGACGCATAAGAATCATGAGTAATAAAGACTGCTCACATAGTGGAAGCATATACTTCAATAGCATCGGTTTGACTAGACGCCATTTATCCGCGGCTGATAGGCTGACGGTAACCTTGGGCTCCACACGAGATTCTACGTCATCTTGAGCAGACAGATCATCATCAACTTCAGTCTCGAGGTCGTCGGTAGGGACGAGCGTGTATGACGCAGAAAATGACTGATGTAAGAATGCTGCTGGACGGGGGAGCAGAAAAAAGTATGCGACAGGAAGGATGAATGGGAGAACCTGTGATGAAATATGAGCAAATGTTTTATCCGCTATAAGTATACATTGTTACCGCCGAGATACCAACACCAGTGCTGATACCCAGACCCCTGAGTTCCCACCACATGAATGCTCCGACAATACCTGCAGCTCCAGTGCCTGAGGCGAAGTACCTGTCAAGTGGAATCAACGTGGGATAGTTCGAAGGGTGAGACCAATGCGGACCCAACGCTTCGACCTCCTACCGAACGGCTGTATGTTGTCGAAAGTTGCAAGAAAGTCATTTCTCCCAGACCTATAGTTTGTCGTTCAAGTGAGAAACAGGTGTGCATGACGAATGTGTGAGCTCACCCGACGAAAACGACGCGAGAGATATTCCCAGCAGCCTCGAATACAGGCTTTCATGGAAGGCAACGACCTATGTGTTGCATGAATTGTGATTTTCAAATTGAGTCTGGTGTCAGGTTACCAGCATGCCTATAAAGCTTAACGCGCAGCAGCCGACAATCCGTCGGGCATAACGTATGCGACCTTTGAGAAAGTACGGCCACCCGAGCTTCGCGATTAAGGCCGGAGCAATATTACAAAAGGCAATTATGCCCTTGGGTGTTGACGGAGGGACGAGGTCGAGCGCAGCCGAAAGTATGATGACATAGAGTACTTTGTGATGATGAGAGCAGTCGTCTGAAAAAAACAAAATGACACACCATTGTTTATGAGTCCAAAGAGAAAGAAAGAAAATCCAAGCTTCAAGGACAATCGTTTCTTGCCTGCTGAAGAAGCCCAAAAATCAGTAAGGTTTCCAAAAAATGGCGTCATGGTGCAAGGTAAGTACTAATTCTAGCTCAGCCCGGCGTCTACTTTACCCGTCAAGTTGGAGAGCTTTGCTAAAATCAACACAACACTTGCCATGCGTATCGAACACTGACCTATGTTCGGTATAACAAAATCTCCTTCGGTATGAAGAGTAGTGGTACCGTGGGGTTCGACTGGCATCTCCAAGAGAGCACCGGCTTGCCAGTGGATATCGTGAGCGCGAAGAGAGTTCTGGCGTATAGACTGGAGTTCCGGATCACTGTAAGGCTCAGATATATCAATGTCACAATGAAGCACTGCAGCTGTGCGCTGACAATGATAGCTGGTCAAGTATAAATATGCAACACATGCGAAACATGCCTCGCTGCCAGTGCCCGGATCTCAGCTGACCCCTAAAGAGGGGGTCACGGTAACTTGGGGGCTTATCACCACAGTCACACTAGTTGGGACTCTGGAGGCCCGTAGTTGGCCCCGGCGGTAGCGACTCGGGCAATCAATACGACTTCCGAGTTCGACGGTCCCGGACTCCCGGTCGATCAATTGCGATCTACGATGGGACCGCGCTGCCCATTGTTGGGGAACATCCTACAGATCCGATCAGACATGGAAATATTGAAATTCAAACAACGCTGATGAGTCCACTAGAGTTCGCGCATTTTTGGGGCAACGTCTATTAATTCGTTCCGCGACAGACAGTTATTAGACTCGTGACCACGTCTGGAGTACGCGCAAATGCTGTACTTAGAACGGCGCATCGAACTAGGGCCATTTGAATCAGTCACATCCGGATCCCCACTTCCCAGTGGCACATCACATGCACAGGTGACCACACAAGTTATAATGGGGCCGGGAAACTCCTTCCGCGGGCAAAATCAACCTATCATTGAAAAGCCATCTGACAAATTGAGCATCTGACAGAGTTTTCAGTTCATGGTTCTTGTAGCATGACAAGAACGTAGTATCTTTCAGGGCAAAATACTAAAACTGACACTATCTGGTCCCACACTCACTCCTTGGGTTATCATACGAGCACGGCTTTTCTCAGTGCACGGATGATGTTCGTTGCGCCTTGCGTTTAAAAGGAAGAACATGGGTAGTCTCCTTCGATCCATCCAGAAGCATAAGCCAATGATACGATGCCTAGTCTAACGGTCCCACAAACTCCAAAATATGTCCCTGCCCTGCCTACTAAGGAGAACCGTGAGTGATATAGAAGTGACATCACACGAGGAATCTAATGTACCTCTCATATCCAGTCCAATATGCAGATCTTGCCATCATCGACCTCTCTAAAGCAGCTACTGCAGAAGGCCGCGCGGAACTAGCGGTTGAACTACGAGAGGGCTTGACTACTCACGGGTTTTGCTATATTATCAACCATGGGTACACCCAAGCTCAGGTGAAATATGTCAAGTACTGTATATCTCGCGTATTCTCACTTTCGGTGCAGAACGAGAGGATGTTCGATATCGCAGATATTCCCATGTCCGGTGTACCTGAAGACGAGAAACAGGCGTACACTGGAGACAGTAAGAAGACAGGCATATTTCAGGGCTACAAACCAAGACAATACTGGGTAGGCCGTTCGATGATCCCTGCCGTTTACTACTATCGATTCCTCGTGAACAGCACATCGATGCAGGCGTGCGTGACCAACACGAGCACTATAACTGTTCGCACACAGTCAATAATGGCGGAGAGAATCTAATATCCTTAGCTAGGCAACCGCCACGTCTACAGCTTAATGCACCCACAAGCACTCAGACCATTTCTTCCCGATATCGATGCCTTCGTGCGCCATAATCACCACAACATTCTTCATAAAATTTGCAGGCACGTTTTCAGCCTTGACTTCATAACTTGGATTTAACTGCACTTCTCAGGCTCATGGCGTTGAGCCTTGAACTTCCTGAAGACACGTTCGTGAAATTGCACGACTTTGATGCACCCGGAGTATCATACCGTATGACTTATTTCGTTTCTTGATGGCGTTCGAGGCTCTGATTTAGCCACTAGTGAGGTTTATGAAATAGTAAACCTACGACAATATGATGCATGTTATTGTTTCTTACTTTCATCAAGTTTCCCTAGGTCAGAAGAAGAAGAAGTTCAGACAAAAAATGTCTGGATGAAAGGACACACAGGTCGCTCGACTCTTTGCCAAATGTGGTCTTGCTCACACCGCAGCAGACTTCGGAAGTATCACTCTACTCTGGAGTCAGCCTGTTGCTGCCTTACAGATCCAAACTAAGGAGGGCTGGCGCTGGGTCAAGCATATCGAAAATGCTTTGGTGTGTAGTTCCATGTCATAGCACTTCTATCTGACATAATGCTTTAGCTCATGAATATTGGTGATTCGATGGAGTTTCTCACAGGAGGATTCTACAAGGGAACCATCCATCGGGTTGTGCAACCCCCAATTGATCAACGTGGCTACACGCGACTAAGCATGATCTATTTCTCCTTCCTGAATGACGATGTCAAGTTGGTACCCCTTATGGCCAGTCCAGTCCTTCAGAGGGTTGGGGTTGAGCGCAGATGTGAAGACGATGTGGCTCCTACCATGAAGGCCTGGAGAGTTGCGAGAATCAGTGCATATGGCGCGAGCGATCTGCAGAAGGGCAAAGAACCTGGCATAGAGGAAGAGGTATTGAATGGCATTGTTGTCAAGCACTACAATTAAGTATATCTAGAAATTGAATCCTTCACCAAGCCTCTACACGACCTTACTTGCGCCTTAGGGGCTCGTGTGGTGTTTCGAGGCTAGGATTTTCCCAAATGCGCATCAGTCAAGATGTGCGTAATGTACCCTGATAATGAGGTGATCAGCTGCTCTAGCGTTACGGACCGGTGGCTATAAGATCTCTAGGCTAATAAGGCTAGGTCAAATATACAATATCCCCTTTTTTTAAAAAAAAAATCCAATTTATTGTCTGCTGAGGGCAACGCCTGATGTAGACAGTACATGCTATGTGCTACTATGTGCTACTATGTTCTCATGTGATAACTAACATTGGTGTAATTATAGGAGCCCCTTCAGTGACTTGACCCTATAAATGTGGTCAGTTCAAGTTGACATTATTCCATGAGACATGGGCCAGCCCACTGTGGGCCCACATTAATATTGTAGGTCAATGTCTCCAGGTGGGCTGGCGAGTGGCATTGTACTCGATGGTTCTGGCTTGGCCCATGAACAATGATCTTCAATACATTGGAGTGGGCCTGCGGGTGCCAGGATCAAAGTACATTGTATTTGCATGTGGGCCCACAGGACAATGGAAATGTTATTCCTTGACACTTTTGAGCAGGCCATTCCCCCCCAGTTTGTTGGATTACCATTGCCGATCACAGAATGTGAATTTCCACTGGCGAACAAATGACCAATATCATCGGTGAATGCAAGTGTCCACCGAGGAATACATTTAATCATGGCTGGTGAAACCATATGGGCAGGTCCTGTGGGTGCCAGGATCAAATTATATTGTATTTACATGTGGGCCCACAGGACAATAGAAATGTTATTCCTTGACAATTTTGAGTGGGCCCTTGCTCCCCGGTTTGTTGAGTTACCATTGGCAATCACAGAATGTGATCAGCGAATGCAAGTGTTTCTGCTGAGATATACATTTAATCACGGCCGGTGAAACCATATGGGCATCACCTATGAGTAGTGTTTGAAAGTCCGGTCTAGTCCGGTTTTTTGTCTATTTTAGATGCAACTGGTCCCGGACCGGTCTTTGTTTTCTCACCAGCAACCTAAAGACTGGACTGGACTGCACGCAACCGGTTGCCACCAGTTGCAGTAATGTCATGCAATCAGTCCAGACTGGTCTATACAGCAACCGGTCCACGTACTCTGAAAAGATGCCTCATGGATAACATGACTTGTCAATTTTTTTGATATATATAATATACATTAGTATGTGTGCTAGTAATCAGCATCCCTCTCCCCTTCTACTGTCAATGTCACCCCGTAAATCTGCACGTCAAAGAAAACCAACAGAAAAGGCTAGTGTCAATACACTAGTACCACAGCCTCGCAATGCAAAAAGCCGTGCACCTAACACTAAGCCCTCACCAAAGAAGAGTCGAAAATGATGAGCTCCAAGTCCTGAGAGCAGCGAGGAAGATTCAGACAGTGATGTCAACACCACAGTGAATAAATGTACCTCCAAAAAAAAGGCAGCTGCATCCAAACAAGCATGGCATCAGAGTGCAGCATCTATCGAGATCGTGGATGATGTGCCTGATGTAAGTGAGCCAGAGGTTCTCAATGTTGAAGAACTGGGCCAGGAGGATGAGGATGGGGATGAAGATGATCCGGGACCAGACAACAACAATGTACGATTTTGCGATCTGCTAAAGATAGTATATCAGCTCACCATCAGCAACAACAGGACGATGTCCCATCCAAGAAACAGACAAAAAAGAACAGCGCAGATGACCTACTCACCATCTTCTCAGAACATATCACTGTTAAGTTTTGTAGTCCGGATGGCAAAGTTGCTACCAAGGTCGGACGCTGGTGCATGGAGTGCAGGTCAGTAACTTGTAGCCTATAGTAACAATACAAGCTTACCGTTGAATCACAGGAAGGACCACGTATTTGTGAAAAAGAATGGTATGAGGAAAGCATTTCATGTGGGGTCCAATTTGTCGTGTCGTCAGCACATCCGCAGCCATTACGAGTTGTATCAGGAATGGTGCTTGCAGCAGGAGATATGAGAACATCATCATTCAGTTCCTCGGGTGTTGCTGAAGCAGAGAGATGCAGCAAAGACGAATGGGCAACAGCAGAATCTGGACAGCATCGTCCAGAAACAACCATGGATGAAAGAGTTCTCACGAAGGAATGTATTGCATGCAGTTGCTGAGTTCGTCGTTTGTGATGACCAGGTAAGAGATGGTATTAATAGGAATATATAGGTGGCATTATAGCTGATGGTTGACAATAGTCGCTCATAGTGGCAGATAAAGTCACATTTCGCAATTACTTAGTAGCAATGCAACCAAATGTGACCAAGCTTAATTTGCCTTTGACTCACAACATTATGACCCATGTACACAATTCCTTTATCGACTTCTTTTCAAAGCTCAAGTCTGATGTCCAGGTATGTTTTCTTCTCTATATATACCAGTGACTCCTTGTTGACATACATAAATATACAGAACCCACTAGCGGGACATGTTTCAACTACCACTGACCTTTGGTCTGTTGACCAGACCAAAGTGGCGTTTTTTGGACTGACTGCCCATTGGATCGAAGCAGCCTCAACATGGACACTTCATTCTCATGTCATTGCTTTCAAAGGCATCTCAGGCACACACTCTGGGGATAATCTGGGTTGCTATTTTGTTGGATTATGTGAATGAGCTGGAATCATTTCAGGACAATCATCTAAGGTACGTTCCTGCATTCCATTTTTCGAGTTAGTTTATTTCAACTTTCCATAGCTTTTCTGTGTTACCATTGATAACACCAGCAACAACGATACAACCTGTGACAAAATTGAGCAGATTCTTCACTGCCGTCACATCTACTCTTTCGATGCCAATAAACACCGCCTCCCATGCCTCGCCCACATCATCAACCTTGCCGTTGTGGCCCTCATGTCATCAATCACCAAAATTGCCAATGTAGCGACTACAATGGCCATATGGGAATTTGATCCTACACTACCTGATAATTGCATCCTTGGGGACTCGCTGGATGTTGTGGCTGCTGTGCGAACCCTTGCCATCAAGGTATGTCATCATGTTCATTCTATTCCAATGATTCTAAATGTAAATTGCAGATTCAATGCTCTGGCCAACATATTGAGTACTTCGAAACACTTCAACGCAACTGCAGCGTTGAAATACCACTCAAGATCCTGCTTCACAGTAACGTCCAGTGGGGGACTGCTGAGGGTATGCTGGGTCAAGCATATGAGCTTCGCCAGGTGTGTGACAACATTCTTTTCACATGTTGACCAGTGCACTGACTTCATATGTAGTCCATTAATGTGTTCGTGAAGTCAGTGGACAAGGGCCAGTAACTACAATTCGGCATCCTGGAAGTCCTGTGAAGCATATTCCATGGAAAGCATTCACAATTGGGCCTGTGGATTGGGAACTCATTAACACTACTTGGAACATCATCTCCGATGCCAACAACATTCAGCAGTATTTCTCCTCAGAACTACAACCTACCCTCTGGCGAGCAATCTCAGCCATCGAAGAACTGCAGACTGCATGGGAAGCCAAGTGTGATGATCCAAAGTATGCTCTCTTCAAGTCAGTGATTGAGCTCAGACTGGACAAGGTCAACAAGTACTATAGAAGGTTCGATGATAAACCAGTTTACATCCTGGCCCTTGGTACATTAGTTCTCCCCTGCTCTATCATGTTGCTGATACGTTCTATAGTCCTGCATCCATATTATAAACTCGACTACATCAAGATGGCCTGGGGAGGTCCCAAGGAGCAAGAACTCGAATGCACTGCTGGTAACCTGAATGCTGTAGACTGGCATGATGAAGTGCTGAAGATCGTTGAGAAGACCATGCAAGATTATTTGAAACATATGCCCACAGGTGCCACCACTCGCTCCTTGTCTCCCATCAATCCACTTGCATCTACTGAAACACTAGAGTCCGAGTTTGATCGTCATCGATGCACACTAGTCAACGAAGCTGCCCGTCAACAACATTCTGGATGGGCTGCTGAGTTGCAGCAGTATCTACACGATGTCCCTGATGATGTCTCAATGGACACTGATATCATTCAGTGGTGGTCGGTAGGTCGTTCCTTCGTTTCAATTAGAATCTTGTTGTTAATATAGTTAATCAGAATGTCACGAATTCCAAATACAAACCATTATTCTTTCTTAAACACTCGTAAACACCCATTAAGCGCCCGACACAAGCACCTGTCATTAGCGCTCAGTCAGCGTCTATACCTATAACCTTACAAACCCTAACCCGAACTTCTCTATTCCATTAGCATCCACTACTTCTATCTCCGACGTTCCTGATTTTGACTTTCTTACTCAAGCGATTAAGTCACGTGACTCCAGAACCTTCGAGAACCCTTGCACAGCCATCACACGTTCTATGACATCATAGTGTAGTTATATTTAGAACATCGTACGATTCCCTTTTCTATTTAATGATTGGCTAGTTAGTTTAGATTCAGATTCAGTCTCCGCTTCAATATATGTATATAGGCAGCTCGTTGTAGTCAGTAGTTCTTCAGTTCAAACCTCTTTTGTATTAGCTTACTGCTAGCAATCCTAAGACGTCCCTGCTATCCTCTTTCTTTGTTAGATAACCTTTGTTTGAGTCCTAGTCTCTGCCCCAGCGTTAATTCGTTTAAAGGGTTGTGACACAGAATCACGCATCTAACTTTCCAATACTCGCCAAGATTGCTATGGATGTTTGTGCAGTGCCAGCATCTTCTGTACCCTGCAAATGGCTGTTCTCAGCGGGTGCAGAGACTGCCACCAATTGCCGGTCTCATTTAGGTTTGGACCAATTGAGCAGTTGCAGGTCCTGAAGTTCGCTTGGCAGAAATCTGTTGTTGATCACGCTGCTTCCAACTCATCAAGCATCAAAGAGGTCTTACTTACTGACTACACAGATCTCCTTCACCTGGATGATCAAGCAGTGGAGTGGGAGCATGGAGAAGATGAGGTGGCTGGATCATACTAGTAGCTTGAATATGTTTGCCATACCATGTAGTTTGACCATTGGATATATGACCGGTTGCATTGTAGACCGGTGTGGGTATCACAACCTGGCAGGCACATATAAGAAAAGTGCTCAGCCAGTATAAGTGAGTCTCAGCTCTGCCTAGCTGCTATACTTGCAGAATGCAAGAACGTTCGACCCTAAAGGGGAAGCAAGGAAAGCAAGGATCCACAGAATGATGCTGAGCAACCCTGGTGAATGGCGGTGAAAGCGCGAGAAATGCGCTGAAGGCGCGCACGGGAAAAGCGGAATGCGAAAGTGCGCGGAGCGCGGGAAGGTAGTGCAAGTGGTGCACAAGTGTAGACGATGGATACTGAGACTGATAAGGGGAAAAGTGCAGATCTAGACGGATACTGATAGTGCCCACTAGCTATAGACTGATGCTAGGGCCTCAAAACGATGATGGACACATGCATTGCATGGAACTAACTGGTGATAGATACTGAGTGGTAGGAAGCTAATGGTAGAAAAAGTGGGGTGTAAAACGAACATGAGAGTATGTAAGTTCTACCTAAGCACTCTCCCAGGGCTCAGAGCCGAATAGGGAGCACTCTAAGTATGTAAATGAGGTAAAGTGATGTAAAGTAAGGGTCCATGATGAAATAGGAAGTGTAATATGCCAAATATAGTCAGATAATGAAAAGGGACATACCAAGGGACTGGTTGGACGATGGATGGATGCTCCTGGATGATGCGTGACGCAGGGCGCTTAAGCATGAGAAAGTGCGCAAGGCGCGCATGCGGGAATGCTGCGCGTTGTGCGGGAAAGTATCGCGCCTATGGCGCGTTTTGCGGGAAAGTGGTGCACTCTATAGGGAAGTCATGGTGGATGATAGTGCGAGTTGTGCCATGAAGGCCAGTTGTCAGAATTCGTAAAATGAGCCCATATGAGCCCACAGAAACGCGAGTCTCTACACCGGTTGCAACCGGTTTTTGAGTGGTTTATTACCTGTGCCCAAATGAAGCAACCGCCAACCAGACCTGTAAAGACTGACATACAACTGCAACTGTGGTCCAGTTCAAAAAAGTTGCGGTCCAGTTCAGTTGCCAGTCTTTTTCCGGTCCGGCAACTGGACTTTCAAACACTAAGGGTAAGGGAAAGTCAAGGTAAAGGGTTCAGGTATAGGGAAACCAATAGGGGCTATAGAGCACAGCTAAAGGTGACTACTTCTAAGTAAAACCTAAGGGGAAGGAAATACAGTAGAAGGGAAGTAAAGTTGAAGTGGTCACCATAGGCTTCTTATACTAGTAAACTATACCATCTCGGAGGAAGGGATAGGATGTGCATGTAATAAGACTGTAGCACTTGTTACAAACTCGAGGCAAGGCAAATTACATACCAATGAGATAGGATGGACAATGGATGGATTCCGACGTTTCGGGTGGATCGTGAGCTTCTTCTGACTTCCTATGCATCTTGTTGCTTCACTCTTTGAAGGTGGGGAAGTCTCGACTCCAGGCTGCATGACCTTGCATGTTGCAATTGACACAGTAGTGATGTTGGGGGTCTGTCACTCCAAAGTTGCATTCCGGTGTTTGGTGGTCCATACCACAGGTGCTACAGGTGTTGGTTGTTTGGTTCCAGCCATATGGTCACTGGTGAGTTGCTGGCATTTCAGGCAGCGCATTGGTTCCAGTAGTAGCTTGCATATAGTGGTCTTGCATCCTTCAATGGTGAGTCTGAGGCAAATGGCGAGGTTGGCACTTTCACAGTCCTTGCAGGTGTCATATCCTGTATTCCAGACCTACGTCCAATGATGTTCCCACGCCTTCCGGATGCACATCCAGACCTCCATACCCTTATCCATGCCCTCAGTCCTCCAGTCCACTATCGGTTTGGATCCGTACACCTTCGTACATCCATATGTCCATACCTTCGGACCTCCGCAGCTAAGCCTGCTTCATCCACCCTTAGTTCTATCGGATCCGAGCTCATTCCATCTTGGACTCTACCTTCCCTAGACTATCGGTCTATATCCACAATTCATATCCTAGTCTCGTCTTCACCTATACAGTGGCTCAAAAAACCGTCCGTATGTTTTGGCATTTTTCACTATCTATAATATTGTGTGAGAACAAACAAATGCCTCAAAAACATGCTTATACCACATTGTAGTATGGCTTCAGGGCTTTCATTTGAGCCCTACACCGTGGGAATCGGTGGAGATATGGTGGAGATACAAGGCTCACAAAATGGTGACTCATGCGGACAGTTTTTTGACTCAAGTATTTTACAGTAATAACCAGGTATTCTAGTATTTTGTATGACCTCCCTTGGCTTTAATTACTGCCTCTATCCTTCTAGGCATACTCTCAATTAATTTCTGGCAATCCTCAGCTGTGATCTTCCCCCATTCCACTGCTACTCTCTCCCAAAGCTCCCATACTCCTTTAGGGGGGTTTTCATAGGCTTGAAGCTTTTTCTTGAGTGTTCCCCAGAGATGTTCAATGACATTGACATCAGGAGACTGTGCTGGCCAGTCAAGAACATTGATGTTATGTTCTTCAAACCATTCCCTAGCTCTTCTGGATGTGTGCTTGGGATCATTATCCTGTTGGAAAATGATATCTTCTTCATCAATCCCTGATTCTGCCAAGCTAGGCAGCAAGTGGTCATTTAAAATGTCCACATACTGCTCAGCATTCATCTTCCCCTCAACCTCAGCAAGCATTCCCACACCATTCCATCCCATACAGCCCCATACCATTAAAGAACCTCCTCCAAACTTGACAGTCCCATTAACCTCTCTGTCTGTTAGGCCATCTCCCTTCTTTTTCCATACATACACCTTCCCATCTGACCCAATCCTATTGATTTTGGTCTCATCTGACCATATAACATGCTTCCAGTCCTCTACAGTCCAGTGTTGATGAGCTAAGGCAAAGGCTAGTCTTCTCTGCCTATGTTTGATGGAGAGAAGAGGCTTTTTCTTCTTTGTTACTGCCTTGAGATGAGCTACCTTGAGAACATTCCTCACAGTTTGTGAAGAGACAGGGGTAGTGATGGTGGAATTGATATAATGGGTGGCTTGGACAGCATTATCAGCCTTTCCTGTAGTGATATGTTGGATAATAGCCCTTTTGTCAGTAGAGGTAAGCTTGGATGGACGTCCTCCACAAGAGTTTTCCTTGTCTGGGTGGCTTTCTTTGATGAACTTGGCCACAGTGGACTTGCATATTCCAGTTCTAGAGGAAATTTGGCGAGCAGAGAGGCCAGCATAAGACAGAGAGAGGATATTATCTCTTTGAGCAGAGGAGATGGCTTTCATGGTGATTATGACTATGATACATGAGATATTCTGGTTTATATAGTTAGATATAGTCATAAAATAACATAATGACACCACTTTATAATTTATATAATAGTGGCATGATTTTTATGGTGTCATAAATAATGATTTATATAGTTTTAATATACACTCAAAAAACTGTCCACATGAGTCATCATTTTATAAGCCTTATATCTCAACCATATCTCCGCCGATTCCCACGGTGTAGGGCTCAAATAAAAGCCCTGAAGCCATACTACAATGTGGTATAAGTATGTCCTTGAGGAATTTGTTCATTCTCACACAATATTATAGATAGTGAAAAATGTCAAAACATGCGGACAGTTTTTTGAGCCACTGTATCTCCGGATCCACTCATCTGATATCCAGATGCCTCATCTGATATCTCTAGACCTCCAGATCCGACCTATACTCATATCCAAAGCCAAACCTTAAATCAGCGTCTATCTCCTTATGGTAATCCCCTTGACTCCGGACTTCGGTTATCTGTGTTTCCGTCTTGCTTATTGATCCTTGTACTCTGTTCATCTCCGAGTTCATTTACTTATGTTCCGTTCATACTTACTAATATGTTTCCACATGCTCGTACATAGCATTTGTGTTCAGCTTACCGATCCTCTCGGATCCCTTCCAGTATATAAACCTCTGTACAACTCCTGTAAAGTTTCCTTAGTTCGAAGATCAACATAGACTTGCTCTCTTGCATCTTAGACTTCACTCATTCTTGTCTCGGACTTTGGTCCATCTGAGTTCTGCCTTTCCATCAAGGCCTAGGGATGGATTCCCTAGGCCGGAAATCTGGACCTTCGGATTTGTCCCCTATGTCTCTGTTCTGAAGTCTAGGGATTGATTCCCTAGACCAAAGCTTTGCCTTTCCGGCACTTCCTGTCTTTCCAAGACTTCTGTCTAAACCCCGTCTATCCGACTCTACCATAGTGTAGTCTACCTCTGTTTGTTTCTACTCCAGACCTTGTCCATAGTAGCCTTTCCCCTCCTGTCCTAATCCTGTCTGCTCCTCCGGTCCTCATAAACCTTCGGACCTTCAGACGTCGTAACCTTCGGACGATGCAACCTTCGGACGACGCAACCTTCAGACATCTTAACCTTCGGACCTCCAGACGTCCTGTCCTTCGGACCACTCCTCCTATCCTATCCTGCTTTGGACTCTGTCCCTTGCAGCCTATGCTCTATGTGTTTCTATCTAGGGAACTTACCTTCGGATCTAATACAGTGGATGAAACTCCTCCGGAAGTTTCTCGCACTCATCCGGAAGTCCTCTAGCACTCTACTAGAGTAGCCAGCCTCCAGAAGTCCTTCAGACTTCGTCGGATTCCATCTGGACTTCATTCTGAAATTAAGAGCACGTACTCGGGTAAGGGGCACAGCGCATGAGCTGAGGCCAAGCCCTTCGGATCCGTTAACCCTTGAGCTACGGTCTTAACAGCAGGATAGAGTGCAGAAGGTGGTTCATTGGTTCACGTTGCGATGTGCTAGAGGCTTGATCCATTTCGCTTTGGTGAGTGTTCCAGGTTGGAGTTTGTTGCTTTTCTCTGTTTCTGCAAGTGATGTGGATGAGTCCGGGTTGAATGTTGTCGGGACGTACTCTGCTATTACCTGGAAGGTTCTATCCTTGATGATTGTTTCATTCCTGAAGTTTTCACTGAAAGATTGGCTAACACTCTTGCATGAGATCCAGGCTTTGGTATCAATGCTGTCAACTTTAAAAATAACTCCACCATGACAGAGCTTTCTTGTGCTTGTGAAGAATGCATCTTGTGGGACGTCTATACCTCCTGCTTTTATCTCTGCAAGGGCCTTGTTTGCCTTGCTGATAAGTTCAGCTTCAGATAGATCCTTCAGACCCAAAGATTCGCTCATTGACTTGCAGTCTACCAGGATTTGTCTTGCCTGAGCTTTGCTTCATGCTAGAGTGCTAGAGTCAGGTTTGGGTAGTCTGGCCTGTGTGACTTTGGCGTAGGATCTTCCTTGCTCCTTGCTATGCTCCGTGCATTCAGAGGGTGCGTTCTCATTCACATTAATGCATGTATTTTCAATAGCTTTCTCCAGTCTCACCACAGTGCCATCAATTGAGTCATGCACCTCATTTACAAAGCTGTCAAGTGCTGTTATCTTTCCGTCATGTGAGTCGGCCACTTTTTCAAGTCATTCAATGGCTCCAACCATATGAAAAGAGGTAGTTTCCGCTATCTTCTTCACTTTCTGTTCATGGTCAGCTTGCCCTGGGAGGATTGCAATGGCTCTTAGCATGTCTCTTTGAAGTTGTGTTATTCCCAGTGTTTTTATTGTGAATTCAAAAAGTGTGATTATAAGGTTGTCTATGGCGGCTCCTGCTGCTGGAATGAGCATCCCCTTGCTAACTAGTTCAGCTCTTATGGTTTTTGTATCTGTTACTTTCAATGGTGTCACTGGGTTGTTTATTAGCTCTGGAAATAATCTATTGGTCGGTCTGAGAAACATGTTTTCTTTGTCTCTTAGGCTAATCTACAGAGGTGCAGGATTGTCTATTTTGTCCATTGTCATCTAGTTGCTGTTCTTGTTTTTCTCTTTTTATGTTGTTTTTGTACAAGTTATTAAAGGTAAAGCTAGTTTATATCTAGGTAAGAGGAAAGGGGATTGGTACAGGGGGGAGGAGTCAGTGTTGGCGCCATTGGGCACACTGTTGGCTGTTTTTGTTCCAGGGTCCTTGTCAGGGCGCCACTTGGTTAGTAGCTAAGAAGTGTTCTTACAATATCCCCTCTGTCCTCGACCCTCTGTCACAATGCCCAGCCTCACCTTACCCTACATACCACACTATGTTGCCACACCTCCTAGCAAGGAAACTTGTCTGTAGTGGATATTGTGAGCATAAAGAGAGTATGAAGAATTCTAGCATATAGACTGGAGTTCCAAATCACTGTAAGGCTCAGATATATCAATATCACAATAAAACTCTGCAGCTGTGCACTGATGATTATATTGATGATAGCTGGTTAAGTGTAAATGTGCAACACATGTGAATGCCTCACTGCCTGGATCTCAGCTGACCATTGAAGAGGGGGTTGGTAACTTTGGGGCTCATCAACACAGCTACACTAAACTAGCTAGGACTCTGGAGGCCCGGAGTTGGCCCAGTACCGACTTGGGCAACTGACAGATCCAACTACTTCTGACAGTCCTGGTCGAATCTCAATCATAATCTATGATATTGATGGGATGAAAATGACTTGTTGGGCAACATCCTAAGATCCGGCCTAGCCTAACAAAACTCAATATTGTTGCGCTCATGCCACACACAAAAGCTTGTGAAGGAATCCACCTCAAAGGCAGACCTTTCAGACGATGATGTGGAGGAGAGTATCGATGAGTGTGCCCTCATTTGTAATATTAATTTCTCCCCCTACTGTCAATTCAGTCTCTGACCTTTTTTAATCTCAACAGAATCCCATTTTAGATCTCAACAGACACTATTTGTGACACAAATTCACACCATGTCGCTCGTTCATGATTTCTATTGCTTTGTCTGACAATATTTGGTATTTGCTCATATTCTGGATCCTATGAATTGACTTTTTGCAATGTTTGATTACCTGATGTTAACAAGACATCTGGGGTCTGGGTAAATATTCATCAGGTCCTGTTCTTCGAAGCGCTACGTCTGGGGCCAAAGTCCACCCATGTATGCTATCGGGCTACCATGTGACCCAAGGCACTACTATCACTGACACCCTTTTTCAAAATGGGTATTGGGTTTCAAAATTCACTGATCATCATATTGTGAGCTACACACTGCACAAATAAATTCTGTGATTTTAGCCAGTGTTCTCTAGTGTCTATGGGATACAACTGTGAAGTTCCCATGGAAAACATTGCACAGTTGTGTTCATAATAAATCATTTATCACACCACTGAGCAGTAATGATTGTAATGCCACACACTGAGCACTTTGTCAAGCAGGAAAAAAAACAGGGGGGAAAACAATCTTTGTCCTTGTATAAATAATGCTTACCACTGCAATTTCTACATTGTCATTGAATGAGGGCAGAACTATGTTATCAGTGAAGTCGTTGAAAGAGTGAGATGTTGCAGCATGATGGTGCAGCATCAATAGTGTTTTAAAGTCCAGTTGCAGGACCGCAAAAAGACCAGCAACCAGACCAGTCCACAACCAGTCCTAAGCAGGACCGGTTGCAGTCTTTTCCAGTTGCAAGATCAGTCCAGTCCAGTTGCCCAAAGTTTGTAAAAAATTAAAGGACCGGTACAGAACTGGTTAAGACCGGTCTTTGGGGAGCCAGTTGCTATGTACATGTAGTACTTGTCAGCGCGATTCTAACGGTGGTCCGATCATGCAAAACGGTTAAGATTTGATAAAGTTATGAGACTTACAAGAAAAAAGCTGCAAATTAATAGAATGTCTTATATCTTAGCTTTTATCTAGATCAAATCATAATCAATTGACAAGGCAAGACTAGCTATATACTTGTCTATACTAGGGCTACAGTTAGCATTGAGACACCTAAGCCTTATAACAACTTTTATTTTTTGACATTTCATATTTGACTCACTTGTGGGGCAGAGTTTGGTAAAATTTTAAAATGCTCATATCTCGTTCAAATCTTAACCATTTAATACAAATAAAGCACCGTTGGAATCGCAGGAGTGAGTAGTACACTGCCACTGGACCAGTTTCAGTTGTAACCAGTCTAAAACTGGTTGTGGGACTGCAAACAACCGAAAATATCGGTCTTTATCAGTCCAGTCCGGTTTTTTTTGATATCGTGGGAATAAAAAGACCGGTCTGGTCCGGTTGCCTCCCAAATATGGTAAAAAGACCGGACCGGACCGGACTTTAAATCACTAAGCATCAATTATAATCTCCGCTCAAAAGCTTTACTTGAAGTAAGACTGACAGGGGAGGCTCACTTTCATTCTATACTAGTATTATATCCTATCCACTTAATGCACGCACTGTGAATAGCTGGTCTATATAATGTACATGCACGAACTCATAGAATCTTTGATCTGAAAATTTGGGTTCCTTCCTTCCAACAAATTCACATATCGAGATTCAAAATTCTGTCGAGTGTGCCATTGCGGAGTCATAAAACTCCAGAGTGACATGGCTGTGACGGATTTTGAAAAAAGCGTAGCCAGTCCCTGCCAAACTTAGTATACTGACATCGCACAACCGGAATCCTTCCGACACTCGAACATCATCAAAAAAAATCAGATTTCACCTGGGTGTGATAGAGTACGAAATTTCCCACAGGTCTGTCAAGAAACGGGGAAAAAAAACCTCTTGACGAGTGCGCTACACATCAAACATTGAAAAGTTTTGAAAAGAAGGGCGTCAGTGATAATCCGAGAGAAAGAGTTAATTCTTACTAATCGATAATATTCATGCGCATTACCACCAGTGCACTACAGTACCATCGATGAATGTTTCCGACCTGACTCATTCGTTCCGTGACAGACAGTTATACATCTTCTCTGGAGTCTGGAGTACGCGCAAATGCTGTACTTAGAACGGCACATCGAACTACATGGACCAAAACAGTAATCTGGATCCCCGCTTCCCAGTGGCGCATCACAGGTGAGCACACAAGTTATAATGGGGCCGGGAAACTCCTTCCGCGGGCAAAATCAACCTATCATTGAAAAGCCGTCTGACCAATTGAGCATCTGACAGAGTTTCCAGTTCATGGTTCTTGTAGCATGACAAGAACGTAGTATCTTTCAGGGCAAAATACTAGAACTGACACTATCTGGTCCCACACTCGGCGCTACTTGGGTTATCATACGAGCACGGCTTTTCTCAGTGCACGGATGATGTTCGTTGCGCCTTGCGTTTAAAAGGAAGAACTTCTATGGGCTAGTGTTTGGTCTCCTTCGAACGCTTTTTCGCACGGATTCCCAATTGATATATAGCAGACAAACAAGGGAGAATACGGGTAGTGTTTAATCGCCTTCGATCCATAAGCCACACGATGCCTACTAGTCTAACGGTCCCACAAACTCCAAGATATGTCCCTGCCCTGCCTACTAAGGAGAACCGTGAGTGATATAGAAGTGACATCACATGAGGAATCTAATGTACCTCTCATATTCAGTCCAATATGCAGATCTTGCCATCATCGACCTATCTAAAGCAGCTACCGCAGAAGGCCGCGCGGAACTAGCGGTTGAACTACGAGAGGCCTTGACTACTCATGGGTTTTGCTATATTATCAACCACGGGTACACCCAAGCTCAGGTGAAATATGTCAAGTACTGTTTCTCTCGCGTATTCTCATTTTCGGTGCAGAACGAGAGGATGTTCGATATCGTAGATATCCCCATGTCCGGTGTACCTGAAGACGAGAAACGGGCGTACACTGGAGACAGCAAGAAGACAGGCATACTTCAAGGCTACAAACCAAGACAATACTGGGTAGATCGTTCGACGATCTCTGCCATTTACTACTGTTGATTCCTCATGAATAGCACATCGATGCTGGCGTGCGTGATCAACTCGAGCACTATGCCTGTTCGTACACAGTCAATAATGGCGGAGAGAATCTAACATCCTTAACTAGGCAAACCGCCACGTCTACAGCGTGATGCACCCACAAGCACTCAGACCATTTCTTCCCGATCTCGATGCCTTCGTGCGCCATAATCACAACAACATTCTTCATAAAATTTGCAGGCGCGTTTGCAGCCTTGGCTCCAGAACTTGGATTTAACTGCGCTTCTCAGGCTCATGGCGTTGAGCCTTGAACTTCCTGAAGACACGTTCGTGAAATTGCACGACTTTGATGCACCCGGAATATCATACCGTATGACTTATTTCGTTTCTTGATGGCGTTCGAGGCTCTGATATAGCCACTAGTGAGCTTTATGAAATAGTAAACCTACGACAATATGATGCATGCTATTGTATCTTACTTTCTTTAAGTTTCCCTAGGTCAGAAGAAGAGGAAGTCCGGACAAAAAATGTCTGGATGAAAGGACACACAGGTCGCTCTACTCTTTGCCAAATGTGGTCTTGCTCCACACCGCAGCAGACTTCGGAAGTATCACTCTACTCTGGAGTCAGCCTGTTGCTGCCTTACAGATCCAAACGAAGGAGGGCTGGCGCTGGGTCAAGCATATCGAAAATGCTTTGGTGTGTAGTTCCATGTCATAGCACTTCTATCTGACATAAATGCTTTAGCTCATGAATATTGGTGATTCGATGGAGTTTCTCACAGGAGGATTCTACAAAGGAACCATCCACCGGGTTGTGCAACCCCCGATTGATCAACGTGGCTACACGCGGCTAAGCTTGATCTATTTCTCCTTCCTGAATGACGATGTCAAGTTGGTACCCTCTTATGGCCAGTCCAGTCCTTCAGAGGGTTGGGGTTGAGCGCAGATGTGAAGACGATGTAGCTCCTACCATGAAGGCCTGGAGAGTTGCGAGAATCAGTGCATATGGCACGAGCGATCTGCAGAAGGGCAAAGAACCTGGCATAGAGGAAGAGGTATTGAATGGCATTGTTGTCAATTACTACAATTAGGTATATCTAGAAACTGAATCCACCTTCACCAGGCCTCTGCACGACCTTACTTGCGCCTCAGGGGCTCGTGTGATGTTTCGAAGCTAGGATTTTCCCGAATGCGCATCAGTCAAGATGTGCGCAATGTGCCCTGATAATGAGGTGATCAGCTGCTCCAATATTACGGACCGGTGGCCATAAGATCTCTAGGCTTATAAGGCTAGGTGAAATATACAATCTCCCCTGTTCTTGACCCTCTGTCACAATGCCCAGCCTCACCTACCCTACGTACCGCACTACGTTGCCGCACCTCCTAGCAAGGAAATTTGTCTGTGTCAAGCTATCTGCTTAATGCCAAACGCTGAGGTGTGAATTGACAGTGGATTATGCCGACCTTGCTATCATCGACATATCGAAAGCTGATACTGAAGAAGGTCGAGATGCGCTAGCGATTGAAGTAAGGGAGGCCCCTCCTTGACCACGGGTTCTTCTATGTCGTGAATCATGGGTATTCGCAAGACCAGGTGAGGCGATTCTTTCATGTCTCGTGTGGATCGTTAATACCATCTCGACGCAGACAGATCGCATGTTTGACATCGCGGACCTACCCTTTTCGGCCTTCAGTGACGACCGAGAAGAAAGTTTAGGACGGAACAATGAAACAAAGCGGTTCATACCAAGGATTATAAATTGCGACCAGTACTGGGTGCTGTTTGTCGTGTCTTGCCCAACATATGAGCGTTTGGTTTACGCAAGTCAATCGAATTTGCATGTTGACGCTGGGGTCCGTGATCAGATTGAGCACTATAATAGTGAGCAGAATGTATTCGTGTCTTTCTGCTTGACTCACCTGACATTCTTCTAGTCAATCGCGATGTGACCAAACGGGGACACCCCAGAGGGACCCTCCGTCCTCTTCTCCCAGAAATCAAGGGTTCAGCCAGAACACCATCACTTCAACGTGTTGCATCCCATGCTGAAGTACATATATAAAGCATGTTGCGCTGGGGATGACCAACTGATTACATTTCTCTCAGGCTTATTGCACGCAGCCTCGAGCTACCCGAAGACACGCTGGTCAATAACCATGATTATGACGCCGTAGGCGAGACGTATGGTACATACTTTTTGAATCATTCCAAATTGTTTGCCTGACTTATCCATCAGTCCAGGTTCATGAAGTAGTAAGTGTTGTCTTGAATTTATAGTCCTTCACAAGTCCATGTAGTTTTAGTTACCCAAGAACAGAGGAAGAAGAAATCAAAACAAAGAACGTTTGGCTTAAGGGACACACAGGTCAGTGACCTTAATCGTGAAACAAATACCTGTTTCTTACAGTGTCACCGCAAGACTTTGGAAGCATTACGATTCTGTGGAGTCAGCCTGTCGCTGCACTGCAGATTCTGACCCGTGACGGTACATGGCGCTGGATCCGCCATATCGAAAATGCACTCGTAGGCTGTCACTTTCTACGTCTCAACGTATCACATAGTGAAGGGATTATAGGTCGTCAATGCAGGCGATGCATTGAATTTCCTTACCGGCGGGTATTACAAGGGCACAATTCATCGTGTTGTAAAGCCCCCAGAGGATCAGCGGAACTACACTCGCCCTCGGAGTCTTCTACTTTGTCATGCCCAACGACGATGTCAAGTTGGTGCCAATGGCCGAAAGTCCAGTCCTGCAGAGAGCTGGAATTCAGAGTCGTTGCGACGATAGCGAGGCACAGACGATGGAACAATGGAGGAAAGCGAGGACATCTGGCCTATGGCCAATCAGAACTGGAGAATAGACAAGGAGAAAGGCGTGGAACAAGAAGTCATCAATGGGGTGTTAGTTAAGCACTACAACTGAAGCTTGGAACTTCAAGATGTTAGATGTACTTGCTCTTTCATCATCCTTGATGAACATGTCGTCAACAATATATACAATGAGAATCTAGGCAGTCGTGCCTGCACTGGTGATTGGTATTGGAAAGCATATAGATTCTAATGAACTGCATACGTACATCCTATCTGCGATTACTTAGCAGCCGAAGTGCAAGCTCTTCCTCGTCTTCAAGGCCACTAGAATATGTTTTGGTTGAAGTTGAACGTTTACTCCGCTTGAGTGGCGGCGGCGACGTGTCCTGCACATCCATTCTTCGGACGACAGGTCAAATTCAGGGGATATATACCCGTCCTCAGCAGAGGGTGCAAGTTCCGCAATAGCTCCCCCATGGACATCATCGCGATCAACCTGGAAAACACATTCTGAGCAAGATCTCGCGACAAAGGAACACTGAACTTACACCATTCTCGCGATCCTTGCGCTTGCGTTTCTTTTCGCGTTTTTTGTCCTTAGCTTCCATTTTATCAACCACATCTGCACCCTTCAGCTTGTCCTTCTCCCCTTCCACAAAGGCCTTTCCAGCTTCTTCGCCCCTTCCAGACCCCCTTTGTAGAATTCTGTAGGGTCCACCATTTCGTAAATTTCGTGAGGGTTCCCCTCGTCATCGAATATCAACTTATGTCCCAATTGGCCATATTTAGCAACTGCGCGTTTCGTTCTGGACAGCTTGAGCTTCCTCTTCGAAAGGTTGTCTATCTCCGGGTTTGCATCAGTGTCAGATAAGTCATGATTTGAGCGCTTGAGCGTGATGAAGTCTTCATCGTCATCAACCGCGTCGCCATGATCAATCAATTTCGAGTAGTGCGCAGAAAGAATATTTTGATTTTTGCGCTCAAACATTCGGTCGTATTTCGTGCGCACACCGGGCTGCAATACCCGAGTTAGGAAAAATAAAAGGAATGCAATGTCACACACTTTAGTAGATATGGAAAGCTTTGAATCAACCTTGACCTCGGAGTCTGGGGCAAGAGCAGTGTCACTTAACACCATCGTCATCCGACACAGCAGCTTCTTCGGAGTCATCTTCGTTATCAGAAGACCCTTGCTTAGCCTCCGCTTCAATTTCGGCTCTGAATAGCTGCCACCGTTCGAGACGAATTCTTTTGTTTCTTTACAAGTTCTCTGTTTAAAAACTTGATCTTTGGCGCGCCCGGCAGCCCAAGAGACTCGGCGAATTTCTCCACAGGAAGCTCGTCGACTTTGAATATCGATTTATCCTGTAAAGGTGGACAGAACGGACATAGGATACAAAGCCTGAACCTCCAGATGAGTAGCAAAACTCACCACGCAGACACGGAGTAGTAAAACATACACGTGCCCGAGATACTTGATCCTGTGGCTCCTGGAAAGAGAGCTCTGGAGTTGGTTTTGTATATCTATTGGGTTTTGCTAGGTCTAATCTTGACTGTTTTCGATCTTGATACTTTCTTCTCTAGTGCGCTTTCATGCCCGGTTCTTCGCTGGCATGAGGAGTAGCAAGCCACTTCCAGAAGCTTCTCATACGCGCCGTTCTGCCCACTCGGTGGATGTAGGTGTCAGCGTCCTCTGGAGCATCGACTTGCACCACCCAATCGACTGAAGGAAAGTCCAAACCGCGTGCGCTATGTCAGTGGCGAATAGTACCGCGTGTTGAGAGATGTAAATCGAGTGTACATCGTCAGTCTGGCAGATTGTTTTGTTTCCCATGCAGATGCAGTAGCGGCATTCCGGGATGCATCTTGCAAAAAGTCTCGAAAACGAAACGAACTTGCTTCCCCAGTCGACACGAAGACAAGGACCTTGGAGTGTAGGTGAGTTGTTGATGAATGACCACAGGAACGTCAAGCTTTTTGTCCAACGTGCAGACGGAGTAGTACTGTGCCGGGGAGCGGGGAGTAGCCGACGAGCTGCCGGTCGTCCACGCCAATGAGGGACAGGGTCTTTGAGGCTCAAGCGAGCTAATTGTGACCAGACGGGTTTGTGTAGCTGAGAAAAGTAGAGTTTGGCGTGATTCGGAAGGTAGCAAGTATGCAGATAATGTCTTGGCAAAATCCCCTGTCTAGTATGCGATCCGCTTCGTCCAGAACTTACAAGCATGGTTATCCTTGGTGAAGATGCGCAGTCCGTACTTACTGAGAACTTGCAAGTTCATCACACTCGAAGCCGAATGTCTGATCCATTGTGCTGCAACAGTCGACCTGGTGTGGCGACCAGAATATCATTCGAGCGAGCCCCCCCGGCCCCTCTCATCCTTTAGGTTTTTTCCGGCCTATCACGAGCCCTGCAGAAAATGCGTTGAAAAGCTCCAACGGAACGCAAGACGTCGAAGATTTGTACAGCCTTGGACATGTAACCATCAAGTGACTGAAAACCAAGGATAGGCAGGACGTACCAATTCACGCGTCGGTGAAATTATTACCCGCACCTAAACCATCCTGGGCCCCCCATTTTCTTCTGTAAAGTATCTCCAGCGTTGGAATGAGAAAGGCAAGAGTTTTTTTCCGCCTACCAGTGCGAGCAGCTGCAAGTACAATCTTTGCCCTTCAAAGACACTGGTATACTAGTTGCTTGGATTTCTGTCATGGTAACGAAGAACGATTTTTTGAGTCCTGAATGTGGAAGATATCATGATCAGTCGCGTTCGGTGTGATATATGTCACACCTTTTTTCGAGAATTCGGAAATAGGAAGATCAGAAAAAGCCTTGAAGACCGTCTCGTGGCTCCTGACCCGCCTTTGAGATGGAGTTGCGTTCAGCAGTACAAAGACTGAATAACTCACGAATTCCATCACCGCACGTTCCAAAGCCTCAATATGCTGCTTCTCTGAGAGCCTTTTGGCTTTCGCCAGTCGCAAACCGTGCTTCGCATTCTTTCGTGGCTTTTTCAATTGCTTCGGTGTCGAAGGTCCTGCTTGATCTGCCATTTTGATGACGATCCGAAGATTAGAGTGACCTCGAAGTTGCAGGAGACTGAGGAGTTATACTAACTTTTCTAACGGCTCACCGGAGACTCAGATCTGCAGACTTGAATTTGTGCTTACGTCAGCTATTTTCGGTCAAATTCAGATGCGGCTACCAAGTTGTGCCAACTTCAAGAAAATTGGATGGGATAGTTTGAAATTGGACGTTGGGAGAGTGCAAGAAACAAAAAAAAAATAGAAATTGAATACCAGAACACAATCAAATCAAATGAGATAAATACTGGAACGTGATAAACGAAGAGTGTTGTGAAGAAGCTGTACATTTTGTATCCAATGTGAGTGTCCTAACTATGAGATGGAGGATCCAAATGCGAATGTTCAATGCACGAGACGATGTTTGCGAATGAGGATAGGTAAAGCAGAGTTCCAAAACTCCTAGTGAAGTAGCCAAACCTAGATGTAGAGGAAGGCTCATACAGACGAGCACTGATACACACCGATGGTTTCTGAATTACAGCTGGCGGCACGCCAGTTTGTTGCTCCTCCCTAATTGACCAAGGGCAGGAGTAGAAGCAGAGGTCGCGATGGCTGTGATTGTAGCGCCGCTATTGGTTGTTCCAACAGGCACTGGAGGAGGCTTTCTTCTCTTGGGCGGAGCAGGTGCCGGCCTTCGAACCTTGTGATTGACTGTAGGAAGGTTCAAAGAACTAGACGAAGGCGGTCTAGGTTGTTGCACGAGAACGCCCTTCTCTGGATGGAGTGCGACGGCACTAGTGACATCGTCAGCAGAACTAGCTTTCTCTCGTCGTCTAGATGCAGCAATGGTTGCAGCCGCTAAACTCGTTACGCTGTCTGGGCTAGAACGCATGTATGTGGTTTTTACCGATCGTGGAGGGGGTAGTCGCGGAGATGTAGGATTGTGTACGCTTTCAACACTTCTACAGTGCTTTATAACCTTCGGCTTCGAGCTCAGCGCCTTGGAAGCAGAGTCATGCTCCACGTCTGGGGACGTTGGTGCTCGAGAGGACACAGTGTCTTGCCTCGTGGACGCAATGATGTCGTGACTTGGGCTGCTGTGTCGAAAATCCCCTTGACGCTTGAGTGTCTCTTTATCGTGTGACGTCCTTCGCAACTGCATACACCACTCCCCTCCGAGACATCGTTCGACCAAACGTTTCGTTGTGGGGTTGATGTCTCGGATATTTCCATTTTGAATAAGGGATTCGAGGGCAAGAACAATTTGAGGACGTTTATATGGCACATCCCGCATTTGCGTCTTCGTGAGCAGTGGATGCATAACACGGAGATAGGTATGTCGAAGCTGTGAAGAATACAGTCAGACCGCTTCCGTGTGCAATGCTGCAATACTCACAGATTCACTCTCCTCATCAAGGTCAACCAGTTCGCGTAGGAAGACATCCACAAGGACACATAGATCGTTTGTGTAAAAATATTCTGACGTTGCCTTGTTGGTGAAAAGAATGTAAAGAAGCTTGAGCACCAGAAGTTGCATACACAGGTCTTCAGCAGATCGTGCTATCAAACGAATATTAGTCGGTTACTCGACAATGCCTTTAGTTACTCACAGGCACGATTGAGCATGAATATCATGTTTTCACCAAAAGTCTTGCTAGATCCGAGACGAGATATCAGGACGGTAAGAACTCGATTTTGCAATTCTGGCTCCTTAGCTCCAGGTTGTTGATTATTGCTTAAACAGGCTACCATGAATTGCTCATTCAATGCAACCTGACAACGAAATTAGATGCAACCTTCATAGAAATTCGGCGCTCTCACGATCAATTTAATCACGGAGTAATTCAGAGTTTCATCGGGCATAAATCGAGTCTGCTCTATAAGCTCAAACAAATTGTCGAGAAACTGATCGTTGAAAACATCTGTATAGGGTTATTGGCGGATCATCGTCAAAGCAACAGGATCACGTACTCAGATCATGTAAAGACAGTTTTTGAACCCTGCACACTTCATAGAGTAGCCTCAGACTCAGACTCCTTAACTTCGCTTCTATAGGTATGTGGCCAACCACCATGCTGGAGCGCGAACCGGAACTACTTGATATGGAGGGTGCCCCAAGATAGACGTCCTCTGTATCTAGGTTTATTTCCACTAAAACGTGATCCATGAGAAGCGGTATTAGTGGTTGCCAATGCTTATGAGAGCGAATAAAGTTCGATTGACGGCGACCGTGGAACAATAGTACGCTGTATAGAATGAGTTGTGAGTGAGGATCTGTTTTCTGTAAGCCAGCTTCAGCACTTGGACGAGTGATATATGAGGGTTCTGCGCACAGACTCGACATCTTCGATAGCCAACTCGCACATCCGTTCAGAGTGAAACACGAACAACTCGGAGTCGAGCAGAAGACTGCATGCATGTTCCAGTTGCATCGGACTTTGGAGGAACTGTTCTAGAAACAGAAATAAAGCGTTTTAATGCATGAAGAGGAGGTTATACAATCGTGGTAAAGCTGACCGTGATAAGAAGCACAGAGGGACACAAACCTCCTGAGTGCGGTGTCTAACATGGATAACGTGGCAGATCCGTCGCTGGGAACTCGAAGGACATCATCAAGCTCTAGAAAACATAGATTGACAGCCCTCAATTGTAAGTTCGAGTCTTCTTCCGTGTCCCAAAGAGACATTTGAAACATGTGATATAACGTACCTGACCAAAACTGTTGAGCATTCTCTATAAGATAGACAATTCCGAAGTCATCTTCAGCAAGCATGTTGACCTTTGATCCGGATGTCTGTACATGCATGATTCTAGTTGCCGGGTGGGTGAAACACGAAGCGGGTAGGAAATGTCAGATCAGATTTTTTTGCAGCTTTGAAGACCTGGATTTTTGAAAGTGAAGATTGCAGATCGGGACGGCATCCACTAATTCTCGCAACAATTCCGAGCTGAGCTGAGCACTGAGCGCTGAGCAGTGAGCGACCTATAGTAAACGGCGAGCAAGACAGTGAAGATCGTGGGCAACCCGTTTTAACCGTGGATTGCGTTTCGGGGTCTTCACGGCATGACTCCAGGAGTCCTGCCCATTGACACTACTTAGGCTGAAGGGTGTCTCCCCGACTCTCCCGCCACGGGCCACGGCCCCCACTGACCACAGGTAAGTGTAAGTCGACGTCGACTTGTCAAATTCTGATTGGAATTCAAGCAGCTGTATGGGCCATGGTTTTGCACGCCCCCATTACCAATGGAAAACTACCATATATGTACTAATTTACATCAGAATCAGTTGTAAGTATGTTGCAATATTTGCGGTGTTTGAAAATGAAGTTGTCACATCTAAGGCAAGGCTAGGTCCTGGCTAGATGAAACTCTACATACCGTCGACTGGTTTGAAGTCTGGTTACGGGGCAGCATTTGGCTAACTCGGAGCGGCCACTCAATTATCACGCGGTTATGACCGCGCCTAGAAGGTTACCAAGATCAATCAAATCTTCACGATTTGCCCCAGCCATTCAAACCACCGCCACGGCGTCGTGGAAGCTTCTAGCTGGCGTAGGCAATGCATTGTTGCCGTCATCTGTCCCATGGTCATCTCCGCCAACAATGGCTGGACGCGGATTGGCTGGCATGGCGCCAATGATTTAGTCCAACACTCGAACACCTTGGCTTCCAGGCGCGGAATGCGTCAGGACCTGTCATCCTCCAGCTTTTCCTGGCACTGTAAATTGGCGCGACGTTTTCAACTTTGTCAGAAGAATAACAATTTTGAGTGCCGAATAAAATGGTGTGTTTTCGGCGAAACTTTTGATTGCACTTTGAAATTCAGAATGACGTAGGAACTCCGCATGGCGCAACGCAACTGTACATGTTGAGACTCATCACTAGCACTGCTGCGGTCCGTCAAGGAAAACGCAATTTTAGCGAGCTCCATTTCAATTTAGCATCATGGAATGATCACAATTGATGATCGTAGTCGAATGCGCTCATACCATGCTGGCAGGCAGACGAGAGTGTCAAATAGCCACGATTTGATTGGCTAACGTTACCCGCAACTGTTCACCCTGACGACTTCAGCCGCAGCGTAAGCTTTTGTCCAGTGCGATTTCAGCCTTTTTCTAATGCCTAATCATTGGTTCGTCCGTCTGTTGTAATATCATATATAAGCTCCCTCGCTCCCATGAATTTTTTATGCTTTCGTTGGCCACCCACTCACCCATCAACTAGCCATGACCTCAACTCACCAGGTGTCTACCAGCACTGCTGTCACAACTGTGGTTCCCCTACCAGTCAACAGAGATGCTATATCTAGCAGTTCGGTTAACAAACAACCACCAGTATGGTCACTGGATTCCAACGGAACCTCAACTCCACCACTTACCGAAAAATGCGATAGACTTGGTCGCCAGGATGGTGTTTGTTGCAAGGAACTCAAGGGCGAAGACGATAGAACCCTGATAGATCCTGATGTTGTCCGCGACATGTGAGTTTTCCCCTTACCAGCTCGCGACTTTAAGCCTGCGCTTTCCTCGCAAGTCATTGACATGTCTTCTATAGCATTATTGGATTGTCGGATGGCCTGACTGTTCCCTTCGCGCTGACAGCTGGTCTGTCTGGCTTAGGGTCTTCAAGATTAGTTGTTGTCGGCGGCCTTGCAGAACTTATTGCAGGTGCCATATCGATGGGAATAGGTGGTTTCCTTGCATCCCAGGCTGAGCGGGACCATTATCGGTTCATGCGACGTCACACCTACTCACGGGTGATGCGGAGTTGCATTGGGGAAATGGAGAGAGAGGTATACACTGTTTTGGGTTCCGTCGGTGTCGACGAATCGGCCTCTCAGGCTGTTGCGAATTGCCTGTGGAAAATAGAGGATGAGCCTGGGTTTGACGGAAGGACACCCGCACCTGCCGATGAGGAGAAACCATCGCAGGGGATGAAGAGCCAGCATGGGCTAACACCTTTCTTACTGAAATTTGGAGAGGGGATGGGTATGTATATTTCGTCATTATTGTTGCGTTTGACATGATTCTGATTGTCACTGCCTTTTACTTGCATAGAGGAAATTCCGAATCGCCGACTATACATCTCCGCGTTCACTATCGGCATGGGATACCTCCTTGGCGGTATCATCCCCCTTCTCCCATATTTCTTCCTTTCTCAAGCAATTGATGCACTGAAGATTTCTTGCATAATTACTGGGATAGTTCTTCTCATATTTGGCACGGTTAAAGCTCGAGTGACGGGGGCAGCAAGGAATATCTGGGGATATATTTGGGGAGCAGTCAGTACGATGGCTGTTGGCGGATTTGCTGCCGCTGCCGCATACGGTTTGGTTATTGCAGTGGAAGGATCGTCTATATCGTAGCGGCGCTCGGTCAGGCCAGTCCCTGACTCCGCTGTTCTGCATGATTATTTAGCTCATTCGGATTGTGTATCGACTTCGACATAGTAGACCATACGCCCTAATCTAAAAAAACCATGATGTTCAATACTTAAGGTGCTGAATTTCGTAGGAAGATTTTTTCACCATAAAAAACAACTTGAACACCTGTCATCGATCGCAGTGATTGATCGAACTTACTGGTAACTGGCAAATACAACGAACCCAAAGGAGTCAAGACCATCCTTGTTGAAAGAGGCCTCTATCAATCTCGGCTGCATGGAAAATGTGCATCTAAGTGCAACACTGATGCAACAGCTTGTTGCCACATGGCACGGTCATATTACAGAGAAAGGTAGTAACTGCTTTCACAGCGTGCTTTTTTGAATGGACACAGTACTGCTCGTTTTCTGCTTTATTTGTGACACAGAAAGTAAACCAAGTCAGAAATAAATGAGAATTCAGACGACGAGTCCACCTCACAGCCACTTAATTTAGCCTAATTTCATCTTATTTTGTGTGAAAAAGTGACCATAAGTCGGCGGATCAAGGAACTTGTTATTTTCCTGATGAAATCACCACGAGTGACTTCCTGGTGGGAAGCTCGAGCATGGTTTGAGGCCTCAAATGGGCAATTTTTCAGCCGAACATCATGGAGAGCAGCCGGTGGCTCATTGTCTTCACACACTCAGTCACTGAGCATCTTCACATCTTAGCTTTTAGACCCGCATGCAATGTCTTCCGCATTGGTTTACAACTGTCTGGTCATGAGTTCGGCGACCAGCAAGACAGTCACTTACCATTATGAAACCTCCTCGACCTTCGCTGTGGAAGACAACGTCGAATATTGTAGCCCACATCGATGCATCTTGGTTTGTTCAGCTCTGTGATGTAAAGTTTATCATATAGACGAAATCATTGTATTTGCCAGTTACCAGTAAGTTCGATCAATCACTGCGATCGATAACAGATGTTCAAGTTGTGTTTCGTAGTGAAAAAATCTTCCTACATTCAACACCTTAGGTATTGAACATCACGGTTTTTTTTAGATTAGGGCGTATGGTCTACCACGTCGAAGTCGATATACAATGTGAATGAGCTAAATAATCATGCAGAACAGCGGAGTCAGGGACTGGCACGACCGAGCGCCGCTACGATATAGACGATCTTTCCACTGCGACAACCAACCCGTATGCGGCAGCGGCAGCAAATCCGCCAACAGCCATCGTACTGACTGCTCCCCAGATATATCCCCAGATATTCCTTGCTGCCCCCGTCACTCGAGCTTTAACCGTACCAAATATGAGAAGAACTATCCCAGTAATTATGCAAGAAATCTTCAGTGCATCAATTGCTTTAGCAATGAAGAAATATGGAAGCAGGGGGATGATACCGCCAAGGAGGTATCCCATGCCGATAGTGAACGCGGAGATGTATAGTCGGCGATTCGGAATTTCCTCTGTGCAAGTAAAAGGCAGCGACAATCAGAACCACGTCAAATGCAAGAATAATGACAAGATATACATACCCATCCCCTCTCCAAATTTCAGTAAGAAAGGTGTTAGCCCATGTTCGCTCTTCATCCCCCGTGATGGTTTCTCCTCATCGGCAGGTACGGGAGTTCCGTCAAACCCAGGCTCATCCTCTATTTTCCGCAGGCAACTCGTGACAGCCTGAGAGGCTGATTCATCGACACCGACAGGACCCAAAATAGCGTACACCTCTCTCTCCATTTCTCCAATGCAACTCCGATTCACCCGTGAATAGGTGTGACGTCGCATGAACCGATAATGGTCCCGCTCAGCCTGGGATGCAAGAAAGCCACCTATTCCCATCGATATGGCACCTGCAATAAGTTCTGCAAGGCCGCCGACAACAACTAATCTTGAAGTCCCCAAGCCAGACAGACCGGCTGTCAGCGCGAAGGGAACAGTCAGGCCATCCGACAATCCAATAATGCTATAGAAGGCATGTCAATGACTTGCGAGGAAAGCGCAGACAGAAGGTCGCGAGCTGGTAAGGGGAAAACTCACATGTCTCGGACAACATCAGGATCTATCAGGGTTCTATCGTCTTCGCCCTTGAGTTCCTTGCAACAAACACCATCTTGGCGGCCAAGTCTATCGCATTTTTCGTTGAGTGGTGGAGTTAAGGAATTTAAGGTTCCGTTTGATTCCAGTGACCATACTGGTGGTTGTTTGTTGACCGAACTGCCAGACATAGTATCTCTGTTAGGTAGGGGGACCGTAGTTGTTGTAGTGCTGGCAGACACCGGGTGAGTTGAGGTCATGACTGGTTAACGGGTGGATGGGTGAAACAATAAAGGATTTATGGGAGCGAGGGAGCTTATATATTGTATCATGGCGGGCACGCAGGAGCCAATGATTAAACATTAGAAAAAGGCTGAAATCGCACTGGACGAAGGCAGCACAGCGGCTGAAGTTTATCGAAATGAACGTTCCCCGTTAGTTGCGGCTGACGGTCAGCCAATCAAATTGTGGCCATTTGATACTGAACCGGTCTGCCAGCATGGCAGAAGCGCATTCGCCGGTGATCATCATGGCATGATGCCAGTGCTCGCGCTAGAATCGTGTTTTCTTGGAATCTTCTTCCGCGGCAGTTGTGTCTCAGATCTGCGTCACGCGGAGTTCAAGTACATCCCACGTTAGTGGGAAGAGTCTTGTCGGATCCAAACCCCCCGGATGTGTGGGAATTTCCTGCCCTTTCGAAAAACTAATTAGGATCATGATGGTTGGTTGTTGCCATTACGCTATAGCGGAGTTTGTCGTCTCTACAGCGAAAGTCTACTTTGTCCTCGCCTGTTCTGCACTGCGAGTTGGAACTAAAAGATCAGATGCGCGAAAACAAGGAATGTAGTATCAATTTAATCATGTCTCATTTCACTTTCAAACATAGAGCTTCAAGTTGCAAGCATCTTGGATAATATCCTCTTCAAGAGTCTCTTGACGGCACCCGTCCCACCTACTTGTACAAGAACATGGGGCACTTTGCTTGCTGCTGAGTTGCAGAACTTGTACAGCCTCCAGGTGGTCGTACTCCTCCTCAGATCATTGGTGCATCTCTTGCTTTTGCACACTCTACAACAGGCTCTCTCATCGAAAAACGTGTAACGAATGTTCGACAACGTGCACTGTACCTATTTCATGCTGGAGCGAGTGATGTTTGTCTGTCAAATTCTCGCTCATGAGTATGGTATGCTTGTTACCACACACTCAGGCTGGCAGGAGATTGTCTCGGAACTGGGCCCTGGCGCTTGCCAGCACCGCTACGATCTGGCCAATACCTCTATCGAAAAACTCCAATTTGCTACTCCATATTCGACGTTGTCAGTCATTAGTAACGGCGACAATGGTTCCCATGGGCAATGGTGCCATAAAACTCAGCGATGACGAATTTCTGAAAGTTTCTCGCTGATCCATCAGTGTGCGATGTGAGTCTTGGCGTCCGGTCACATCGCCAAGACGCTGACGTGACCGCGGAGTTACAAATAGATATCAGTGGTGTGAAAGACATTGGTAAAACCAACTCCCCCAGACCCAGCATGGTTGTACGTATCATTTTTACGGAGAGCGTAGTAGCGTACGGAAAGCCCCCAGGTAAAGAATGATCCGCAGTCACTACTGTCTTCTATCATCTCATATCGTCTAACAGAAAATGTGCACATATGATTTTTTCAAAGAGACTATGCTTGTGTTCACGAAAACGTTTAAATTATTATCAAACCGCTTCAATCATCGGGCGTCCCCCCATGCCGGGATCTCAAGCTTCCAATCGATCAATGCCGAGAGTGGGAGACAGAACCTCTGCGGAGTACCAATTTTATTTTGAGCGGATCCAGTAAGTGATAGTGTTAATTGTACGTGATCTGTATATCTATGAGAAGGGAAGGTGCAACACTGACCCTTACCTGAGAATTTTTAACGACCTGGCCATTCAGTACTGTTCTTTGGCAATTGTCATCCATGCCATGACTGGTGCCGTGATTTGGAGGCGCGGCAACAGCACCTCTTCGACTTCAGTTTCTGTACCTTGTTTTGAGACCAAGATGGGTATTCAGCCTCGTTTACACCATTTTAATCTGCACTCACATGATGCAGTTGCCGCATGCATGACCGCTTCCAGCCATTTGTTGGCGGAGATGATCGTAGGACAGATAACGGTGGCAAAAAGTGAATTGGCCAGCCATAAGCATTCACTAGCACTGTTTATTCCTCCTGGCCATTGGCAGTACTAGTTGTACCGTCGAAAATAACGCGGTGCACGGCCCCGAAGGTAAGTGGAAGTGCAGAATCTAATTATGCAGGTCAAAAAAACGACTCGGACGAGCACAGACTCGCCGATTACTGCTCGCAAAGTATGACTGTGCGAAACCAATTAATTTAACGGTTTGTCCGAGTTTGACACAATTCTCCAGGATGAAACCTTACTAGTCCTCCCAGCCTCAGGGTCAACCTCCAACTCTACTACTTCCATGAGCTCCGACCATGCTGAAAATACCCATATTTTACTAATGCAATAGTCACGCGTCGCACCAGTTATGCGTGTCGAAAATAGGTCTTAACATTAGTCACAGGTCATAATGAGGACGATGTTACTCAACGTTATGAACGGAAGCAAAATGTGCCTCCGATACCAGCCGCTACCCTCTGCTACCCCCTGGGCCTGATTTACCGAGACAATGGATTTACCTTAATTACACGCAAACATGTGGTTGCTTACTCTCCCTCGTCGCGGTAGCACCAAATTTAATCAGTGTGAGTATTTATATAACGTCTTTACCTTCGAGTTTTCCCTCGTCCTAACGCCACTTGGATATCTGACTTGCAATTAGTGTTCTCCGGTCACAGCCCAAATATCCACCGCAAACTCTATGCTCTCTGCGTCCGTTATCAGTTCGTGAGTCGGAGTTCATCCCAAAACTGTGGATCATCAACCTTGAGATTCTTCAACTTCTCTCGTCAGGCTCTCGTACGATAAAATAAATATGCTGAACACGGCACATGTTTAACACCTGACTCGTTTATCTTGCGATGAGTACGTGACCACCCAAGGGAATCATTCACTCACCTTCTTTACTGTGTCAAGCTTATTAACTGTCGTAAAAGCATCCCATAGTCTCGGCCGTCCTTGTCGTAGTCATCAAGAAATCCCTCCCCAGAGAAATTCCACTAAATCGCGATAATGTTCCAGTATTATCTCAAATTATCGGCCTTAGGAAGATTAGGAAACTGATGGTGATGCAAGAAAGTACTGTGATCGTAGGGTTAGTAATGCATCAGTGCTATAATCCTAGGCTCACAGTATGTTGCATTACAGTGGTTTTAGGTGATGTGTTTCGATATTCGTTGTGATATAGCAGTCATGCATCACCGGCACCAGTCACTACCAACGGTAGCTGCACGCCCTTTACCCGCCTTTAGTTCTCACAGCCACCCACCCCTTCATTATTGTGGCCAGCGCCGCTGGCCACCCACCGGCGCCCTTCGTTTTCCTTCTCGCGGCCACCTGCCCTTCCCTCTCAGCCTCTTGCCTTTCGCTCCCGCAACTGCATTTTGCTGTTTATTCGCATAACATGGTACCCACTAGGTTTCCCTCATTCAATTCGACCCACCATTCTCGTAACGCATCCTCACTCTCAGTACGTGGAACCACCCTATCATATGTTTGCACAAACACGCAGCCCCTTTTTTTGCCAAAAAAACATGTCCATTTGGGGGTAATCTACCCTACGTCAGACACTACTATTACACGCAGCCCTCTCCCCAGTAGCCACTAGGTAATGTGTTTTTTTTCCTATGTGGTCTACTAAATCTTTCCCATCACCTTTCATGTCAATTTGTAGTTCTACCGATGTGGCACGTGCGGCAGTACTTCGCCTCTTGTGACCACTCCCCGCCTACTAATTCGCACCTACAACCCGGCAATATTTTTGCTCACTTCCTATACTACTTGCATCTAGATAAAACTTCCTGCTCTGTACATCCAATTGTTCGCGTGATCTCTGTCTTGTTCGCACCTACATAAGTACCCTTACTGCTACATATTGCCATTGTTGTCTACAGACTGTTGAATGAACACTGGTTTGTACTCTTGTGCCACTAACTTGAAGTGTGAAAGGTATGTTCTGTGTGATATTGATTACTTAGTGTCGAGACGCTTCACCAGCCTGGGCCTCTGATATATCACAAGCTACACGTCACAAGGAACCTTTATTAGTATCGTTTCCACTAGCCTATATAAGAGCTCTTCTATAGGCCGCTGATCTCCGCTGATACATCATGCCTCGGTGAAGTGTTTAGGATCTTTCCATCATTTGTCCCCTCGGAGCACCGACAATAGAACTCATGTATCACTGCCATAGATCTGTGTCTTGCGCCATGGATCAAGAAGCATCATCGAGATCTGTCATTGTGCGTATTATGACCGATGTACCTGCCTAATGCTGCTACCCTCGCCTATTTCCGCTCAGTACTGTTGGTCATTGCACGTAACGATGAACTCGCATATCTCATGCCCCACCCATCTTACTAAGGTGGGCTTGATGAAATTCAATGGTTCTAGATAGTTAGTGCTATTTCAGTTCCATATGATCTACAATTGAGGGTATATGATAGTATCTATGAAAACTGTCCCTGCCCAGCGTCCGCGGTACTAGAACTCGCACATTGAAGCTTGGAATGTCGCTGTGATAAAACTAATAAACATGTACGACCTGCATATGCTGCTGATGCACCAACACGAAAAGGATCATGGATGATACACGCAATGTTCAACAACCGCCGTCAAATAAGTTCGTATGCCACTAAGAGCAAGAGCCTCAGATGAGGAGATCTGTGACGTAGTATGATGGTGTTAGATGCGGATGGGCGCAGTTGTGTGTCTTCGATGGTGCCGGATAACTTAGGTAGAGTGCGGTTTAGGGAGTGGTACGAGAGCACGGAAAAGAGTGCTGAACGTTGGGTATCGCTGGCAGCTGGGGAGTGCGCAAGGAGGTAGCGTAGGCGTTGTGAGAGTGGCGGCTGTTGTGAGGCGGCCGCAGATGCAGGGAGCCGGCGCCAAGAGCCGGGAGATGGCAGCTGGAAAATGTTTGGGGGTATGGCCGTGTCAGGTTGGGTATCGAACATGAGAAGTGCTGCATGGTGTTAGGCAGTGCAGAACTTGGAAGACAGATAACTCACGCAATATGACAATCAACTGCTATGGGAGCCTACGACGTCTTTCGTGTCACCACCTCCGCGGTGATTGTGCATGGCGACAGCGTGTGGCATTATTAGTGACCGGTCAGCTCAGGTCAGCTCTCAGTCTCACTGTCTCCTATTTCTTACCTTTCAAGTTGGTCGCTCTGCATAGCTAGCTACTTGGCTGGCAAACGCTGATACCTGCCCTCATCTGTATCACCTGTAAACTAACGGAGTTTCTCAAGCATCATGCACCGCTGCCAGATCGCCCAATTGAAGTTGTGCATATGGAACCAAGAAGATATCTGGCATGCTCTCGAAATGCACCGGCGTAGATGAAACTACTTTCATCCGCATCGAAGTTTTCCGATACAAATCTCGTTCAGCATTTACCCGCTGGGAGTGCCGATTCTGAGATCCATCTGGGTAGTATTGGAACAATACACGTGGGGCTGAAGACGGTCATTTTGTCCTATGTATAGAGTATCTGTTCATCAGCATAAGTTCCATTTCATGCCTCTGTGTTGGGTGACGGTAGCCTTGAAGGTGTGTATGTTGTGAAGGCTTCATGGAAAGTCATTGAATCCGCCTTTTCAGTGTCGGAATATGCCGAATTCGCTCATTTCGGTCGCCATCTGCATCGCTCTGCAATGATAGGCATACGCACTTTGATACTACATAGCACCGTGCGGTAGTATCATAGCTATGCCGCCTGCAGATTGGTAATGTCCATCGCATCATGAATTACTATGATTCATCACTCCAATCATATGGATTACAGAGACATACAATGCCAGGTGATCATCATATCGATTCCTGCGACTCATCTGCCCTACACAATAACGATTTTATCTCACGAGAGAGCTTCCGATATAAAATGCGAATCAAAGCTTGAACTTTATTAGATCTTAGAAGACATGTTCGGCACACACGCAGCAAAGCTTGAAATCAGCTACGGGCTGAACATCCGAGTCGCGCACGAGTCTTTCAACTATTTCAGTATTTCACAGCCCAGTTTGGTCTGCGTTGTCAATGGGGCAACTACTAGAAACTACTAGGCGTTCCTGCTTAGGCACCCATACGATTAGGAAGTTGACCTTCAACGTTCAACTCTCGAGCATGGTCCGGGAGTGTGGATTGGCATGCATTGAAAGAATGTACGCATTCTTTACTGAAACTCTGTTCATACCTATGGATTATGTATTGACCCGTATTTCATCTGCTCCAGTACATAATGGGCCCCTGCAGCCTTGAAGTATATCCGCGCAAAACGCGTCATATATACAGCGGGCGATGATCGTGGGTTTGCGACATTTTGAACTTGATCGCGGTTTGACACAGCGGCTTCAGTACGGTGCCAAGTCAATAAACATCATGTTATAAACGCATGTGGGCAAATATTCCCTTGAGCATTGACTCCATCGATATCTGCTATAGGTTTTGTAGTAAATGTGGCGGTACTAACTCGGATAACGATGAGGCATTTTCAATGTGTTACATATACACGTCAACCCGTTATAAAGTGGACAACTGTGAAGCCAAAGCCCTCATCACTTACAGGTCCAACAGCTCCAGTCATGGCCAGTACCACAACCACAACCACAACCGCAGCGGGACTGATCGGTGTTGTTCTTTTGGCTCGCCACGGCGAAAGGACGTCATACTACCAAAGCCCAACTACATACAGCTCTACCCAAGCATATATCTCCCCTCTTGGAGAGGTCAGAGCTCTGTGTTATAATACTAGATCTCGCTCACGAGTGTTTAGCAACAAGAATTTGAACTCGGGAGTTTTCTTCGTAACACGTATCTCAATCCCGATTCGCCGACTTTCATCCAGAATACCAGCATTGACGTAGTAAGAGTCGATGAGCTGACTGTCCGCGCAGATGCTGGTGGAGGAAATGTCATCCTTAACTCCGCGTATGCTCTGCTTCAGGGTCTCTACCCTGCCACAAATAAGTCAGCGATAACTTTGGGGGATGGTACAGTCGTCCTTCCTCCTCTTGGGGGATACCAGTATGTTCCAGGCAAGTCAGTCAGGAGTGCTCTTTTGTTCTCTAATTAATGTGCTGCAGTGGAGTCTTTGGAATTTTGGCAGGCTCCATCTCTCACGAGCTGGATGGATTGCGAGGTATGAAATCCATTGTACCTTCCGGAGGTCATTTCATAACGCCCGACAACAGTATTTCCAAGATCACCTGGCCAGAATTTACGCTTCATCTGCATTCATAAACATGTCAACCACTGCCGCGCCCTTCCTGACCGCCTTGGAACCTTACTTGGGAAGCGTCAGCAACAACTTCTCGAACATGGTATGTCGCCTAATTGCATCGGTGAAAGCTTTTCTGACAATTGTTCAGTGGAATGTAAGAGTTCATTTGAATATTTTCAGACCGGGCCTATATCGTCTCGCAGATATACGACCATGTCAATTTCCAGTACACCTATAACAAGACCTATTACGAAACCCTACCTCCCACCTTCCTCCAGCAAGCTCGCTATTACTCTGATTGGCTCCAACGCAATGTCTTCACTGATTCTAAGCAAGATGGCGTCGGCCAAAGTAGGTTTAGATTCAATACTGAAAATGTGTCCCACTAACGTTGTTGCAGTTTCTATTCGCACACTCCTACCGGAGGTCTTCTGGGCCTTGGGTAACATGACAAAGACTTCTAACCAAGTCAGGATGAATATTCAGGAAGTCGATTACAAGCCCTTTATCAGTCTGTTTAACGTTACGAATGCCACTGTGACTGACCCCGATATTACTGGTACCGGTCAGTATCAATAGTGTATAAATTCAGCACCGCAGGCTGATACTAGTTCACAGTCAACTATGCTTCTGTCGTTGCCCTTGAATTGTCGCAGAACTCGCAGGGTCAGCATGAGGTCAGCATGAAGTTCAAGAACGGTACTGAGGACAGCCAGTTCCGTCAACTTAAGATGTTCGGCAACACGAGCATCACGCTTGACAGTTTTATTAACCAACTCTCTGTGAGTGCTCTTTACAACGCATATGTTTTCTTGCTTACAGCTTCATTTAGTGGACTGCAATCAACTCCACTAACGAATGGTGCTTCTCCTGCAATCAGACTATCCTCCGCGGATGCTCTGTCTTCAACTACAGTAAAGACCCCTTCTTGCACGGCTATGGTACCGGTTATACGGGCTAGAAGTGAGTTCTCCTTGTGCCCATATGAGACATACTTGCGATTTCCAGTACGGGCAGGTTTTTCCGGGTTTTTGTGGAGCAGTACTTCCCACTTGCAAGTCGTGGGTTTGGACAACGTACCGCATCAAATCTAGGCTTGACTGTGTGAACTTTGAACCGCAGACTGACCCTTAGAATTTAGAACAGTCGATTACGATACATCTTATTTTCAAATTACAGACTACTAGCCCTTTGACCGGCCAACAAATTAGTTAACATCTGTTGGACCTGGCACCGGCTGCAAAATTATTATGTGTAGATATCCTCGATATCCTGACTGGAACGAAAAATCATAGACGGAAAATAGGAGTCCCACATGAGTCAGGCACTGGCCCAGGTTGTGTGTCACAGGTTAACTCCGACTTGTCTTGACGGGTTTAAAATTGTCTGAGCACCAAACTCCTAAACAAGGTGTCGAGTAGTACGATACGCACTATCCGGATCTGAGTGTTTTCTACTTGCATTTATGGCCAATAACTGAGGGATTTTGGTTGATATCGTTTGACTTTATATCCGCGGTGATTCTGCGTTAGTCTGCCTCGGGGATCCTAACTTGTTCTTGTCCGATATTTGAAATGTGGCCACATGGTGATGTCACGTCCAGATTGGGTTCGAGTGCAGTACTCAACTTTTATAGACTTGAATGCAGGTCTTGAAAACCCGAAGGTCGGCCAGAGTTATATATCCGCGGCTACTACGTCATGGTTGGTCTACCTTGGGGACACTGTCCTTGCCCCCGCCCGTTATACGAACCGTGGTTGCATGGTGTTGCCACTGGTAGCGCGCGGTCACTAACCTTCGACCGACTTGATTGAATGGGATGACACAGAAACACCCTTCAACCGAGACATCCCGTTTGCCTGCATGCTGCACTGGCCTTGAGCGAGTGAGGCGCACTGCATGTGGGAATTCAGTCTGCAATAGAAGTGACTGTCCAGCACAGCACTCGATGTTACTGGCAGCTAGACCAAAAGGTCGAATATAATCTTTCATCCATGGAAAAAGACGTCTGGGCTTCAGCTCACTCCGCCAACTCAGATAGAAACGTGAGATTTAATTCAACCGCTGACTGGCAATAATAAGAACTTCCCTATTGGCGAGTCCCTGTCATCGGTTACGACCTTGGGAGATGCATTCGCCTCATTGACTCCTCGTGCGCGTGACGGGACGATGAGACCGGAATACAATGGCTTCGGGGCAGAAGTCAGATCTAGGTAATAATAGTCAGCGGCAATCAGAAAGCACATGATTAGGCTGAATAATCGACGAAATAACAGTCAAACGAGTGGCTTATAACGCTACACCGGTCCCCCCTTCTAGACTTTGACATTTATTGGCGAGCAGCCAGCATTGACAAGGCCATTCTGTAAAACAGGATTTAGTTGCATACAACGCAGGAAGTGGAAGAGATGCAAACCCAAGTATTGTTCTGCAGCACAGAGGCTTCTTGTTGGCGGCACAGCTGGAGCTGGTGCCAGTTCCAAGTTCCAACGACGGTGATAGGACTGCAATTGAGACCAACGTCGCCAATCACATTGGCATCAATGGGAACAAAACCAAATATTTTGCGAATCATGTTGTAATTGCTGACCTACGAGACCTCGTCGTGCACGATTAGGGCACACAAAAGACTCACACAGAGAAGAAGAGCTCTTGTAGCACTAGATCTTGCCAGTCTGGCCTCAGCCGCCGGAAACGACAGCGAAGGCCACACAGAACGCGACAGCAAGGAGACGGGCGAACATTTTCAAACAAGAGAGGATTGGGAGAACTGATAAGTGAGGAAGTTCGAGGACTGGTCAGATACTGAGCAGTGAAGAGATGGAACTCGGTGAGCCTGTCCTTTATACGCTAGCAGAATCTAGCTCAGACGATTTTTTTTTTTGCCTGGACACGCAAACTTTCAAGTTGACATGCTAAGCGGACGATAAAATTGTAGGACGTAAGATCGTAAGGTACCGCGACGTGTAGGGGCACGTCCATTTATCTTTTACTTTGATGTTCACAGAATATTGACTTGCGCAATGCGAATGCACTTGTATGTAAGGCAAATGGCGGTCAGTGGCAAGTCAGTGGTCACGGTCGAGTCTGGAGAATTGAAAACGCGGTTGTCACTGATCACGTGACTCTGTGACTCTCCAGCTTTGGTCCCAGACTCCGAGGTTCAAGCTTCGCAGGTATCAAGTTGTCTTCCTCACGCTATGTCAAAGTCGCCCAAGAAAAAACGTGATACCTGCGCTGCCCTATATTCTGCCGGTATACAATGTGGTATGCCGACTGTTGACGGTCCACTTTGGTGCCCACGACATAATGAGGTAAGTTCCTCGAAGTTCAAACACACCCCGGGTGTGACGGTACTGTATGATGGGGTTAAGCCGGTAGTTTAAATCTCGTTTTAGGAACGACTGAAGCTGTATGCCAACTACAAGGCGCATCATGCACTGCTCGATACACTTGTCGATAACCCGGCGTGCAGCGATGTCACGACAATCCTAGGGTGCACTGCCCTTCCGCTCCTCAAGGAATGGAATGATTGCTTGAGGCTCAAGTATAATTTATTAACCAGGTACATGCCTTTATGAGTTTCGATTTACTGTCATTCACTGAGCGCTGGCGGAAGATGTATAGAAGCTCGAGTCTACTTCTCCGAGCGTTTTTTCGGGTGAGTGGTGTTCCCGTTATCACTTGAATTCATTGATCGTATTGATTTTTCCATGATAGCAACGACATGGTATGAGATTCTAAGTAGAATTTTGGACCTGATTTCACGTGTAGGACAGGACTTTGGTCACAAAGCCTTCTGGGAATCCCTCGTCAAGAAGCGTGCTGAAGTTGAAAGATTCTTGTACTACGTCGAGACGCGGGCCTATCAACTCATCCTACAGGCACAGAATGCGCTTTGGGTCTTGGATCGCGACCCTGATGCTCACGAACCAGGAGACTGCTCAGGCTATGGCGACGAATCTCTTGGTCGCGACGTGTCCTTCCATTCTATAGAGAGCGACCGGGGTGCGGCTATCGACGATCCTCTGGAGGCGGTACTGCGCGAGAAGTCTGTGGAATTTCTGGAGAAGATTAGGTCTCGTCTGGCCCGATACTGCGCTCCTTCTGGATCTAAGTATCACGATGAACGACTAGAGGTCATATACGCCTATGTGCGCCGCGGAATTTTCACGGAGCCGGCCCTTATGTTCTTGTCTCAGAGCTACGGTAGTGTCATGGCGCTTCTCAGCGATGATAACCTGGACTTGGTGACCTTAGAAAAGATCTGGAATGCTGTCAAGACTTTGTGTGTCCACGATATCAGAGATGCGGTGGACGACGTTCTGCGGGCCAGTGGAGAAGGCGACTACGTGATGGTCTTGGGGGGCAAGGTTTTCAAGGAGGCCAGTGGTGAGGAGTGGCCTTTGCACGCCTGGGGCCATATGATGGCAATTTATCATTGCTACTCCTGCCTCCGCACGACGTGTAAGACGGTACGTATATATTCCGTGCACCCGCGAGTTAGTAGCCTATGTTTCAATTCTCCAGGTGGACGAAATCATTGCCATGACTCGATTTGCCTTGTTCTCCGAGACAACCCTCTCCCAATCGTATATGAAGTACGAATACGGCTTCGACGGTGCGAAAGAACTGATACTGGCAGGTTTCATTCCCAGTGACATACCGCTCTCCTCGCCTCGGCACTCCATCGTCTGCACGGATAGCAATTCTCAGTCGTTTGGGCTCATGTGGGAGGAGACGAAGCGCAACTTATCTCTGTACGGCTCCCTATCTCTCAATGACGCTAAAGCACAAGCCTTTGTCAACGCCTGCATCCGACATCCTGACCTGATGGTCATGTTGCGCAAGGGGGCAGACGGGCGTGTCATCCGCTCGCGGCCGGTGGTATGGACCTCGCGGAAGCGACACGCGCGGAGCCGGTCGGCACTCGCATCCGTACCATGGGAGAAGACTCGTAACATTGTGCGCTGCGAGGACGATGACCTGGAAGAGGCGCAACCCTCGGGATGGAGCCACGAGAAGATCGCGGACTGCTTGATGGTGGTGCTCGTTGATGGCGGCGAGGGCAACATGGGTGACTTTGTGCATAAGCTGGTGGAGATTTGGTGCCAGGTGTACCATGTCAAGGATAAGAAAGAGCTTTACTCCGCATTGGAAACACCGTTCGTAGAGGCTGGGGAGCTCGAGCAGTGTACTTGTGACCAACACGTCACATCCAACGTGATGAGCGCGTATGAGAGTTTGTGGGGGACCCCGCCGCCACCTTGGTTAGTAGAGAATCCAAATAGGTTCCGCCTGGCGACAGATTCATTTTGAACGGGACTCCTTGGGAGTTTCCATCACGAGTCTACTTATGCGGGAAAGCAACGGACTTGTAATAAGTTAAGTGATTGGTTTCGCTTTGTATCATAGCGCTACCCCCTACTTTAGAATATATACCCTATTATATACCTATCGTTTAACGACGCGGCGCCAGCCCCCGACTCGCTCATTCCTGGCATGTTTTGTGCCCATTGAATTAAACGCAAACTAGTCTTTATTTCATTTTGCGTTGGCAAATGACTAAATTCTAATCCTGTGCTATTGTCAATTCTTCGACTTGTAGTACTACAGACATCCGTCATGACCAGTCTTGCTAATCAAGTGTCAAGTGCAACAGACCAGACATCTGATGCAGGTTCGATACATGCTCGACAATCTTTTTCCATTTACCATTCACTCATGGATGAATCCTTCAAGTCATAGCCAACTGGCACCAGATTAAACCTCTGCTCTTTTGGTTGCAGATTTGAAAAAAGCTTTGTTTTATCTCGGAACACACCTTGACATTCCGAGTCACTCATGGATGGTTTTGTTGGAGGTTCATATAACTGGTGTTAGCCAAGTGGTTACCACAACAGAGTCAAAATCTGTTTCTCTTGGAGTTGGTTCGAAATCTGCTCACAACGTTTTTGTGGTGTATAGATCCTCGGAGGTCAATCTTAACAAGGCCAAGTCGTCGTGCCGAAACCTCCTTTTTATGTGATTGTACGCCTCGCGAGGGTCGTCTCAAACACATAAGATATATTGCGTACGTGCCAACCTAGACTCTTCTCGACAGACTGACCAAAACAATTGGGATTCACCGCCAAAGGAAAAAATACTTAATGGGGCCGGAGGCCAGAAGAATGTACACAAGCTAAGGACAGACTCGGAGTGAGTCTGACAGTCGGACAAAGGATGTAACCTCCCCACCTTTAGCTTTCAAGTCACCCTCTGTCGCATTGGAACCTAAGAGCCAACGACCGAAAGAATGTTCGTCGATGAGGCTTTAGCGAGGCTGGAAGAATTGAAAGTGGCAGACCAAGCCATATCGTTCTGATGTGTATTTTGCGTGCGCTCCTGTGACAGACACAAAGACAATTTGACAAGCCTCTAAGGTGTCAAATGATTGTAACCGAAAAGGCCAGAATCAGGTGCACCCAACTGGTAGAGGTTTTGGGAGATGGGAAACCGGCTGTATTTGAAAAGAGCCCTCCTCTATTGCATCTACTGGTCTCGCATTCACTGACATTGTTGGAATTTAGTCTTCCTGGTTTCTCTCGGTACTTGGTTTCCTGACCTACGAAATTGTTGGGCATCAGGGACCGTAATGGATCCAGGACTTGGCCTATGCTATTTGTTGCCAACCGTATTTCCGATTTGCTGTGTGCACGCGCAACTCTCATTGTCTGTCCTGAAACCAGGCAACGGTTCACAGCCAACACCATACGGTCGTCAAACAGTGCAAGACATGTATAGGGCAGGAGTCAACACAGGAGCTCGAGCCAGCGTGGGAGGGCAAGACATCAACTGGCACTTTCCGGACGAGGATGAACGCAAAAATGGTACCGACACCGGCCTCCTTGAATAAAGACGGCGGACTCACCACATGCAGTTTTCAACGTCTCGTCGAGCGCCATGTCGAGCTCTGAATTAATTCATTTAATTGACACGTTGTAAAACAGATGCTGCAGATCATTGATGCAGCTGTGCTGAGATTTTCGTCCTCGGATTGGCCACTGGAGTAAAGGTGGAAGCGATTGATGAAATGCAATTTGCCAGATAAGTTGCAGAGAAAAGTAGAAGAAATTAGACGTATCCGTTTGCTTCTCCACTAACGTGGGAGTCAGGGACCCACAGCTAGTGGTAATCCTGTGCAGGTTTATATCCCGGTCGTTCATATCCATAGCATTATACATAAATACAGCGAACAAAAGCAGCACAACTACAGTAGGTAGGGGCACTGTATCCAGAATAGCCAACCTAAAAATTCTCTGCACAAAAATTAGCTGGGCCTGGCAACGGAGGGAAAAGCAGAAACGCACCCTTGCCAAAGAAGAAACGCGTGCCTCTGGGATTGGAGTACTTGTTGGACATCTGGTGGAGCTGCCTGGAGAGAACTGGGGGGCCACAGAAGAACTGGAAAAGGACAGGTAAGCAGATGAGTTAAAAAGTAACGACGAGCTACGAACCACGCCGACATCGGTTTCGGGGTGCTTTTCAACTATAGAACCGAACACCTTATCCCAGTTTGGCCTGCCGAAATGAGTGGGAGCACGCAAAGAAGTGATAGCGTCTTTCTCTGCACCGACATCTTGGACCTAAGGAAAATACAATTAGTACAGAAACCACTGAGAAAAATGGGTACCGCGCACTATAATGTTGTTCATGTCATCCTCCTTGATCTTTGCAGTGAGGTAGATGTTAATCTCGATTCGGTTTGACGTGTCCTGCTCTTCGATAGCCTGCAGTAGCGAATGGAACCACTCGGCGCTGCCAAAGTCGCGGATGACCCAAGTGAAGTAGACCTTGGAGAGACGGGTAGGCTTGGAGTTGTTCAGGTTGTTCATGCGGTACCAGATCGACTTCAGAATACTGAATGGATATGGTTAATGATGTCATCGAGTAAATGAGAGATGTGATACGCACGAAGCGAAGGGCGTGACACCAATACCAGCACCAACAAGGAGGACAGTCTCGTAATTTAAGAAGTCCTCACTGGCACTACCAAACGGACCGTCAACCATGATGCGAGGGAGCACCCGGTTGAGCGGCGGATTTGTGTTCGTGCCAATAACCTTTCCACCACTGGCGTCGACATCCTTGGAATCCTTAGAGTCAAAGTTACAGCCGACAGCCTTGGCGAGCGCAGCGGTGAAGTCACCGACGACACGGATGTGCACAGAAATATAATCTTCCTCAGGAGCGCTGTGGCATTATAAGCCTTTGCTCGTGAAATCGATCAAGGAGTTAACTTACCTAGGTAAGGGTGAAGGGATGCCACTGGAAGTAGGAGATCTCTGGGCAAGAGATGAAGATGTATTGCCCTGCCCGCGTAGTGGTCTTCTCCTTTTTGATTTGGATTTCAATGACTTTGGATGGGTGTTGTATGACCTTGGAGATAAAAGTCTTATGACGTGAGCGAACTTCACGCAAAATCCGTTCGTATGTCCAAATGAGGCCGCCGATGAGCCAGTATCGCTGGAAAACCGTTGTCAAGGGGTGGCACAAAATTGGCTTGTCAAAGTTCGCGTACCCAGAAGACACCAATAGAGTTGAAGGAACAGAACGGTTCTCTGTCCGGCTTGATCATGCACCACATACCATGGAACTGCCAAGCGAGGAAGAAGACGACAAACAAATGGTGTGTGTACCAAAACCTCTCAAAATTGGCACGGCGCCTTTTCTCCATGGCGAACCAGACCATGGTGCCCAATGCAACAGTCATAATCCAACCTGTAGCACCGGGACCGGTGGCAAAATTTGCTTGCAAGAAAACGAGCACACGTTTGCCAGTTGTATTTGCTTCTGGATCAGCGAGGGCAAGCTCGTAAAAGTTGTGCATGTGAGCACCGATGTGGATGAGAGTAAAGACAACCATGGACCAGGCTGTTGCCTTGTGGAATGTTATATTCTTGTCGAATGGGATAAACGAATTAAGGGGTGTTCTGCGAAGCAGGGAGATGAAGTTTCGGCAGACAGGCAAGAGAATGAAGATGACATCGGTGTGTAGTACAAGTGCTGCAGCTCTGGCGATAGCTGTGGTAATATTAGAGGAAGGAGACCTATACGACATATCTGAATGCTTACCGTAGGTGATGCCAAAAGTTGCGCGGGCTCCGGTAAGGTCGTCACTGAGTTGGTAGTTCATGAATCCGAATGCAATAACGAGCATGTGGAAAAATATCCAAGCAGAGAAAAAGAGACGCTTTCCACCCTCATTGATCATCCACCTGTCAAACTTTTGACCAAGAGTAGGAGGATCATCGGGAACTTTGGGTGCGCCGATGCCAGCATTTGGAAGAGGTTGCTGGATACCCTGAAGGCGAAGGCGCTCTGCCTTGTTTCGCTGGAGGTGGCTTGGTGGTATAGAATTCAATGCATAATCGCCTGCGCTGTCGACGAAGGGGTCTTGATCTTTGAATGGGTTGCGATCTTTGAAATCAAGACCGGAGGACCGTTTGAAGGACATGAGTTGTTCAGGTCAAATAGTTGAATGATACAAAGAACGACCTGCGCGTATAACGAAAGAGAGGACCTGCCTACTGTAGAAGATGGATATGTATGATGGGGGCACGGTAAGATTAGAATGTACGACAAGGCAATTTATGCACATAACACTAACAACAGTCATTCCCACGAGTCATGTCGTTAACTACAGTCGTTACTACCAACGACTGCGAGTTCAAGGTGTCCGGACACCGTATCAGCTAGGACCTGTGTTCCCATCAGCAAGGCTGTACCCGCTTGCCTCACCATATCAGATAAAAGTACGCTGTGGCATCCGGCTGTGTTCTAGATTTCAAGTCTGTGCTGCGCCTTATTATGTATTACTGCCAGTGGACAGTGGTACTGTCAAACTTGAACATCATCGGACCTCAACAGGAAACGTTATCGTTCCCATCCTGTTCCTCAGCATGCCCTGGCAGTTCCTTTCTAGTACTCCCGTACTTCAACTTGATCAGGCCCATCATTATTGCGACAGAGCTTCATCAACATTCAATCAAAATTGATGGAGCAGGCTGTCCAGATAACTCCATCATGACCGGTGACCCGTCGCACCGTATTACCACCTAGCTTGAACCTGAGGTGACACATATCTGATAAGAATAGGTGGTCTCAATCAAACCAGATGGATTACCGCGTGCTCCCAAGTCCAGGGCGAATCTCTCACTTGTTCAATTATTCCTAATTGAAAATATGCCATAGTTGTTTGAACCCACAGGTCCTCGACGAAGCCGGCGTATCAGGCCTGACAGGCATGAGAATCTACTGGGTGGTCCCGGTAACATTGCAAGGAGCTAAAAAGTGACAACACAGCTTATGACCTATACACCCAAATTGACCACTTTCAACGACCTATTTGGCAGATTACTTGGGTGTTCCGCTGTTTGACATATTCAAAGAACAGTTTTCAGACGAGGTGCAACGACACTACATGACGAAACGCGTAGAAGGTGTGGCGTTACAGCAGTCCCCATAAGGCTGATGCAATATCGTGGTAAGCTGTCGTAAGGTTTCACATCAAGACCAAAAGGACCCATTTGTCTGAAATAGACACGCGGGCTCGGCGACCTTCAAGTTGTCGAGCATAACATTGCGAACGACTACATTTTGAACGTACCCTATGGATAAAATTATCGTGCCCAATTTCTGCAACTTCGAACTCTATTGAGCACACTTACCACCACCTATCGGAGGGGACCTGTTGTCCGTTCCATCATCCTATGATAGGCACGCCTGTATGGTCCCAAACCTATATTTTATTTTGTCCCGTTGCAATCACGCAAACCTACATCTTGAACGTTCAAGTTTGCCATGAGCACGTTAACCTCAATATGACCACTAGCAATCACAATAACCAGTCCCCACGATGTATAATCAGTAACCACACCGGGGTGGATGACGGGCGACGTACAACGCACCAGATAAACATAACCAAAAGACCGGGGCGAAGAAAACACGGAGACCACACCGTTTCCCCCGCAACAGGGAACATGATGGACGACTAAGTTTACCATGTCCTGACTTGTCTATGTGGTCTATATCCGTCACCGTGCAGCAAGGTAATGGCGAGCACTTGGCGCGTTTTATGCACGACAGTAGCCGCCGCTGGAATCGATTCTTCTGAATGTCTTGACTCTTCGCAGCGTAGACTATGACCTGTTTAGCATCAGGAAGTGGCACGCGCTTCTTGAAGACATGATAAGATTGATATTTGAGTTCAGGTGAGTATAAAGCTGCAATAGTGTAACATAAGTTTATACCCATTCACCTATTCATAGCTTAGCGCTCAGCCTCGACGGATCTTGACAACTTTAAATTAGTCCCCGTAAATCTGCCAAGAATAAAAGGGCCTGCCTGCTTACTGTTTCCCATAGACTTCAAGTTTCGTTTTTGTTGCATTGCACGCCATGTCATCTACAAGACATCACTCGAGTTAGCAACAGTGCGCAGCCTGGCCACCAATCTACACGGACGTGAGTGTCTTGGAGGAACAGCCGTCACCATTGGACAGTTCCACCAGGACTACGTCGGGGACCCTGTTGATTGAGTTCTCCATAGATAGATACGGACCGTGGATTGCGGTTGTTGTTGTCTTAGACGCGTCAAATGTGGAAGCCGTGTCCTGAAACGAAGAATCGCGGTCCTCCACACAATATGGGTTATAACATGATACATATCCATTGAACAATTGAACGTGTCTGATATATCAATGACAAATTTAGCGTTTGCGCAACAATAGACAGTTGCGATGAGCTACATACTAGTCTGACTTTGCTCTCACATATCTGTCCTGACCAGAGTATGTGTAGTCTATGATCTGGATATCATAGTAGCCTCGAATGGGATAGGCTCCTGGACAGCTCGAGCAAGATGGAGATCTTTGGGTGTCGCTTAGACGCTCGCATGAAGTTGAGGAGAGAATATTTGGAGCAGATATATTCGCAAACTGGAAGAACGAAATTTCCAAGAAAGCAACCCACTGAAGAAGTGATAAATTTAAAGGGTTCTGGGATGCCCGGAGGGCCGTTGCTATTAAAATATCACGTGCAGAAACTCACTCCAAACCTTCTAACTCATTTCGGTCACGTCAGCCCATTCCTTTGGATTCACCACAGGAAACTGGTACTACCACAGCAGCCAGAAGGCTCTCCTTGCCGATTTATGTTAGCCTCTTTACAGGAGATTCGTCATGACCGTAACATACACGACTAAGTTTTTGTCCTGATACAAGGAACGTACTGCCACCGACAGAAGAAATAGTACATCCACACCAAGAAGATCCCCTCCTTCAGCAATATTCTTTTGGCGCCCCGATATCACAAAGCCTGGAATAAAGCTAATGTGTCCTACTCGGAATTCTAGTACTAGACCGGTCCTAGGGATTCATAAATATAACTAACGCGATGGTGTCCACACTGTCCCTCTTTTACCCCAGAATTTGTGGTACCTTAGTGCCCTCGCCATGATGACAGCACAATTCCTTCTTCACTTTCTCAACACACTAAAGAAGTGGCTTTCACGGCTTGCACGTCGCTGTGCGAGTTCATTATCGCTTTTTTTGTCTTTGCTCCGCCAATTTGCTTCCGGTCATTTAAAGCTTGGTGCATGTGGTCGGAGGTTGTTTTCTGGGACCCGTTTTTCCAGCGAGGCTCTACCCCGATCACAAAGGAGCATTGCAAGAGAGGATGCCCCAATTTGCTCGAGTTTTCTGCCTCTACCTTCTTCGGATGATCCTTATTCGAGACAAGGTACGACGATACCTTTGTCACAGACTAATACAACAACACAGAATGAGAGTACCACAGAGATAGACGGGGGCTCTATGTCGAGTTTGCACCAGTCCTTGCAGACGGGAGAGGGATCGAGGAGCAACGTCAGTCGGACTTTCCCCGATGGTGACCCATTAGAGGGGTCCAGCAGTCCAGGCCCATCACATCCATGGCCATTGTCAGGATCACATTCACGATTACAGATATACACGAATGATGCTCGTTCTCTAGTCGCTGCAAAGCCCACGTCCTCCACGACGCATCTGGCGCTTGGCATGACTCCTTCCAAACATAGTCTTGTTTCGCAGGGTAGCGGTCAATCCCTTACACTACGACTGCACGAGGGACCTGTCTATCATCTCCCGAAACACATACATAGTTCCATCGCGCTACAAGATGGACCACCAGATCTTGCTACCGGTCATCATGTTCACCTCATTGTTCCACCCGGTAGCGACGAGATGCCGGGCTCAGAGATTGTCGAGGTCCATGAGGATAAACCTCCAGGAATATTTCCTATGGTTGCGGAAGGAGTTATGAGGTATGATAGGTGCATTCCCCGGTGAACATGAGCATTCTCTCCTGCTTGTACTCTAGAGCTGATGTTGCAAAAGGGCCGCCGACAGTACCCAAACTACTGTCCCCGCTATGACAATCACATTTCCTGTGCATGACCAGAGGTAAGTCGTACTTAACCACATTCTTTCATGCATCAACTCTTTCAAGGGCGGTTGTGCCCCTGGGATGGACGACGCTCGTTCATCCAGAAGGTTCTCGCTACTTTCTAAACGAAAGAAAAGTGCGTAAAGTCCATCGATTATTGAAGACCGGCATTTCTAGTATGGTTACTACATACAGAGAACATTCACAGAAGTGGATATGTTTGATCCACAAATACACGGGCGCATCGAATACCACATGCAGTACTTGTGGAGTGGGCTCGAGTCCACCGTTAAACGAGACAAGCTTGACCTCGACATGACGCAGGTGGACCTTGTGCTCGAGCTAAAGAACAACGACGCATCTGCCAGCTCCGTCACCGTTTGTTGCTACTATTTTGTCAACCACAATAGCCGGTGCTTGTTTTGGTTGCACGAGTCTGACGTCAAAGATGTGCTCTCTGATTGTAAAGGCGTCAAGAGTCTTTCACACATACGTGGGTGGATCGTAGTTGTCAGTGGATCTGGATCTGATGACTTGTACTCTTTCTCATCGCCAGGGCTTGCCATTCAGGCACAATACTGGTGTGTGTTCTAGGAAAGGTCCGCACAACATTGCTTACAACACCATCCCATTCCTAATACAATCATAGGTTCACATACAAGTATTCTAACGGACAACGTAGGCTACATTGGGAATACTTCCCTAACCTGTGCGTAGTTTTACAAGACCATGTCGATGAGGTTAAGGATACGCTGATGCATGCGACATGTGGTTAGTGCTCTGTTAGGCCTTCTATCTTGACCTAATATGTTTGGTTGCAACCATCAGACCACATGACATCGAAGCGGTCTTCTGCGCTAGGTGATGTCATCGAACTCAAGGACTACATTTCGGTGGTAGACGGAATCAATGGTACGTACGTTATGTCGATACTTCCTCATGAATTTCTGTGCTAATCCAGTTTTTTAAAGTTCGTGCCTCTGCGAACCAGCAGATGCAACGATGTCACGCTGCCATTATCATTGGTGAGGCTTGAATTTGAACTTCAGTTCCTCCTAATGTCGATTATCATTTAAGGCCGTATCATGAAGTTATTCAGTCGGTGCCCTCTCATTTGTCTATCTAGCTGTGATCGATGATGACTTTCCAGGTGACAATCAGTTTATCAACTTTCACGGGGAGAATTGCGTGAGGCTGATCTCTGACAGGACAGTCCATGGTTGGGCATACACGCCATCACTGTTGATGGTCGTGGTTGCACCCCTCCTTTTTTTGGACCCCGTGACGCAAGTCCAAGAACTGCACAGGGCTTTTGTAGATGAAATTGCTTCCACGGCACGGTGGAATGCACTTAGTTCAAAATTGAAAGGGCGGCTTCAGGACTCCAATCTCTTGGTAAATTCACCTTTTATTGTTGTGTTGGGTAAAATCGATATCGAGCTATCGGCAGGCCACTGTCTTGCTCAACGCCAATGTTGGGTTTCTCGCTATCAACAGTGTTGATAGGGGCGGGAGATCTGCCATTCAGATGGCTAGCTACATGTCCTTGGCGACGAGCTTTGGAAGTATAATTCTCGGCATCTTCTTGGTCTGGCATGAACGAACCTCTGGAGATAATACGGCCATGGAAGCAGTCAGTAACTTATGTTGTATAACTGGAATATTTCTTACGGTAGCTGTTTCAGGCAACTTTTGCATTAAGGCTTCACGACAAGAAGCACGGACTTGAAAGTCTGGCCATAATTTACAGCGCTCCCAAGGCGTTATTCATGTGGGGGTGAGTCTGTACCATGGTAATGTCACAGGCAGACATCCTGACTTCAAGTTAGGATGATCTTCTTCTTTGTGGCATTCTCCATCAATTGGTATGGTGCCGGGGATACAACTTCCAGGGCCATAGTTGGCACTGTGATACTGATCGTATTCGCGATGATATCAAACGGCATCATTCGCATCAGGGAAGGAGAAGGCTGGTGGTGGCGTGCAATTGGCAAGCAACTATCATCCCTTCCGGCTTCCGCTTGGAAACGAGTCATGGAGTTCGTGAAGATGAAAAGAGGTCGAAGAAGCGAGCCTCAACCCGATCCTGAAGAAGTCAGCCTTCACACGTTGACACGCCTCTCGCAAGCAGACGTCGAGGCGAATGCTTCAACTTCACGTAACTTCCAACCAGAAACATCAGGCGTGGACGGTCACGACAATCACTCTCACTCCTCTATCCCTCGAACTCGGTCATACCAGCCTAATGCCTCTGTGGTGTCCAGGAATGAAGGACAAACTAGCAGCAGCAGCAGCCAACGACACGGGCGCCGCAATATTGCCTAGTCCATATCATACAGAACACGAAGAGAATGCGATATACACAGGCAACATCGTCGAAGAGCCCGAGGAGGTCGATTATCCTCGGCCTTCGCCGAGCACAACTCCACATCTAAAGATTGTCGCTAGAAGTGCTACCAATGAACCTTTCCGTCATGCGCCGGTGCCTGCGAAGTGGACACTACAAGACGGTCAAGACATAGAAGAATGCAAAGATTAGGACTTGGTTTTGGTGGCCTATGACAGATTATAAGAGGAAAATCATTAGGCTGAAGTACAAACACCCTAGCTAGGTAACTATCGCCAGTCAGAACTACATCTTGCTGTAGAACATATATTAGATGGCTAGCTTATAGGCCAAGCTCCTCCTCATCGACGGCGGTATGACATGCCAATAAGAATGCGAACTCGGCGTGCGGAGATATTGTTCAATTGATTAAAAGCACCCTGGCTTCAAGTTCCTTGCATACGCAGGCAGTGTTATATGTATCGGACTCGAAGGTTTATCACCTTCATATCCATTGTCCTCATGCTCCTGTCTACAGTTATCGGCGGAAAAAATCTTAAAGTTCCCTCCTGGTGGATGCCCGCTGGCATCTATGTATCGACTCGACTCGGTGTTGGAAATCAGCCATCTGAGTATCATCATCCAAGAGATCTGTAGGCCGGGTGATATATCGGCTGTTTGTCGAATGTAACATCGGATGATTACTACTACACAGTATTATATTAGTATCCAGAACCTCTTGTACGACTTGAATTCGAGCGGAGCGGACGGTAATCTGTTATTGAAATCAATCCATATGTATTGTGTCGTACTTAAAGTCATGTTTCCCCCCTGGTGAAAATCGAGCCAGGAGTAGTATTCGCCACATACCCTACATAGTAGCCCATTCTACGAAACAATGTGAAGTTCCTGAGAGATAAGTTCGCAGTAAAAAAGGAACACACCTGCCCTCAGGGTGTGTCAACGGAGACATGTGAAACCCTCGCATACCTATGCTCCGCTAATGCATTATACCTGTGGCTGCTTCATGCCACTCGAAGGTGAGCAACTTCTCTCTGAATGCCTCTGCGTCCTCTGGCGAGATGGGAGGTCCGCCATGTACCTGTAAAACCTGCAAGCTGTTGAAAGGGACCTGTGATGTGGGGTCTCTATCCCGCGCTCGTTGCACCGCATCGTCGCGTGCATCGATCAAGGCTAGAAGCGCATCTGCGGAGAACTCTGTGCAATTCTCTATCTCTAGTCGCGACCAACTTGGAGAGGTGAGTTTGTTTGGACTCCACAAACGGTAAATGTCACGGATGGTGTTATCATTGAAGGTGGGACAGCATTTGATGGAAAGACAATTGCCATCCCAGATGTTGATAGCCTCAGCCATGCGTGAGAAAAAACCTTCCAGCACGAGGGTGTCAGCCTGAGTCAAGCGAATGTGATATACAGAGGGTGAGAGCTCATGCTTGATATGCACAAGGCGTGGAGCTGGTCCGGTCTTAGACATAAAGATGGCACGGACCGTCGAGAGGCTAATGGACCGCAGGCTCACAGCTTCGATCTGGATGTCGTAGCCGTCCTGCTGCGTGAGGATGCCATCAAACGATATATCTTGGAGAGTTAGCTTTTGAAGTGTTCCAAACCTGCGATGAAGTCCGTCGACGACGAGCAAAACGTCGTGCAGGTGTAACTCTCCTGTTCGGTGTTTGCCACCGGAATAGCGCGAAATACATAGGTCCTCTAAGCTTGAAAGTCGTTCGACCCAGCGAAGGGCGCAGGCGTCGCGGAAATTCCGCCCATTGAGAAATAGGTGCCGAAGCGCTGGGGCGTAGAAGCGCCACTGCTCAGGAACTTCGCTGCTCACGAGGGGATGCTCGCCGTCATCGATCCCACATTGCAGCTTCAGCCGCTCAAGAAGAGGTGCACAGACATTCAGATAGCGAAGAGCAGGCAAGGAGGAGCTGCGAAGGAGCTCAAAACATAAAGACCTGCAGCGATGTAGATGTGGAACAATCCGCGCCATGACTGTGGCTGTTTGGGTGCCCTCGTCGTTATTATTTGTGCGAGAATGAGAAATGATTCGTTGGTCTCGCGTGACGGTGATTTCGAAAGCGAGCTTTCGGGAGAGATGAAGGTATGTGTCGATATCTGAAAGCTTTGTGGTATCAAGATTGATGATGATACGTGTCCAGAACCTTGGCACCGACGCAAGAACATCTCTCCAGGCCTTGCATACGGCCGCGGGAGCGAACGGGAACTGCGTGCGAGACTGTGAGCTACACGCAATCCACTCTCCGTTCAGCATGCTACCTGCGTAAACATGCTCGAAAATTAATAGAAGCAACTCTGGTGGCAAACCTCTATTATTGGTTCGACGGAGGTTACTACGAAAAGCAAGAATTCGACTCATGCGAGGGTTGCGGACTTTGGCAAATCGGTGTTTCCTGTGAAGTTTCCAACCTAGTCAGAAACTGGCTGCATGCGGGGGAGGATGGTAGAAGCGGCGTACTCGTCATGCGAGGTCTGGCCCTTACTGTTGGAACCAAGGTGGCTCAAACCTGCAGGCGCATAGACAGGGGGTTGCTGGGTGTTCATGGAGACTCCAAGAATAGAATAGTACTTGTTCAAAGACGGCTATATTGTAGCAACCCGACTGAAAGTTCTTTGTATGCTACGACATTACCAATTTACCATGGTATGTCGTACGGAAACAGGAGACCACGACCGCTCACTGGTAATATTGTTGCTATTTATATCATCTTCCCACACTGCATGTCGACGACCGCGAGGCAATTAAACGTCCGCAGCAACTTCATGTAAATTCATAGCTAAATTTACCGACGCTCCAAAATTCGAGGTCTAACATTCATTATGCACCGCTTCCATGGCAGCCTCGGATATCTTGAGCAAGGTAGATACTAAATTTTAAACGTTTGTCAAGGTCTGCCACGAACCACTTGTAAATCAGTAGTTGCGGTGATTGGCAGCTGCAGCATGTGTCGGTGGAATCGCACTGTTGCATGTCACGATACGTTGTTATAAAACAGGTATAGGCTAACGTCGAGCGCGCAATCAAGTCTGCTCCGTAATAACCACCTTTTTGCGTTCTGCGTTTGGTTTGCTCTCCCCGGCACGCGTATGTTTCCGCCGACGTTCCTCCTTGACGGCACGTGCATCGAGCATAGTGCGTTTGAGCTTCGTAGCCTGGTAGACTGGCTTTGGTAAGTGTCGGTTGCTGTGCTGCTAGTGAGCGCGAGTTAAGCCGAGCAGAATAATTGTTACCGTTGAATCCTGCCAACTTCGTTATCGTGCTTCCATCGATCTTTCAAGGTATCCCGGTATTCGATTGCGGCACGCTCCCGGGCCGTGATGATACCAAGCTTTTCTGATGCTTTGGCTTTCCATATCCGTACATTACCATCGTCTGAGCCCGTAAGCACAAAGCGCGCGTCAGCAGTGAATATAGATGATGAGACCCTTATCGAAGAGTGTGAACAAACCGACGAACAGAGACACATTGGCTTACCTTTGCATTCGTTTAGTATGATACACTTCTGGTCCCGTGCCTTGACCCTCCTTCCATATTCTTACTGTCCGGTCCCATCCACCGCTAACAAATTCCAGTCCAGTCGGGCTCCAATCACAGCTCATAACTGCTGCAACATGTCCTTTGTAGATGTGAGTGGGAGTTTTCAGTTGCCTGACATCAAACGCATAAAGATTGTGATCCTCGGATGCGAGCAGGACATTCGTTGGAAAAGTTGGTGACCATGCAAGTGCATTTGAGCTCATCTGCATGACAACACGACGCTCTGCCTTTCCTGTGCGAATATCGTAGAGGGTGAAAGTTCGGTCTGAGCCAATGCTGCCAAGTACGCTTGTTTCACTCAAATTGAATCGCACAGACGTGATGGTCTCGGTGGACGTGGGGAACGTTAAATTGGATATTGCGGCGCTCCTAGATGTCAAGTCAGCTAAGACATGATCATAGAGATGGACAGCACCCACTTCGTTTCGTCCCATATTTGAACAATGTTTGAAGCTGTAGCAAAAAGTGGATCCGAACGATGGTGGTCTATTGAGCTGCGAGAAGGGACACGTCAATCAGATGTAGATCTGAGCGTATCTAAGCAGCGTACTTGAACGGTGATTTCCCAGGATATTCATTCAACGGGCGCTGCTCCTAGTTGGACTGGGTTAGATATACAAAAAAACTTGTTGCCAACTGGGAAACTGACTGTTATATCATCTTGCGGACTCGCGTCCCAAAGTTTGATTTTGCTGTCCACACCGCAGCTCAGTAGCCGGTCGTCTTGAGCAAAGCAAAGGCCCGACACTTTGCCCTTATGAGCACCTTGTATTCGACGGATATGTTTGCGCTCGGAAACATTATGCAAAATTACGCCTATGGGAAGTGAATTTTTTTTGGACAGCCAAGTCGATTTCTCAACGCACCTCCATCCCAGCTACCACTGGCAACAGCACTCAATGACCCAGGCTTTTTGCACAACACCTCGACCGCATCTATGTGACCCTCAAGAGCCCCTACGAAGGGCTTCGCAAACAACCTGTCCATCTTGGCAGCATTCAAAGCACGATTTCGTTCGCGAGCGCGAGCAAATGGGTGCATCAGGGGATCGAGATTGCGGGTGGTAGGCGTAGGGTCTCCAGGACGTGCAGGCAGGTGTACTGAAGGAGCATGTTGGAGAACAGATATTTTCTGAAAGGGCTCAATGATACCCGTTACTTGATACGACTGGTACGGTGCTCACCACCATGGCATATGCTCAAACAACTATTCTGGAGTCACTAACACTTAGATCCATGGAATAACGTTTCAATCCTCAAATGTATTCGTGGGAATTTGTGGCTCAGTCGATTTTTTTGACGTCTATCGACAGGCTAGCTACCGTTAGGTAGTATGAGTCCGACGTCGACATACCTAGTGTTGAATCGCATCGTTCCGTGTACGATTAATGTAGAGTACGTCGCATGGTTGTGCGTTCGCTTGCGAGATGTTGAACATTTCCATCATTGATCTAATCATACTTATCTGCTGTCGCGAACCACAGATATAGTATGGACCATCTGGACGGCGTCTGTCGCAAGTCTATAATGTCTCTCCAGAGGATTTTTACCCCATCTCTCATGATCATCCACCATCCCACGATGCGGCAATATTATAGCATCATTTGAACATTTTTAATTCTTTCTAAGTCGCCTGCCAAATTTTGGTCCGCCGCCGCCGCCAGCCTCTCTCGTGTCACTACTCTAAACGTGGTCATTTCTGTCGAGCGGCAGAAGTGGTGTTCGATGGCAGTACTAGTAGTAAGTGAACGTGTCTGTTCGTGTCGATGGCTTTCCATAGATTAACACTCACATACTCGCCGAGTCAGTCACATTACGAAGTCGTCCACCGTTTGAACCGTTTTAAATGGCCGTCAGGCTTCATTCTGCTGGTCATATGATGACGATCTATGATGGCTGTCAGGATAATGGTGATAGGCGCTCTAACGGGGGGTAGTGTCAAACTCTAATGTTTCACTTCGCTGCTCGATTCTAATTTACAGGAATTGAATTTTCCCGTACACCAGATGATTTCGAATTCCTTGGAGCACCAAGGAGCACCACGTCTCTGTCCAAAAAGCTGCGTTGACTTATGGTTACCGAAGCTCGAGAATTTGTAGGTGTCCATCGGAGTGTCTAGGTTACCGCTAGTCGCTGCTCCATATTCCATATTTCCACGGCATTTTCATCAAGAAGGAAAGACTATCTTCCCTCAAAACCTACCAAGTCATTTGCGTCACGTCCAACTAGTAGTAGTACATTACTACCAAGTGCTGATCTTCATACAAGACCCAAAGGGCAATATTTGAAGAAACAGGTGACTGACTGCGACTGAGAAGTCGCGGGTTAGTTGCTTCCCTCCATCGTGCTAGATGGGATCAACTTTTGCGCCTCGCCGATACAGTCTATGTTCTTCGGCTGCTCTGTTTTGGAGTCGGAGACTTCCGCCGAGTGCAACCTGCGATAAATTCTTTCTCCGGATCGTGCTGGTGAGTTGCATTCATTCGGGATCACCCTTTGACTATGTGGGAGACAGTACAAGGTCTCGATGTGACAGCACATTGTCCGCACCTGCAATTCCTTTTGCCCTCGTACCCTTGCAGTGACTGCCCCGTCATTGTTTCTATGTCGCAAATAATCTTTGTTAGAACGCTAGTCGCCAGTTACGATTCTATTGCGGTTCAGTCGATGTCACACGCTAAGCACATTAATAGCTCGCATGTATCTAATAAGTAATCCGTTCACCTTCGGACGTTTGCCACGAATTACAATAAGAGATCTTTGTTTGCTGTCGTGCTTTTCTCCTCTCCTCTCCCAAACAGTGTTTGAATGGCACAGCGACTCATCGTACTTTCGACAGTGCGGAGGTCGGAGATGAGAGCAAAATATGATACGGCGGTGAGTTGTATATCTTGGAGTGTAAGGGTTACTTGAACTCAGAGAAAGATAGACAAATTCATCCACCACTAATGTTGTCTCCTTGCTGGCGCTTGCCGCTGATCCGTCTCAGTAAGCATTTTCCGTATTGCAAAGAGTGGACTGAGACACGGAGATAAGTGTACGGCGTGCAGACAGCAGACTGCCATGCGCACACTGACAGGGAGCAGTGAAGTGCAGGTGGAGCTCGGGCGAAGCGCGCACATGGGAGTCGGACGGGTTGCTTGCGCGGAATCAAACGTTTCGCCCTTACATGTGTTAGAATATCGTTGCAATAATTGTTTCTTAGCATCAACTCTTTCTCGCACGATTTGAGGAGGACCGAGAAGCAAATGCAGGCAAAATTTGGTGCATAGCCTAACGCACGTGCGGTTGTACTAAGCGAGGGTGCAACTCGAACCAGACGTTTGCTGGCGTTCAGGACCAAGCTCTTGGTTCGGAGATCGCCAGCGGTGTTTGTATTTGACTTCGTTTCCAGGTGCTAAAACATATAGTCGCCAGTACGGCGGATGTTCAGTGAGTTATATACGTATGTAGCCGGGGGCTCTCTTTTACATAAATAGATTTGCGGCGGAGCTCAGTATCACCTTATCACGCGAAGACTGGAGTTTACCTGGTACCCGATGACGCCAAGGCATTGATATTGGTGATGGGTTGAGGGGGGTCCCGGTGGTGGATGCACCTGGGTCCAATGTCTCGCACCTATTGTCATTGGGTATCTCGTGAGACACCAAGTACGACGAGACCGAGGACAATTGTGCAAATAAGGCAATCAGCGTCAATCACATCTGCCACGTGGAAATCCAATATCCGGTCGTAAGTTGCAAGTTGCCACTACGATCTCATCTCAGATCATTTAATGGAAGATTATATCTATCGCTCAAAGGTCGCCCAATCTCTCGTATCCCCCAATCATCTAGGCAGATATATAGGCTAAGCCTACGCACTGCGCAGTGCCGCCTTCGCAGCAAGTACTGCATTAATATTATTACTCTCATTCTACTCCAGCCAGTTCTAGCCGTCATTTGTTGGCTTCTGTCCACGATCCTTACTCACTTGCCACAAGCTTATAGTTCTTAGAACTCTTCTTGAGCAGCTGTTCGCTAGCATGACTTCATGGTCGTGCTCTGTAGGTTGTCTGCTTGCTGCAGAAAATCTTCGCTGCGTTCCTTTGAACCTCACTCAAATTCAAGTCCTTACCATACCCCCTTTCATCGAGCTCTTTTTCTGCGTGTTTTGGATTTATATGACCTGGAGATCGAGCAGGTGCGTCAGATTTAATTTCAGCTGCAAAAACTTGGGCATTGAGCTCAACGTTTCTGCGCCGTTCCTCGCGACGGTACCCTTATCATCTATCATTATCTGTTACGTTGATCGGCTAATGACTTCGCATGTAGTGCGCACCTATTGCTGGCCGCAGAAGGAGTTTTGTATTTTATCTTGGCGCTGGTCGACCTTTTATCGCATGCAATACCCGCTGCGCGGAATTCAGTTACCATTTCTAAAGTGGCCGAACTATTCCTTGGTATGTGACCATGTACACCAGAGAGCCTGAACGCTGAGACATACACCTACTCATCCAATGATACAGGATCTGTCTCTTTTGTTCCTATGCTATTATACACTTCATATCTAGTCTGGCTGAGTCGCAGGGAATTCATCCCCTACCTCCCTCGCCGCCACCAACCTGTAGCTAAATATCTATTCATTGGTCTTATCCCTGTGGTTGCAGTATCAAATTTTGCGGCATCGCTCGGAATGTCTATCCGTGAGAGATTTCAGTCATTCATGTTGTTCTTGACTGACATGTCGTCAGAGAACTTATCTTTCCCGCACGCTCCGCTCATGATCGACTTCGACAACAAGAGCGAATCGCTATGGCTGAGTCTCGGCGAGCTGTCACTCGCACTGTATACAAATTATCAATGTCTAGCAGCCTTTCTCGCGTCGTACCGGCTCTTCGCAGCCCTTTTCGATCAACGGCGCATCGACATTAATAATACCGACGAACGCCATTTTTTCAACGGCACTGGATGGATCGCTTTCGGCATCAAAGTAGGAGCTGTTGAAGGCATCGTTGGATTCGCAGCGGGTGGCTTTGCTGTTCCGCTTTCCAGAAGAATCCTACGACTGATCGCCAGGGTTTGCATGATTATTGGCAGTTTGAAGGGGTGGGTTTCCTTGGCGCCACGTTTGCTCAATTTGCTAATACTCAATGCACAGAATGGACGAAAATGAAAACTTTGAGTTCCTCAACAAGGAACTGGTCTTGTGGCGTCGTGGCAAACCTTTATCGACCTCCCACTCGCTCATAGCCAATCGACGCATGACCATACAGCCCTCACAAGTCTCAGACCTGCATCATGAGTCCTCTCCGATTGAAAAGGATGCGGAAAGGGGCAAGGAAGATCGAGATGTAACAATGCACGATGAAGTTGGCGAGCCGCCGGTCTTGCACATACGCCTTTCTACACTCCCTCCTCCCGAACGGGCTATCCATGCAGATGAATCGCGGAGGCAATCTGGCCAGAACACATCTACAGAAGTGCTTGCATCCCGCACTGATGCCAGCCCCTCAAAGAGCAACACTCAGCGCCAGTCTGCGCAGACCATCTTCGACGATATGAGTGTTGTCCTTGAGCTGACCCCTGACTTCCCCCCCGGTGTTACTGGCAAGTACCCTGGGCTCATGCTCAGTCAAGGACACGAGGATGACAAATTCGAGCCCCCAGTTCTTGACCAGAAGAACATGCGTCGTAATGCTGCACAGTCATATGGCGATCAGGACCAGGATGCGGCTACTGAACATGCCTGTGTGCTATGCTAGCGAGTTCATGGAATACAAACCCATACTTTCGCCTATATCCATTCCGCAGTCCGTGCATGCGCGCGTGGCAGGACCCGTGTTACCATGTACAAGACTCGCATCACAACACGGCGGCAATTATCCAGTCCAGTTTCCCGCAACACCCACACGGGCAGTAATCACTGTTTATTCCCCAACTGCCCAACTAGAAGGCGAGAGCTGTGACTCACTGAAACGCTGCCACAGACAGCTATCATCCTTTCACTCGCCTGAGCGTGCGAGCAAAGCCCGCAGTGATGTCACTGCGCATTCTTCACAGTGGTCAACCATTGCACGTTCCCAATCGCTTGCGAGTATCAGGATGTATGGTGGTGGTTCGGTAATCAGTCCACGACGCGCTGCTGCCGATCCTGGCGATTCGAATTCCCTGTCGAGTGCAAAAACCTTCCGCGACAGTAGGCAGCAGATTGCCATTGATCAGGAGCATATTACGTCCGCGGATGCTGCCATACAAGAGTTCGAGATCCGGGCAGCGTTCAACCGAGAGAAAGCTTTGCGGAGACTGAACGGGGAAGTAGGTGTATGAAATCTGAGACAGTCAAAGAGAGAAGACAGTCAAGGAGCGAAGACAGTGTTTGACCAGGTGGTGACTGCATTCCGCACCGCAACAGGACAACAATTGGACTCAAAAAATAAAAATAAAAAAACTACCTTCGGTATCGAATAGCTTTGCTGTATTACTACCCCTCCGTAACAATGTCTCATCGCTGTATTGATAGAAATAGCTGTTTATGAGTAGAATGGGTAAAAGGCAGAAGCCAGCATCATTGGACGAGACTGCGAGTACAAGAATCATGCAGCGCAGTAATAGCTAGTTCTGCTCAAAACAATCAGTCTGTGAAACACGACAAAGTTTCGCAACGTACCTCTGGTATCCTAAATATCGTTATTTCCTGTTTACCAAGGTCAGGTAAATGTAAATCAATGGTAAACGACACAGCATACCTGTTGTTTGAAGTACCGCCGATTCTCCTCATCGATAAGCACGAGATTCAGGTAGTACCGTGTGCTAAATTTCTTGTTCACTTCGCGAAACGTTGGTGTGAGATCAAAGCCACCGAGGAATAGTCGAATAGGGATGGTTTCTCCTAAGAGTTGGTCAGCAACGAGCGTGAAAAACTGCATGTTCGCGCCTACCTCTGACAGGAGCGCCATCCATGATTTCAAACTTTGTGATTGTTTCGCTCTCGTTGTACTGATTTGGTGGGGAGCCGGTTGTTTCGCGTCGTATTATAGAAAGCTCCATATGCTTGATTTTGATACGAACAAGCAGAAAATATATCTTGCCAACAATCACGTCCTTCAGGTGATACCTGACGCACGGTCAGCACTCTGGCCGGTTTTATAATAGATTCTAACACACTTTGACTTGTTGTATTCAAATTCAATGTGCAAACAATCCTCAATGCCGACCTCCATCTTGATGGAATTGTTACTGTCTGGAGGCATGCGATATGAGTGTACCCAGATGTCTCTCTCCTTCGCAACATCCGCCATTCGCCTTGCAACAGATACTCGTATGAAGTAGCTTTAGAAAAGGTCAATTGGCATTTGAATGGCACGAGAGACACCGTACCGTAGCTTGACATTGATGCCCTGGTAGCTCTCGAATTGCTTCTCGACATTCTTGAAGAGGAAGTCGAAAGTCTGAGCTTGACGCAGGTCCCCAGGCGATGCCAATTCTTGAGATAATGACAAGAATTCATGATGGTGCCCCCGATCGTAGAACAACTCTGGAGCCAGATGACAATGAGATGCTAAGGAACCATGATGAATATGTGAATGCCCACCGATGCTACCAACAAACTCAACCTTGATGCCCTCATGAGTCATTCGCTTTCCATCGCGAACGCGAATGGTCACCTGCAGCGGTGTGAGCATCTCGGACGTAATAATCTGGCTAAGATGCAACACATACCTGCCCTGCTACTGAGTCACCGTCATAGTAAACTGGACATGAAGCTGTGCGGTCCTTGTCAGTCTTTATATCCACCTGCTTCCGTAGCTCCTCTCCTTCCAATTTGATGTCGACGTCAACGGGGGATGCGAAAAAGTATGCCATGGACTGGGAAGCTCGCGAAGGAGGAAGTCACGAATATTTACTGCCTCAACTTGAATCGCAAAAAGACTAATGCCTAGCTACGGGCGGCTTAGCTAGACTACCAAAGATTTGGTGTTAGTCGGACGCTGATGGTCTATATGAGATTTGGAGGAGATGACGAGTGTCTAAGCTGCTAGGCACAGTACTGATGAGGTTACAGTACAGTACAATTTCTTCCAAATAAAGAATGTCATTCCCACACTCTCACAGACCCCTCTCTTAGGGGGTCTTCGTAAATACACAGCAACACAGTCGAATGGCTCTCGTACAGCACTTGCTTCCTTACTTTTTCCACCATGTCCGACTTTGAAGGTGACTTCGATGATGAGCTTCTTGAACTTGCTGGCGCTACTGAGAAAAAGCGCAAACACCAAGCATCAAGCTCCAAGGCTTCCGCAGCCAAGAAGCGCAGAACGGAGTGAGCCTTCTCCTTGATCCGGCTCACCGCTGTGCTCATTACAAATCTTGGGGAACCACAGAGTCTCAGATGACAGTGACGCAGAGGATGGGCCGGAGAGTGAAGAGGAATCAGATGTAAAGTTCCCGCTCGAGGGCAAGTACATAGATGAGTCGGATAGGGAGCGGTGAGTACATCTCCAACACAAGTGCAAGTGTAGTTTTGACCTTGCTCTCTATCAATCTATTTCTACGTGTTAGGCTACTGTCTATGCCTGAGATTGAAAGAGAAGAAATTCTTGCCGGGCGGCAAGAGGAGTTAATGCGAATACAAGACAAGCGAAAGCTGCACGAGATGCTTCAAGCACAATCTGGAGATCCTGAGAGCATTTCGAAAGCTGCAAAACGTATTCAGAGTGCTTTATGGTGCAGGCGCCTTCTGATACTATTATTTTGCAGGCCAACGTACTTCCCGAGGCGCCACAAAAGAGAAGTCTCGCACACTTGACGAACTCAAGGCTAGGCGAAAAGCAAAGGACGAAAAGAAGCGTGTGCGTGTGCTGCTCTTTAGTATACTCACGTCTCTTATATTCCAAGTAGACGAAGACGCACTCTCCCAAGCGAGACCGGTCCTCCTCACCCAATGACATGGACATGTCTTCGGGCGAGGAAGAGGATGGTCAAATAACGCGCTACGAAGAGGAAGAAGAGAAGGACAGGAAGCTATTTTCAAAGCAGCCTGATCCTGCGGACGAGCCATCGTCCCTCGAGGACCTCATGGGGTGCAGATTAACGCGGGACCAACTTGCGAAATATTGCATGGCTCCCTGGTTCGAGGACTATGTGAAGGGTGAGTGCTGTAGTGGTCCATAATATGTTACGTGCTCAAGACCGAAGGTGGCTGGGTTCGCTATCTTGTGGGCCAGGATGAGAAAGATCAGCCACAGTACAGGATTTGTGAGATACAAAGTGAGTGTCAGAAGTTAGAGCGTGAATGTTTTGTCTTATTTGAGCCAGACCTGGGAGTAAATCTCACGAAGCCATATAAGATAAACGATATTACGGTGAACCAGACGCTTGAGCTGAAGCATGGCAAGTCGTTCAAGACGTTCCATATGGATAAGGTGTCAAATGCCCCGTTTACACAGGTTTGTTTCCTGTTGCCACTGGCGTTTGCATTCACTCTATCGTGATCTAGCGAGAATTCGAACGTCTAGGGAAAGTATGTCTTGCAGACGACGTCAAGTTACCATCCAAGCGCGTCCTTGAGAAAAAGGTTGCGCAGATGTCCAAGCTGATCACACAGCCTGTGACAGAAGTATGAACTTTTCCATTATCTTTTCAAGGTTGTCACTGCTGAACCGGACTTAGAGCGACATCACTGCTATGCTGGCACGGAAAAGCCAGCTATCGAATTTGCCATCTGGTGCATCCCTCACATTGCAGCGCTCATCACTAGTGCAGGCCAGGACACTTGCAATCCGGCGACAGGACTATGCCGAAGTTGCTGAAATTGATGCCAAGTTGGCAGAGCTACCCGCGGTAGCCACTCCTGCTCGGAACGGAGGTGAAGAGTCGCTCAACGACAAACTCGCGAAAGTGAATGAGCGTAATCGCAAGGCCAATTTAGAAGGAGTACGCAAGGCGGAAATGTTGGAGGCCGAACGTAAACGAAGGGAGCGCAAGATGAATGCCTCGGGCACCGCGACCCCAGCGGACCCGAGTGCAAGATTAAAAACTGTTCCGAGGTTGTTCAACGACACAATATCAAGGTTTGTACTCACACTATTATGGTTGATGTCACTTGGTCATCTGTCTTGCCCCTGATTGCATCATGCCTCATTTCTCTGGCTATCAACTTCAAATCCAAATGGAATATCATACAGATCGGGTACGCCAAATATAAATGGGACGGGTACGCCTGCACTACAGGCCCATGATGCAGCCGGTGGACGATCAATATCGCCGTTCCCACCTTTAGCATTGTCTGACCCACGAACAGGCACGAAGAAGGACAAGAGCCTGGAAGTGTCTGTCATCGAAATGATAGAGGTCGATCTTGGAGACTTTTAGAATTGTGTTTCAAGTTTTGTTGGATTATAATCATCTTGCATTCGGATGTGTTTGTTGTAAATATTATTGTTCAAATTATAGCTACCTCTGTGTAGTGGGCCAAAACAAGTCGATTGCCTGAGATAGCTAACAACTAGTTCCGCTATAACTTGTCACGTGAGACACGACACGTGTGGATGAGATTGCGCACGGTCCAATTAAACTTCCGTTTTGGGACGATCATCTTTGACTAGTGGTCGTCTTCGTATTTGTCTTGGTCGTTCTTGCCATCATCCTTGCTTGCTGTCGCCCACGATGACGGGCTCTCCAGCCTCACTTGAATCATTGAGCTCGCCCTCTCCATCACCACCGCCCCAAGAAGATTCGGGCGCCGGCTTGGATGCCGAGTCCGAGCTATCAGAGCTTACAGACGATGAGCTCGTCCAGGAGTCTCAGTCGCCCAAAAAGAAGACTAAGATATTCATTGACGGAGATGCTGAAGATGGTTCACGTCGTCGGCAGCCCCGTCGCGGAGGAAGAAAAAAGCGTGGCGGCCTGGTCCCTGCCCCGATGTGGGACTGGGCATACAAATCGAAGAACTTGAACTCCAATTCAAATTCAAAGAGTGAAGGAAGTGCTACACCCGGCGTTGAGGAAGAGGAGGAAGAAGAGATGGCTGGCCCGCCTCGAGCTATGGAGGAGGAAGAGGATGACGAGAATGAGGATGACCCGAGGGATGACCTCGACGGCGACAGCCCCGACGGGGATGCCGACGCTGACGAGCCTCTTGACGATGTTGGCGTACTTGTCAATGGATGTGCGAAAGATTATGACGATGAGGATGGTGCTGCTGATCCGCAAAACTCCACATCTAATTCGGCAGTGGACGAAGAACCAGAGCCCTATGCCTCTGACGAAGACGAGTTGGCACTTGTCGTTCCAAAGCGCCGTCGCCTCGATGACCTTGCAATTTCTCCTCCAAAGCGTCGTAGCCTCCTTGCCCTCTCAAACGGATTGCTTGAAAGAGAAGCCGATGGAGACGATGATGACGATCCTCCCGCCCTCAATGACCATGAAAACGACACCGAATCTGAGGACAATGACGGGCCCCCAGATGCGGGCTTGGACATAGACATGGATAACGAGGCAGAGCCACCCTCAGCACCGGTTAAGGCAGTCACAACTGTTCCATTGGTTCCCATTGACATCACAGCTCCGCTGCCAGCGTCCGTCGCGCCCATCGCAGCTGCCGCTGCCTCACACTCAATCATGGCAGGTTCAACAGTCATTCACCCGCCATCTCCCACACCGTCTGCATCTTCTGTGTCTGGGTCCCGCTCACCCTCCTCTTCGCGTTCTCCGTCGCCCAAACCCGAGAATGGTAGACCGCAACGTAAGAGCAAACGAGGCAAGAAGGACAAGGATGAAGATTGCGACGCCGCGACATTAACAGCTCCAGACGCTGAATGCGCTCTCCTTGAAGCAGAGGTGGATGATGAATTAGACATGGAAATAGGAGTTGGAATTGCAACCCGCTCACCGTGCCGAAGCTCTGGATGTGCTTGCGACTATCGAGCTGAAGTTTGCACTATTGCGGGAGAAGGTGTATGTCGAGAAAATGGAGGGGCTCGCATGGGAGGAGGTATTGGTTTCCGAGGGTGTGTATGTTTACCCGTTTCAAACTTGTCCATGCTAAAGATCTACTTTAGGAGCACACCCAGAGCTCATACACTTGCAAGCTGAACTGAACAAACGTCGCGACAAACGTCTTGCTCTTGCTTGCAGAAAACGCGTGTATGAGGTTGTATCCGCTAACAAACGGCGGAGGACAAACGAAGACGCGGTCTGGAGTTGGTGGAAGGTGCGTTTGATACGCATCCTGTCCGTACCCGCTACTCATATTGTATTTGATGACTTGACTTAGGTTGCGCGAGATGACCTGCAAACAGAGATGATTGCTGAAACCAACCGTAAACGCCGTAAATTGGAGCGCGAGCGCAGAGCTATCGAGAGACCTCAACCACGTAGGATCATTTTCTCTTGCTTGTGTCTGTACCGTTCATGAATGTTCTGTTCGCAGTGCGCCGTATTCCTAACGCAATCCCCGATCCACCTCCCGCACCTACAATTCGTCAAATTGCACAGATATTGCCTCTCACAACTTCCCGACGCCACATGCTTGCGACCGCATACCCCGACTTGAACGCCCTCCCTCAAGCGGATGCAGCTGCAGATCTTGATTTCCTGCATCAGCACCGTATGATGAATGCACGCATGGTCATGGGCCCAATGTATGGCGCGCCTTCCATAGATGCTCTAGCATTCCATGGTGGCCCGGACGTGCGCATGCCACCTCCACCCCCGCCACCTGTATTTCAACAACCCAGCCAGGGGTACCCATTGGGTGCACCAGGACGTCTACAGCGGTTGCCTTCTGGACCTGCCCCAGCACAGTATGATGGCCTCCCTCCTCCTGCATACGGCCCAGGAATGCCGCCACCGCCACCACCTCCTCATTCAGAACAACAATTCTTGAATGCAACACACGATACAACGCGATTTTCAATGCCCAAGCCAGCGGGTGGGATGGATTGGAACGTAGGAGCAGAAGGGCGACGCCGTGAGGAAGAACTAGATCGTGAGCACCACCATCGGCACCCGCACCACACGCATGCCCCACCACACCATCATGTTGGTGGTCACCACCACCACCGTCACCACCACCACGTGGTGCATCATCACCACCCGCCCGAGCCGCAGCCGCAGCCGCAATCGCAGTCAGAAATGGTCAATCATAAGCAGCAGCACTGGAATAAACACGGGAGCCGTCCGTCATCCACTCATCCACCATATGAAGAGCGTGACCGACCTGTTGCGACGCCATTTGTATTGGCGCCATCACATAATAGTATTGCAGGGTCGACCTCGGGTCCTGGATTGCCAAGCGGGCCTGCGCCGTCGCCAAGGCATGGCTGGATGCACCAAGATGACCGAGAGCGCCCACCCCCATTCCAAGCTCCACCAGACCGCTACCATTCCCCTGGACCTCATCGGTACGCAGGACCTTCGTCGAGTCACCCTCCACATCCACAATCTGCCCTATCCCGTCAAAACTCATCGGGAGTTTCCCCACCTCGCGCCCGACCTCTCCCTCCCAGTCCGTCATCAATACCACACACTGGGTTGCGTTCACCGTCACGCTTTGAACCTCATGCGTCTACGACTAGTAGCCCAGTGATGAAGTCCAGGCGACCACTGTCTCCACCTCCGATGTCTTCGTCAAAGCTTGGTATGCCGCCTATTGGTCCAGCATCTGGGTTTTCTCCTCGCCTCGCGGGCCCAGGAGCGCCACCTAGAGAGATGGAGGGTGGCATGAATGGTGTTGCGTCGTTATTTGGTGGGGGGAGCAGAACGGCTTCTCCCCTCATTTCATATTCGGCAGCGACTCAAGGTCCACGACCTGTTCCATCGAAGGTGAATGCTATACAAATAGTGGATGGACCCTGATTCTATACGTGTTCTTTCCCTTTCATCTTGTTTACTACAACTATATCATCTTGTTGGGCGCCGTACATATTGCATTTTCCCCCTTTTCACAGTAATTATGCCACGGAAACCTGGAACTTTGTATATTCTCTTAGGTCTTATTACAAAGCCTAAGGCCAGGATGGATTTCGTGATAATAGGGAGTTTTCGCTTAAGAGATTTATCAAGAATTTTATTAACTGATGGGCCGTCGATTTTACACTTACATAAAGTACTAGAACAATATATTTCACTGCCCATCAGCGCTTAGCATCGGAGCTTGGAGATATATAAAGATACGTTGACCGTTGAGCGCTTGAGCTAGGGACAAGCTATCCATTAATCTAAGTGCAGTGTAGGCTAACAGCCACAATTTATCGGCCATGATTTCCGCTCTGACAGTCGCTGTGCCCAACCGCGCGCACTGCGGCACACTCGTTATCGGCCGACTGCTACTCTCAGGCTTTATCCGAAACCCTCGTTATCTCGTTTAGAATCAGTCAAATACAGGCTAGTGCAGCGGTTTTACAACCCAGAATACCAGACTGTAACACCGTCCATTCTCTTGTGCCGACTACTTCGAGCTATTCAAGTTAGCTAAACAGTAGACGTCACAGTCAGTGATTCTGAAGTTTGAAATGTCTAACGACCCTCCATCTCCCGTATCTTCACCACTTTCTTATCTCGAGCTCGTCAAGATATGCGACAATTTTCGCTTACCACCTAACTATGGCTCTACTGATGTCTTTCAAAAGCCTTCCGATACAGACTCTTTCGTCCCGTGGACACTATCACAGTCTCCAGGGAGTCCTGCTGTTGGGCTCTTGAGGCTCGACGTAGTAGATCTCCTTCGAAAGGAGAAACCTGGGACGTGGGTCATTCCAGAACCTCAGGCCGGGCACCGTGTCAGCTTTGATGCATCAGTCAACACCCCAAGAAAGCGCACTGCAGCGCTGAAAGAGCTCTGCGAGCGCTGGCGCGATACTGGTGCATTCCCTGCGAGCATTGGGCCTCGGAAATGGCGGAATGAGGTGTACCCTGTGTACCGGAATCCTTTTGGAGTGCACGACTACTATCCTGAGAATGATTCTGACGAGGGACTAGGAAACTACGCCTTTGAGATGGAGCGTGCTGCTTGTGCTCTGTTTGGTGTCATAACCTATGGGATACATATGACTATCTATCAAGGGATAGCCAGCAGCCCACAAGTGAAAATTTGGGTCCCAACGCGGGCGAAGACGAAGCAGACGTGGGTTTAATTGGTTTATATTCATACAGTACATAGCTGAATGACTGCATCAGGTGGCCGAGCTGGTTAGATAACAGTGTTGCTGGCGGGATACCCAGTGGCATGCCTGTCTTCGAGAGTCTCGTCAAAGAGTGCGAGGAGGAGGCCAGTATGAAAGCAGACATCGTGAGGAATCATGCGAAACCCGTCGGAGCAATCAGTTATTTCTTCAGGTATCAGTTTGCCAGTCATTTGGGGTGAATTTCAAAGTATAACCATGGGACGATTGCAGGAACAAAATGCACTTCTTGCAACCAGAGGTCGAGTAAGTGCTGTCTGATGCTGTGTACATGATGGTGATCTGAACGACAACGCTATCTAGATACAATTACGATCTCGAGGTACCACATGATACTCCGTTCCAGCCCCGCCCATCAGACGGTGAGGTGGAGTCTTTCGATGTACGTATATACGTCTCTACCTCTCGATCACGCCAACTGATCCTATGGAATAGTTGCTATCGCTGGATGAAGTGAAATTCAAGATGCGGCAGGGAATCTTCAAGCCCAATTGTGCTGCCGGTGAGTGCTAATGCAAATGATCCACAAAATTGGCATTGAATTGACCCCACAGTCCTCATCGACTTCCTTGTCCGACACGGCCACTTGACACCTGATGATGAACCCGATTATATGGAGATCGTCACGAGATTACATGGGAGATTTGAATATGAAAGGTGGTGCCAACAGGTACGCATATAGACAAATGTTTGTTGTGCCGTTACAAATACTTGTGCGTTTGCGCGCGCACGTATGGAAGCATTACATACCAATGCGTGGAGACAAAGAAGTTCAAGACAGACCTCTATCATATGTACAGTAGTAAGTTCTAGTAGTTAACTTGATAGAACTGTAAATGGATATGGCATTTTTCGTCGATCCCATTATTGTCACAACGCCGGTGACCAGCTGTCGAGGCTGCACAAGGAACAGGTGATCTTTCTTCTTGCCCTTCAGGACTAGTGGTCGCACCTGCGAGCCGGACCCGACTGCTGTCGCAGAACTGAGAAGACCCGGACAATTAGCCTGTGGATCGGGAGAACCCACATCTCAGTCTGAAAACTTCTACTTCGAACACTCGACCAATGGTTACGGCAGACAACCTGAATCTCGACGTTCTCGAGTTAATTTTCACATTCATCTCTGGAAATGATCTCGTTGCTGTCTCGTCTGTTAGCAAGTCGTTCCTCGCTGGCGTTATTCCGTGTTTGTATGCCACAGTCTCTTTCACCGCAAAGCATGCCAAACGATATAGGCCCGAAGGAGGAGTAGGTCGAACATTCGTGAAAAAGCGTGTTTCTCATAACTATGCATCAGATAATATCACCATTCCTCACCCTTTGCAATCACCCTGATCTAGCTGTCCATGTTCGTCACATTGACATACATTGTGCACCGTTCATCGCGGTTGGACAAGTGCATCCGAAATTCCTGTCGGAAACTGCAGACGCACTGGAGGCTTGCAAAAACCTAACATCATTTGTGTGTGTGCCGAGGATCCTCCCAGCCCTGCTCGTCTCCCTACAGGGGAAGGAGCGCTTGCAGGATGTGCACATCTATGCTGCGCTCACAACGACGCAAGGGGAGATGCTACAAAGAATCACAACGCTACGAAGCATGACTCTGGACTACCCGACCTGGAACGTTGTAGATTCGCTGACAAGATGGGCGCAGTCGTTACAACGGACACTTTCGCACCTCACAATCTTTGTGCGTTGCTTTCGCCTACTTTCGACAGTTTACTGAGGTTTGGTTAGATGTCCCAAGAAGTGAATGGCATGCTTTTGGAAGCCTTGCTTCCTCTACTGCCTCGTCTTCGTGGGTTGCACGTCATTGGATGTTCAAAGGCTCCTCATGCGGTGGTCATCAAAGCTGCCACAACGCACACCCCGTTGTTGAAGGAATTTTCTTTCACTATATTCGTGCGTCCTTGTTTTATTGGACATCTCTGATACTCGCTTATTTTCGGCAGGAAAATCCCCCTCCACCAAGTCTTTTTTGCCCACCTGTTATCACCTTACCCAGCCTGCGACATCTCGCCATTGACGTGCGCCCAACATCCGATGTAACAGCTGTGACATTTTCATCGCTCTTTGTTTCACTAACCTCCCTGTCTACACTTGTGCTCAAGTTTGCGGATCGTCAGCTCCCAATATGGAACTCTGTCATTGATCTCATTGCTCCGTCTAACGGCATCACAATGCCTTTGAAACGTCTCGCTCTCATGGACTGTGCAGTCTCAATCGACATGGTTGCAAAGCTAAGCTCGAGGTGCAAAGATCTGGAAATGCTGGAAATACCGCTGCCAATCAAAGACATTGTACGTTTTTCTCTCCTTATGGCGGAGACACATCATCACAGGGGTCGTTCCAGCAAGCCTTTACTACAGCAATATCATGTTTGAAAGAATTGCACACATTAACCGATGTTGGGGATGCCCACGCAAGCCACGGCCCGCGTGCGACCTTGTCAAGAAATGACGTGAGATACATGATGCAGGAGTGCGTGAATTTGAAGACGATAGTGAGTGATGGGCGGATGTGGACGGTGAGTTCTCACATTCTCGTTTGGTGGATTCTTTGGAGGTAGCGCATTGAGCTGACTTTACCCACAGGGACGTAATTTTTTCCTCGGTATAACGGTCACGCCCCAGCGGTACAAGGCCAATGCCACACAACATTGGTTTTCCCCATCAAAAGAAGATTCATATCCGAGTTAATTGTTGCTGTTGTTCATCATGCTGAGATCAGATAACCACGCTTATAATCTACGACATACTGGTAATTGATGTAGCCTGCTGAAGCAATTCGTTTGAGTGCTGCAGCCTGCCACTGATGAGAGTTTCTTGTATCTGCGCCGCGTCAGATTAAATGTCTCATGAGTTTCTGCATCTGGTATTGGTCACGTGCTATCCGAAGTTGCAATCGAGGCCGCCCCTATCTATCCCTCTCTACTTTAACACGAAGCTTCCGCCAAGAAGGATATGACAGTGCTCCATCACAAGACCGACGCATTGTCCCTTAGCAATCACTTCTCCCCCACCCAACTGATAACCCTGAGCCGCACATCAATCAGCTGCCAGTGGAACTTTTACAGCAAATATTTTTGCTCGTCGTCAACGACTCGGACCTCGCAGACTGTCCTAGTATCTTCAAATTGATAAATCGCCGCTTCTCGGGAAATTTTGCCAACCCTCCCCTAGTTTTCACTCGGGTGTACCGACTTTGGCGAGTCGTCGCACACTCAACGACAGGGCTTTGGTCGCGCATCCAGGTTACGCTTCCCGGTGATGCTGGACCATTGAAGCCTTTCATTCCGTGCTTGCTCCAATGGTGGCTCGCCCGTTCTGTTAGTCAACGTCTCACCCTTCGCATCGATCGGATCGGATTATCATCCCACCGCTGGCCACTTTCCCGGGGAGATTATCGACTTCTCGAGATTCTTGAGTCCGAGAGCAAGCGGTGGGAAACTGTGGTTGGTACGTTACACGGAGACGAGTGGCTCAGTTCCAGGTTGGATACGCCACAATTGAAAACCTTGGAATGTAACTTGTCAGGTCTTAATAGATTCAATGCACCAAATCTCCGTCGGCTACGCATCGGCGAGGGGATGATCGCTGCCAGTCTTATTCGTATCTACAAAAAATTACGACATCTTTATCTCCAATACGCTTCCCCCAATATCATCCGTTCCATTTCAGTGACTTCCCCTCATCTGGAGACAATAGTGGTGGAGGGTGTAATTGACGATTATGGTCGCGCTACAAGCCATTCGGTCACGTACTCTTGTCTTGAATCATTGACTCTCCCTCTCCCTCTGCCCTGGAATCTTGATGGTTGGCACTGATTCACCAAAATATTCGACGGCCTTCATATTCCTGTGTTGCGGAAATTAACTCTAGTGGGGTGCCCAACCAAATCAGGGGTTGATCGTATTATGGCTGCGTTGGCAGTTACCGCAACTTGCAATTTGCAAGTGATAGACTTTCAGAAGAACATGTTGCAGGATGAAGTGGATATGAATGTAGTTGAGCCGTTGCTTTCAGTTGTGAGGGAGATTTCGGACTGTGGGGTGTTGCTCCGATGTCGTGCCCCGCGCAATTAGTCATGCAGACCTAGCATGCCCTACTACTTTGAAACAGCATGGGCATTGCAATGTAAAATTAGAAAACTTGTTACGGTAGGAGGAACATATGGTGGATTATCGTCGGACACATCCATGTATAACGCAGGTCACGGCAAGTCCAGGAGGAAAGGTACCTAACAGTCTCACTCGGGTTTCTGGCATGTATACATCGGTATGGGCGGCCTGGGCCATATGGCTATATAGCGGCAGTACAAGTAGTAGTGCTTAATTTATATGAATTGTTCTATCACGCCGTAGTCACTAGCCATGAGGAACGGTACACGATGCGCGTTGACGCGGTCGAACGAATCCCTGAGTGATAAACGTATGCTGTACCGTGAGACCTAGCATTGTGTCAGTCAGTCGAACCTTCTCATGCAAAAGAGCATTTGAACTTCGGAAATTAAGCTGGTACATGGTAGTACTAGTATGTGTTCAAGCAGATAATGTTTGTGGCAACAAAAGGGTGGTACATCGTAATTGCACTTTCTAGGACAATGATACACAAATTAAAGGGCTACACTTCTGATAATACGCTATTGATACACACCGTACAATATGAAACAACACATAACTCTAAAATATATGAAAGGCGAGGTTGGTTCATAAGCTGTGAATGGGGCGTCAAACACGACATAAGATCCAAAATGCAAAGATAAGAACGCCTGACGAGAAGATATAACACCGAAACGCATAGCTGAGCTTGAGGGGCCACGAACCCAAGCTATGAGGCTAGGGCCCGCGTGTTTCATGTGCGCATATCATATCTTAGCACGAAACGATACTTGTTTCGAGTCTAAACATAGATAAGAGTTTCACGCCCGCTTATGAAGATGTTCCCGTTTCCTGATGCTATTGGTCGTCCAGCTGGTCCAGCCAAAGACTCCAGAGATACCCAGAGCAAGGCAAATATATGGCAGTGATGAAGACTAAAAGGGAGTATGCGTGAGTGAGTGACAACCTCAGATAGAATCTGAAGTACCTGTGAAGACGACGTTGGATGTTTATAACGGGTTATTCGCGAAGGTCCATCGAAGATTTCATATACAGGCTCTGAGGTTGATATGAAGGGGGATGAAGGGGTGTGTGCCTGTCTGTTAGGCGAGAGAGATAGGCATTGCCGCATTTTGCGACGGTTTTCAAGGGCTCGCGGCAATAAATGTGCCGGGCGAGCAGGGCCATCGAACACGATGGGGGGAGGTAGTGAGGAGAAATGGCGAACTCGAGTGAAGTTGCTAGCGGCATCGCGTAATTTTTCACCGTTGCGTTCGAGGATAGCGACACGAGTGGCTGTGACCGTTCGTACAACAGGTGCGGAAGACTCCCCAAGGCGCACTGGAGCGTCAAAGATGTCAAAAATTGGTGGAATAGTGAGTGCCTCGTATTCTTGTGCAGTCGCCGCAACTGACATGGATAAGGACAGGTGCGCAGGTAAGGATTGCGTGATTCTTCCAGATGATGCACCTTGTAGTGCAGTGGCAATTGGGCGACGCAGCGAAGACATGGCCAGATAATACTTAAGTGGGATGCTAAGTATTACAATCTGTGGAACCCGCCTTTATATACCAGATATGATGCATGGAATGACCGGTACTGGGATCATCTCGATCCGAAAATACAGTGGATAAAGCCCATAGAATTTTCTCTGGAAACAGGGAGATCTAGAATAATCAGAAAAGTACTTGTAGCGGAATTGAAGCGGATATAGTGAAACGGAGTCTGACTCATCTGTTCAATCGCAAGACTGCGCCGACCTCGGTGGAAAGCATAGAAATTGGGATTTCTGATGCTGCCAAGCACTCTATAATTGAACAGAAGTTTACTAAGGCTACTTTTCTCTTCTTGGGACAAACGGTAATAGAATTATGCCAAGAGCATATCACCGTCAGTGGTTTGCCTATTGCCGACTTCTTTCGTCGAAAGCGCAAACAACTTTGAGACGAACATTGCTTGGCCGCCAAGATGAAAGGATGCAGATGCCGGACGAGACTAACCGTTGTAAGTAGTTAACTCACAATCAATGGGGAGCTGTGCAAAAGATTTACATCTAGAAAAGGGTGGACGAGTGCCGCATAAACGCCGCCACTAGTACTGTTAGCCATGGAGATTAATATCGCACAATTGCAGATCCCTTACATACTAAGTATAGGCTCCCGACGTGGCTGGAATGGTGGTTACATTCAGTATACAAGGTGGCGAAGAGGATCGCCAAAATGAGGAGATTATCGAGATGAATGATTGCCTGTTGAGAGCATCTGATATATTATTAGTTCCTGTTAACACTAGTGACTTGAAGACCTACCTTTGGACGAATACACAAGAGGTTACCAGGGAGGATGGGTGCACATTGTCACCGTTATTAGGAACGTCGACTTGCTGTCGGGCACATCATGACATTTTGACAAAGGCGTTCATTTGGCCGTCGAGGCCGGGTGCGTTTTCCCCACAAGCTCAGGTCACAGCTCCAATGGAAACTGAGATACGTATTCTAGCATCAATCTCATATATGATCTGAGTCTTCTCCAAGATGCAGCCTGAAGCTAAGGCTGTATCGCATCGAATCATGCAGTTTCCATACTGCCAAGCATATTACAAAGCACGCTAAATGAGGTATGCTGAAGGTGCTGTGCAAAGAAACGATGAACCCTCGTTGGGTTCTCCGGCGAAACGTTGTGGATGCATGCTTCAAGTCTAACCCGCTTTAGGACTCGGAATTGAAACTCAGCGTCACCTCAATTGGCGGTCGACCGGTCACAGAATAACTTGTACTCGACCTACAATATGTCAGACGGAATACAAAAGCTCATTCAAGAACGTTCATCCAATATTTGTCTGTAAGTTTAAGGTATCTACATCCAGGCATCGACACGATGTAGGAATTATACAACTACTGTCCGCCCCCAGTCAAGAACATTGTCGAATTTCGACTCATGCGCAGCTGTCACTCTGGTGAGCGGAAAGCTCGTCAAGTGGCAGCTGTCTGACTCCGGCTGATATGTCGGGGCCTTTGCTTTCCATTTCAGACCTGTACATTAAAAGCCTCGTTGAATCCATGCGTTTGTCTTCATATCCATGAACCGGATCGATAGGGCTGGATAACACGAGGTCAATTCCAATTACTAGAAAAGCATTTCCTTCAGCCCAACTTGCTGATCTATATCCTCTGGCCCCTCGACGTTACATACGATGACCGTCGTTCCATCCTCACCTCAGAGCCCAATTTCAGGTGGTCCGCTACCTCAATACGGGTATGGCTCTGATCATACCTTTGATCGCCTTATCCAGGACAACCCCTTCTTGTTTCGGGTATATACTCCGAAGCAACGCTCCCCATTCTTTGATGCTACTGAGCCATACTTTGTTGGCCAGAAGTACAATGAGCAATATAGAGAGGCCGCAGAACGGCTTAGACAGCCATTTACAGGCAAGTCAGTAGCTTCAACGAGCAGTTATGCGGATGTTGCCCAGCACATGGACTGGACGCAGAGACACATGTCCCCTTACATCTCGACTACGTTCAGCTTTGCCTGGGCTATTTGGGAGGCTACCCGCAGGTACCGGGTTGGTCTCAAGCATGACATTGAAATTGCCATCATCGATGCACGTCAGCTCGCCGGTCGAGCTGCGACCCGCCCTGGAGCTACTAAGAAAGGGCACACCCAATGAGTCAGTGTTTTTTGATCGGACTCTTGGCTGCTCTGATAAGCTGATTTTGTGACGTAGAAGGCATCTGGACTACTGGAAGTGGTACAGATTCGCATTGGAGTCGCAAGACGTCCTTGTTCATGGATCTATCCCCAGTTCGGCTGTTCTAGCCTCAGTCCCCCTTCTAAACATCATCGACAAACTCCCGTCATACTTCCTCCGCCAAGATACCATTGTCGATAAGCGGTCGTCTTTATCGCAGTTTAATATCTTATCATGGGATACCATGGATCGCAAGCCTAGTTTCCGCCAGTTCTGCCAAGATATGTCGGATCAGTTCTTGCAGCTTTCGACTGAGCATCGTCTTCGCGATGCAACTGGAAGCTCCGTTCGCTTGGCAATGACATTTCTGCGTCCCTGGTTCCACAGTGTTGTCGTGGACGATTTCACTGAAGCGACCGAGACAGTCTGCAGCCTTGCCTTCATAATTGCGCAATGGCCAGCTCAGTGGTGGTCACGAGACCACGTCGAGATGTGGGATGTCATTCGCTCCCTCGTCCAATCTGTTGGCGAGGAAGTTCGAGAGAAGCAGAGAGGGATAGCGGTTGAAGAGGTTCGGAGATTGCAAGGGGTGGTCTCCAACCTTGAACGTGTTGTGCAGGACTACGAAGAGGCCGAAGTTGCTTCATCAATTGATTCCACGAACGACATGATGGAAGCCGAGGTCGAAGGATCTGTTATTATGCCCCCCTCCCCCCCAGCGTCTATCCTCGAATGGTCGGCGGACGAAGATACTCTTATATTAGCGCTCCCAACAGCTACTGCCCCACTAGCTGCATCTCTTTCGCAGGCTACTCTGGTTGATGTAGCCGCACCCGGTTCTGAGAGTCTGGGTAGCAATCGGCCGAAGACACCTACCCTCATTTTTGCCCCTACGATTGTTGTTCACCAACAGCAGCGGTCCGCCACAGAGCGGACTCAGCCTACACCAGAACCGGAATCTCCACATGGAGAACTACGACGACACCCAAAGCGCCGACCGCATTCGCTAGCCGAGACCGCAACCTGTATCGTCACAGGGCTACTTGTCGGCGCTTTCATAACTCTCTGTGTAGTCAACTCTCAAAGACGTACCCTCATCTATGTTACGTAGGGCCCTGGGCCAGACCGACGAGATGGGAATAGCGCAGCGGAGAAGTGTTGTAAGATGACCCGTGCAGTAATACTAAAAGAAGATTGTATCGTTACAGTATAACCTATTGGATATCTATGTGTCGTAGTTCGATTTCTATCAGAAACCGAAGCATCCTAATATGATCAATAAACTCGATCTATATGCAGTAGTCTTTCTGATGTGCGTGGTGGCGAATACTCTCGTTATAGCCCAACCCACGTTCTGTATTTTGCCACGTCTCCTGCATGACGTTCCACAACAGCCTGCACTTCGTCTCCCCAGACAGCTCTCGGGTTTTTTCTTGAATGTGCTTCCTCCGTCTGCGGTGTCAAACACTCTCTAACGTGCTTCGCTGCCTCCGTGGATTCGAAGACCACACAGTTCTCTAGAGTAAGTGGCTTCGCTGGGTCCCACCGCAGGAGTGTTGGATGTGCAGGAACAACGTGAGGAGGCACAACAGAACGACCGAGATGCAGGTCCTCGAATATCAGCGCAACATCATCTTCATCGATAGGTAGTTTACTGCACAAAGTGTAAGGCGGCTCAAAGATGCGACGTGTGAACTCACTTGATCGGTTCCCCGATGAACTTCGATTCACGATGCAAGAGATCACGAAGGAGACGCTCATAGAGCTTCTTGCGATTTTTTATGGGCAAAGGGTTCAAAATCGGTTTTCCGGCCATCTCACAGAGGACGTAGGTCGCGATGTGCAGCCCGAAAAGAGATGGCAAGGAGCCTGCCCCGCGGAAGAACAGTAAGATACTAGGATGCCAGTTTGCAAAGAATGAAGACATACCGAGGACCGGTAATATTCGCACCCTGAAGTCATCGAATACTCCAAGTTCTTTTACGTCGCCTTTCTGGAATTCTTCCTCAGGAAGGGGGAGTAACTTCACATCCCTAGGGACTTCTGTGGAATAAACGACAGGAATCCCTGAGGATACACCCTGCAGCCGTAACCTACGCCGAACAGAGCGTGCGAGAGGGTCGTACATGGTGTACGAGATGTCACTAATCTGAATTCTTGTAGGATCTGTCTTTGCACTAGCTCCCATAGACGAGAACACCTACAGTAGCATGAGTTGGATACGATTGGATACCAATCAGTGACTAGGACGAACTTTGATATGGTGCTCATGGCAATACTTTCAGCAAGTCGACTTTCGTGGTGAATGTTGTCTATTGCATCTGTTCATAACAAGCTGAGTGGAAGACGAACTGAGATCGAGGAGCGCATTGACATACCGATGACCCATTCTGCTCCCTCTAGCAACCTTCCCCCGTCTTCCTTCCTCCAGATCTCAACGCGGCTGTCCACCTCCACCCACGCGCTGATCTGCTTGAGAGTCCGCTCAATGCACACCACCTTCGGCATTCCTACATCCGCACGCACAGCCGTGGCATGTCTGTTCAACGAAGAAAGCGTGACATAGTCGAAGTCCACCAGTCGGATCTTCGACACGCCTCTGCACGTAATTAGTGAATCACAATAACACAGATAGTAGACGGTAATGAGCACGTACGACCTCACCAACATAACTGCTACCCAGCTACCAACACCACCGCAGCCAACAACGACAACAGATTTTTCCCGAACCCGCGCCATGCCCTCATCCCCGAAAAACGCATAGCACCGCGCGAGCTGCTCTCTGATCAGCTCTTCGTCGTACCCATCAACATCAACGCGGAAAATTTGTTCATTCATTAACTCATCGCCCTTTGGTCTCAAACGCTGTTTGGGACCTTCATCCTGGTCTGTTATTGACTTGAGGATGTCTCGATCGAGGTTGCGTCTCCGTTCGCGTCGACTGTAGGTATTATATGCAGTAAACAGGCCTGATGTCAGTAGAGATGCAGATACAGCTGCCAGAATCAGCTGTGTCCTGTGTGATTGCGCAGAAAATACATTCATGAATGAGAGATTGTGAAGACCACGATGGTCGTATAGGGTCAGATGCAGAAGTAAGTATGTTGAATGCGTCAGTGACTCAGGTCATGTGCATGAGCTCGGAAGAAAAACTGTCACTCCATTATGCATCAGATGTTCATGATCCCGGGATCGATCAATAATCAGTCAATGTTGACAACGTTTGCGTCCTTGTGTAATAGAATTCCTGCAGCTCCTGCATACGCATGCATATGTATGTAGTACTACGGGAGTGTAGTAGAACCAGTGGAACAACTTGAATGTCACATAGCCGTTTTAACTCTCCGACGAAATTGGCGTCTATCAAGGATTCCAAATTTGGCTTTTTGCAACTCCGAACACAAGCTCACTCCGTCACGCTTTGCATCTCGATAGTACAACATTTATGGCTCTCAACATAACAGTTTTCATGTTAGAAAAATTTAGAGTATTGTCAGAAGGCAATGTGAAATCACTAGTAAAATTTATGAATTTTTCGGTGATTGCAATGGCTTCCCTCTGATGGATTAAATTTATTTTTTAGCGTGGACAGTGCATGTTCTGCGCAGTATTTCGCTGCCGCAAGCACTTCCAGCCCGTTTTTCATGAAATAAAAAATACATACAACAAGCTACGTACTAATTATTCTATAGAAACATTGTGCGAAGGAAATGAGTGGAAGATGAGTGTGCTACATTGCGATTGCAACTCTGGGCCAAAGATAGTATGTCATAAGGTTTATCGTGCACAATCGTCGCGCACTCCTATGCTATCCTGCAGTTTCCTTTCTGCCTCTAACCATTCGGTAATGGGGCTGTCCTTGCCTTCCCATTCCCACTGGGCTAAGATCTTCTCCTTTTGAATCTCCAACTCTTCTTGCACGTTTGCTGTACTAGACATGTCAAAGTCGTACATACGTCCTGTGCGTGCCGATTCGCGTGCTACAAATTGACTGAATGGGAGACGAACGTCCTGGTATGCCTTCAGCGCGGCGGGTACGCTATCCAATGTTGTGAGAGGGTGAGAAAGAAGACGACCAAGCACAAAGGCATCCTTCGTACAAATGAGATCGCATAGTCTGGCGAAAGATCACGCCTACCTCTATTGCCTGGCCAGCTCCGGCGCCAAAGTAAGGTGTCATTGCATGGCACTATACGCCGATTTCGTCAAAAGATTTTCTACATAGTCAACAAGAAGCGTACCGCATCACCCATCAAGGCAACTCTATCAGATGCAAATAATGGCAATTCATTTACTACATGAAGCGCCCATCTTGAGGGGTTTTCGGAACACTGCAGAAATGTCGTCAGTCGAGGGCGGCATAAAGGACATAGCCCAAGAATTACTTTCAAAAGGTTTTTAACAGCAGGTTCGAAGTCCTGATATGGTTCCTGAACCTCTTCATGGGACACAGATGAAACCCAACAACCTTCAAAAGGTGTGCCAGCTTTCTCCCCATCAGTAACAAATGCCACGACATTGATCAATGTTCCTTGTGAAACTGGATACGACACGACGTGCTATGAAGTTATAATGCGGATTCATCAGCAAGTGGAGACCAGTGATAGTAACGATCTACCTTTCCCATTCCGCAAAACTGAAAATGGGAGTTAATCATGACGAGGACCACTGCTTTTCTGCGGACTTACTATCACAAAATCCTTCAAGGCTACATTGTTTGGATCCAAGTCCGAGAGCTTCTTCGCCGGAAATACGGTGCGATAGACGAGCGTCCCGGTCCAAGATGGATCAGTGTAGTGTCTTATCTTACTTGGGTCCACGACATCTCGGTCTAATGTTTCGAAGATCGTCTTCCGCACTGAGGAGTGGACGCCATCTGCCCCTATTAACACATCCGTAGTTGAGGTGCTGTCATCAGCGAAGTGGAGGATGAGTGATCCTGATAACTGCTTGTCATATCGAGTGAGTCGTTTATTAAAATGAAGACTGCACGACGAAGGGAGGTATTGCTTGAGGGTGTCCATGAGATGTTGACGGTGCATATTAGATGACATTAGTGTGAGGATTTGCTGAAACCATTCGAAACCACCCTGTGAAATATTAGACCTCCTAAATTTTGGCACTGTCAGTACGAATTAAGTGACATACGGCTGAAAAATAAACTCTTTGACAGACCATGACTGAAAGAAGGGGGTTTGGTCGAAACACGGGAGATCTCTTCGTACATGCCGAGCTCTTTCAAGACCTCTGATGTACGACTCGGGATTGTAATCCCGGCCCCAGTAGTCGTGATGGTGTCATGCGCTTCATACAAGTCTATGTGGATATCCTGATCTGCAAACTTCCCGAGTGTGACAGCGAGAGCAAGCCCTCCTATGCCTGCACCGCTGCACAGGAAATTCAGTCTGCGCTACATTCTTGAGGGATTATCTGACTCACCAGATTGCTACTCGAAATTTAGGATTGGCTAATGAGAGCGACATTGATTATAGGTCGGACTTTACAAGTGCTATAGCATGGGGTCAGTGGCTACATCTTTATAGGTTAGTTCGACGAACTATTTTGGGGTAACTAGCCAGGAACTGAGTCCCAGAAGCAGAAGTGTATCGTAGCGATCGAAGAGCTGGCATCTGCTGGCAGACTGCAAATATCTGAGTCCGCATTTCGTGGAGCCGTAGGGTCGGAATGTGCTAGAACCTGAAGTGAAAACGACCAGTAAATAACTAAACAGTGGTGAGCCGTTTTGCTCAGGCCGTCCACTGTTGTGAATCACCGCGATACGATCATCGGGTCACAATGACTGTAGATAAGTATTTTGGCTTGGCAAAGATAATATCAGAAGGACAAGCCATTCTTGGCCGATCAGCGGGCTGGATAGCGGTAAATGGAACGCGAACAGCGGCCATAATGGATGGGGATGGGGCGTTCGATGTCTCACGGGTCCACTCTGCAGGCGAAATTAGTCTATTTTCAGGAGCCGATCACGGTGCAGCCATAATGGCAGATGCATCTAGGACAGCATTGCGCAAACCTGATTTTGCAGGTCCCCTCGTTAAGGAGGTCGAGAACCACAGGGATGATGCGATCATAAGTCGTGAATTGGCAGAAGGACGGGACATACGAAGAGTCAGTTCATTATGGGGAATAAGAATAGCTGTCTCCGCCAATGGAATCTTGCGCGAGTTTACGATGGATGCGAAGGTTTTAGCCACATCCATAGCCGATGTCACGGTAATCTCAGGCAGTGACTGTACTTCAGAATCAAATTTCTCGGTCGGAAGATACTGCCAGTATGGTGAGTCCGGCATAGATGATTGTTAGAACCGATGCTAGGACATCGGTTACTCCTAGGGTTAAGCTGGTTGCAATTGGAGAAGGTTGAAGCAGAAATTCAATTGACAATACACAACCGTGACGTCACGGTTATTTTAAGACTTTTCGGAGTAACCCGACTTCCAAACTACGTTGGTAATCCTAATTTGGAACTAGTTATTCGTGCCCCAAAGTTACTTCAAGGATTTACTAGGACGGTTAACCAGAGATACCTCTTGTCGTTGTAACTTGCCATGACGAAGCACAGTAAAAATAATACGGCATCTTCGGTATTCTCTTACGCTGAGAGACAGAAGGCGGAGTATGGTACGAAACGGGTGCGTCTGCTCAGCTGGATCATACGAAGCTTTTCACCAAGTATTGCAACAGCAACGCCTGGGTAATGAATCAATGCGAAATTTCGACGCATGTTCTTTGTGCTTGCAACGAGCGAGAGAGCCAATAGCATGCGATCAAGGTCATTTATTCTGCAGGGAGTGTGCGTACACCGACCTATGTAAGTTCACAATGACATGTACAGTTTCATACAAATTGAGTATACAGTGGCACAGAAAAAGGATATTAAGCGGCAGAAGGAACGCCTTAAGCAGTTGAAGAAAGAAACTGAAGAGGAGAAAGAGAGAGCTAGAGAGGCAGCCAGGGAACGTGTGCTTCGTGATTTCGAGAAGGGTCAACTGGGATTGTCTGCGAACTTGCCGTCTGCATCTGGTGTCGGAGTCAAAGATTGTACGTATCTCGTCTATTCACTTCTCGTATTGTGCTCAATCGTTCCCAGCTCGATCATCGAAGCGCAAGCTTGACTTCGACTCTTCAACAGTTGAAACTCTTACCCGTGAAGCCGAAGAGGCAGCTCTAAGACAGATCGAGCGAGAGCAAGCGGAGTCATTACGACACAAACTACCGGACTTTTGGCTGCCTTCGCTGACTCCCACATACACCTCAAGCGGTTTGCCGAGCTCCCTCAAGGATGTTAAGGTTCAAACAACCTGCCGGGGAGGGAATCCACCCCACCCGATAACGTTGGTGTATATCATCTGTCATAGGCAAACAACTTCTCATGACGTTCTCAGCCTGAAGTCATTGGTCCCCGTGAAGTTTACATTACTACCCGCCGCGTCGGCGTCGCAATCATCAGATTCTACTCCCGTGGAGAGCGACAAGGGTAAATCCAAGCTAGAGGATGATGGAATTCCGATTTGTCCGGCCTGCAAAAGTAATCTTCACAATAATAGGGTGATGTTCCGTGAGTCCATACCTCTGAAATTACTTGCAGAATTTGACCATTCGTAGTCATGAAACCGTGTTCCCATGTTGTATGCAAAGTATGTGTCGATAAGCTGGTGCGGGTGGCCAAGCAGTGCATCGTTTGTGATCACACACTTGGTGATGAAGACATGATCGAATTAAAGAGAGAAGGTGTGTATCTGTTTAACTTGTTTGGGGTCGTGTAGGTCCATGTGGAGCAAAAGGACTGCGTTTGTGTCACCACATTCTGATTCATTATATTGCCAGGCACTGGCTTCGCAGGAGGCGGCATTGCAGAAGCGAAGAAGACAGGTGTCGCGTTCCAGGGTTGAAAGTATTCGTCTGTATCAAGTTCGACTTGATAGGTCTTAAGTTAGTTTTCACAGTTCAAGTTGCTAAATGTTGTCCTCAGTTGATTGAATGTGCGCTGTTTTGATAATCCCTCCACAGTGATTTCAGAGTTACCATTCATGTTTCTTTGTCCCCAGACCGTTTGTACCGTGGCCCCAACTCAAATATCCACAGCCCATCACGTTCACCCAGCTCTTTCCCCTACCCGAGTCGTAACTTTATTGTTGTATTTGCGATTCGACTGGTACACATTAAGCCCCAGAATGGCTTTGAATGCCTATGGTAACCTGTCTTCTTCAGAATGCAAGTCCCTGACTTTCGCAGGGGATAACATTACTGCTGGTACCCAATATGTATGGAGTAACAACAGGCCACCAGATTCGATGTTCTTTCGCAACGGTTTGGTTAATTATAGCTAGCGCTGCGCCGGATATACATATCTTCCTGAACGCTTGACCAATGACAGTTACTCGTTATAGATGGCACTAGTAGCTGCTGATGCAACACCCAGAGATTACAATTTCGGTGCGGTGATTATCAATTCGAACTCATGTCTCTCATTTCAAATCCGCGGCTATAGCAATCTGATAATATCTCTCAGATCTTAGTGCGTCTCTCTTCGAGACCAGTTGGCGTGTCATGTAAGAGACGTGGTTCACCTTCTTTACAGAGACTCTCTTTCGGACCAGTGCATCGAACAGTCCAATTCGTGTCAGGTATATTTTTACGATATATAATCTTATAATGACTTTGGAGCGCGGCGTCCACCCGCGTGCCAGGGCGCAAACTTCAAGCCCACCGCTCCGCTATGCCTGCTGGAGGTCGATTACTTTTGAAATAGCTTTTCTCCGTCCCCCAACAAAAAAACAACGAACAAAAGCTGATGTCATGGATCTCGACTCAGATGTTTGGGACAAACTAATGATGAGATTATGTGTATGTCTCCCTCTTCATTCAGTTTTATTCATAAATTAATTGGCCTTTCAGCTACATCTAAAGCTCGGCATATGATCACTTCACAATATTCTTACAACGTCGCTTGAAAGCTGATGACAGCCGCAACTATCTCGAGTTCAAATTTATGTGCCACACAAAGCTTGTCAATCACAAGCCACATCTCCGAAAACGCACAGATGAAAAACCTCAATGGGGGCATCCAAGAATGTGTTTAGCGGCGTGGTTGGCACATCCGGGGCACTGGTTCTACATAGGAAAATGACTGAAGTATGTGAGACATTTGCATGCAGAAAGCAATGTGTAAGAGCAAGTAACAGTATAGCAGGCTTGTAAGGTAAGGCGTGATTGACGTACAACAATGCATGGGAAAGAAACAACAAAAATATCGTGTAGACATGATATAAATGACTGAGATTGTGTAGGACAGCGGGGGAATGAAAGCAATTGGAGTCACAGAAAATGCAGTAATATAGAGAACGAACCTCAAACTAGCTAGACACCTATGTGAACAAACACGATCTGCTGTTCCAGTGGAATATTATTGTGCCGCAATTTCTTCACAGCCTTGTGCAACGCCACCGCAGCCCGCGTGCAGTCCAATCTTCCTGAATCATCCACCAACTTGTCATAGAAAGCAGACACGACTTGCCGTGCAACCTCGTCGTCGACGGACCACATAGAACCAATCACACTGCGAAATCCGGAGAATTGCATAGCTGCAGCGAGATGGATCGACTCGTCGGGACTCCTCTCATCGCCCACGGTAGTGTGGCAAGCCGACAAGAATGCAAACTCTGGGTTCTGCCAGTTGGACCGGACGATGTCCTTGATCATCAACGGCCCATCACGCATTGCGAAGGAAGATTCAAATGGTTGTTGTCGATTTGGCATTCCGTGGCAGGCCAGGTGAAGCCACTGGTTATCATTTAGTGCATCGAAAACACCCTGCACTGTTGCAGCGTTGTCCTCGAGCGACGTAAAGGACAACATGATAGGTATGAGACGCTGAGCTACGGCGGCTAATTCAGGAGCGACGCATCGCAGTTCCTTCCCTCCGTCCGGGTTCCCTTGACCAATCGCAACAAAATTTTGAGTAGATGCATATCGAGAAACACGCTGTCTCGCACGAACGAGTGTTGCCAAAGTGGGGGCATAAGAGGATATGTAAATCTGTGACAAGTTGTCTCTCTCCCTCTCGTAGGGTCCTGCTGCATGCAGAGGAAGCAAAGTGAATTCAGCGGTGGGACACCACCAGATACGTGAGCCAGGGTGAACATTCGACATCTTGAGGGCTTGAACCACGGGATCAACGATATCATGCCAAAGCTTGCGGAGGATGCCCACAAGCTTGTTCTGATGATCGCTACAACCAAATTGCTCTGCGATGGACTGAAAATCGGAGGACAACTCGGAGACTTCGGACCGCGTGACATGAATTGGAACGTGGACAGGATTTTGGTCACTTAGGACAATCAAGGCATCGCAGCTGTACTGACTAGCATTGACGATGATGACAGGACCTTCTTCGGCGGCCTTCTGTAGGTCGGAGAACAAGGGGGGCAGGAGAAACCGAGACAAGTCGGGGAGCATGCGGATGCGGGAGACGACATCGTTCCATTGGATGGTTAGTTGTCGGATTTGTGGGGACTGGTCTTCAGTAGACTGATCAAATGCCGTACGAAGGCGAAAGCTCAGCTGCTTGAACTCTTCCGCCAAGGCTCCGCCGGTGTCACCGGGCAGGGAAAGTCCATCGAATGGCGAGCTTAAACGTGCCAACTGGGTCCAGAATACTGCACGGCCTTGCTCCACCAGTTCCACAGCAGTTTTCAGCGCACCATGACGAACGCTGCGCGAGAAAGCGTCCACAGCAAGCGAAGCCGTGGCCATCCTCACGACATCAAAATGACGTGACGAAGACGACAAAAGAGTGACATGCTGATCTAGGAATTTCAATGCAGTATGATATGCAACTAACGCAGAACTATGGTTTGTCTCTTCAGCAGCAGTAGCCCATGACTTGGCAGCAGTAAGATCCCTACGGGAGACTGCGTGAGATATGTGAGGGAGTTGCAAGAACAGGATAAATGTTTCATCAAGGTCAGACGGGACGCCCCGCTGCGTGAATCTGTCTCGAAGGCTGATGGCGAGATTGTTGAGAGTGTATGGTCGAAGAGAATGACCAGGGGGACGAAGGAGTAATGCAGCGCGATGGAGCTTGATGCACTCATCAAGGTCCGACGGGACGCCCCGCTGCGTGAATCTGTCTCGAAGGTTGTTGGCGAGATTGTTGAGAGAGTACCATCGATCAGAATGACCGGGGGGACGAAGGAGTAGTGCAGCCCGATGGAGTTCAATGGACTCATCAAGGTCAGACGGGACGCCCCGCTGCGTGAATCTGTCCCCAAGGCTGTTGGCGAGATTGTGGAGAGACCACGATCGATCAGAATGACCGGGGGGACGAAGAAGTAGTGCAGCCCGATGGAGCTCAATGGACTCATCAAGGTCAGACGGGACGCCCCGCTGCGTGAATCTGTCCCCAAGGCTGTTGGCGAGATCATTGAGAGACTGTGATCGAAGAGAATGGCCGGGGGGACATCTCTTCAAGGCCGCTCGACATTCTTCCACGTCGTCTACCATGCTATCATTGCTATGATACCACAATCAAGTTACACGAGGGCTGTCAGGAACACAGAGAGGATGGATCTGAAGAGCGCAAGTGGGCAAAGAGGGCAAGTACTATCAGGTTATCGTCAGCACAAAATCCAGGTCGCCAAGTTTGAATCGCAATGCGCACGCACGTTAGCAGAGATCCTAGCAATGAAGCAGTAGTAGAAACCTGTGAAAGTGATTCAAGTTAATGTTCAAGGTTGAAGACCTTCCAGCTACTTTCATATCGATCATCGACCAGATGCAGTCATTATTTTCGTCTTGCCGCTTCTATTTACTTGTGGAGCTGGACAAACAACTTGAGGGACCCACTTGTATTGAATATGTTTAGTATCACCTTTCACCTGCGTGTGCTTAGGCTCTCGAATGCTTGCTTCCAGTCGGAGTTGCAATAATTATTTGAAACACCTCGAAATACTACTTGCCATGCCTCCTCCGACTGGTCACTGCGCTACACTTCAACTCAATGGTAAACCAAGTTTAACGTTAGTCTGCAATCTCCGGTTACTGAATTTGTGTAGGTGAACCGAGAAGAACCAAGGCTAGGTCAGAGCTCCACCAACTAAGACTCCAGTAATCTATTTAGGCATCAAGTCAGATATGATGTTCTCTTGAAGCATTTAAAGAACAATAAGATCCTCGGATTCAGGATTCATGCATCCTCGATCAAACAAGCATCTTTGTTCGTTTCGCTCAGTCACAATCTAACTTGAAGGTCAAATCCGTGGCGTAGCAGTGGACTTCAGTGTAGTCAAGCACCATGTTATGTCGTTGTGTGGCGCTCCTTTGACAACAGCATTGTGTGCAAGCTGAGCGCTGAGTCGCAAGCGAAGCGATGCTGCTGTGTCCTATTCTCACTGCCACTGCCAGCTTTGACAATTCACCTCGTGTTTGTATTCCTTCTTCCTACAGCGTTTGGTCCACAGTCCATATATCCACACACACAATCCGGACATATAAACCACGATGCAGCCCATATTCATGGTCTTTCCAACATCTCTCCCACTATCGATTGCCACACCAGATCATGCTGCTCAACACACTACCAGATAATGTCTCGTCCCAAATTTTGGAGCCGTTCGAGAAGAACTCTCAGCAGCACCTTCTTACAAATGACTTGGAGATCAGAACACGCAACATGATGAAGTGCTTTGCGAATACCCCTGGTGCTCTCCCTCCGCCAAGCACCACTGTCCGTAGCGTTTGGAATCTTACGCCTAATGACAAAGTCGACACGATGCCTATGCCGTTGCAGGGAAATGTTATCTTCCTCCGCGCGCCACCAACTACAATGGAGGCTACTTTCGCTGTCATCAATGATCCTTCATCTATCATATATGAGACTTGCACTCCTACTTCTCACACATGCAACGTGGATGATGTTTCCTCGAACGACATTGCTGAAGGTTATCCGCCCAAGGCGGATGAAAAGTTATCACTGGAAACCAACGGTCCTGAGGAAAACGCATTGCCTCCGAACGACCAGCGCCCCTCGGACGCCGAGAACAGTTGTGTAACGCAACCCGGCGAATCCCCGCTCTTCGCGGGAGGGTTTGGAAAAATCGTCGATGCCAAAATGGAAGAACTCCGAGTTCATGGCTTTGCTTTCGTTGTCAAAAGTCTGCTGACCGCAGGAGCGCAGAGCGTCCAGTCAGCGCCGCTTGTTTCGATGGTAGTGCAAACGATGTTAGACAGGCTGGCGAAGGAATCGCCGAAACAGATGAAACGTTTCGAGAGAGCCTTGCGCGTGGGCGCTATGGATGTGTTTCACATACACTGGAAACCAGTTGAGTCCTTCTCCGCTGATTTGAGAAAACGGGAGTACTAAACGTTACTCTCAGGACGGCGACTGGAAGGACATATGCTCTACATCTGGTCGACACTCTGCCCTCACGCTGATAGGAGTGAACAAGGCTGGCCTTCTGGGATCGCTCTTTTCTGCTAATGTCGTGACAGCCGAAGACATCGCCCATTGCTTGTCCATACTATTGGAGGACATACACTTTGACCGTCTGATCGCCATACACGCCCTCCTCTTATACGCAGACGACAGATTATGCAAACAACGATATCTGCCAGCATTGATTCGGCTCAAAGAAGAGTTGCGCGTTGTCGATCCACTAACTGACTTGTATCTGTGGGGTCCTGTGCCACATTCCCAGGCCCTCATGCAGGTAAACATTAAAACTTGCTGTTGGTGCAACTATGTCTAAGCAGATCTTTGTCAGGATATTTTCGATACTATTGAAGGCTGGATGACTATTCAGGCACACAAGCGCGAACAATGTCGTGTTTTTGCAGAATCACAATCAACTCAGAAGCCTCCTTCGAAGGTTGTAGGGCCACGAATGCGTGCAGATACAATGAGAAACAAAGCCTAACGCTCGAGGTTTGGATGCAATCAGCCGGGTTGCGCTGATGTATTGTAAATGTATATTGTACTTTCATGTCCGTCTGTTCTCTTGATTCAACCAAGTTCATGCTTGTACATAAATGTTGAATTCAAAAGCAGTTCATGGCATCCTTTTCGTGTAGCAGGTGACATGTACTAGGCAGTTCATCTACGCCCCCCGAGCGACAAGAAACTGTTCCGGTATATCCGGATTCTCATAACGAGTGAGGGTAGGTACGGTGTATAATTCACCCTTGTCATTCATCCGCACGTCACGTCGTACCTTGTGTTCTAGTTAAGAATGAAACAATCAGTTTGATGAGAAAGTAACTCACGTGCCAGACCCTTGTATCGCATCCAATCTGCGTCACTGTTGCAGGACATTGTTGAACAATGCGTAGAGCATCTTTCATCATGGACCGCTCCTCTATTTCATCCACTTCACGACAAAAGTTGACATGAATCGCGCGGAGGTTACGAGCAGCAGAAAAACAGCGAGTCACATCATCCTGATAAGTATGGATGAGGACCTCGATTCACAAAAAAAACACAAGCTGCGCACCAAATTATGCCGCGCGGTGACGACAAAAAGTTGCTCTAAAACTGAGCATCGGGAACATATGTCATGTAATGCACCCATACTAATTGTCATCCGGTCAATGGAAAATCGCTTGAGGCGCGACCCATGCATCGTGACAATGGTTCTCCAAAAATCGTCCGCGATAACCACTTTGGCAGTTGGCGTCGTGGCATAAATTTGTAATATTTCTAGTGGCGCAGTGGATAGTAGTTCCGTTACATCACTCGTCCATGTCTGAAAGGGCGTTTCAATATGGACTGCCAAAGTGATTGATCTGAGACGCCTAAACGCCCGGTGCTCCTTGCAAATGCTGGTGAAGCTGCTCATATCCTGCTCGATGCAGTCAGCAGATGCGTAGTGACTTCGAAAGGTTGAAGATTCACAAACGCTGGGGAAAGCCTCTCGAGTCCGATACCCGTGAGACCATTACGATTGGTTGACACAATTTCACCAATGCCTCTATGTGTCACCTTTGGGCATCCAATAATAAATAATTGATCCAGTTCAGTCATGCTAGGAGCGAGAGATTCCAGTAAGGTATCGGTGATTAGACTCGATGTCTACCGAGGGGAATGAGTCAAATTAATTCATATTGCTCGGATCCTTGTCATACCTGGCAGATCAAAGTAAGGTTCCGAAGGGTTGGACCTGTAGCGGATATCCAAGAGGGAAGAACTTCGATAACTTGTGCGCTCGGCATTATAAGTGATATTCGAGACAGTTTGGAGAACTGTGTAAGTATGTTAGGATCATAGTACCCGCTGTCCCTCCCGTTAATCTCGAGTTCTTTAAGTTGAGGGCATTGCTGGAGAGCCAGGAGAATCGCCGACTCCAGCGAGCCATCTCGAGTCCAGGCACACGATCTCAGATTGACACAATTCCGTATTCCTCTTGTGCAAAGATCCAGCAGGTCGCTGTAGGACGAAGAAGAGAGTGCCTTTGGAAAAGCTCTTATCTCTGTATAATGGGGGTCAGTAATTGCGCCGGTTAGTGTCATGAATTGGTCTGGGCTCACCGAGACGTGAAACGTATTGCGCAAGACGAGGATAATTCGAAAGTGTCTGGAACAGCAGAACGACCTATTCCGGATGTGAATAATAGCGATTGTATAGCATCTCAATATTGTGTCCACCTTTGACTTAGCCGCCTCTGTGTGCCATGCGTAGATGTAAACGCGCCGGTAGAGTCTTTGGATCGCAAATTCGTTGAATGACTTATTGACCAAACATAAGGATGCAAGATGTTGAGCTCTGACTACAAAATCAAAGATTATAGGCAATAATTCGAGAGGGATGTCAACAAAGCTGAGGGCCATGGAAGCCGAGCTACGGTGGCAGTGCACCGGCGTATACTTCGTTATGTAAGAGTTTGCTCTCACGCGGGTCACTGGCGATTGGGTTCTAGAACGCGACGAGGACGACAACCTGATCGACGCTGCGGCGCTAGGCGCGCCCATCGTGACACGCCCTAAACCAGTTCGGTTGCGACTGTATGCATTGCCAGCACTGTCATAGTGTGACAATTCAATAGTCATGAGTACAGAACTTCACTGAAGTGTTACAGTATCAGAGAGACAAATTCAAACGAATGGTCACCTCGAAAGTGTCTCTTTATATGCCAAAAGTCCGACAGCTATCGACTATCGTCGTTCTGGACTTTCATGCCAATCTATGCAAGGGGCCCTGGCTGTCCAACGAGATGGTAGTACAAACACAGAAGCTAGGGTTGGAGAATGAGGGGCCTTTAACATTGGATCCGTCATATGATGATGTTGAAACTTAAGGAGCCCTGACATGGTTGCTGTAAACAAATACATCAAAGGTAGGGTTGAAGAATGAAAATTTCTCGAGGGGTACCCCTCTTCAAGCAGACCTTAGCTTATAGGTTTATTACGGGAAGGATGTCGTAAAATTTAAAACAAGTTAGTTGTTCATGTTATTAATTGTCAGATCACTACTAGCTGGTAATATACGACTCGAACAAGTCTTAAAGGCGGTCAACTCACACAGACCACAAGCATATCTGTTCTCTGGCTGTGACCGTGCCAATCTGATAACTTATCCGAAGTCTGTCATTCGAATCGCTAGAGTCCTGACGTGTTGGAACTGCCTAAAAATACGACGTTGAGAATGACCGGGCCCGCGGGTTACGATGCGGATAAAATACAGGCCCGCACAAAGCTCCTGAAGCTGAAGCTTGAAGACGGGTGCGGGTACAGCTAGAACCTAGAGAGGTTACGTTTTAACATTGGGCCCTAGAAGTTAGTAATCGACTTAATTTTGTTTTGGGATGTTGAAAATATCAAGTTCTTTCTTCAAGCTACATATATGAAATCGAGAAGGACAATTCAGGGTCACCCCACGACTGAAGCTCTTTTTTATCGTGTCGCGTTCAACTGCCACGTCTATCCAGCCTGAGGCACCTGCGTTACTCATACTACCCACTTTGTCCTCTGGTTTCTTCACCAGTGCCACAGTCAGGCCAAATAGGAGACTTGCTGAGGTCGCTCGTTGATTCATTACTGTAAACGCGATGCAGAACTCTGAAAAGGAACGCATCTCAATCGCACCTCATTCCAATGAAGACTCATCATCTCGTATGAATTGTGAGTGGCACCGTTGAACAGGCATTTTAGTGACCTCGCTGACAGCCAGCAAGACTCCCGGACAAACTCTGGCTCGCTTGTTACCATACCCCCATTGTTCAACCAGTCTCACTTTGACATTGTTCTTCGGCGGCAGCGTTCTCGTAAAGAAGGCATGCCCAAGTTTACTGCTGTTCCCTCGAGATTCCTGAACCTCACCAATGACTTTGAATTTGCTGGCTGGGGTTCTATCTCTCATCTCATCCTTACACCTGAAGATATAGATCAGGGTGAAGTTGAACTGAATTTTTTCCGAGAGCAGCAGGTTCTTGGGCAGTTTACAGCCAGTGCGCTTGCAGCGAATGATATACTTGGCGGCGTATTCTACACTCTGCCAAGCGTCGTCGCTGTCGCTGGTGTCTAGTGAGCTAATCCCGCAATCAACATACACTTGAACACGCTTAACTTCTTCCAGTTCTCCTATTTCGCTATTTGTGGCAGCTTTAACTCTATTCCTTTGGCGTCCTGTCATGGAAGAAATGGCTTCTGCTCTTCCGATTAGTGGGGCTCCTTATACCTACCTGTATGTTGTCTCTGCTTTTGAACAGACATATTCGTGACAAATTACCACCAGGCTCAATGTATCTACAAAATCTGTAGCTCTTCTTGGGGCAGCGCTCCTCCTTCTAGATTTTTCAGCCACAGCAGTAGTTTCGGCTGCAACCGCAGCATCATATCTTGCAGGCGAAGTCTCGCTACCCTTTCCAGTCTATATTGGTGCTGCCCTTGTTTTCGTGCTGTTCACTTTCGTCAGCCTTTCGGGCCTGAGAGAGAGTGCTCGCGTAGCAACTGGTATACTGGTGATGCACGTGAGTTCTGATGTTTCCTACTGTCTACCTACTTTTGATCATATCTGGGAGCAAGGGTGTGGTAATGATCATACTTATTGTAGCTTCTGTCATTGCTTGGGGACGAGGCGGGATGGCGCAGCTCAGTTCCAACTGGTTGTTGGGGCACGCCGGATTGTCTCCAGCAGCTATAGCCAGACAGGTATTCAATGGGATATGTTTAGGGATGCTAGGGTTGACTGGATTTGAATGTGAGTGTTTCGACCTGTAACCCACAATGTATATAATACAGCTTAGGCGCACCCGCATATACGTCAAAGATGAAGAAGAACTGTTATCCCAAAGTTCTTCGCAACTTGCATTTACCTGCACTTTTCCTCACTAGCGTTATGATGCTCCTTGTTGTGGCATTATTGCCTCTTGACGTGGTTGAAAATGGCAACAATATCCTCAGTTTGTTGGCTCAAAAGGTACGCTTGTGATTTTCGATGACTATGCGTGACGCTGAAGTACATGGCCAGGTTGCAGGACGGTGGTTACGAATAATGGTTGTAGTTGACGCCGTTGTTGTCCTTTGTGCGGGTGTGCTTACAGGTTCGTGACTCAGAATTACGCGTCGTGATCCATACACATGTCGTATTTTTAGGAATCTTGAGCGCCTGCGAGCTCCTTATTAAGCTGTCATGTGATCGCGTCCTTCCTCGCGTATTCCTTGCTACAGTGCCAGCGACAGGCGCCCCTTATGTCACAGTCGTATCATTCATTGCATTCAGTGCATTAATATATGCAAGCACGGGCGCAAACCTGATTGTGGTATCCCAGATGTGTGTTCTCAAATTCAGTGATATCGGGAGATTCTGAGATTTAACAGGTTTACGATGGTGTGGTTGGCCGTTATGGCGCTCTTCCCGATCTCTCTCATACTCCTCCGTTTCTCACGACCTCGACTTCCGCGTGCATCCCAATGTTCACTGATT